ATGCGTTGTTACAAGCAGTGTTGATCACTGTAATGCTCTTCTTACTGGGCTTCCTAAGAGAACAATCCATCCACTACATCTTGTACAATCTTGCGTCTTTCAGGATAGATTTTAAAGTTATGCTACTAGTTTTTAAAGATCTAAATGACTTTAAAGCACCCGCTTACATTACATTACATCTGTTTATGTACCAGCACATGTTCTTTGATCTGCAGATATTGAGCTTCTGCAAATACCTTCTGTAAAATACAGAAAACATGGAGAGACTCGTTCAGCTATTCTACTTCTAAACTGTGGAACTCTGTTTCACCTTTTATTAGACAGGCACAATTTAAGAAATATTTAAAAACATATCTCTTTAACTTAGTGTTCAATTAAAATTCTATGTCTCTTGGTATTTATCTTTTTAATTTGATATGTCATTTTCTTCTATGATTTTAAATTAATACTCCTGATTTCTTCTTTTACTGTTAAGCTTTATCACCTGTCTGTAGGTGCCACTGGCATGAAAAGTGCTGTATAAATAAAGATTATTATTATTATTATCATTATTATTATTATAGACAGAGAATGGAATGAGAAAAGACAAGGAAAGGAGGAAGGAGAAATAAAGGGATGATGAAGAAGACACAAGAAGGAAGAAAGGTGGAACAGGTTTTGCTTTGCTCTCCTGACACACTGACCCGGTTGCGTAGCCCTCGAGGTCACATCAGATTACCAGCCCCAAGTGGGGCCAGCTTAGAGCACTTTGGAAAGAGGAGAAATGCAAGGGATTAATGTAGAGGGGGGAAAGAGGGGGGAGGATTAAGCTGCGGTGCGTGAGTGGGATTCACCCATAATCCCTCAGGAACCCTGAAACTCAGAGAGAGAGAGGGAGAAAGAAAGTGAAAGAGAGAGAATGAGGAAATGAGAAGAGTGTACGTATATCAATCACAGCAGCCTGTCATACAATCAGTTGACATAAATGGCGGCACCTTCAGATCAGTCACTAAACCACTTTGAAAAGAATGCTTTGAATCATACTGTCTAACTCTTACTGACATTGCTGGCACAGGTGTTCAACTGCCAGCACACAGTTTATATAATTTCCATAGAAAAGCACTGTCAATACAATGGAACTTTCTAGAGGTGTATAAAGCTCCTCATCACTGGGCTGTAAAGCTGTTGGCCTGCATTGTCTGGAGTGATTGAGCTCCATCCAGTACCTTTGGGATGAGTTGGAGTGGAGTTTGTGGTCCAAAACTAATTGTTCAACATCAGTACCTGACCTAACTAATGTTCCAACATCTTGCATCTAGAAACGCCCTATTAATACCCATGATTTCAGAAGAAACACTGGATGAGCAGGTGTCTATGCATTTCTGGGCATATCATACTTAAAAAAGATGGTTCTTCAAGGCTTCTTTAGTAAAGGCAATGGATCTATTTAGAACTATGCATTCTACATAGAACCACTTCATTCTTAAACAGTTCTTTGCATGGTGAAATGGTTCTCCAGATTGATGGATAATGTGTTGTATATGGTTTTACATAAAACCTTTTTGAAAATATTTCTAAATATCACCAAAAAAGTGGGCTCTTTAATTGGGCTCTGTAAGTTAGACATAATAACAATAGCAGAACCCTTTTTGGTGAGACCAGAGACGTTCAATCATGTATAAATGATGTGTGCTTTGTTTGTATGATTTGAATAAAAGAAGTGGATGAGCGCCTTTTTTATAGTTGAACAACATTCAAGATGAATTTTGTACTTAATAATAAGCAACTGTTTAACAATCCACTGGTTTCTTCTCAAAACAAGTCACCACTCTGTCTGTTCAGGTTTAACCCAGTATGTGGCGTGATGGCTGGCAACAACAAAAGCATGTCATAATTTCACATGAATTAGTTTTCACTCGTTGCTCATTGAAAACAGCAGGGAAATTCTGTGAAAGTGTGAATTCTAAACGTTTATTGAACCCCATAATTGTGTTTGCAAGCAGAAGAGGAGATTTTAATTTGATGAAAAGTTATTATTGTGCATATAGTCTTGCTACATGGCAAGAAAACCATTTTACATTTTGGTCATATTTTTGACATTGAAACAAAAAACAGAGAAATGTCACACGTGAACTCAGTGAATCACAATTTAAATTGAAATGTAATTAATTGCATAACTATATAAATGACGATATAGTTCTTTTAAAAACTATTATATAAAAATATTACAGGAATTTCCGACACTTGGAACGATTTCTTTAATACAGTTTGTGCACAATCCATTAGCCAAAGTAAGGATAGGATAGGGACAGTGGATTATATTTTATCTGTAACTCTCAAAGATGTAATCCCTCATCATCCTTGTTAGCCATGACTTCAGAAGAATGCTCTGTACTCACTGTTCTGATTGAACATCTATTATATGCAGTGTTATGTATGTGAACTGAAGAGTTGTGCATTTTTTCGTAAGCTTGAAAAACAGGAAACGCAATAAATATTTGAATTACAAAGAATAAAAAAACATTACAGAGTATTATATTAGGAATTTCAAAGCAACAGTAGCAACTCTAGATTTCTGAAGGTTGTATTTACTTTTTCACATAATCTGTTCAGTGATCCATACCCATCCACCACCTCTCTTTTCATATCTCTCAATCTCTTTGAGTTGTCATAAACAGCCACTTCAGTGCCCTATCAGGAACTGCAGAGAAGGCGCCCGAGGGCACTCATGGGCAGAATGGCACACTCACAGTTCATAATGTGCGATACGAGTGGGTGCGGCCCTGTAGCGCAGTTCATAAGCCTCAGTTAGTGCCGAACAAACAGCTGTGATACTGTAATTCCTGATTGCAGCTTTAATAGAATCTCTCTAGTGTTTGCTTTCTCTCATCTCCCCCCGCTTTCCATTTCAGTAAGTATGCAGTTATGTAAGGGCCTGGGGTCAGAGTGTCATGGCTGTTGCTATTAGTTACCGAGCAGGGCTACAAGCAGGAAAGGCAGGGGGGGAAGCAGGGAATGAAAATGGAGGGAAAAAAGAGGTCACAAACATATATAAATAAAGGTTCTTAAAATTAATATACAGTTAGGGGAAAAAAAAATTAATTGGTGTAAAGTCATTATAATATGCCCAGGCTCTAATTTACAACATTCTTTATTCAGCCACACACTGAAAGATTCTTGAGGGGACAAAAAGTGGTTCTTTCTGCCACTTTTATTGAGACAGCAAAGAGGAAATAAGGTGTGGAATGTGGCCACTATGGTTTGTAAAAGCTTTCGAGTAAGGAAACACTGCTTAAGGCATCAAAGGCACTTTTATTAAAACCAAGAGTTTAAATTTGTGACTTCAAAGCACGGAGAGGGCTTTTTGTCATGGGACAGACAGATAATGTGTCCCAGAGGAGGCTTGATTAGAGATGGAAGGGTAGGCAGAGGTGCTGGAGGCTGCTGGAAACAGAAATAAACACAGTATGCAAAGAAAAAAAGGATGGAATAGGGAAGGGAAGAGAGCCGAGTGAATATGAAAAATGAAAATAGAGAGAGACTGACAGACAGACGGATGAGAGCGAGAGGAAGACATGGGTGGAGATGGAGCGATGACAGAAACAAAGAGAGTGAGGAATACAGGATAAAAGGAGTGAGTGGGGGAGAGAGAGAGAGAGAGAGAGAGTGAGAGAGAGAGAGAGAGAGAGAGAATCACATTGTGTACTCCAGCGCTGCTCCAGTAACCTACTTACTGTAATCTTCCTTCTCTCTGTTTCATAACAGACCCCTGCCAGAGAATTGCATCACCAAGCCTTCCCACATCCACTCTCTGCTGTTTCCTCGTCATCACAGCCATTTTGGATTTTGATAGTGCATAATAAACACGCTTACCCACACACATACACAAGCAAGCGGGTGCTTCGTTTCTTAGGCCTGGAATCAACACATGCTTCAGGGGTGACAAGCACAGCTTTCCTTTCCTGGAACAGACAGAGCCTTTCAACGAGCCATCTTTTTGGCAGAAATGAAGCTGCAAAGTATGTTAGAAATACTCTACCCTTTCTGACAAGGTGCCAAGACATCTGTGGTTATTAGACTATACTCCTTCCCTCCTTCTGGGGTTCCTCCTAAATGACATGTTTGGATCTGTCTGCCAGTATTTAGCAAGCCTGAATGACTCTGAAAAAAACAGAAACACTGTGATTACTCACGTTGTTAAACCCTGAAAGGATAGAGCGGATTTTGATTATGCATTATAATCTCAAGACAGCCTGTGTTGCTTCATTAAAGGGGAACTCCACCCATTTTCAAAAATTCTACATAATTAAATGGTTAAGATATAAACAAAGTGAATTAGAGTAGTTTGACGTGAAATACTCCAGTTTAGAGAAACTTGCGAGTCAGAATTGTTCACAGTGGTGGTGACAGGAACCAGATGTCTGAAGAGTTTAATGCCTCTGAAAGCTCCCTCACAGAAGGTTATTACATGAAATAGTTAAACACATGCTGCCTGATACCGGAGACATTGTATTAGTGTAATTTTGTGATAAAGTTTTGGCTTAAAATGTATTGTAATCCATTTTAGGGGTACATGCAGGGTGTTGAAAGGCAAAACAGTCCCTAAATAAAACTTATATTATTTCTATAGTCCCCAAAGAAAACACAATTATGGCTGTTTTATCCTAATCAGCATTCCATATAAAAACGTTGAGGACATGTGTGGGCTCACTGTTGGTTGTGGATAGTAAATAAAATGGCTTTATTTGTGCTGTAGACACGGCGATCCCCGGGTCCTAAAACCACAACTGTAAAGAGGTTTCTCTACAATGAACCACTTCACATCAAACCCCTCTGTTCACATCTGAGTTCAGAAATTTCGAAACATTGGTTGAAGTCCCCTCTAAGGATATTCCTGAGCATATCGTGCTAAGAACACTGTCATTTGAAACGTCCCTCCTTTTAATTCGCTGTGTTTTAACCTGCATAATGCACTAACGCTGACTTAGCAGTTCCACCTTAAGAGGCGGCGGGATGCGCGTCCCCGTGAGGAGAGTGTGTGTATGTGTGTGTGAGAGAGACCGAGATCATGTGAGAGTCCATGCGCCGGAAAGTAGGTTAGCAGGGTAGACTGAGAGGAAGGCAGAGCTAACGCAGAGATAGGGAGAGAGAGAGACCGCTGTGACTAGCAACGTTAGCGCTCAGCGTAGTACGCGAACCAGTTCGCTACAACAACGCTAACAAAAGTGCTTTTGCACGGCACCGAGCTCCGAGGGAGTAACTGGAACAACTCTGAGGATTTTTGTTTTCGTCCTTCATTCTTTTCCGTTATCGATAATGCTCCCCGCCGGAGCCCAAAGGTTATTTTTAGCTAGCGGTCTCAAGCTAGCCACTTAGCTTAAGCCTGTCCAACTTCTTTCTAGTTTATCTCGCCGCACGTTGACGCGTTGAGGACTTCCGAAAACCCCGAAGAAAACTTAAAAATGCGAGGTAAGTGCGTCTGCTCTTTATCACAGCTCCACCACACACAAACTAAACACATTTAACCACTTTTGAGCGGCTGAAATCGCCGCGTCTGCTGTTACAAACGAACAACCAACCGCCCTTTGCTCTGTTGATGAGCGCTCGCGTTCGGTTATTTGTTTGTTTGTTTGTTTGTTTGTTTCTCACGTGCGCCGCGCATGCTCGGAGACCACGCCGCCGCTAACCGCCCTCACTTTTTCAGGCTCCAGCATTTCGAAGTGCGCAACGCGGAGCTGCTAATCCTCACTGCCATTTTTCCGCTGATGAGCTTAACGCTGTCCCTCCGTCCTGCCGCGTGTTTAGTCTTCCATGCTTGTGCGTTTTATGCGAGTTTTTGTTTGTTTTTCCCCACATGCGGGTTTTTGCATATCCAGCAGAGCAGCTGTGTAAAATAATATGGAGCGGGACATTTTGCATTTTTGCTTTGCTCAGGGATGAATAAACACTTCTAAACACAATCTGACAGTTCAGGTGACAGGTAACGGTGCTACAACAGGGGTGGTTCGTCAGGGAGGTCCATTATATTACGTAATAAGGTGGGAGGGGGCATTGATGAAGATGATAGGGGCAATTTATTAATAATAGATTGCATATGTAATTGCAGACGACTGAGAGCAGTGAGTGCCTGGCTCCAGATTTCATTCCTGAAGGACACTTAAGAAATCCAATCTGTTGGATTACAGCAACAGAGGAAATCATTCTCTTGTTTATTTGTCGTTCGAGGTTTTATCCATGGTTTGTTGTCGCTAGGCTGACTCAGTTGACGTTCAGCCCGGGTCTGTGTGGCTCTGAGTCAGTGCCTTCCTCTCTCGTGTCGACTGCGTGTTGTTGTTTGCCGAGAGCAGCATGGCCGGCTGTGTGAGCTGCCTGTTCTACTGACCTAGATCTGTCAGCGGGGAGAGAGCCAAACGGGAGGGAGGGAGGGAAAAGGGAGAGAACGATGGAGAGAACGAGAGGGAGGGCGTGGAAGGGGCGGAGCCTCCACCAGGACGGGGCGGGGCTTAGCCAGAGTCGTGCAGCTCCATGCGGTTAGTTAGTAGAGGCTGCAGCGCCTTCGCCTGAGGCCAGCGGTGTATCACATACTTGAACTTTATGTTGCTTTTTCTGTCGTTAATCTCTCAACAGGTAACGCGATCCACCCAAATCGAGATTCTGTCCGTTTACGTTATCAACACACTTTTTTAAACGTATTGAATGTTCATCTGGTTTATTAGAGTACAGAGTTAATGCATGAGGATGGGCAGCCTAACTGTTTATTTTAATTTTGTTTATTTTTTATGCCAAGGAATAACAGTTTGATAGTTAATAGACAATTACATAACACTCTTACCAAGTAAATGAAGAAATAAATATAACATCAGCAACCACAAATAACACTCAGTATAATTTCATTACATTGAAGCTGTGGTAGAATAGTTTAGGCTAAACTGGCCACTGACTAGCACACTACAAGTCACAGGTGCAGACTCGCAAGACTTACGTGCATGTTGCGGAAGTTTTCATTAAAGATTGTTTATCTGTTTTGAGTGACAGTGCTTCACGAACCCTGTCAAGGAGGAAGAAAAGACGTTATCAATACTGAATAAAGACAACAGCTTCTGAATATGGCTCCTCAAGGCCTAAATGATGTCACTTGTTGTTCATCATGTCACTGAATGTGACAGTACATTATTTTCATGGCTAAATAAATAGGTTGGTGTGACGGTGGCTGGGGGGCGTCACTAAAGTTTATGTTAGCTTAAGTGACTGTCTATACAGACATGTAAAAATGCCTGTATTCCTAAAAGATATCTGCATAAAACATACCTTATTCATTTGAAATACAAACTTTTATACACTATATCAATTATGAAATTGAAAGAATATTTTTCAAATCATGCATAAATAACGTTACATAAGCATTCTGCATACAAAACGTTACAGTTAAACATGTATGATGCAAAGTGACTAAGTACAAGAGTTAATCCAGCGCGTCTAAAGCGTGTGGGGTGTGCCATGCAGCTGCATGGCAGTAGGTTATTTCTGCCTTTTTCAAAGCCCAGACCTCACAACCACACACTGAATTTGTGCAGAAAGAGAGGTCTTTTTCTTTCTCTGGGTAAATATGAACAGCAACTCGGTTTTACAGCCTCATTTACAGAGGGATCCTACTGCCCATGTATGTTTTATGACACAAAAGACTATAGGTTTGGTTTTGTTTGACCTGTCTTATCTAAAAGCCTGGAACATATTGTCCCTACTCTTGTTTTCCATGAAAGGGTGCTATTTAAGATTTTTCCCGCGAAGACTCTTTTTATTTTTATTTAGGAACATCATAGATGTAAAATTCATTCCAAAGAAGAGAATGGACACACAAGTAGTGTCCGCGACAGTCATAAACTATAGCCAGCATGAACACGGCATCAACTTATTGAAATCTAGCTTCAGAAGATGAGAATGTAGATAGGAAAGTTCCAGCTGTTTGTGATACCTGGATACCTGAGACACTGCTCTGTTTATTTCTCACGAAGGGTCTTTTTCAGTAGAGTTGGGGACTAACAGGTACACAATATGCGACATAATACAAATTGCAGGAGTTCATCTGATACGATACAGTACAAGACAATACGTTATTCTTGCAGGAGTGCTATATTATCCTTTAGGTCAAGAGTTTAAATTTGATACATTGCCTTATTCATATTTTGAGCACGTCCTCAGTAGGCCTGTCACGATCATCGCCTGTCTCAAAATTTTAGCTGGTGATTAATTGGCATATAAATAATTGCGAAGAACAATTTAACTGTAGGTTTTTTATGTTCATTGTATGCAGCTATTATAGTACAAGCCTTAATTGGTTGATTAGCTATCCTACTTCCTAGCTGTGGCACCCAAGTGACAACGGAAGCGGCTCAAGCTCACAAGCAAACATTACTCACTGCTGCCCTCTAAAGGTGGGCACCAGAACTACTTTTACAAGCATTTACTTCGATCTAACACATGCAAATGCACCTAGTTTACATTCTGTTACTTAAAACATCAAAATATGACTGTGAAAGTTAACAACTATGGAAAACAGTTGCGATCAGATGATTGTAATGATCATGACAGGCTTAGTCCTTAGCATGTCAGCTTCTGTCTATCAAAGCTGGTTTCAGCTAACGTTTATTAAAGGCTTCTTTTAAAGCAGAACATGATTTGCTCAGTTCTATTTTTATGGTTATCATGTCTGAAATTTATACGGAACTGTATCTAACCCCTCTTGTCACGCCGCCATTGTTTGGCTGTCCTGCAGTTGTTGTTGTGATGGTGCAATAAGGGAATGTACTTTTAATTATGTTTTGGATCAGATATGAATTGGCATCTCGCCTGATCTAACAAAGCACAAACAGGAGAATAATTGTGTTCTGCTCTAGGCGAAAAACAAATACGCAGTGCTAATCATTAACCAATATGAGAAGAGATATTGCATTGAATTGATGTCAGTTTCAGTGAATATTTACATGAGAAGGAATGGACATGGAAAAAAAAAAACATTTACTCACTCAGTCGGCTTAGAAAGAAGTCTCTGAATTCCCTTTAATTTATATAAATCAAATTATCACACAGTTCTAGTTTGTTACTCAACCATTTGTTTATTGTAAACCCCACATGAGCATCTTCACAGTGCATTCAGTGAACACTGAGTACACAAAAGAACAAGTAGGCCTGGTTATTCCCAGTGCGAGTCATTAGTGGATGTGATCAAACATGGACAAGATCTTACTTTTTGTTTTAGTGTAGAAGAAGTATAAGATGTAACACCTGCCCTTTACTCTCAGTGACCGGGCCACGGTGCTGCCTCGCTGACACACTGACCGTCTTACGCGCTCAGAGAACTCCTTCGCTCTCGCACACACCTGACCGCTGTTGCACCTGCGCGCAATAGCTCATGTGCTGCAGCCCGAATGCACATGAGATGTGTGGTGTTACGGCGGGGTTATGAGTTCAATAAATGATATGAGTGGTGACTTGCAGGGCATTGATCTTTCCACTGGCCTACATAGCACATGCTAATCTTAAAGGAGCCTATATCCTGCATTGTTCTTGGATTGGGGAGTTGACAGTACGTGAAATTCTAACAGTGTTTACATACTATATTGGCTATATTCAGTTTTGCATGATCTGGGCCCTTTTAAGCATTCCCAACAACAAGGCTTGATTTGCTGAATAACGACATAATTTCCCCCTAATGAAAAAAGGAGGGAAGACTTTATATCTTTTATTCATACAGGCCTACATGAAGGCAAATTGAAAGGGCCTGCTTTTAACAATACTTTATGTATTCATCGCTGGACATTGCACATAATCAACATAAAAGTAAATGCACCACTGTTGGCCAGCTCGCTAATTTTCAGCTGTCGCGTTGAGAGGAACCGCATGGCAATGAAAACTTAATTCTTTTCATGCTCCAAAATCCAACCACACGCTAAATAAAAGGAACATGCTGCGCCATGCATTTATGACGCCCATTAAAGTTTATTTCCCTGACATTTGAGTGAACCTAGAGAGGTTATGAAAGTGTCCCATGGTTACCCGCTGTATTTGCTGAAGTTGGTGTTTGTTTCAAGTCTCAGGAGCAGGCCTACCCAAATCTGAACACTATCAGAATGTCCAGGTCACTAATTTGAGGAAGAAGGTCCTTCCTGTGTGATAATGTGGGAGTATTATGTTTTAGGCCTACTGTGTTGTGTTACCCTGATAGATCAGATGAGCCTGCTGTGCTGCTTTTTCTAGGAGCCATATGTGGTTATGGTGTTGCAGTTGTATCATTTCGTTTATAGCTGCTGTCATTTAGTAGGTATTAATCCATCAAAATTTCCCTTGCTTTTACGTTCCCTGTCAGCCTTAACTGTAGTTTTGTAGCCGTTGCTGCTCTATATTTTGATTAGACTACAAAGATAACAGAGAAAGGCAAGACTGGTGGATTGCTCAGTATGTTGATGTGAAAGCTCAGTGGTGAGTATAGGTTACTATTTTATACCCACTACTTCCTCTGCACGTAGAAGAAGTGGAGCCTTTTTGCATTCCTTTCTGATCTGTATAACTTGAACTCACCGCATTGCAGTGCGTTCAGTTCCAAAGCGAGAGAGAGAAAAAATAGCTTTACGATGGGCACCTCAATTGGTGGACATCAGAAACCGATACAGTCTGGTCTAAATACGTTCCGATGACTGTGATAATCATATGACTGCAGGAGGGCCAAAAGGTCATCTGCATGCAAGCCAAATGAGATCAGCTTAGCCCTTAATGATACCCAGCGTCTTTTTTTTTACTGGGTAACACCTCCATCAGTACAGGGAAGCATGAGGAATATGGACATAAGGACAAGGAAGAAATAAAGTGAAACAGTTTGCTAGGCAGGGAAAAGTTATTTATGTGCATTAAATGAAAACACTGCATGAATTACAGATAGAAATAATTTTTATAGCCTTTTTGTTCTTCAGATTTTCAATTGCTATATATTAGTGTTTCGAATGCAAGATGTAGACTGAGGGGGAAAAAAAGGCTTCTTTTTACCGAATTTGCATTTGTGAATATAGAAAATGTAGTGTCCTTTCTGGTTTTAGCATGTTAAAACCATTAGGAGATGTGTTTTATGTGTATTATCTCTCTTAAAGTATGCCTACAGTGCTGCGCAGTCGTTACTTGCCAGTCGAGCCGAGTTCCACCTTAAGAGAGAAAAAAGGAAAAGCCTATTCAAATGGTGTGCGCTTAGCTGCTTCCCACACGCCTCCCCCTTTTTCAATGAGGAAAGTGTGTCAGTAGGGCAGCGGGTGCACATGGGCTGACAGCCAAGTGTGCCTGAATGACATCTCGCTCAGCCAATCGCTAGCTCTCTTTGCGCCCCTCTGCCAATAGGCGCCAAGGAGCTGGGAGTGGGCAGTTTCTACTGCGTCACTGGACCACAGCCCCGGTGAATGGCTGTGTTTGAGGCACGCAGGCAGACGGCGGTTATATAACTCAGAACAGAGAGGGAGGGGAGAGGGGGCGTGGCGCTCAGGGGTTTACAGATTTTTCCATTGCATGTGTACACAGGCTTGTTCTGTGCTTTTCTCTCTCTCACAGGGAGGGAATACAAAATGGAGGACGAGTTTTTTTAGTCCAGATTCACGTCACTGCTTGTTATGGTTAACGCTTTTACATTGTGCCGCCATATGGAATGCAAAGTAGCTATGTGGGTTCTTATGCAATCATTACATAGCATTATTATCTAGGCTCCTCAGAGTCCCAAATCGCTCGCCTGTCATTTTTAGAATGGCTGGTTAACACCATTAGTACTTTCGACATATTATAGGCATGCAGAGCAGCTGCTGGTCTTTGCTGATGAAGTCCTATTAGTATCTTTCTAATTCACAGCGTGCCTTTCGAGGCAAATGAAGCAGAATATACTATGCGTTTTTGCAAAAGTTTGGGCGCCCCCGGTCAAATTACATGTTTTGTTGATTGAAGTGAAAATGAGTTAACACATCGTCTACAGCAGTGGTCACTAGCCCTGGTTCTGGAGATCTGCCTTCCTGTGGAATCTAGTTCCACAGTGCCACACCTGCTCCTTCTAATAAACTTTTTCAGAAGGTCTTGATTGATTGGATCAGATGCAGTAGGTGTTAGGTAAGATGCAGGATTGAATTAAACTCTTCAGGAAAGTAGATCTCCAGGAAGAGATTACTGTTTATTTGCCAAATTTAATGTATTGGAGAGAAAAAAAAAAACATAAAATGTGACCTGTTCAAAAGTGATCACTTTTTTTCAAATATGTTAAACTTAAATAGAAACCGCCACATAAAAAGGAGTAGGTAGGTGTAAACACCTGCTTGCCAAGTGCTTCTTCTAAAATCAAGGAAACATTTAACACCTTTTTGCTCCTGTATTCTTCTGGGAAGCTGCTAGTTGTTAGAACATTGTCATAAGGATTTGATTGCATTCAGCCACAAGAACACTACTGAGGTCAGACTGATGTTGTATGGTTAGTTCTGGATCACTACAGCTCATCCAAGTTATTGGATGGAGTTCCACTGCTCCACAGCCCAATGTTGGGGGCTTTATACCCTTTTGGTGATGCTTGGCATTGGACATGGCAACCTTAAGCTCATGTACAGCTGCTCCACATCATCCCATTCTACCAGCAGTGCTTTTCTATGGAGATTATGCAAGCTGTGTCACCTGTGTCAGCAATGGGAGCTCCATACAGGACCTGAAGTGGAAGGCCTGTCTGAATACTTTTGGACACAGTGTATGAAATAGGTAGTTATGGTTATCGTGCATTGTCAGCCCAAATGTGCAAGACCAGTCTCTTTTTTATGTTGAAGCCACCCAGAGCAGCTTGTTGTGTTCCTCATTTGTGAGTAAGACTTCACACTCTCTGCTGGTTATCTAATGGTCATTTGAACTCTCTGCTGGAGGCCTGTGAGGGGTTTCAGAGATATGGCGCTTTTCAGTTGGTGTGAGTGAGAGCGATAGAGAGGCCAGAGTGTTTTCTACTTAAAGGGCATTACATTAATTTTTTGGCACTTTTAATACTTCTCTGAAGTTGTGTAATTGGTTAAGGCTCTTCTGTTAAAGACTCAAAAAATATGAACGCTTTTTCTCTGTTCATAGCAGAATTTACATGGCGAATTTTAGGTGCTCCATCACTAAAGCAGTCTTGTTAATAAGCTGTTGTTGAAAATCTGACCTCTGCTGCCTCTCTGTTTTATTCCCATTAACTTTTCCTTCATTGAGTTACTGTCGCAAAAGAGCAACTCACAATGTAGCACTTTTGTTCTTCCGTTTTTTTTTGTTTTGTCTGAAAAGCTGTGCTTAAGCCAACAGTGAGTCTTAGTAAATCTCTGTCTGAAAAGAGTACATGACAGGTTCCTGTTTCTCCTTTTCATTACTTCACCATTGTGCTTATGGAAGGATGTGTTAGTCATAATGGCTCACTTTGGAGTGAGTTGGCCAAATGTGCAGCTCGTTTCGAGACCATTAAGAAGAGCCCATTACCCCAGACCATTCAGAACCACTTGCATGTGTGTATAGCACATCTTGCCTATTAGTGTGCTACACTGTGACTTTCCTTCAGGCAAAAGTCTAATATTGCTCTTGTGTCTCTGTTTACCCACAGCTCAAATAGAAGTGATTCCGTGTAAGATCTGTGGGGACAAGTCCTCTGGGATCCATTATGGTGTTATCACCTGTGAAGGCTGCAAGGTAAACATTTTATCCATTTAATCTTGCACTTTTGCCTCCTTTAAGGCATGTCGTTCTCCGTTTTCAAAATGTGATTTATAAGTGTACTTCCTTCAGGTAGCCCAAGTACGAGAACAGAATTCTTATACAGGCAAAGTTATTGCACATACAGCATTTTCTAGTTAATAAAGTATTGAATAGTGTATTAGCTAATGTAGAAAGATTAATCTTGATTTGGTTCTTCATCGCTGTCCTGTCACCTCATAACCTCATAACATTTTACACCATTTGATAACACCGGTTGGCCTTTCTGTTGTGTGAACATTTCAGAATGATTTGGCCAATAGAAATGGTCTAAAATGACTTAATAAAGGCCTGTTCACACCAATTAGATTGAAATATAAAACAAGATTTTTTTTTTAACACAGTGGAACCTTCACATTGAGTCCAATTTTTTTTTAAGAAACACTCTGAACAAGACTGACCTTGATTAGTAGCACCTAAGAGTTTGGCATTTTTCTTTTAAGCGCTGCAGCTGTAAGATCCACAAACTGGGCACACCCCATTATACAAAAAGACAACAACATGGAGTTCCACTGCCTTACAAGAACTAAAGCTGCAAAATAAGTGATTCTGAAGGTATTTTTATATGTCGGTGAAGAGTTCAAGGCGTCTGCTTGTAGCTCCTCATGTTAAAAAGGGAGCAAACTATGGGGAGCCCATCCTGATGTACATTTGTATGGACTGCGACCTTAAACACAGAGCTCTGATTGGTCAGCCTGATTTTTAAACACAGTTTGGACTGTGAACGACAGCATTAATATAAGTGTTCGATTTCAGTAGTTGATGTTAATCGTTTTGGTCCAAAAAAATCCAACTTTGTGAATAGGCCTTAATATTTTGTAACATTTATGTACTCCAAATGAAAAAATATGTATATATTATGCTCATGTGCAAGGTTTTGTTACGACACCAGAGTTTTGCCTTGTTCTTTAAGCTGATATAGGACATGGGTTGTTGTCTTTCCTGATTCACAGCCAAAGCCAGTTTGCGTATAGTGGTTCCTGAGTCATGGGTAAGACATGACTGCAGTTTCATTTTGCGTCTGTTTGCAGGGATTTTTTCGACGCAGCCAGCAGAACAATGCCATGTACTCGTGCTCTCGACAGAGGAACTGCCTCATTGACCGCACAAACCGCAACCGCTGCCAGCACTGCCGCCTGCAGAAGTGCCTGGCGCTGGGCATGAGTCGAGACGGTGAGTTAGCATTAATGTCTAAGCACAGGAAAAGAAAACACAAATGGACATTCAAACTAAGATAAATCAAACGACAGGAAAACACTTCTGGTCTGGTCTGGACCAAACCGCAGCACAGAAAAGCCTAAAACACACACCGATACCAGCTGGGCTTCTGAGTGTTAAAAAAAATTTGTTAAAATATTTAAAGCCTCACTCTTTGTACTACTGATTATCCGCCCAGTGCTTAGCATGTATGAGGCTAACTGTACATCAGTGCCTCCCTCTTTAAAATTTTTAAAATGTGTGGATCTGAGCATGGTAAAAATGGAACATTTTGACTGTATGTGGTAATCCAGGACCAGGTTTTGCAAACTCTGGTCTAAATAGATGACTAAGACAAATAGTCCTGATAAAAGAAGAACACAAAGAAAGATCAGACACAAGGTCTTGTGGTATGGGTGGTGTTTCATTTATGTAATTAAGTGATGCCCTGACAAGACAAAGTGAGTAATGTTGAAACTTTAGAGAAACGAAATTAACAAAGGCTAAATCAGGTACTGAAATCTCTCACAGGATGTGTTTGTGATGGTGTATGTTTACTCTTACAGGGTTTCACCATAGTGCACAATACACGGCATACCCAGACGTGTATCATAACTGTGGTCATTTTATACCCTGTTGTAAAACTGGATGCTAAACTACAGCTCTATATGCTAGCTAGCTGCAGATCATTCAGTCCTCTTAAGTGAATTGTGAAATTTGATTGTGTAATACTTGTTTGTGCTATTGGAACAACTTCACCTGAATATACACCTTATACCAGGCTCTTGACTTACTGCTACTTGACATTTCGATGGCCAGGACAACTGAAAACTTTCACAGACAAAGTCATAGCAGTGATGCTAAAAGGAAGGGGTCCATTCTCACTGTTCTCAATCTCTGGTCTAATTAAATTATAAAAAACAAAATGTGAAATTAAATTATCCCTGACAAGCATAGAGTAGCCCAAATCTTCAACAGAATTACCAAACTAGGTCACTGTTTAACTTAGCAAGGTAATGTTTTTTCCTGCTAGTCCCATAAGCAATATGTGGAAATGCCTAATTTTAACACCATGTATCTCTGTTCCTCCTGTAGCGGTGAAGTTTGGCCGCATGTCTAAGAAGCAGCGTGATAGCCTGTACGCGGAGGTGCAGCGGCACCAGCAGCTGTCTCAGGACTGCCTGTCCGGCCTTGGCGGGGGTCTGACCCACGAGCACGAGGAAGCAGGTGAAGACAGTGGTCACAGCCGCTCGTACAGCAGTGGGGGCTCCAGCGCTGCCCTCAGCGACCTGGACGACATCGCTACCCTTCCCGACGGCCTTCTTTTTGACTTGCCACTCACTCCAGGTGAGGCGGGCGAGTATTGCGGCCTAGAGCCGTTTGATAGTGGAGCAGGAGGCGGAGTGGGAAGTGCGGGGAGCGGCAGCTCGTCCACTCAGAGCTCTCCAGAGCCCAGTGTCCTGGACATGACAGAAGCAGGACGAGTGAAGCACGAGTATCAGCTACTGCCAGAGCCCAGCCTCCTCACACATACGCTGCTGGGGGCGCTGCCTGACGACTGCTCCCTTCTTGACATAGGTGGGTCTTTTGCCGGAACACTACTGTGTTTCTGTTGGGGCTGCAACTAGCAGGTACTTTTGTAACTGATTAATTCATAGATTGTGATTTCATTAATTGGAGCACTACCTCTGCAGTTTCTTCACACATTGTCCCATCGCAGCAGTGGCAGTCAAAGTCCCATCTGTTCTTTTATGTCAGTCAGATGTCTCTTTACTGTCAAAGTAGGCAGCTTTTCTGCTCTAAGGGACAAAATGCACCTGACTTGATAGGCAAAAGTCTGGCTTGTGACAGTAGATCAGCACCAACTCTTCCTGTAGCGTACTGCAATCTGTCAAAATGGCTGTGTGTATCATATGAACATTATAGAACATTATAGAGTGCTTTTGTTCTCGGGTAAAAGATGAGCAACCCAATTATATGATTGGTTGATCCTGTACAGAGAACAAACTTAAATATAATACTACAAGTTTAATGTTACTCTGCCATACTGTACCTGCACTGGTGGAACATTATCAAATATTTGCTAACCGATAACTTTGTATAGACTGACATTAACAGTTACAGTGATAACAAGAACACCAAGTACTAAAAACAGAGTTGCTCATTTATCACCTCAATGCACCTTATACGGTAATTAGAAACCCTCCTCATATCTTTTGGCAAGTCTGATGTATTCTAAAAGGCATACCATGGTTCGATTGTGATAGGTTAAACAATACCCAGTCCAATATTATTTCAGCGCCCCTGGGCAAATGACTTGTGTTGTTGATTTTCTAAGTGAAAATAAGCACCCATCTTTTACCGAGAACACACTTATGCACACTTTAATGCACAACTATTGTTTATTTTCTGAATGTAACATAATAGAAAAAAATGAAAAAAAGCTCAGAAAATAATTAGAAATTTTGAACTAAAATTTGCAGAAAATATGTCCTATTTAATTTTGTTCCCTGTAGAGCAGTTGTACCTTTTTTATGGCATTTTTTTTGGCAGATGCTCTTATCCAGAGCAACTTACAGTTTGATCATTTTAGACAGGTAGGTGAATGTAGTGTTAGGAGTCTTGCCCAGGGACTCTTAGGGTATGGTGCATGCCCGGGTGTGGGATAGAACCCCAGTCTACACCGTAGAAGGCAGAGGTGTTACGCACTACACTATAGCAACCTGTAGAGAATATTAACTTATTTTCACAAAGAAAATAAAAAAAAACACATGTAATTTTACACTGAGTGTTCAAACCTTTGCATATGACTGTATAGTAAGTGCATTGGAAGTATGTTGCTGACAACGTGTACTGTATGTGTTTCTATGTGTAGAGCGAATCACCCAGAATGTGGTGAAGTCTCACGTGGAGACGTGTCAGTACAGCACAGAGGAGCTGAAACGACACACCTGGAACCTGTACACACCTGAGGAGACCCGCTCGTTCCAGCTCAAGGTACATTCAAAAATCAGCAAGGCAGTGATTGAGCTATGATCAATCAATTCATGTTATAACAAAAATACTCATATCTTTGATGATTACTTAGGCAGATGGAAAGATTGATGAGTGGTTTGTTGGATAAAAATTCGTCTGTGTGATCTAGTGCTGTTGTGAAATAATGGAATATCTTGTTAGTTTTTGGAAGTGATGTACTAGAAATGCCTAGTATTGATCCAGTTTCTGTTTCAGTATTAGCAAAGTCATAGCTGCAATACCATCTGCATGAATTAAAAATCAACATTAAACCCCTCGAGGTTTTGTTACAGTTAAGTTAAAATTTTCTCTTTTATATATATATTTTTTTTTCCGAAAAAGCGTTTTTCTTACAAAAGAACCAAAATATTACAAATATCTGATTTGTTCTGTGATACCTCTGTTTTCTTCTACTCGTTTAGTAAAATTTCATGATAGATCAAATTATAGTCCACATCAAATGTAGTGATCAGTTTTAGGCCATATTACTTAGGCCTTAAAGGGAAATTTCACCGATTTTTCAAACTTTCTGCATAATTCAATCATTGAGATGTGGACAGAGTCATTCAGAGCCCTTTGATGTGAAATTGTACATTGTAGAGAAACTTACCAGCTCAGAATTCTTTAATGGTGATCATAGGAACCAGACGTCACAATATCCAGAAGAAATATAACTATTTTATTTATTTTTTAAAAGGACTAGTACGTCTACACTTGTCTTTTGAGTTTTATGTGTAATGATAATTATGATAAAATAGTAATGAAGTATTTTCGGGACTGTTTAGAGCAACCTGCTGCAAATGTTAGGACAAAATCTTATCTCAAAACAATCATAATGCCATGTCTCAAGCATCAGGCGTTACCATTTTATGTAGTAGCTGTCTGTTAGGTAGCTTTTGGAGGCATTAAATGCTTCAGACATCTGGTATCTACCATCCTACCATCTGGTTCCTGTCGTCACAATTCTGACTCAAGTTCTCTAGAATGACATTTCACATCAAACCACTCTGAACAAGTTTGTTTACATCGTAGCCAGAAAAAAAATGGTGGACTGCGTAGATGGATGTATGCATGGGTGGATGGATTGACTGTAAGAATCTAGAGTTAAAGGGAAAAAGAACAGAGAGACAGTATTTACCATTTGTTGAAGTTTGTGAGCTAACAGCACATACTGATTATCCACTTATTGATTTGTTTCATGGGTTTGCATCGCTAGATATGCAGTCTATGCATGACTGACTCAGTACTGACAGATTGATTAGATTACTGATATGTGTTCGTGTTTGATCTCTGGAGCACACATTCACGTTGGACTGTGGTAACGTTTGGCTGATTAACGCATTGATTTCTGTGTCCAGTCTGCTGAGTGGATGTGGCAGCAGTGTGCCCTGCACATCACTAACGCCATCCAGTACGTGGTGGAGTTCGCCAAGCGCATCAACGGCTTCATGGACCTCTGCCAGAATGACCAGATTATCCTCCTCAAAGCAGGTCAGTGCTGTGCTACCCAGCACCACACACTGAGCCAGGGCTGAACTCAGATTAAATACACATACAGATTACAGATTACGTACCCCAGATTACACACCTCAGATTAATATTGTCAGATTAGGGATTAATATAGTATGTTGTTCCGCTTCAGTTGTATCATTGCACTTTTAGGACAGGACTCAAATTCAGCAGTGTTTTAAACTGTTAAGGTGAAACAGTGATGAGTTAAATTAATGTTTTTGAGATTTGAGTTGTTTGTGCTGTAAAAGAGCTATTTAATCAACCGAATTAAAGTTTTCATGCACTTTTTTTTTCTTTTTTTCTCTGAACTATAACAGAAATTGGTTACGATAGAGAAAGGCTTACACTATCATTCAAATGTTTGGTCACTTTTTTCACTAATATAAACCCAATATTTTGAAGATACATGTTTAAAATGATTTACAATGCGTGTATAAAATAATTCTAATATGATGCTACTACTTTGCAACTCTATAGGGTTCAACATGTCAGTAGGAGGCTGGAAAAATTAAGAACTTTAGATGTATCCATAATAATGGACAGAGCTGTAGATGGTTCCATAAACTGAGAAATCTGTATAATATTAAGTGTGAAGTTGTAATAAAATGAACATTTAGAATGCCTCATATTTGAAAAGTGGTAATCAGATCTAAAGGTAGATAGCATATCAAGTAATTACTGTAAATAAAAAATTATTTACCATTTAAAGGAATGGTTTGGCCAAAAAAAAATTTATTGACTTAGGCCAGGTGTAGTTCGGCTACACGGTAAAGGTTTGTTCGTTTTTATAGTTCACAGTAGGTTTTACTGTGTCCTAAACCACTTTGACAAGTCTGCACAACCTTAATGAATATCAGGGTACGGTTTCACTGGGTTGAGAGAAGGTTTGGGGATATATTTTTGGAAAAGATTTGGGTGAGTATTGACCTCTAGTCTTTGTTAGCAATGTTAGTCTTGTTGCTCCAGCACTAAACTAAAGAAAAAACTTGAACACCAAACATGCCTTCACTAACTACATCTGGGAAAAGTGGAAAACAGTGTAAATTAGATTTTTTTGAACAATTTCTATAACTATTTTTCGGTGTTTCCAAAAAACATTACTAAGTACAACATCTTAAAATACCTTTTATTATCTAGTTGAATAAGATATCATTGACTGAAATAACAGCAATTATTAATCCAACAAAGCGATTCCAAACTTTTGAACGGTAGTGTATTTTACAAAGGAAAAAAAACATTGGGCTACATTCCAAAGATTATATAATTTATGTCCTGTTCATATCACATTGTTTATAATCTTTCAGCTTTGTTTGCTAACGTTTGTCTCCTCTTGTCCTTTTTGTCTCCAACTTTCTATCTTTTTATTCTCCGTGCTAACCATTTAAATGATGATAATTACACTACGAAATATATTCCCATATCTGCAAATTGTTTTATATCAATTTAAATTTTTAAATCAATTCTTCTAATGACATTTTTCAATGGTAAAACTCTACTTTTAAAACCTTTCCCCTCCTTCAAATGTTTTACTTTTTTTTTATTTATTCACTGTTTTTATTTTTTTTGTTTTGTATATATTTCCTATTTATTTATTTTTTTTATTTTGTGTATATTTTTTATTTGCGTGTTGGAATATATCTTCCCCTCCCTCCATCTTTCTCTCTCCTCTTCCTCCCCACTATCTCTTTGTCGCTCTTTCTAAATATCTTCCCATTCAGGCTGCTTGGAGGTCCTGCTGATCCGCATGTGTCGTGCGTACAACTCCGCTAACAACACTATGTTTTTCGACGGCAAGTTCGCCAGCCCTCAACTCTTTAAAGCACTAGGTGAGTGTCTGCCATCTCCCAACATAAAAATGCATTGTGAACGAGGTTAAGGGTGAAGTGTCAGGTTTTATTATCATTTGTGCAGTAAAATGTTTTGCACCAGCAATTAATGAAAGGAAGCTTCCTTCCAAGAAGTGATCATTGCACTTTAACTGGAATTGGTAGGTGTGGTTGTGTATAGTATACAGTCGTGGGCAAAGGTTTCAACACCCCTGGTCAAATTCCAAGTTCTGTACCTTCCGTGTATGGAAATTAATCTACAAAAACATCTGCTGTTTTCATCTCGAAACCAATACATATACATACATCCACCTATTCAGCCTACAGAAGTTTAGCTTCGCTCATTTATAAATCTAGGTCTTAAAGGCACTGTGATAAAAATAGCCTGTTTAATTCTAAGGCATAAAGAGGGGTTTAAAAATGCTAAAATAAAATTGTGACTGTTTTTGGTATGTAAAACCACATAAACGTCATAAGCGGACCTCAAAGGGAAAAAAATTAAATGCAAAAAAGGTGTAGGATATGGGCTCCTTAAACTTAATAAATAGAAATTTTGCTCTAAAATGCCATGTTTAAGTTTGTTCCCTATATTTCCATTTAGAAAATCAATCAAATATGTCATTTGTGTGTATAGGCTGTGATGACCTGGTGAATGCTGTGTTTGAGTTGGCCAAGAGCCTCTGTCGTTTGCAGCTGAGTGAGGAGGAGATGGCCCTGTTCAGTGCCGCCATTCTGCTATCACCTGGTAAGACACACACATGTGCGCGTAAGAAATATACAATTGTACAGACAGTGAAACAGTCAAATGAGAGATTTATTTTGGAATTGTATTGCAGTGTTTCCCACAGATTGTAAATGTACTTTGGTGTTGAGGTGTAGCCTGAGGGGGGAGCTTGCTTGTTTGTGTCTCAGGGGAAGGACTACCAGGAAGACTCTGAGAAGTCACTGACTCTAAAAACATAAATAAATAACACAATTTATATTAATAACACATAATTCTTTGACTGCACTCTGCTGTTACCAATACACACAGGTTTTTGTTTACAGGACTATGTAGGCATGTCAATGACAGAAATATTAATAACACTAAGACTTTCTATTCACAAGTTTTCTTAATAAGGGTAATATGGCACTAATGTACTATTGCAGTACTTTTCAAGACATTTTCATGATACACAATATGTATCAGGAGGTTTAGTTTTTCTGAAGTTTGATAAGTTGAAAAGTGCTCCAAAGCTATTCAAATACTATAAGCACAACCATTTTGTTTATCTCAGGTCAGTGTTCTTTAAGTATGGAGTATATCCATGATATGCTCGGAAAAGCATATTGTGATGTAATTTATCACAATAATGATAAATATCGTTATATTACCCACCTCTACTTGTGTGGCCAAAAACAGTGAATCGAAGTGTTTTATAAGAAAGAAAGAAAAAGAAAGAAATCCATTACACATGACTACTTAATACATTCAAGCTGTAATTGGATCCTTTTACTTAGTACTTCCTGTAATTATTTTAATTATTACTTCCTGCTTTACTTATACATTGCTCTCTAAAACACCGGACTTCTGTACCAACCCCACAAGGGAAAAACCCTGTAACCAGTTAAGCTTGACTAAAGTTATGAATATTTGAACTGTTGTGCTGTTTTGATTATCTAGATACCAGCCAGTAGAACCAGCTCAGAAACGACTGCAACAAAATTAAAATCTTTTTGAATATAATGTAAAGCTTACAGAGCTGTTTCTGAATGAGAATCCAGTGTGGTTGTTTAGATGAGGTTGGGCCTCTCTGTTCATCAGCTCGGTTAATCTTTATTCATCAGTTTCATATTAGCATGATGAGATGCTATGAGAGATTGCTGGCTGAGTTTACGGCACTAGCGCTGCCCTGCTCATGTTCACAATCAAGAGTCATGCTGTCAGCTGACGTATCTCGCGCACGCTCATGCCGATTACGTACAAGCACTGGCACGGATAATCTATGTAGAGCAAAAGCTTTAAATTCATGTGCTTAAATGTAGTTTACATTTTTTTGTTACTTTGTATCCTATTACCCAAACACTCTTTATGACTGACTGGAGAAACCTGGTGTGGTTGGGTTTGTGATTATATAGTCTGCCTGCAATTACCGCAAAGCAACTAACATACATAATCACTTGTGAACGAGCTTAAACACATTTCAGAAGTCAATACAAAACCGAAACTTGGATAACATCTGCGGGAATGTACAAAATACACCTCCCTAATGTATAGTCATCTCCTCTGACTGTATTTCAGTAAGGTTTAATCTTAACCAGTCACAGCAAAAAATGAAGTGCTTTGCTGACACTGTGAATTTGCACAACTCAGGGTACCTGCGTTGTGAATCTTAATTTCCTCGTGCGGCATCCTCATAAAATATTTCTCAATCTATTAACTGACATGCAAGTGCTCACTCTCTTGCCGTCTCCTTCATTGTCCCTTCCACTCCCTTGACACAAACTGCATTCCCCAAATCAGTTGCTATTTTGTTATTTTCAAAATAGTGAGTTGACGTATTATACTTGGGCGGGCATCCTTATAGCTGGGCACACCACCAAAATGTAACCTATGTGTGGGAAACAGTGTATTGTATAACATATACCTCAACCACACCCTGCCACACACAAATATGCACACACAGTGCCTGCTGTTCCACCTTTCACACACCCCCTCCCATCTCTATTGTATTATTTCTCTCTCTCTCATATCATTTTCTCTCTCTCTCCCCCTTCCCATCATACTATTCACTTTGTTTCATTGTTTCTCTCTTCAATAATTCTCTCACCCCTCTCAGATCGCCCATGGTTAACAGAGAGTCAGCAGGTGCAGAAGCTGCAGGAGAAGGTTTATCTGGCTCTGCAGCACAGCCTGCACATGTCAGGAGCAACCCCGGAGAAACTGGACAAGGTGAGACATGAGACAGACTAGATGACCTTTTCCACTTAGCATTCACACTAGGACCATGTACCCCTAGATTATTTACCTGTAGACCACATCACCTGACTCTGAGGCCTTTTACCAAAGTAGATATTGTTCACTCCTGATTCAACTTATCAAATCACTTAATTCTTGATTCGTTTAAGAAATATTTCATTAAAAAAGAAAGAAAGATATGAATTAGACACAAATCTTCCTTTGTCCTTTGACCTGGTTTGAAATAGGCTAAATCTGTCCTATGGGGTTTTTAGCCACAAGGTGCTGTTGAGTGGAAAGGGCCTCTGAAAAATAATGTGATCAACTGGCAGGCACTCAGACATTCATTCATTAGGCAGAAAATGACCTCTGGTCCTGAGCTGGACTTCAGCAGATCTTTTGAAAAGTACATTAGACTCTTTGTCTTTGTTTTACAGTTTCTAGCACCCTCTGCTGGACAAAAATACATGTGGGGAAGCTGTAATGAAACTGATTAATTAGTGAAGGATTCATTTGTGTGTCAAAGCATTGCTGTCATGCAAAAACTTAAACGAACCAGTAGAAAATTACAAAATGATTTAAATTTGAACAAGAATAAAAAACACATGCTCAAACACATTTGTGTATTTTTTTTAAGAAAGTTACCATTTTGGAGATATAAGGTTTTCTTACGACAATGATACTATGTTCAAGCAAGTTGTTTCAATGCTGTGATTCTTCTCGCTTTTGTAGATGGTGTCCAAGCTTCCACAAATGAAGTCCATCTGCAACCTTCACATCGACAAGCTGGAGTTTTTCCGGCTGGTTCACCCCGAAACGGCCTACAGCTTCCCTCCGCTCTACAGGGAAGTGTTCGGCAGCGAAATCAACTTCCCTGATTCCACTGACAGTTAGAGAGAGCAAGGGAGAGAAGTTGGGGGGTGGATGGAGAGGGTGAGAGAAAGAGAACCAGATACAGCGAGAAAGAGAGTGTACAGGGGGATAGTGTGATGGAGGATGAAACAGATGAAGAAATAGGGAGACAGTGGAGGCCTGAGGTGTAAAGCTATTTTTTACTGTAAAAAAGAAAAGAAATAGGAATCTGTACAAAACCTCATCTGACCAGCAGCCCACAGACAATCCAGCACCCTGTATCAGTCATCCATGTGTACAGGAGCACCACTCCCACTATTATAGGGGCCAAGAAACAGCATTACACCTCCCCACACAAACCCCCTGACAACTAACAAGCAGCACACTCTCAAAACATCTCAAGAAATGGATAGATAATCAGTGCACTTTTGCACGACAATAGATGATCAGCTTGTCTTTTGCAAATAGTGAAATCTCCATTAAGGCATAAACATCATCTCAAAAGGCATTGGTTCTCAGTTTTGTCTTCAGGGACATCCTGTCAGTCTGTATTTTTGCTCCAGTCTGGTTCCCAGTACACTAAACAGTGGTTTTCCAAATGGTCCTGGTGTAGCACTGCCCTGCAGTTTAGTGTTTTTCCTGCTCTTAACCTCTAGGCTTATTCTCTTTTATTCAGTAACTTAAAGGAATTATTCAGTAACTAGTAGATCTCCACAGTATATTGTATTATATTGTACAATATTATTATAATATGCCTCAATACTAACATTGCTTAAAAGGCCCATATCGTATGTCCTGCTTAAATTTGATTTTTTTTCCCTTGAGGTCCACTTATGATATTTTTGTGGGATTGTGTTCGAGAAACAGTTATATTTCATTTAACATTACCTTTTAAACCTCTCTTTATCCGTTAGAATTAAACAGGCTGTTTTTGTTACTGTGCCTTTAAGACTGATACATGTTCTGATTGGCCGCCCTGTATTGGGGTACATTCAAGGCTAAAACACTCCTTTTAACTTGGACTCCTTTTAACTTAACTAGCATGAATGGGCTGCTGTGGAATGATTAGGCGGTCATATTTAAATGCATTGGTTTTGGTGACATCACAAAAACAGTGAATTTAAAGTAGTCTGCGTTTGTAGCTTAATTGCCATGTGTGGATCATTTGGACTGGCTAGTGAAGTGAAAGTTGCAGAAACTTTGAAAACATACTACATGAACTCTTGTTTTTCATTAGATGGGCCCTTAAGTCTATAACATGCAAATGAGCATCTAACCAAACCAACTGCTTCATCTTGACCAATCACAGATGTTCTATAGATAATTTTGGAAGAAAGAATGCAGGCCAGTTTTTCACCCTGTCGTAATATGCAGCCCTAGTAATTGCTATGAAAATAATGTATATGTGGAGAGTGAGGAATTCTGGAGAAAGCATGGGCCATTTAGAGGCTCTTAGAGTCTAAATAGGCTAGAAAGTTGAATCAGGCCTGTTACAGTAGGAAAAATGTTAAAATCCTAATTCAGGTGTCGGGAACCAGAACGGAACAAAAATCTCATCCGCCCTCTCCTCCACGGCCGCCCTTGGACAAATTATGAATGTATGTTTGCCCCAACAATAGCACTTAGCCTTGGGGTGCGACCGAATGTATGTACTGCACTTTGGTTCACCGACAGGCTTTTTTTGTTTTGTTTTGTTTTGTTTTTCTTAAAAAAAAAACCCACATGAGTTACAAATGACAATCTATTAAGAAACCGTGTAGTGCCCGGATCTTTAGCAGTATGAAGGGACCAACCTCCAAGGTCAAAAAAGAACTCCATACAAACATTTCTGCACCAACCAGTAATCAAAAAGAGTGCTGGTGTAGTTTTTAATGCAGTGGCTTCCAACCCTGGTCCTGGAGTAGCACTATCCTCCACATTGTAGTGTTTTCCCTGCTCTAACACACCCACTTCAGCTTGTTAATTAGCTGATTAGTTGGGTCTGTTGGGTATTTCACAAAGTAGGATAGTTATCTTTAGTTAGGTGCTGAAGCAGGTGTCCATTTGCTTCTATTGTCCTTTTTTTAGAACAGAAAAACAAGACAAAACTATTGGCCATGGTAACTGACTGTAAAATGTAGATGCAGCAGGTAGAGATTGAAAAATGAAATTAATAAATGCTGTATTCCTTTAAGTTATATGCAGTCATGTGCAAAAACTTTGGCAGCCTTATTCAAATTACTTTTTGTTGACGTGAAGATAAGTAAGCATCCACTACAGGGAACAAACCACTGCACATTTTAATGTACAATTACTGTTTAATTATTAATTTTTAACATAATGGAAGGGAATACAACATAAAATGTGCATTAAATATGGCACATTTTGTCTTGTATGTTTTATTTTTTCCAGTATGGTAAACTCAGCAAATAAAAAGAAGTTGTTTACTGAAATTAGCAGAAAAATGCCATATTTAAGTTCCCTGTAGAGACTATGTTAACTTATTTTTATGATTAGAAAATCAACAAAACATGTTCAAAGCTTAGTTCTAGCTTTACTAAGAAATCCTGCTTTGTGAAATATCCCCCGTTTGTGTTGGAGCCAAGAAAACACTGAAATATGCGAGGCGGGTGTACTCCAGCACCACAGTCAGGATCCACCCTCTAACGTGCAATAAAAATGTAGTACTGTCAGTTTTATATTTCCTCCAAGAATCACCGACCTGGTATGTACCAATAAGGTGTAGGATGTTTGGCAAACGAAGACTTCATAGCACTTATACCACGTGTACATGCTCACGTTCGCTCAGGCACTTGTTTTAGACAGTGTTTGGTGCTGCTCTTTTTCTTTTTTTTTGTTGTTTTTATTATTATTTTAATCGCAATGAGAAACCTCAGTCCCACATCCCCTGCCCCTGTTGAATGCCACTTAAAGTAAGGACGAGAAGAAAAAAAAAAGTATGTTCTTTTTAATTTATACATACGTTTATAGATGACTATTTTAAATAGGAATGTATATAAATGAATATATATATAGTGAAGAAAGAGAGAGAGAGAGAGAGAAATATGGAGGGAGCAAGGGAAAGAGACAGAGCAGGTAAAGGAAAGAATGGAGCACACGGGATTTGAAAGAAAAAGGTGAGCTGGAACTTCAATTAACCTCAAAGGTCAGCTATGGGACTGGACAAACAAACCAGGATGGTAAAAGCAAGCCAGGAAAGAACTTTTCCCATGGAAGAACCTCCACACCTCGCAAACAGGAGTCCATCGTCCAGCTTTTTGAACTCCTCAAACTGAGCTGAGCTGGACGACACCCAGGAGGACATGGAAAGGAGAACGTTGTTGGGGAACCTGCACCAAAACTAGGAAGCCCTGTGCTGGTGTGGGACCCTCTCTGATGGATTGATGAGCTTTTGAGGGGCAAAAGGAGACATTGCTATTTTTGAATCAGTCTGGACTTTAAAATATAAGTGAGACGGATGAAGAGCTGATGCATAAAACATACTTAAAAGAGTGGACTTTCCGTATGTCTCACATGCATACGCTTAAACAAGCACACGACGAGGGTCAGGTTGAGGCCGTAATAGGAAATGGTGCAGTTCTTAGTTGTATTATTTTGTAAATTGTGGCTCCTTCTCTCCTTTTTCCTGATTCTGTGGCCCACTTCCTGTCCCTCCGTACTCCACTTCCTGCTCGTACCACCTCGGCATGACGAAAAAAAAAAAGAAAAAGGTTGACAGAGTTCTCAGCTACCCCCCTGAGTCAGGGCTTTAACGTTGAATTTCGCTTTTTAGAATGATCTGGTACTACGTATGAAATTGTATCCAATTTCTTGAACTCTGTTTTGTTACGTGCAAACTTCAAGGAAATCCACTGGAAACTGAACTGCCTGATAGCTCTGCTTAGTTTAAGTATGCAGAGCCCTGCTGGTTGCATTACTGTTTAATAAAACAATGGTCCTCATTCACCAACCTCTTTTTCTTCTTAAAACCCACTTACGTGATTTTCACGAAGATTCTGACATTCACCAATGTTTTCTTAGTTGGGATTTGTTCTTAGGTATGAACAGAATCTATAAACACTCAAGAGCACAAAATTTCAAACAATTTGGCAGTTTAAGAACGTCATGAATCTGACGTAGACGATTTCTTTCTCAAGAACACATTTAAGAACAAACTTAGAAAGATATTGGTGAATAAGGATGGGAATGGAATCTTAATACATGGCCATGTTTGATAAGGTCTAGGAATGAGATAATTAAGTACTGGCTGTGACCTAGTAAAGCATGGGAATGAGATAATTAAGTTATAATGTGATAAGTAATAGGTAATTGATTAATAGGTAATTAATCGATATAGTAAGGGGTGGGAACGTGATGAAGTCATGGCCATGACTTAGTAAGGTGTTGAAATGAGAATTAAATTGTAGCCACGACATAGTAAGGTGTTGAAATGAGATGATTAAATTGTGGCCACCACTTAGTAAGGAGTAAGTCGTGACTTATAATTAAGTTGTGGCCACAGCTTTGTAAGGCCTGGGACGTCTGTGTACTTGTCTGGAACCAATTGTTTTATATTGTTGAAAATATTGATTCCATACTTTTGAATGTGAACTTAAGTCATGGCCACAACTTAATTATCTCATTCCCCTGCCTTAGTAGATTGTGGAACATGTTTATTAAGTAATGATGTCACCAGTGGGGCTCTGTATAAGTGTTTTATCTACTGAGAAGCTAATGTCTCTCTCGAGCACTAAGAGAACTTGGGTAGCAGGTGATGTCAGTTCAGTCGATTGCTAAGTGTTTAACTGTGATTATTACAATAATTCACACCTTTAGGTCCGTTGCATGCCGTCTCATCATTTACAGAGGCTCACTTTCCCAACAAAGTGTACAGCACGAGCAGATTAACCTCTATATGTGCTCAGTTTTATATTGTTTAATAAGGTTTTTTGGTTGTTTTGTAAGAAGAAAACTGTTTTCCATCTACTTTTTACAGAAACAAGCATCTTTTAAATGTGTCACTCAGGGAGATAGCTGGTCTCTGTCTTACCAGTGTCCTCACTCTGCCGACCACACACACAGTGCACACACACACACACACACACCCTTACACGCACACCACACTTTGCACCGAATAGGAGACCCGTATCCTTGATCACTGTGTCCTGTAGCTATATATATATATATATACAGTATATATTTTTGTGAATGTCAATCACAAAGTGTCAAAGACCTTTCCTCTTTCTTCTAATGTTGTACTACAGGATCTTTGAGCCTGAGTTATATACAGTCAGGATATAAGCAAGAAAAAAAAATAAAAATGAAAGATGGATTTTATTCTCTGATGTACGTTGTTTTTACGTGAACTACATTTGTTGGACTGTAGCCGTTTTTCCATTTTCTGAGTGACTCTCCACCAGCCTGTCTTGTTTGGTTCGTGGTCTGTTTTTACAAAAGTAGCCTAAGCACAATAGAAATACCAAAAATATATATATTTTTTTCCCTTTCACCTCTCCTGGACGTGTTGATGACAAAATGTTAGAACCTCATAACTGAATTAATCTCTCAGTGTGACACATTGTTGTAAAAATGTGCTTTAAGGAATGTAATAAAGTGTTTTTTCTTTTGTACTGAAGAGACACACCTACATTTTTTTAGGTACTTTGGAAATCCTGAAAGTAAAAGGTTTGTTCAGTCACTGTTACAAATTAACTTAGTAGACAAAAAATGAGGGATGGAGAGGAAAGGAGAGGGGTGTTGCAAAATGGCAAACTGTCCTGATCAGGCTCCCCCTTTACCATGGGTGGATTTCTCAGCTTGACAAGACCAACCTTGTGTGATATGATTATTTTATAGTGTTGTGTGCAAAGGCTTGAATACTCTTGGTCAAGTTACATCTTTTGTTGAAGTTAACGCTTCCTTTGCAGGGATCCAGACCTAAACATGGCATCTTTTCGCAAATTTTAGTGCTCAATTTCTGATTATTTGCTGAGCTTAAGATGTAGCAAAAAAGTAAACGTAAAATATAAAACGTGCCATAACTTTTGCCCATGCCAGTACTTTCTTTGTGGATGTGTTAACTTATTTACACTTCCACAAATGTAATTTGTCTCTGGATGCACAAACCTTTGCATATGGCTGTAACTTTAGATTATATTCAATACCTATTATGAGACATCAGGTCATGAGTGCAAGTGCATTACATCCTTATTTTTGGAACATGCATATCATATTTATTTAACTAGTATTTTCCTTTGCCTGTTTAGTAAGAATACATTAGTACAGGGGTGTCCAAAGTCCAGCCCCAGGGCCAAACGTGGCCCGCAGACAGATTTTAATTGGCCTGTGGCTTCTGTTGAACTCTGTGTTTTAAGTGGTCCGCCAGTCAGTATGCTGCAGTTTTTCCTTTCACCTGATGGCGGCACCACAACTGTAAAACAGTGTAATGCACTGCATGGTGGGAACCAGTTCGATCTGAAATAGTTATAGTGCATAGTTAAGAGTCTTTCTTCTTAGACTAGACCTGCAGCTTCATTCACTTAATGACTGAATTTTACAGACCAAAAACATAATTTGCTATTTAGTCAAGACTACAGCCATGAAGCACAAACTTCACACCAAGAACCTTATCATAAGTAACACAGTAAATATTGAGGAGAGGGCAGGGACACTATAGCAACTGCAAGCTATTTTCTTATCAGAGCAAAAATATTGGTTAAGTAAATATTAGCCCTTTAAGGTTAAATAAAAATGTGGCTGTTCATGCTGCTTGATCTGCTCCATTCACTTAATAAAGTTATCTGTAAAGAACCTTATCTAACAAAACTGAAAATGTATAGATTTTTGTCTCATATAACAATCAAGTAACACTTGAATAGGAATACAATTAATACATTAGACGTTTTATTGTTACCCTTAAGCATTTTTTAAATTTTTTATTTGTTATAAGCGCTTACCGATCCAAATTGCTGTGAATAAGCAATCCAACAATAAAAGAAACCTCGTGCATCTTTTGTACAGTGATAGGAAACACAGTAGCACACAGAAAGCCCAGATTCTATGTGCTGATATTTTGAAAACTTAATATTTTGAATCATTTGAGAATAATATGTCGGCCCTCAGGTATTTTGACACGGTACGATCTTGCCCTCTTTGGAAAAAGTTTGGATGCCCCTGCATTAGTAGATCTGAGAATTATTAAATTGGCTATTATTAAATAAATTCCACCAAAATCATTTTTTTCTCTAAATTTTGGCAAAATTAAATGCTTAAGAAAAGTCATTCAGAGTGGTTTGGTTCTACAGAAAATTACTGAGTCAGAATTGTTCATAGTGATGGTGATAAGAACCAGACATCTGAAGCATTTAATGCCTCTAGAAGCAGTCCCACAGAAAATTATCACGCAGTATGTTTATGAATATCTGCCTGGTGACTGACATTGTTTTAGGATAGTTTTGTGATAGTTTTGAGATAAAGTTTTGGCCTAAATACACACTGGTGCACACACCACACACACACACACTATATTGCCAAAAGCATGTGGCCACTCCTCCTAATTATTGAGTTCAGGTCCTCTCCATAGATAAACATCGGCAATAGAATGGGCCATATTGGAGAGCTCTGTGACTTCAAATGTGGGATTCTAAAAGTACGCCACCTTTGCCCTGCTAGATCTGCACCAGTCAACTGTAAGTGCTAGTATTGTGAAATGGAAGCAGGCTAAAGTGCGTGGTGTGTAAAAATCAGTCACCACAGAGCTGCCTCTGGAAACGATATCAGCACATGAACTGTGCAGTAAGAGCATCCTGAAATGGGTATCCTTGGCTGAGCAGCTGAACACAAGCCTATTTGCAATGCCAAGTTTCGGCTGGAATGGCCAGTGGTGGACAGTAACGAAGTAAATGTAATTCACTACTGTACTTAGGTATTTTTTCCATGTATCTGTACTTTACTGAAGTATTTCCATTTTAGGCGACTTCAAAGTCAAATAGCTTACTTTTTACTCCACTACATTATGCGAAATCTGTCGTTCCTTTTTGGCTTATGTGTGTATAAAAACGTAACGTCAAAACAAAAGAAGCGTGAAGCAGCACACCAATCAGGGCACAGCGTGCTTTTTGTTTTGAGCTTGTTTTGACCTGTTGGACAGTGCAAGCACTACCCAGTGTAAGCATACGGTTCAACGTCAGTGCATCAGCGTAAAATTTTGGGAGTGTCTATTCCTACATAAATGATGGAACTAACCTAACTTTGTGTAAATAGACTACAATATAGAAATATGTACACATATTCAGTTGTGACTGGCATGTGTCTTTTTTCTGAATTTATACAAACACGATTTCATTTTATAGTAAATTTGTTATTGCTAGTTTATGTTTATGAACAACCCTGCCTTCCACCCAATGACAACTGGGATAGGCTCCAGCACCCCACTGCGGCTCAGAAGGATAAGCGGTTTAGATGATGTGTGCGTGTTTGTGTGTGTGAACAGAGACCTACAGATTCAACATAGTAAAGGAAAACTCATTTGTGAACCTGTGTTTAAAGCAAGTTTTTATTAAACTTAAACTTGTAACTAAGTTGCAAATAAATCTTAAACAGCAAGCAAGCAAAGTTTATTTATATAGTGCTTTTTACAACAGGTGTTGTCACAAAGCAGCTTTACAAAGAAATCCGGGTCCAAGCCCCCATGAGCAAGCCAGAGGCGACAGTGGCAAGTAAAAACTCCCTAAGAAACCGGAAGAAACCTTGAGAGGAACCAAGACTCAGAAGGGGAACCCATCCTCCTCTGGTCGACACCGGATAGTAAACATTGCTAGTATAAAGTATTATAGTACAAAAAACAGGGAAAACAGGTGGAGCAAATGATTGATTTGATTAGTTTAGTTCATGCAGCAGCAGCGTCAGCATCAGTGGGGTCAGGTTGTGAGGGTGAGGTTTGCACGACGAGCAGTGGCACCCGATCAAGGCAGAAGAGGCAGCAGCATCAGAACGCACAGGATGGGCAGCTGTTCAACTCGGCAAAGAAAAGAAAGAAAGGAAAAACACACAGAGAGTCAGTTCTGTAATGGGTGATTGATTAATTTGATGAGTTTAAATGATTGATTAGTTCATGCAGCAACAGCAGCAGCATCTGTGGGGTCAGGTTGTGAGGGTGAGGTTTGCACGGTGTTGTACAGCAGGAGGCTCAATGGTGGTAAGCCGGTCCAGAGAGCTGGCGAGCAGTGGCACCCGATCAAGGATTAAACTGAAACTTTGCTTGTTTGCAAAAGGTTATTTCACAGCCACTCGGTTCTACCTAATGGAAATTGTTTGCCTTCAGTGTTCTGGGCTTATGATAATTTTAATACACATCAGTGTCAGACTAATTAATGACATTCTATTAAAAGACTGGTTTACCGAGAGTGACACTAGAGTATTTTCACCTACAACGAGTTAATGAAACAAGTGTCTTGTTACAAAAATGGTAATAAGACATTAGAGTCATAATTAATCTTTCAGTACTTTTACTTTTGATACTTAAGTACATTTGAAGGCAAATACTGTGAGGACTTCTACTTTTACTGGAGTAATATTTTACCTGGGGTATCTCGAACTCAAGTACATGATTTGTGTACTTCGTCCACCACTGGGAATGGCACAAATCACACCACCAGTGAACTCTGGAACAGAAACGTGTTCTCTGGAGAGATGGATCATGCATCACTATCTGGCAGTCTGATGGACAAATTTGGGTCTGGCGGATGCCAGGAGAACGCTACCAACCAGACTGCGTAGTGTCAAGAGTAAAGTTTGGTGGAGGAGGGATAATGATCTGGGGTTGTTTTCAGGGTTTGGGCTCAGCCTCTTAGTTCCAGCGAAGGTTAGTGTTAATGCCACAGCAGGTTTAGAGACAGGTTTGACGAGTTTGGTGTGGAGGAATTGCACAGAGTCCTGATCTCAACCCACTGAACACCTTTTGGATTAATTGGAATGTCGATTGTAAGCCAGACCTTCTCATCCAACACAAAGGCCTTTTGACTGAATGGGCATAAACTCCCACAGAAATCCAAAATCTTGTGGAAAACCTTCTCAGATGAGTGCAGCAGGCTATATGCACAATGCATACGTACATCTGTGTGTGTGTGTGTATATATATATATATATATATATATATATATATATATATATATATATATAAAATCTAAACAGTAACCCAAAAAAAATGAAAGAAACCGAAGAAAGTCATTACCAGTATCAACAATACATATAAAACCTCAGAACACACGAGTCTCACCGCTCATTTCGGATAGTAAATAAAATGCCTATATTGTGTTGTAGACATGGTGACCCCTGGTTCCTATCACCACCACTTTAAAGAAACCAGTGAAACACTTCACTTTAAACCACTCTGAATGGCTTTGTTTACATCTCAGTCACTGAATTATGCCACAACGAAACAATATCAATTTCAAAGCAGTTTGGTAAAATCGTGTGGGACCTACTTGTGAGCGAAAGGAGTGAAAACGTGTGACCCGGAAGTCCGGGGGGTGTTGTTTCTCTCCGTGAGCAGGAGTTGGCAGTGCTGGAGGAAGAGAGACTTTTCTGGAGTTGTAAAGACCAACAGAGATAAAACCGCAAAATAAAGCCACAAAATACAGCTCATTGTCACAAAAAAACAGTGAAAAGCCGCCGCAAAGATGTCTGTCGCTGGCTTGAAGAAACAGTTTTATAAAGCTAGTCAGGTGAGTCATTTTCCTTTTCTAACTGGCCGTTTCGGTTCAGTCGGAGTCAGACGACTCAGATTCATTCCTGGGGTAAACAAATGTGAGTTAACGTCAACTTTTGCTAGTTTGCGGCTCTGGAGAGTCCCAAAGGATAAAGTAACTGTGAAAAGTGCTTGTTATTTAGCCTGTCATGTACCTGCTTATGTTCTAGTTTTCGTTTTTAACCCGTCTCGCTTCATGTGAGAAACGTCTCTTCCCTCAGAACGAGGCTGCTGTTGGATTTGTATTTGATTTTTCCGTTCCACCTTAAATGGTGCAGCACTTCCATTCTGGCGCCTCACAGAACGCCATAGTGTTACTGTTACTGCTGCACAATTTAAGGTGGAACGGAAAAAATCATACAAGAACCCAAACTCAGATTCCCCCTTAAGTTGAAAGATTTAACGTCGAGTTAGGTTACAGTGCTCGAAATGTACATAGCTGACCAACTGTAGGCTGTTCGGAATTAGAGTCTGTTTCCTGTAACACTGTAATGTGCTGTAATCTGCAATGCTTAAGTAACAAGTTGTTAGTAGCATTTAGCAGACATGCCATCATTATACCCCCCCACCACCCCCACTTAGTTTTGGATACCAGCACTGTTTACTGCTTTGTGTGCAGTTGCTAACCTACCTTGCCTTGTTTCATATAAGTAGAATAGTTAATCTCTGTTGTTTACTTTAAGTTGTTTGCAGGTCATTTTTACTGCCACGTCATTGGGTCATGTTTAATATACTGTCCTCAGGCACATGCCATTGTACTGAGTACCCACCACAATTACAGCTGCATACTATAAAGGGGAGTTCCACCAGGTTTTCAAAAAAATTCTACACATTTCAGCCATTAAGATATAAACAAAGTCATTCATGGTGGTTTCCTTTGAAATGGTGGTTTCAAGAGAACTCAGGTGTCTTCACAGTGGTTGTGATAGGAACCGGAGGTTGTGATGTCTACAACACAAATATAGCCTTTTTACTGTCCAAACCACCAGAGAACTTACAAGTCTTCTGAGTTTTTATGTGTAATGTCAATGATGGTAAAATAGTAGTAAATCTTAAAACACTTTCTTCTGGGAATATTTTGCCTCAAAACGCCCTGCTTGGACCCTTCTGCCATGAATTTATTTTACCACTAAGTATTAGTCCAAAACCTTCTATAACTATTGTAAAACAGAGTCTCGGTCAATTTATTTGTTAGCAATTCATCTAATGGCTTTCTGTACGGGAGCTTTTAGAGAAATTAAACCGCTTAGACTGTCTGGTTACTATCACCACTGCTGTGAGGAGTTCTGACTTGGCAAGTCTCTCTAGAACAGAGTATTTCACATCAAACCACTCTGAATTACTTTGTTTACATCTTAAATGTTTATTTAGGCAGAATGTTTGAAAAATTGGTGGAAATCCCCTTTAAACAAGAGAAAAAACAGAAAAAAAAATCAAATCACAGCAAACAGACACTAAAACAGAATAACTGTAAAAACTGCAGAACAGCAGCCTAAAAATGATTATGGACCTCAGTGACCCGGTGTAACCCCAAATAAAGTCATTACCTTCAGAAATATGGCAAATATGACAGGCCTGGCATTTAGACACTGCTGATTACCGAAGTCATGTAAAGAAACACAATGTAGTGAGCCCGGAGTGTAGCGCACCTGAGGGACATAAGGTTATCCTAGTTAGTAGTGAAATTCAGTGTCACAGTTACATTACATTATATTAAAGAAGTTAAAGAATCCATGCAGGGCAGGCTCATGGTCTTGTGTAATCACTCTAATAACCAGGTGTTTAGGGGCAAACACAGTATTTTAATACCATTGCCACAACATATTTTAGCCAGATGAGCCTCTCTTACCTTTCCCTGTCAGCCATGGAGGTTTCAGTGTCAGGGCTAGGTGACTCAACCCTTTTAAAGTCTAATTTTGGAGCAATACATTACACTGTTACCTCAGAACACCATAATAGCTCCTTAAGGATTTAAAGATAGACACTAAAACAGAGGTCTCAAACTCGAATTACCTGGTGGCCACTAGCCCGGTAGTATGCTTGTATTTTTGCTAGTTGAAAAAATGCCGGGAAAAAGTTTTTTTTCAGTATGAATTTTATCTACACAACGTTTTTCATCTTACATTTGACCCAATATTGTAAAGTTAAATATGAGAAAAAATATTCCTTATTTCCCCCCCAAGTAGGAATTTTTACTACAAAACATGTACATTAGTTTTACATTAATCTTAATGTTTATTAGCACTTTGTCTGTCATGACAAACCACTACTGCTCCTACTGCTTCTACTACTAATAATACTAATATTAAAAATAAACAAATATATTATTATTATTATTAGTAGTAGTAGTAGTAGTCGTAGTAGTAAGAGTAATAGTAGTAGTATATATATATAATGCATGAATACTTAACAACACATTAACATGTTTAATAAATATTTTAGTGTTCAAATAAAACAAGTAAACTCATATTTAACCATAGTATTATGTGGGATACGGGTGAAGTTATTGCGAGTGAAGTGGTTAAGTCAGTGTATAATAGACAATAGGGTTTGTTATGTCTACTGCTACCTCATGAATAAATCCACAGACAGATTTAACTATGGGTCTAAATTAGAATAATAGTTAAATCAATTATAGCTAAATTACAGTCTTGCTCACTCAGTGTGCAGATTTTTTTTTAAATGGTTCCTTTTGTAGCTGTGCTTTATTTTTACTTTTAACACCATAAGAATCAGCTTGAGCTGATTTTATATAGCTTATGTTCGGTTACCAGCCACATTGCTTGGTGGGAGAAGCAAACCTACCCATCAGATTTCAGTATTTAGACACAGAAAAATGGAAACATTACTCCAGCAGGATTTTTGAGACTCCTGCGCTAAAGCTTACAAATCTGTATGGTCAAGTTGTTTTTTCTCTATAATGGAAAGCCACTTGTATATGGTTCCTTTGAAAACATGTTTAAAAATTGTTCTTTTTAGCACCAAAAAGGGTCCCACTGTTGTTTAAAGAGTCAAAAAAACCTTTTCAGTATGATATAGAAGCCTTTTTGCTAAGGGCCAACTAGTAAACAGTGATTAGACTGTCAGCATTCTCCATTTTATTCTAAAGCTCACATCATGAGTTTAATTCATGACTCTTCTCATCGTGATGGTAACAGCAGAGAATTTTTTAGGAGTTAGTTAGTAGTAGTGGTTAGTAGTTAGTTGAAAATAGGTCATCCAATTACAAAATGCTGCAACAGTATTGCCTGTTAGACTACAAGAATTAACATGGCTTCATGCTAATTTAATGTCATTATTTGTTTTAGCTACATGGCACTAAATCCAGTGAGTTAACAAAGGAAGACTTCACTGTGCCAGTCTTAGGCCCAGTCCTGTTTTTTACTCCTTACCCCTACCACTTAGCCCATGGCTGTTTTTTAGAGGCACACGCCAAATAGAGTATTATAAGAAAATTAGAAAACCGGCAAAATGGCTGTGCGAGCGACCAAAGAAGCCCACAAATGTAAATATTTTCTCTGTTAAAAGATTATGATAAACATTTGTATTATTTTAGTTTAGTGTCTTTTCAATGTATTATGGTCCTTTTCTTCATGACAAGCATAAAAATCACTACTAATATGTTGATGTCTTGGTAGCTAGCTAGCTAAATTTGAACAAGAAGCTAGTGAATATCTGACTTCAGCTTCATATCACAGAAGAATTAGGGGTGGGTGATAAATAAGTGTACCACCCCCCCTTTTTAAGGGCATATGATTCCCTAAATGTAACTAAAGCCCAGCAGTGAGGTTGCTGAACTTTACCCTCCTCTGCTGTCACTGCAGACTGGCCAGGGTCACCTACAGAGCACTGTTAGTAGCCTGTTAATGAAGCTGTGTTTGAGGGTTGTCCCATTTCGTAGAGGAAGATTTCAACAACTACCCCTTGTTACTCAGTGAAAGGTGACACTCGAAACCAAGCGATAGGGTAATGAATAAGAAATGGGATTGGGCCTTAGTGACTAACCTTGGAGCAGATGTGTCCTATGTTATTTTTGATTCATGTGATCCATGAATCCACACTCTGTGTCTTTAGTTTTGCGTTTGGGGAAAATTTCCTTCTTGGGTTATGGATATCAGATTCATTTTTACCACATGCAATATTGCGGCATATCACAGTGTTCTGAAAGCTTGTCAAGAGGTGTCCATGTTTTCTTTGCTAAGCTACGACAGGACAGTCAATGACTTAATCTCAAATGAGTCTCTTGTTCTTATGTAGTGCACTGTGTAAGTCATGATATCATGGCTTCCACACACAGTAGTGCCATACATGTTAAATGGAGAGTCATGGCACCCTGTAGTCCTGAATGGCTTTCTTTTGGACATATAATGTATTATTTGGGTGAGGAAGCTTTTAAATATGATCTACATAGTGCACTAGATGGGGAGCAGGGAACCATTTAAGATTAATGCCTTAGTTCACAGGTTTTTACAACAGGTGGTGGCATGGTTGGGGTCGGCCTGAGCAACGTCTGTTGCATTCTTTAGCCAGTTGCTGCAGTTACAAAAGCACATTCACAGATAAAGTGAAGCACTCGACCATCAAGATCCTTAGAGATGATGGAATAATTTGGTACATTTTTTTGTTCTAGGCCTATATGGATGTGCTGGGCATGAACCCATGCTTCCTAAGTACTGGTACTAGAATAGACAGACTTCTCTTTGGCCTTGTTCAGAGTGTGATAGTGAACGTGTGGTGTGCTGTATTATCCTGTATATTACAGTGCAGAGTCTGTCCTTCATGAGTCTTGAGCACTAATCACTAGTTCTAAGAGTGATGTCTTTAACAGAAGGGGTCCACCCTGTAGGTGTGCCCAGAGCTTTGCTGATAACATGTACCAGCTTTTCTCTTCTAATCACTGGATGATCGTCTAGAAGCTCAGCATGTACAGTCGTATGCCAAAGCGAAAGTTTAGGCACGCTTAGTTAAAATAACATGTTTTGTTGATTTTCTAAGTGAAAATAGGTTAACACATCCTCAGCAGAGATCACACTTCTGCACATTTTAATGCACTGTTACTGTTTATTTGCTGCATTTAGCATATTGGAAAAAATAAAACAAAAGTTATGGCACATTTTATATTTTATGTTTTGATGTTTAACATATTGAAAAAAACTCAGCAAATAAGCAGAAATTTTGCAGTAAAATGCAGAAAAAGCCATATTTAAATTGTTCCCTGTCGATTACAATATAGAATTAACAAAAAACTCTTGAGGAGACTGTGTTCAATGTGTGTTATATGATGGATATAATACTCATTATCGGTCAAATACGCTGCTTAAAAAATTGCTAAAACGAAAAAAATTAATATCACATTGTGCCAGCATAATTGGTATAGATGGCATATCACCCGGCATTAGGTGGTATGATTATAATATGTTAAGTCTACTTTCTGTAGAGCATGTGAGAAAATAATCATTTAGAAAAGTGTAATTTGGCTGACGGCATAGTTTTAGTCTGCTTCTGGGATTTCTTGTGTAATGCAGTTTTTCCATTGCATCAGCATTGTACATATCTGGTACATAGCCTTGTACATGAAGTTCGTCTACTGTTCGCTTGCCTCCTACTCATTATTTAGGCCATTTGAGGGAGAGAACGTTAACTTGAGAATATATATATATATAATATATAAAAAAAATATTGCAATACTTTAAGAAATTTTTATGATACACAAATACGTCAGCATATTTATTTTTTCAGACATCTGATAATTTGGAACAGAGAAAAAAGAACAGTGGTGCTATATTTCAGAAAATACTCTCAAAAACTGTGAACACAATGATTTGTATTCAATTGTATTCAATTTTTGGCACTAAATCTAGTTAAACAGGACTAATTTTGCTCTTTTTGTAATGAAATATGCAGTTGATGAGAGTTCTACAAGTACTGACAATATCCACAATATATTCAGAGAAGCATATTGCATTGTATTGTGGCCTACCATATTAAGACATATATATTTATATTGTTCAGCCCTACTTGAGACCTGTAACAATCATTGATTTTTTTATTCTAGTATTAGTAATAAATGAAAGAATGGCGAAGTACACTGGTATAAAATTCAGACTGACTGTAGGTTTGAATCTCGACAGTCCCAGTTATAACACAATTTTAATTTAGCCTAGGTTTATCTGGAAATGATTTGGCAACAACTTGTTTCTAGATAATGATTTGTGATGTCTTCACAAAGTACAACACATAAATGAAATACATTACATCACAATTACTGCCAAAAGTTTGTAAATTGATATTAATGTGGAAATCAAGTGAATTAAAAGGCCCACATCATGAACAACCAAATATTTTTCAGATATGCACTGTGTCGACAGTTTAAAGTTTATAAAGTCCATATATGAAAACTAAGCTGCAACAATGGCCCATTTACAAACATTTAACCTACAACAGTTTAGCTGTGGCAATTCCTACTGACGTTCTAAACAGTGTTTCAGGTCAGACTGCATTTTAAATGAGGCACAATATAGGGCAACCAATCAGGACAGAGGACATTTACATATATCAGTCATATATCAGTATCAGCGTTAATTTTTTTCCCAATATGTTAAAAAATGTAATATTTAAGTATTTAAATTTTCACTTTGAAAAAGAATAAAACATGCAATTTTACCAAGGGTGTTTAAACTTTTGCGTGTGATTGTTCATCTGCTTGTTCAGCCTACAGCAGTTTAGCCCTGCCCATTCATGCTGAAGTTGAAAGTCAATGTTTCAGCCCGAACTGCTTTTGAAATAAGGCACAATACAAGGCACCCAATCACAGAGGTAATTTACAAGTATCAGCCTATAGGGACCGACATGCAAATTGTGAGCCCATACAGATGTACTATGCATGTATGTATCTGCATACATAAACAGAGAAATAGTACATTTGTTTCTATAAGGTTTACAAATTCAATACAATTATTAAAATGGTGATATTTTAGCACCTAAACATTCTGCCCTTTAAAGGAGTACAAATAAGTACGTCATTATATATGACGTTCGTATGTTTGAATATAAACTTCTGTAGGCTGAATAGGAAAATATATGTAAATTATTTGGTTTTTCATGTCATCACCGAACCATTGAATTTAAAACACGCCGAATTTCTCTATATGGACTGTGTGGACAGAGGAGTCAACAGTACATATTGAAACCTTAACAGTGTTTACAAACTGTATTGAACAAAAATTTAAAAAAGAGGAAAAATTAGTTTTCTGTGATTTGGGCCCTTCAATGGCACAGCCTGTTTAATTCTAAAGAGAGGTTGGAAAATGGTCATTTAACCCTAAATTAAGTATAAGTATAGAATCTCACACAAGTCGCACCCAAGGACTCCTTGTGATAAAAATAAATACAAACAAATGTTGGATATGGGCCCTTTAAATCAGTTTTTTTTTTCCTCAGTGTATAAAGCTAGGTCCAAATCAGCAAAAGCCAAACTTGCTTACACATGCTTTGCTTGTAATGTTCAGAGGTGTTGCCATGGAGTACGTGACTGATCCTTTTGTGTCAGTCTGAAATGAAATAAAAGCTGCAAGGTCATTTTGCATGCATATCTGTTTAGCAGGTATTCACATTCTTGAGGTCTAATGCAGAGATCCAGTTTTGTGGCGTAACCCCTCTGGTGGACAGGTATGGGGATGTAATGGAACACAGCTGGAATCCTGTCTGACAGCTTTGGATCTTGGCATTGCGCAAGAACAAAGCATAAACACACACAGAGTGGCTGTATTTTTCCATGGCGGCCCACAGCAAAACAGCTGAAATGCAAACATGGATACTGCGCTGTAGTACTGTCTCAATGTTTGAGTAACAGGTTTTTAAATGCGGCAGTAAACCAGGCGCACTGTGGCCACGTCCCAACGTGAGTCAGAGGAATGACATGGCAGAGGCTGTTACCCTGCCAACGCCTGGCCTACGTCTTCTGTAAAAGCACCTGATATGACAAGCATGACATTTAAAGCCTTATGAGTTTTGAGTGTGTGTGTGCGCGCGCATGTGTGTGCTTGTGTGTGCCTGTGTGTGCGCGCGCGCGCTTGTGTGTGCTTGTGTGTGCCTGTGTGTGCCCGTGTGTGTGTGTGTGCACGCGCGCGCGCGTGTGTGTGCTTGTGTGTGCCTGTGTGTGCCCGTGTGTGTGTGTGTGCACGCGCGCGCATGTGTGTGTGTGTGTGCGCGCCAAATAAGACAACTGATCTATTTAGCTTGGCATTCCATGAATGCAGCTTCACTGTAAGCCCCCAGGCATATAAGAAACTAGTTAAGATTCTCTTCTCTTCTCTTCTCTTCTCTTCTCTTCTCTTCTCTTCTCTGCTCTGCTCTGCTCTGCTCTTCTCTTCTCTGCTCTGCTCTGCTTCTTGTCTTTTCTTACCTTTCTTGTCTCTGCTCTGTTTTTCTCTTCTCAAGCCTTTGCTTGTTATCTACTCTGCTTATCTCTGTTCTCTGCTCTTCCCTTCCTTCTCCCTTCTTTTGTTCTTCATGATTCTTTTTATGTTATATACATAGGCTGTGATTCTAGAAGGCATTTATCACATCAAAGTCTTTTGAAGTGGCCTTTATCTCAGTGTTGCATTAGTCTTCTTGTATGTGCGCACATATTAGGTGACCGCACTGTCAGTATAGATAATAAAACATTTTATAGTCTGTTTTTCAGATTTAATAAAAACGTTTATTAGGCAGATGAAGTACTCAGATACAGAGGGCCATAACAACACTCAGAATTGTCCCTGATTTTCTTTGGCCGTAGGCTGATTTGGGTATGTTAATGCTGTCAGTAAATGGTAAAATATGCACTGTTGCAGCCTTCTAGGAGCTGAGCTCTTTGTGTTAGGCATGGGTATAAGGTTGAACACACATACACACACTTTCTAAGCTGCTTATCTTCCTGGGTCACAGGGGTGCTAGAGCCAATTCCAGCACTCATTGGGCAGAAGGCATGAAACACCCTGGGAACGTCGCCAGTCCATCACAGGGCAGACACACAGACATATACATACATCCTTCTTGTTGTGAGGTGACAGCGCTACCCACTGTGCTGCCCCACTATGGCTGATCGATGAATCATTCATATATATTGAAAAACAAATTGAAAAACTGAGTAGTCTAGCTGGCAGTGCTGTGCTACAATAGAGCTGGTGTTTAGGAGAGTGCTCCATCTGACTCCGTCTGTAGGCGGGCCCAGTATTATGCCTGCTACTGATTCAAGTATAATTAAAGGTATACCAGTGTGCACTTGAAAATGATGCAGAATACAGGAAAGTAGGTCAAGTTAAATTTATAAGTGTATTTATCTTTTCAGAAATTAGTGAAAATATAAGTTTTTTCTTGGTCACAATAATACAACACAAATACAATAACAACGGGGGAAACATACTGATATAATGATGGAAATGCTTTGCGTAGTATTTGGGTCATCTTGTGTTATTTTTTACTGTTCATATGTTTACATCTCCTGTGAGCATGATATGTGACATTTGATAATGCAAAAACAATTAATTCAGAATGTGTTTTTTCATGATATGGGCTCTTCAGATTTATCAGATAAATAACAAAATAAGTGATACCTTATGTTGATTTGTTTCCAACACTACAGTCACATATGTTACTGAACAAAACTGCCCATCCTATCAATGTGGCGTGCACGGTTTAATTCACCTATTGGCAGGATATGGCCAAGTAGTGTTAGATTATGTAAATGAAGAATTTAAAGTGTTTAAAATTAGAGAATTTATTTGTTTTCTGTGTTATAGTATTGAAAAAGCACTGAACATTTGATGCACTAGTTTAAATGTCAACCCACGTGTTAACACAGCTTCATCCTAAACTTAATTTGCATGTTTCTGCAGATGGTGAGTGAGAAGGTAGGAGGAGCAGAGGGCACTAAACTGGATGAAGACTTCAAGGATCTGGAGCGGGTAAGGAGCAAATTAGAAACTTTTCCAGCAAAAGATACTGCATTTGTAATACCCACAAACATAAGCAGCATGCAGTCTCATCTGTCTATACATATTGTAGTCCCCTTGCCTTTTATGTGCCCCTCCAAAAGCTGTGAAATTGAGAAGCTTGTTGTTTCTCGGTGAGATTTCTTTCAGTATCACAAAGGCCTCCTTTGTTGCTCAGTAGTGAAAAGCTGTAGCTGTATTGGCAATGTTTAATTTGGTTATCATTTGAACGGGACTTAAGTAACCTTACATGTGCACACCTCTCTCCCTGCGCTGTGTGTTTAACAGAAAGCTGATATCACTAGTAAGGCCATTGTGGATGTGCTGGCCAGGACCACCGAGTACCTGCAGCCCAACCCAGGTAAACTCTACACAGGAAGCTCACATAAAAAAAAGCTCACAAAGCAAGACTGCCTTTGATTCAGGCTTTCAGGCTTATGGTGGACACTCCACACCTAGACATTTTATTTTGGTACCAACATCTGCACATATTTATTCAGTATTGTCATTATATGCCGTTACCTGTACATATCTGCACATATTTATTCAGTATTATCATTATATGCTGTTACCAGTGCCTCCTGGTACAGTCATCAATGCACTGCCACTTTCAATTTCATGTCAGGTTATAGATCTTATTCCAGATTGGCGTATTTTTCTATTTGTATATATGCCTGTAGATAGGATTTTTTATATTTATTCTTCCTGTTATATTGTTTACACCCTTATTACTATTACTGTCCTGTGTTGTCTGACTGCTACTGGCTGCTAAATTTCCTTCGGGATCAATAAAGTATCTATCTATTCATCTATCTATCCATCTATCTATCTATCTATCCATCCATCCATCCATCCATCCATCCATCAGCTTGACTATCTATCTATCTATCTATCTATCTATCTATCTATCTATCTAATCTTTTAGTTTGTCCATCCAGCCATCCATCCATCCATCCATCAGCTCGACTATCTATCTATCTACTATCTATCTATCTATCTATGTATCTATCTATCTTTAAACTAGAGTGCATCATTTGTTAATTGTTACTGTGATATTGACCTTGACCTGGCAGGCAATGCTGATGCAGTACTGATATCAAAAGTGTTCTTTTTGGTGTTTTGATGAATCAAACTATTTGTGTAATTTAACAAAAGTAAATAAGTTTGGTCTAAACTATAAAGAACAGTGTGTAACCATGTATCATTAGTGCTTCACTGTTTTTAATACATTGCCGTCACAATATAATCACAGTACAGTATTTTTTCCATATAGTACAGCCCTGCTTTGAACCCAGTCAGACTGATCTTGTTTGGTCCTGTTTGGCAGCGTCTAGGGCCAAGCTGTCCATGCTGAACACCATGTCTAAGATTCGAGGGCAGGTCAAGAGCACTGGCTACCCACAGGCAGAGGGGGTGTTGGGGGAGTGCATGGTCAGATATGGCCGCGACATGGGAGAGGACACCAACTTCGGTAGGACAGACTGTGTGTGTGTGTGTGTGTGTGTGTGTGTGTATATATGTGTATATGTGTCAGTAAGAGCATGTAATAGAGGAACAGTGGGAATATAAGGAAGTAGGCAGTGTGTGTATTTGTCTGTCTGGTGAAAGAGAGGAACTAGTGAGAGTGTGTGAGTCTGTTGGAGGGAACGCTAACTTTGGTAAGAGAGGAAAATTGTATGTTTGCATGTATTTGTTTACGTTTTTGTTTGTGTGGGTTTGAGTTTCCATAAGGGCATTAACTCTGGTAGGATAATGAGAGAAATTACAGTAAGAGCAGAAGGGTCAAAGAGATAAAAGGATTATGTAAAGAACTACATTAAATATAAAGCTGAAAGAATATTCAGGTTATGTGTCAAATACTTTAGCATTTTTCTGATATGTGTTGGAAAAATGCCAGAGCTGTATCTGACTTGAAATTGAAATGAAATTGGTTTCTGTATTGAGGTGTAACAACACACAAGTAACACACATTTCACAGTATTGGCATTTTTGCATTATGATATAAATTAGAAGAGAAATGTTTATTTATTTATGTGTAATTTTCTAGACATTTTTTGTAGTTTCTGCTGTTGTCCTAAAAAAGACGTCAGGGCTTTTCTTAGAAGACACAAGAACAAGTTGCAGTAACAGCCTCTGCTCCTCTGGAAAGGTTTTACACTAGATTTTGGAACATATCTGTGAGGATTTGATTGAATTCAGCCACAGGAGAATTAGTGAGGTCAGGCATTGATGTTGGATGATTAGTTCTGTATTACAGCCGCCACTCCAGCTCATCCTAAAGGTCTTGGATGGACATCCAAAATATGCAGTTCCTCTACTCCACAGCCCAATGCTGGGGGCCCTTATAACTCTCTAGCCAACACTTAGCAGTGAGCATGGTGACTTTAGGCTCATGTGTGGCTGCTCCATCCCATTCTATTGGTGATGCTTTTCTGTGGAGATTATACAAGGTGTGTCAGTAATGGGTGCACCTTGAAGGGTATGAATTCACTAAATAGAAGGGGTGCCTGTAGACTTTTAGATGTAGTATATATTCAGGGCTGTCTTAATTTCACTGTGAGGGTTCACGTGTCCTCTGGTTTGTAGGTGGCGCTCTTGTTGAGATGGGAGAGTCTATGAAGAGACTTGCTGAAGTTAAGGACTCTCTGGATATTGACGTAAAGCAGAATTTCATCGACCCTTTCCAGACCATCGTAGACAAGGATCTCAGAGACATCCAGGTACAACCATTATAGGATTTAGGAGGAGGGAGATAAAAACCGAGATGGATTTGAAGTCACTGTAACTCTTGACTATTGACAGTACACACAGTTTAGTATTGTCATGATATCACATCCTTTTTGATAAAGTATGTGTTGCACCAACATTGGATTGTGGATCTCTAGTGGATACTACAGAGCTCATAAATTATTTTTTGTTTCCTGACATTTACAGACACCTCATGATAATCTAAAAATAGAGTAATGAATCATCGTTCTGCCTCTCTCTCTCTCTCCCGCTCTCTCTGACCTCACAGCACCAGCTAAAGAAGCTAGAGGGCCGCCGGCTGGATTATGACTACAAGAAGAAACGTCAGGGGAAGATTCCGGATGAGGAGCTCCGCATAAGTCTGGAGAAATTCCATGAGTCTAAAGAAGCAGCAGAGATCAGCATGCACAACCTTTTAGAAACTGATGTGAGTATGGCCAGTAGCAGGCCCTGGCGTAGGCTTTATGGGCATCGAAGGAAGTTACCCAGAAAGGCAACTTCCGAGGGATGGCACTGGCATATTCCTCTGTGCATCCGCCATCCAGCTCCATTACATAGCCCCAGTTGTTGGTTGCGGCTTGAGGGCATCAAATGAATGTTTCCTTCAGCTTATCTTGTTACACTTTATTGGCTATCAGCTGATATGAGAAGCAGGATTAACAGGACTAACCAGTTATAATTATCCATTCTTCATGTGAAAGTAACTTTCAGCTAAAGTGCCCATATTTGGATTTTTTTCTCTTTCATTTGTTTGTTTTCATTCATTTTTTTTAATTTATTTTTTGTTTTCTTCCAAATGGACAATGAAAAGATAGGGGTAATTAAAAGTTGCAGATGATTTAATCAAAACCATGATTTGTAAACATATTGTAGGCTCATATGTAAGTAAACTTTAAAAACTGTAAACCTTTGACTTAACTTTAAAAGCATCATAGTAAAAAAGTACTACTAAAATTGTCAAGTATGCATCCTTTTGAGTGCTCTGGGTAAGAGTTAAAGTTGAAAAATTTACCCAGTTTCCCCCCTTACCTCAAATGTACTCTATGAATACAATGATTTTCATTCAGCATTTCACACACTGGCATTGAATAAAATTAAACAGTTTTGCTTGCTTTGTAACAAAGTATGCATTCGATGGGTGTTCTTTAAGTACTGTCAGTTAGGGCTGGGCAATTTGACTATATTTTATCATATTGTGATAATTTATGTCACAAAATATGCTTTTCTTAGCATTTAGTGGATAGTGTTAGTAATTATAAACACTGAACAGTGGCATGTCTGATTACAATGAGAGCATAATTCTATTTAATTGGATTTAGTGAAGCGGTATGTGAAATGTTAATTAAAATCACTTTCTCATCTTTTTCTCAAAAAAAACAAAAAAAAACAGATTTTGGCAGCATTTTTAAATATGCCACTGATGCTGCATTTTGTCTTTTCTGACTTACCAGACCCCAAAAAGCCAAATATATAGTATTGTATTTGTATTGTATTGCATTGGTACTATAGGCCTGGTTTTCTGGTCTGCACAACCAAATACAGCATATCTGCTGCTGAAAATGTTACATATCCTGTCACATCTGCTGAATTTCCTCGGTCTCATACCATACTGTAAGAGTTCTCACAAGGGAATTGAGACAATATCAGGGGACGTTCTCATTCCAAGCCAATTAGATAACAGCCCCGCCATCTGCCTGTCATTAACATATGCCTCAGACACTCTAGAAGAAAAGCAAGTCTGGAGGGAATGTGGATAGAAACATATATACTCTTGAAATATATTTCAGTGTTTTGGACTTTTCTGTTTGGATCATCTGGGTGAGATTATTTAATGCAGTAAGAAATTAGAGTATGTATTCAGCATGTCTGAGTGAGAGTGCTGGTCTAGGTTCAGCTGTCCGTGTCATCTGTCCTTCTCCATCAGAACATGAAAGGCAAAAAATCATCTACATCAGCATTCTTATTCTGAAACATCAGATAAGTCTGCAGTGTGATCTGCAAGTTAGACGATATAGCCAAAAATCTTTTTTTCTAAATAAGTAATTATCAGTAATTATCTGAAGTAAAGAAAAGGCTCATTCTGGTTATTCTCTTTTACCTCAGATTTCACAAAACCAACCCACTTCCACATTTTTTCCTTGTTTTAACTGTAAACACTGTAAATAGCTAACTGTGTGAATTGTGTAACTATCCAGTTTGTGCTGTTGTGAGCAGGGCTGGGACTCCATCCTAAAAAGACTCGAGGTGTTTGGGAAAGAGGAAGGTTGCAGGAGTAGACTCCTGATTCCCAAACATCTCAACTCTTTTCAGGAGCAGAGTCAGGTTCAGGAACTAGAGTGCATTTTATACATTATTCTAGTGCAAAGTTTACATTTTGTTTGTTTCTACTTTCTTCAGAGTAAATAGATTAGCTGTTTTATTTAGGAGTAAGTGGAAAACAAAGTAAAATGTAAACTTTATCCTAGAATAGTGTACAAAATGCACTCCGTTGATGTTTTTCACTTACATTCCACACTCCAGTCTCACAGTCTATATGTGGAATCTAACCTGCAGAAACAGGTCAATTTGGGTCTCTGTTTATGTGACGTCACCAAAACCGATGCATTTACATATAGCCTGCAGCAGTTTAGCTCTGCCTATTCACATTAAAGTTATGTGAAGGACTGTTTCATCCCGGACTACTTTTTATACACATATATATATACACATATAGCATAAAAATCATAAAAAGAGAAAAGATATAAGATATGGGCTCTTTAAATTGCTGCGTAAAGATGCATATGTGAAAGGGACTCATTTCTTATTCCTATTCTTAGGATTTCTGGAATCGAACAGCCTTAGTTGTGAGTGAGAACTTCTTTTCCTGCCTGTCTAGCAAGTAATAGGTGCACATCGCCACCTAGTGTACTGAAGTAGCAGTTGTTGAAAGATTAGTGTTTTGCGTCTGTTACTGGATTGAGCTTCGAAGCATTGAAAACATTGAAAATACCTCAAATGCTTATTATTAGTGGTAAAACAAATACTAATTTTAATAATTGTTGATTATTAGTTTATTATTTGATAATTCTTGATTACTTGATTATTGACATTTCCGTATTTGTTGTTTTATCAACCAGGCCCAGGATCCCCAGGCATCTCTGACTTGACCTGGAATCATTATTATTATTATTCATTTATTTATTTCATTTTTTTAAATTTATTACAAAACAGATCCTAGAAGTATTACTTCTTTAATGTGAGTTATACACCTGGGGATGTGGATGTGCTTATACCCAGGTGTGTATTAATAGAAGCTAAATGACTCTCAGTGGAAACAGCTGGGTTTGGGCACAAGATCGTGTTATGTAATGAGCAGTGGTGTGTGTGTGTGTATGTGTGTGTCTGCTGCCCCTCTGGCTCTTTCTGGAGCTGTGTATTAGCTGCTCTCTCAAGCAGAGTGTAATCTGTCTGGAATGAATTGCTGCCAGCTCACTGTAGAGACACCAGCAGTGCGAGGGGTGGGGAGTGGGCTGACAGATATGTTTGGTTATGAAGCATGGAAATTTTACTAAGGTAGTACGAGGATAGAGAGTTTGTTTGAGCACTTTTGCAGGGATGTAAGTAATGTAGCTCAGTGTAACCAAACAGCCTACAGTTTTACCCTATCTCTGTCTCTTAGAGGGCTGGTTATGGAAATTCACTACTCTTATGGTACCAACTGAACTACTGCAGTACCACAGAGTATTAAAAATCAGTTGTTAAATAGCAAATTTCAGTACCCTGTTAGTAGGGGTGGACTAATAAATATGCTTGTTCTAAAATCTAGACTGGTGATTGGCTGATAAGTAAAGGTGGAAATCGCTACACACCCCACAATATGACATTATAATGTTACTTGGGCCACAGTCTGATTGTGTTGTACTATTTAGTGATGTATGATATGCCAAGTATTGCTGCATTTTACAATGTGATTTATTACTTTTGATCGCAAATTATTTCTCTACATATAAATAAAATAAATTTTTTGGTACTATATATATGAAAAAATATATATAGATATATAAAGCACATCCTCTACAGGGAACTTAAGTATGGCATTTTTCAGCAGATTTCAGTGCACAATTTTTGTTTTTTCATATTGAAAAAACAATAAAATATAAAATGTGCCATAACTTTTGAACTGGACAAATTTTACGTTGTTTTTTTTAAAACAAATTTGTCAAGTTCTGTAAATAAACAGTAATTGTGCATTAAAATGTGCAGAAATGTGTTGTCTATAGAGGGTGTGTTAACTTATTTTAGAAAAATGTCAAATGTCATTTTTTTTTATTTAGGAGTCAGTATTGAAGTCAAAGTATCTGAATGATGCCCAGTCCTAATTTTGTGTGTTCTCACACTCTGTGACGCATGTGTGTTTGTAGGTGGAACAGGTGAGCCAGCTGACTGCTCTGGTGGAGTCTCAGCTGCAGTATCACAGTCAGGCAGTGCAGGTGCTGGAGGAACTTTCTGAGAGAATGAAAGACAGGTACAGGATTTCGCTCCCCTTTTTTTATTTTCACCTATTTTTCTTTAGATCGTTCCTCTTTTGCATGTATGAGTGGACAACATGACTCTGTGTGTGAAATTAATTTCCATATATGAAAATTTAAATATATTTTGGTCCATGTGTTTATTGAGCCTGTGTGAGCGCACATCTGAAGAACTGTCTTAAATAGGTGTATTAAAAGAGTATCCAAAAGAATATCTACTGTTGTCACCATATATCATATCTTCATTGTAGATAAATTTAACAAAAAATCTACATAGTGCAGCTTTAAGAGGCCGATAACTGACAACATTAGACACAGAAGGATTGATCGGCTATGTATGTTTTACATCTTTTATTTCTTTATTTATTTTTATTAATTATACTTTTTATTTATCCTAATTTTTTCTCATTTAGTAAGTTACTATATTGATGTAAAGTTAATAGTTTATTGATTTTTATTTATTTATTTATTACTATGATTATTATTACTTTTTAGCATTTGCTATGTCTTTACTATTTAACTTCTCAATCCCTGAGCTCTGTATTGGCTCGGCTACATTGATGATGTACTCCGAGTTAAATAAAGGTTGATTGATTGATTGGTCTTGGCCGATTTTCGGCCCAAATATGCGATCAGCCAATCTTTCTGTGCTTCAGACGATACTGAGAGCTGATCAGTGACATTTTTCCTGAAGTAGATTACATATTTGGCTGCCATTTTCCTTTTAACTCACTGTGTGAACTGCAGGTTTTAAACACGGTTTGTTGTCAAAGCTTCGAGGATTAGTTTCTGTTAGCATCCAAGTGCTAATCTTAGCTTCACTAAGCTAAGCTACACTAGCTTCATGGCCTACGGCTTTGGCAGGGGCCAAAAGCCATAGGCCATGTTTGTGATGGCTAATCCCAACTGGTTAGCTTCACAGTAGCAATTGTAATGACAGTTTGCACTGTGTTTTGCCCATACAACGTTTGCGAAGGGTTTTATGGCCATGAAGATCTAAAGTGTGGTTTGCCTTGGCAATGCGCATCCATGAATTTTTGGGTTGGAGCTTCTGAAGGAATGCTGAAGGGATGGATGTATTTGTTTTGCTGATCGTGCTGAAAGGTGATCAGCAGTCAGTATCGGTCCCAAAACCACTGATCAGTCCATCTCTAGGTAACACTGGCTGAAATTATTATATTTATATTTTATAATATTATATTATATAATATTTTTGCAGATATCAGTTAAACTGTGAGTCGTCAGTGTTTTCTTATATTATCTGCCAACTGGTATATGGGTTGGGCCCTAATCTCACACCCTTGTGGCTGATGTGGCAATAAAGTAGCAGTAACTTGATCCCTCATGGTTGTGTATATGCGTTTGTCGCAGATTGAACAATGCTCAGGCTCAGCCACGTCGGAAACGAATGCCCAAGCCGGTGCCCAGCTTTGACTACTCTGACACTGAACCCTCCAACGGCGGCTACAGCCCAACTAACATTCCCCCAGCTTACTCTTCTTCAGGTGAGCTTCACCCACACGCTTGCACCAGTATAGCACAAGTACAGCTCAGCCACCTGGCTACACCTTTATTCCTGTTCACGTGAAAGTGATAATGAGCACTACTTATGCCTTTATTAGCTTTACACATATGCAGTACTGTGTCAGAGACCATTCTACATTTATTCAAATTCCAGTTTATACAGCCATTAAGTTATTCATTTTTCAGGAGGTATTTTTAGGAGGTTAGTTTCCAAAACTCATAGTTTAAAAATGATCAAAAGATACAGAGAAAATGGGACTCCTAACAACCGTGCAAGAGCTGGTAGACCCCCAAAACTGCCCCTCTCAGATACACAGTACTTAAAGCTTTCACCTTTAAGAGAGAGGAAACAATCAAGGTCCAGTCTTGCTTCAGATCTGAAAAAATCCAAAGGTGTTTCTGTCCATCCTTCCACTGTAAAGACAACTGAACACTATGGGTCTGAAAGGATGTAGCTGTCAAAAAGCCTCACTGAGAAAAGGAAAAAGACAAAAAAAATCTGCAAATCAAGTAAAGAAGCTGCTAGTGTTTTTTGGAACAATGGAGTGCCGAGACCTCAACATCACTGAATGTGTTTGGGGTCGTGAAAAGCAAAAAATACAACCAACTTCTAAGACTGAACAGATTTCTGTGGAAAACTGAAAGCCAGTCTCCTGAAAATAACAGAAGCTGCAATAAAGACAAAGGGTGGACACACCACTGAAAAATTTGATATCTTTCCTGATGATGAAAATGAATAACTTGTACTTAATGGCTGTTTTGACTGGACATTTTTTAGATAAAAAACAGGATTAACCTCTGACCTACGGCATCAGGACCAACAAAATTGTGCTGATTTTGTGCTTTTATAAACGCTACACGTTTCATTGTTTAAAACAGATAATATATGTTATATATCACACATAATATATGTTTTTTCTTTGATCTTTACAGCTCCTTCCCTGCCCAACCGACCATCTCTACGTCAGAAACGGCAGTGTGAGTCTCTCATGCACTCGTGCAGTACATTCACCACCATACAGTTCCTTACGTACATTGTCTATCATTGTCTATCTATTAGTGGCCTGTACAAACTTACATTCATTACAACTCTGCCAAGAAAATAAAATAGAACAACAATTCATTTGCCACTGATAGCTAGTAATAGAAACTTTTTTTTCTCTGTCTCTGCACTGGTATCCATAGCGACGGACCAGCCATGCTGCAAGGCTCTGTATGACTTTGAGCCTGAGAATGAGGGTGAGCTGGGCTTCAATGAGGGCGACATCATCACGCTGACCAGTCAGATCGATGAGAATTGGTACGAGGGGATGATCCGCGGCCAGCAAGGCTTCTTCCCCTGCAACTACGTGGAGGTGATCGTGCCCCTGCCCCGCTGAACTCAGGGGTGAGCGGAATGAGGGACGTGGAGAGAGAAAGAGGTGCATTGGAGACAAGATGGAGGAAACAAAGTCAAAAATAGGGAAAAACAGATGACAGGGATTTCAAAACAGTATAACAGGCCATGAGACACTACAGTTTGTCTCGTTCTGTGCAATTTTACAGTTTCTAACACAACCCTCAACTAAGAACACTGCTTTTTTTGTTTTTTTGGCAGTTGAGGGTTACTCTCTCTAAGCACACTACCAAATCCTGAACTCTTGCCATTTCCTCTTCACTGAGTAACTCATTGAGTAAGGTGTTCAAAGATTTATATTGTTTTTTCATCAAATCATTTATTTTTTTCTGAAATATGTTAGATATGGGGATATTCTTTACATTTATAATCATTATGTTTTCCTGCTAATTCAGGCCATCTCCCACCTTCATCGCTGCATGAAGTAGGGGGTTTTCTTTACTGCTTATCTGAATGGACCTCAGCTTTTGCAAATACACATGGCTCCTAGTGGCCATGCCTTGATATATCACAGCATATTCAGATTAGGCATTTCGCTATGAAACCGATACCGATCCTGATGAGTCTGAATTGATCAGTGCTATTTGCTCTTTGATAAGAGTGTTACACAGTTGTTTTGAACATGCTAGATGTATTGCCTGGAGCGTGAAGGTCAGATCGTTATTAGCCTTCTCTCCCACTTGACCTCTGCTTATGTCTGCACCAGGTTGGGTTTTGCTTTTGATTTTGTTTTTGGTATTGCACAGACATCCCTGTATTTGTTTTTACTTCTGTTACTGGCAAACCCTGCTTGTCAATGCTTGACCATTCATTTTAGCTAGATTAGCTGATTCCTTTTAAATGGTCAGCTTGATTCGGCTTTAACAAATAAGTTGGGACTCAACCTTTAATCTTTGTTTACATCGTGCAGCGGTCAACGGGTAGTAAGAGCCTGAGGTAGAATGGTGAAATTGACAAACGGTGTCGAAAACTAACTGCATCCAGTCTGATCTGTGGCCTTTTATGTGTATACAACATAAATAACATTAGAAATTAATAAATGATAAGTAGTAATTAGTTGACCTGTCCATGCTATGCCTACTAAAGCATACTCGCATAGCAACTGTTGCAAGGTTGGCCAAGCTTTACAGAAGTTTAGCAAAAAACAGATTCGAGCTAATGAGAAATTCTATCTATATCTATTTGTCAAAACACCTAAACTGTTCAAACTGGACCACCACAGTGTTAATGCTGTTTTTCCACTGCGCAGTACAGTACAGTAAACCCAAACCCAGAACTGATTGTACCCTGACTATCTTTGTAGGCAGAGTTCTTGTTAGCTTGTGTGATCACATGATTTCTCATGAGAATCTAGCAGTAAACAGTGAACACAAAGAACAGTAGCAACAATTGAGGAGCTTCAAGCTCTGATTTACAGATAGCTAATCTAGCTAACTATTTTTTTTTTGTTTGTTTGTTTGTTTTTTAATGGTGGTCACCTTAAACAGTCAGTGTTTTTCACCATTTCTAGCTCCGGCCAAACATTCCAGCGTGTTTACACTTAGTACCATGGCAAGAAGGGAAGCTCAGCATGTGTACAGTATGGTTCACTTGGCAGTGGAAATTATGACAAAATATGTGAGCATGGATTTATAGCCATACTCTACCATACTGCCTCATGGAAAAATGCCATTAGAGTCACTACATCATGTTTAAAATGCTACACCACCAAGCTGAACCATGTTGCTGCGAATCAAAACTAGGCAGATTGGAAATGACAACAACATGCTAGCATTATTTTGATTACCTGACAAAAAAAATAGAGACCACAAGTTGCTACAAAAGAAAGCATTTGTGGGCGGGGCATGGATAGGTCATTTACATCTTGGTGAGGATAAGAGCTCAGAGTTGCACTCTACCTCTCTACAAAGGGCCTCATGCTAAAAGGAGAGAGAGAGAGAGAAGGGAGAGGGAGGCAGTAAGTGAGAAGGTTATTATATACCTCCATTATCTGATATCATGTGTCTGCAGGGATGTAACAGTTCCATAAAGGGAAACTGAGCTTTTGTCAGTTTTATTATGATCCTCTTTTTAAAGGGGAATTCTACCAATGTTTTAAAAGTTCTGCATAATTCAGTGGTTAATATATAAACAAAGTCATTCCGAGTGCTTTAATGGGAAATGCGCTGTGGTCGGAATTGTTCACAGTAGTGGTGATGGGAACCAGACGTCTGAAGAGTTTAATGCCTCTAAAAGCTCCCTCACAGAAAGTCATTACGTGAAATGGTCATGAATGCGCTGTCTGATACCTGAGACATTGTTTTGTGATGATTTTGAGATAAGCTTTTAGCCTAAAAGGCATTTAGTCCCCAAAGAAATCTTTTTTTTTTTTTTTAGATTTAGTACTATTTTATCATAAGGAACATTACATAAAACATCAGAAGACCATGTAGGTTCACTAGTTGTGTTGGATAGTGAATACAGTGGCTGCATTTGTGTTGAAGACATTGTAACCCCTGTTTCCTATCACCACCACTGTAAAGAAATCAGTAAGGTTCTCTACAGTTGAACCCTGTCGCATCAAACCACTCTGAATGACTTTGTTTACACCTCAACCACTGAATTATGCAGTAAATTTGGAAAATTTGGTAGAATTCCCCTTTCTCTCTCGTCCTCTCTCTCTCTCACACACATACACTACTTGTCAAACTTGTCTTTTTTCATGGTATGTGTCTCTACAGAACACTATCCACTCCCCATTTCTTCCTCCTAGTTTAGGCTAAAACTGCTTCCCTTCTCATGTAAGAGTTAATAGTGAAATTATGAATAAAAATCTCTTTCTATTCAGAAAAGCACAAATATATAACTTAAATTTGTGTGAAAGAACAACTTGCTGGTCCTAACAGTGTTTACATGTTTTGTTTTTTTTTGTTTTCAGTGTCTGTATGTTGTCTTGGCACACTGTGTTAAAAAGCAGAGCTGAGTCTGTCACTCCACTGTTGTGTATGATTTTGTAGGGTTTTTTCACCTGCAGTTCCTGAGACTTTTCATGGTTTCTAAGTCACAAATGTCTTGATAAATATGATGAATTGACTGAAGCTGCGCTACACTATGTGTCCAAAAGTTTGTAGACACCTGCTCATTCACCATTTCTTCTGAAATTAAGGGTGTTAATGGGGTGCTTGTCCCCCTTTGCACCAGATGTTGGAACATTGCTTTGAAGATTTGATTGCATTCAGCCACAATAGCACAGACACCACTCCAACTCATACCAAAGTCATTGTATGCTCCATCACTCCCAAGAATGCAGTTCCACTGCTCCACAGCTCAATACTAGGGGCCTTATACCCAGAGTTCCCATTCTAGTGACTGTACTTTTCTTTGGAGATTAAACAAGGTGTGTGCAGAATGTCTGTGTCAGTAATGGTGCACCTTAAAGTGGCTGAATTTCGCCAATTAGAAGGGGTGGAAATTTTTGGACACGTAGTCTGTGAAATTGGTTCTGCATGATAGCAGATGAAACCTCACTGGCTTATTCAGCCAGCCAAAGAGGAACTGGACTTAAATCAGGGGCTATTTTTTCAGCTCTGGGTGGAATTGACTCGTCCATGCTCTCCCCATGCGTTCTTCTGTGTTAACTGTTGTGAAGTTGGACAAGCTTTGCTTAACGTTCAGCTTAGTGCAGCAAAATTAGATGAGAAAATCTTTGTTTAGAGTCTTTACATAACTTTACGTTTCTGGTTTAAAATGCTACATGACTCAACTGGATTGTGTTATTGTAGATAAACAAAGCTACAAATTTGTGCATTGCTCCGGTTACACAACAGAATAAAACAGTGTGACTTTCTACAAGCATACAAAATCAATATCATTTGAAATTAAAGCTGCCCTATGTAATATCTGGAGATTTAGAGACCTCTCTGGTGGAAATGTGTAACTGCACTCAATATGCAGAAGCACGTCGGTTGTGCTTCAGACCCCTTCCCCAAGCAGATGAATCTGATTATTGTGAGTGCATTGAAAGAGTATTCAAAGAGAATTCAATCAAATCTTGAGGAACGTGACTTCTGAGGATGTCTACTATCATATCTTTATCAGTATAATGTTGATTTTGCATCTGAGACCTAAAAATGGAGCTGGACCTTCTTTTTGAGGCTGTGTGTGTGATGTTAATTTGTAAAAACATATATCATGGTCTGAAAAGCTTGTGAAATCTGACCTGACACCTCTGACTTTTTACTTCAGGCCTTACAGGGCGAATCCCAGCAGCACGCCACATTTTAGTGTATTTTTTCCTGACTCACTAGTGCTACTTGTTACTTCATTCTGTTTTAAAATTTATTTTGACAAGTTTATGCACTATAGTTTCTCATTAGGTAGTATTTTGTCCAAGGTTTTCTAAAGCTTGTCCAAAATAGCAGCAGTTGCTACGAAAGAATGCATTTTTATGCAGAGCATGGAGGTCTTTTTTGCTGATCTAGGACCGACTCTGCATATCGATGCTGTTGGACCGAAACCTTGTATTTCCCAAATGATAACTTTACAGGAGAAGGAAAAAACATACTTTACTTTTAATGTAAGTCAATGGAACCAGACATTTTTCCAAGCAGTTTTGGGCTTTTGTTTGGTCCTTTCATGTTGAAATTTACACGCAATATAAAGTTCAGTAGGTATTTTCAAATTATGAGGTTTTGGTCCAACAGCAGTGATATCTAAGTGCAGTGTGCTGTCATTTAGAGACACTGCAGAGCTGTTCTTAGATCAGGAGCAAACAGCAGCATCTGCTTGGAACCATTTATATGCTTTTTTCACAATAGCTGATATCCTTCATCTGGTTTAATTACATTTTCTCTTTAAGTCCAGAGAGACTTCTGTCCAGTGGGCACTCTCCCTCCACACGAAAATGTACCCTTTTGTTAATGGGCTTTTAATTAACCTAATGAAATCAGGTGTCAGTCTTCTGCGAGTGGCCTATAAAGACATGCATTGTGTTAGTAGTGTTGGTTGGTCATTCGCTTTAATATAGAGCCACAGCACTCTCAGATTATCCAGTCTAAAACTCCTGTGTGTGTGCGTTGTGTGCGTGATGTGAGGCGTTTGTGTAGATATTAAACTACGAAACCAAATGTCATGTTGATATATGGGATTTACCAAAATGCAATAGCTTTATTTTAATACAGTGCAAAGACAAAAAGAGGCCTAATGGAAAACTATGGAACATGGGCCTAAAGTAATACTTTATAGCTTTATAATCTGTTTTTGCAGGGCTGCGTTTTGAAATCGGGTTTCATCTGTGATACGTTTCAGGTTTTGAAGCCTTAACAAAAATCTGTACCTGTTAATGTTTGTGATGTTTCCCATTGTTCCAAATGTACAAGACTAAAAAGATTATATTTTCATCTTAAATAAACAGAAAAAAGTCTGTTCTCTTATCATTTGCTTATTAAGTTGTTACAGATGGAAAACCAACTTTCCCTGGTTTTTGATATTTTGAAATAGAGCTTTTGAAATAGATATTAAGCTAGATATAATTATAATAATTACAACTTCTCCTGGCACTTTTCCCACAAAAGTGAGAGGTGATGGGCTGTAATGCCTACTATATTTTATATAAGGACAGAGGGAGACAACTGTAAAGCCGTAATGAACCAGTCTCATTTATGAGCTTCTAATGTGTATTAATTGTAACCCAACCATCCAATTTACAAATACACAGCATTCACACAAACATCATATACAACTGATAAGTCCTTTTAACAAGTCTCTTGACTTTGGTTAAGCCAGCAAGTTTGAGTCTCTTTCTAGAACAGAATCAGACAGCCTTCCCCTGAGACTCCAGCGCTGTATGCACACACTTAAAAAGATGGTTCTTCAAGGGTTCTTTAGTAAAGAAAATGGTTCTATATAGAACCATGAACACTCAAAGCACCCTTTGCATGATTAAAGGCTTCTTTGCATCGTGAAAGTGTTCTTCAGATTACTGGAGATTACTGTGTTTCATATGGTTCCATATAGAACCTTTTTGAAAAGGGTTATATATATCACCAAAAAGGGATCTTCTACTGTTACAGGCTTAAAATCATAACAACAGAATAACTGTTTTTGGTGCTATATAGAACACTTTTCAAAAATGTTCTGAATAGAACCATCTATAGCACATTCTTTATTAATCTGAAAATGGTTCCACATAGAACCATGAACACTCAAAGAGCCCTTTGCTTGAATAAAGGGCTCTTTGTGTCGTGAAGGTTTTCAGATTGCTAGAGAATGTGTTTTATATGGTTCCATATAGAACCTTTTTGAAAAGTGTTCTATATAGCACCAAAAACAGTTATTCTGTTGTTATGAAATGTTCTTCTATCATTTCAGTCTTGACATTGTAACAGTAGAAGAACACTTTTTGGTCCTATATAGAACCCTTTTCTAAAAGGTTCTGTATAGAACTATCTATAGAACATTCTTTATCAATCTGAAAATGGTTCCACGTGGAACCATGAACACTCAAAGAGCCATTTGCTTGAATAAAGGGTTCTTTGCATCATGAAAGTGTTCTTCAGATAGAGAACTGGAGAATGTGTATTATATGGTTCCATATAGAACCTTTTTGAAAGGGGTTCTATATAGCACCAAAAAGGGTTCTTGTATTGTTACAGGTTCTACATAGAACCATCTATAGCACATTCTGCATCAATCTGAAGAACACTTTCATGATGCAAAGAACGCTTTAATAATGCAAAGGGTTCTTTGAGTGTTCATGGTTCTATATAGAACCATTTTCTTCACTAAAGAACCCTTAGAGAACCACAGGTTTTGAAGAGTGTACCACAATCGCCTTAATAAATGTGAGTAGTATTTCTAGTAACTTATTTAGATTAAACTGTGTTTAATTTTGGAAACTGCCATTGTTCGGTTTTGTAAGATGTGCTCTATATACGTGAAGAACCAGTCTGGCTATAATGCACATGCCCACAGAAGCCCTAGTTTTTGATCATGTTCGTTCATGGGCTGCTCGTTTTTCTCAATAGAGCTCATCCCCCCAAATAAGGCATACTTTATGCTCTAAATGCCTTAAGGGCACAATTTAATCGAGGTCTGCCATATTGGCCTTCCTAAATGTGAGCTGTGAGTAGACTATTGTCTGTCTGTGTGAGCTTTCTATTCGCCTCAACGTTTTTTTTTACCCCACCTGTTTCCGGCCCCTCTGAGAAGATTGGCCAATCCCAGCACAAGGGGCTACATTGACCGACAGGAGGCGAGGTAACACCAGCCAATCCCAGCGTACAGTAGGCGGGGCTTGTCTTAATACGGGTGGGGAAAAAACACAACAACATCCCCCTCGCCGTGAGGAAGGCGTGCCGTGTTCTTCTCCAGCAGCCGCAGTCCAGCAGTGGCGACCCACCGAGCTGGCCAGGCTTATGGCGACGGCACCGGTCATGCCTCGACCCGGCGGGACTCGAGCACAGCTACCGCCCTGCTACTACGAGGGATATCTCGAGAAACGGGGACCCAAGGAAAAGGTAGTGGAGCCATATTTTTTGTCTCCTCAGACTAGCCTGTGCTCACCGGCATGTCGCTTCCATTGCACATGTATGTGTTCCCGTGTATTGTGTGGATGGGCGAGGCGAAGCGGAGAATGACAGCTGGCTAGCGGCTCCTTCGTCGGTGTAGGGCGGCTAAACTTAACACTTCAGGACCGCTGACCAAAATACGAGACGACTGGAATCGTTTGAAGCAGCTGGAAACTTATTTTGGTGCTCGTTCTTGCTCAAGTTAAGGCTTATTAGGTCATGACAATGCTAGTGTAACAGTGCCGACTAACCAGCTGTGTCATATTGTCTTTATACAAGTTGCAGTGAGCTTGATTCTCGCAGTCAGGGGAGCTGGATGGATGGACACACCTTACTGCAGATTACACAGCTATTCACACAAGTTTATATTCCTGTTTTTATTTCCACTTATTTCTCTGTTATTGTAGCTAAATGCTGCTGTGGTACCCCTAATACAACCTTAACTTTACCTCAGGAACCAAAAGGCAAATCTTTTGGCTCTTTCACTTATTCAAACAAAAGATAATGTTAATAAAAAGACATGTTTCCTCATGGGAACTGGCCAAAAATATGGAAGACCATTCCTGCCAGGTAGAAGAGAAGGCCTACTTCTTTTTCTCCTTCTGTATGGCAGCAGTATGTCAAAACTTTGACTTAGTATCTCTAAGCATTGACTTATTTTCTGGAAATTTTGACTTACCGTATCCAAATGCTTGCAAAATTTGACTTAGTATCTCAAGTATCTTAGTATCTGACTTTTGTTCTTGAGATTCAATGTCGAAATGGCTTATTTTCTCAAAATTATGACTTGTTTGGAAATAATGACCTTTTTTTGAAATTGTGACTTCCTATGTCAAAATAATGAGTTTCAAGAAAAGTACTCAAAGATTTCAAGATGAAGTGATTTCAAGAAAGTAAGTAAGGAATAACTCATTAATTTGAGAAAATAAGACTGTATTTTAACATAGTAAGTCAAAACTTTGAGAAAACAAGTCATTTTCTTTATAATGTCAACATTTTTGACAAACCAGGAAGGACGGAGGAAAAAACTTTTTTTCTGCTTTACCTGGTGGAAATGGGCTTCCACACAAATATTCCCATGGCGTCAAAACATTAATATTTTATATCCTCTAGTTTTATGTGGTCCAAACAAGGAGATAAATGTATGACCAGAAACTAGTGCTGGAGGATAATAATGAAACCAAAAAGATCATGGTATCCAAGAATATCACGGTCTGTATTACATAATGTTCATGAACTTGCTCTGCTAAGAGTGTCAAACCCCAAATAGCTCGTTTTATATGACTGTTTTGCTCTGTTCAAAGGGATCTTTATTATTGCACAGTATTATAAATGTTAACCAGACAGAAAGTACAATTCCAAAAATTAAACCTATGATTTAATTACTTTTGAATGATTTTACTGATTTAATTATTCATTCAGTGAATGCCATTCACTGCAGTTAACTGTCAGAACCTGAATACAATAAGTAAAACACACAAAATTGAATTAAAAAGCTAAAAACAATCTGCTTGGCAAGACTTAAACTGCTAAGTTATGGGCATTATGTCATAGATATTGTCATTTATGTCTATCGCTGTAACTGAAAGGCAGTATCACGGTATTTTAGTGCCACGTTATACCAGTGTAGACTATAGTACTACCAGACACACACAGCATTACCAGACACACACACTATAGAGATAAATCAGTCTAATACTAATTAACACCTCTACAGGCCATGAATGTCCCTGTGTCTCATGATCGAAGCAGTGCACAAGATATTTTGCGCTGGTTTTGTCACATTTATTTATGGATGACTCATTTGGTGTGTAATGTGATTTCTTGGAGCTGCTCCATGGGGAATTTGATCTTGCCAGCTGCAAAGTGACACAATCTGCTTTCATAGTTCTGTAACAGGGTTTGTTTCTTCACTCCTGAAATTTGGTGACAGCAGCGTCACTGGAATGATGGCTAGTAATGTGCAAGGGTAGTCGAGTACTCGGTTAAGTGTTCGAGGTCCTAGTATTTGAAATCCCTACTCGGTTATTCTTTGTTTCATCATGAAGACTGAGAAAACAGAGGCAAACAATTCACATTCATGTTTCAGCAGTGCTGTAAAATGTGGCGAGTTTGCTCGAATTTGTGAGTATGTTATGTTATACTTATCAGAAACAAGAGTGCCTGAATGTGAGCATGTTGCCAAGGACGTGGCTATTGCTATCAGGGCTAAATAAGTTACTTTAGTTGATGCTAGTTAGGTCCAGAAACAGTGAAAGTATATTTCTCTGACAGACTAATAAGTTTACACAGCATCCATCCACTTAGGTCAAAAAGACCACATGTAATAAGACAATAAATTCTCATCAGGATCCAGTGTCACCGTTTAGCTGTAGTTTTATCCCATTAGCTAAACTGAGGCAGCCCCTATTATGTTGCTCATCTGACACAAAAACCAGCCGATTTCAATAAAGATGTTCAATAAAGCTGTCGGATATCATGATGATGACGTGAGAAGCGTTAATAAAATAGTGTGCATCTGATTGGATATGATACAAGTACAAACATTTTTTTTCTGATATAAACACAAATATATTTAAGCAAATAGCGCAATTATTGTGGACACGATAAAAATAAAATACGATTCATCGTGCAGCCTCACTGGCAAAATTTTCTGTCACAGTGATTTAGGCCATCAAAATATCCTACCTGTACTTTCAGTGCTGGTATTTTTTTCTGATAAACTGATTTAGGCTGTCAAAATATCCTAAATACACTTTTATGTAGGGTGCTATATATAAATCTGCTCTGTGTTAGGACATTTCGACTTGGTAGGATAATTCACACACTCGTCACCGAAAAAGGGTAAGCCTAGTCCTACATTAATTTCAGCTGTTTTCATTGCTGTTCTTTTTTCTTTCCCCATGGTTAACTGATTATCCGTTCATTTACCCTTTACGGGTGCTCGAGTATCAAAATTAGTCAGAATGCTCATCCTTACCCTGCAGACTGCAGGTCAAAGCTGCATCTGGAGACGTGTGACATGATTTATGATTAAGTGTTTGGCATCAGCTGGCTCTTAAGTAAACTGTAATGGGGGGAAAATGCAGAACAAAGAGAGACGGACGTAAAATTGATATTCCGAGGGGACTGAGGTTCAGGTGCAGAGGGGCTGTATGCGCGTGTGGATGTTTGTATGTATGAGTGGAGGGGGTGTGTGGATTTGGGACAGCTGTGCGCTGTGTGTGTGTATGTGTGTGTGTGTGCCCTTGGGGGCAGCAAGCTGCCATTGAGCTGCGGATTTGGCAAGACAGGCTGTAGAGAATTAGGAGAGTGCAGAAATTACAGCCCTTTCGCCTCACAATCAGGAGACGAGCAAGCCAGATTAAGGGGGTATGTGTGTGTGTGTGTGTGTGTGTGTGTGTGTGTGTGTGTGTGTGTGTATCAGGGGCTTGGCAGATGATGAGACGATGGTGATGAAACTGATGAACGCTCTAAATGCAGATAGTGTGTTGGGGTTCAGTGTTCAGTGCGATTATTCTAAAAGGACCACATGGAGAATTAAACAGGAGGTAGTCTTACAAGCCAGACTTCTTATCATCAGAGAGTCTGGTGTGTTCCATAGCTTACTCTGGCCAAGAACCGCAACCACTTTACCTACTTTAACAGGAATGGGCCGTTTGACTGACATGCAAGATAGGCAACCACAGATTGTGTAGGGTGGGGATGGGCAATCAGGGATATGCATTGCAACTAATTTTGATATTCAAATAGCCATAAAGGTTAATGGATAAAAAAAAAACCAATGACCCAGGACTTAAGATGAAATTAATTTTGGGCTGCAGGCTTACGAAGCATTGGTATTGCACAAAAATGAACAGCCGAAAACATAACCCCTACCCGAGTGGATGAATCTGATGATTGCGAACTCATTGAAAGAATATTCAAAGAAAATGGTGTTAAAACTTGATGAAGGACGTGTCTTCCGAGGACATAAGAGAATTATCTGCTCTTGTTATCATATTTTCATCAGTACAATAATGTTTTTGCATTTAAGATCTGAACGTCGAGCCGGACCTTCTTTTTGAGCCTCTACTTGTGATGCTAATTTGTAAACACATATGGTCTGAAAAACTCTCACGACATCCGACACGACACCTCTGACTTTTTACTTCAGGCTTTACAAGGCGACACACAGCAGCATGGCATATTTTAGCGTCTTTGTGCCTGACTCAGTAATGCTACTTTTTTACTTTTAACAAAAAAATCTTTAAGAACACTTTCTAAATTTATAAAACTATTTTGACAGCAGACACCATATTTTGTATTATTAGTACTTAAAGCACACTGACCTATTGCATGTTTCATTAAAAAGGGATGAATACAAATTGCACACTTTTTTTTAAAATGTATAACTGTTGTTGTATTTCTGTCTGTTCCAACTTATCAAACTTTCAGAAAAGCTAAATATTGTGATACGTATAGAGTATTGTAAAAATGTCTCTGAGAATCGTGATATTGTATTTGTGCTGCATTGCCCTTCCCTACAGTTGATTTTTAAAATGGTGCTACAACAAAAACAGACCCAAATTGGTGTTGGTGAACACATGATGACATCTTCCTATGCCTGAAAGCTTCTAAATGCTTCAAAGAATGTTCTTGAATAACTTTTGAGTAACTTTTGAAGATGTGATTCCACGATCTGCTGTCGGAACCAAACCTCATATCTCCATTTTTGTCGATTTGTACTTTTGAAAATGCCAGCTGACTTTTACAGTGTTCCAAAATTTCTTGATGAACAGACCAACAGAAATGCTCCAAAGATGCTTTGAAGAAAATCTAGTTTCCTTAACTTTCATTCAAAATTAAGAATGTTTTTCCTTCTCCTGTAAAGTTAACATTTTGGACATATGAGGTTTTGTTCTGACAGCAGAGATATATAAGTTGATGAAGTTGTTGTAAGTGTTAATGTATTGGCATTGGCAAATATGTACATAAAAATACTGTATATCTGCATTGGCCCACGATTCCTGTATGGTTGCATTGTTTCATTTTTTAAGCAATTCAATGCATTCCACAATTATATATAAAAATATAATAAAACTTCTTAAATGTTTGCATCTGTGTTGGCAGATATGTACATGAAAAATATCCAAATCTATGTATTCTATACTTAAAAAATTTTTAAAAACTAGAAACGTGTATTTCCTGAAGGAAACGCCAAATGGTTGCTCAGCTTAAATGGTTCTCACTTCCTTCTAGGTTGTTGCTAGGCAGTTGCTATGGTATCCCTTGCGGTTGCTAAATTGTTGCTAGGCAGTTGCCATGGTGTATGGGGTGTTTATTTAGTTGTTCGTGGGGAGTTGGCAAGTGTTAGCTACGTGTTGTTGAAGATGAATGGGAGTCTATGTGAGGAACAAGGGATGAAAAAACGACACATAGAGGAGTATAGGTCAATATAGCTGTGGATTAGAGCTCGGGGACCTGCCCTGAGTGGGTACATGTATTTGAGTGGCTGCCAGAAAAAGGAAAGTATATGTCTTGTTTGTGGGTGAAAATGAGTGGGAGTCTATGAGAGAATTGAGGGATGAAAAAACAACACATAGAGGAGTACGGGTCAGTGTGGCTGTGGATTAGAGCTTAGAGGAAATACAGGGCTGGGGTTTGGGCGTAAATAAATGGAAATCAAGGAATGAAAAAATGACACATAGAGGAGTGTGGGTCGGCATGGCTGTGCAGTAGAGTTTGAGGTCCTACCCTTAGTGAGCACATGTAGTTTGGTGGCTGTAGGGCAAAGAAGTAATAGAGTTTGTGGTGTGGTGAAAATGAATGGGACTCTATGGGAGAAACGAGGGATGGAAAAAAATGTCAAACAGATGAGTGCGGATCAGAACAACATTGAATTTGTGCCTGCCCTGAAATAGTGTATATGGAACAGTGTCTTTCGGTCAAGCAGCGGTACAGTATATGGTCATGCAATTTTTCACCCTATTCATTCCTATGAAAAAACTTAGGAATTTAACGAAGATTGCACGAAATCTGTGCATCCGATTACAAAGCTGTATACAAGCCCGAATAACACAATGAGACTGGATGACCTGGAGTTGGAACGGTGTTGATATCTTGAAAACTGCGGGAAGAGTTATGCAGCAAAAATCAGACAGAAAATAAGAATAAAAGAGAAGAAGAGTGATAGAAAAAAGAGCTTTGCAGTGCGCAACCATAATAATACATGCAGCTTCTTCAATAAAAAAATTTGAATTAAATGAATGGATTTTGCAACTTATCTAGGCCTCTTATTAAAGCTAGTTTTAAAGGTGGTAGTTCAGCAAAAAATCTTCTTTACTCTGTCTTTCCCGTACCCCAGATGAAGACAGTCAACCAAGTGTTTGGTGTCTGAAGTTTGCTTCATAAATTTTGCACTGGAGCACAAAGGCTAATGAAACTAACATTAACAAATAATGGAAGTTTATGAGCACTAATTATCATCATACAAATTGCATACTTTAATCATCTCACACGCCTCAAATTCTATCAAAATGTTTTGCTTATGTGGTCTCTGACCCTGTATATAAACAGAGAATGGTTTCTAAACAGAAGTCTTTCTTTTTCTTTCACAGGTTTCACGGCGTCTGTGGACATGCTTGTGTGGCAACACGTTATATTTCTTCAACAATGCCAAGGACACACATGTAAGCACTGCAGTGGATTTAACAGAGCTTTTGTAGAACTGTAAGGTGAAAGTAGTTTACTTGGATACCAGGAAGACGACAGAGTGGATCAAGATGTTGCATAAAAGTACAGATTGTTTATTTTATTTCTGGTAAACAGCATGAAGTCATTCAGGCCACTATCACTGCGTTGGGCGAGATTAGATTAAAAGAGATTTAGGAAGTGTCCTTACGGCTTATCTTATCTTATAAAAGTGAAACTAAGCGTGAACTTTCTTTTCTTCTGTTTTCACCCTTTTGAAGTACGCAGTCTACTGTTGGAATAAAGCCTTGTATCTCTGACAAAGTAACTTTACAGGAGAAGGAAAAAACTTTCAGTGTAAATTAATGGGATTAAATTGTGGGGGTTATTTTGGACCATTCTATTGGTCCTTGTGTCATGAAAATTTGACGGTGTAAATGCCAGCTGGCAATTTTGAGTTTAAAAAAAAAAGAAGACAAAATATGAGATATAAGGTTTTGTTCCGACAGTGACGAGGTATATATGAAGTTTATGCATTTAAAATTAAAATCTTAAATCATTGCTTGCATTTAAAATATTTCATACATATTACCAATTTTAAGCAGTCTTCTCAGGGCTAGCTAAACAGCTCTTGATGGTTTCAAATGATAGCTTTCACTTACAAGGGACAAAAAAGTATAGATATTGATTAATGTAGAGAATAGTATTGTTGCTCTTTATTTACACTGGCAAATCCATCATGGAGGACAATTAAAATTAATGACAGGTCATCGTTTTAATCAGAGATTAAAGGGCCCATATCATGGAAAACTGAATTGTTTCATGTAGCTACATTTTCAAAACATACTGTTGACTCCACAGTCCATACAGTCAGTATATCGCTGTTGTCGGAAGAAAACCTTGTAATTCCGTTTTTGACATAAAATACCTGTTACCCTTTACATTGTATGTAAATTTCCATGATGAATGGACTAAAAGAAATGACCCAAAATGACTTGGAAAAAAGTCTGGTTCCATTTACTTACATTAAAAGTAAAGTATGTTTTTTCCTTCTACTGTAAAGTTACCGTTTTGAGGTACAAGGTTTTCTTCCGACAACAGCGATATGGAAACTAAGCTGCAAAACACCCCATTTCATATTCACTCTTTCTGTGATGTAAATGCATTGACTTTTGTGACATGTGATACATACAATGTATCTGCCTATTCAGCCTACAGTCATTTAGCCCTGCCCATTCACACTGAAGAGTAATTGACAGAGGCACAATACAGGGCAGCCAATCGGAGTGGAGATCATTTACATATCAGTCTTAAAGGCACAGTAATTAAAACAGGCAATTCTAAGAGATAAAGAGATGTTGGAAATTGGTAATTTAAAATTGAATTATGATTTTTAATAATTATGTTTTTGGTACAGAAACCAACAGAAATGTTGAGGAGGGCAGTGTAGGACTACAGTTATCTACGCGAAAAATGTATGAACAATTCTGCAGCTCTGAACTCTGTTTAGTTTTATTCATGTTGGTGCAACCCACCCTTCTGTTACAGTACAGTACTTAAAAGTGATGTGTTTGTCTCCCCCTGCACAGTATGTGGAGAAGCTGGATCTGAGTGGGTTTGTGTCTCTGATTGATGACTGCAGTCGAGACAGGAATCTGGAGGCGGCCAGACTGAACCTGCGCATGAAAGATGGAGAGATCAAACTCACAGTGAGCAACTTTCAGCACTAATCACAGAAAAGCTGCTCGAGTCTTTGTAGATTGATTCATACAGTATCAACAGGGTGTAGTTGTCCATTAAAAGCAAAGCTAGAGATCAAGCGAACCAACAACTGGGAAACAGACATCAAAAGGGGTTCATTGTTATACGTTTTATTAATGAACAAAGTCTCACTGATGATGTCATACAGTCTGCACTTCTGTGTAGAAAGCTCTGTGCTTGTAGATCTGTTATCCCAAAGACTACAGAGCTGGCAATTACCAACTGTACATTTTAGAGGCTAAACTGGTACCATGGTAGAGGCTGTACTGGTGTCATGAGGATAACACAGGGGTCGGCAACCCACATGTTAAGAAGAGCGATTTTGTTCTTTCAACAAAAATCAAACCACTTTGGGAGCCACAACATTTTGTGTTAATTTTATTGAAGTAACATTTTACCATCTTTGCTGAAAATGTCTTAATTTGTTCTAACTAATGTCCTAGTATAGTCTAAAAAATATAAATGAAAACGCAAACTTACTTTGCTGTGCTAAGGTTTAGCTCAGCTCAGCAGGAAACTTTACCACAAATGTGGAATACACACACACACGCATACATTTTCTAAACCACTTATCCTTCTGGGCGGAAGGCAGGATACACCCTGGACAGGTCGCCAGTCCATCGCAGGGCAGAAAGACAAACGTATACAATCACACACACACTCACACCTAGGGGCAATTTAGCGTGTTCATTTGGCCTGACTACATGTCTTTGGACTGCGGGAGGAAACCATATGGCTGCTGCAACCCCGAGTCCTGCCTCCATATAATATAAATCAGTTATAGGTTAACAATTTATTGGTTTCTCTTCCTATTTTGTGCAAAATTGTTGTGAATAAGAACGAAATGCCACTAAGAACAAATGCTAACTGATTTGCCTATCATAACCATGTAGTCACAATACTATACTTTAGCCAGTGATAATGATATTTGGTTCCTACTTGTGTTAGTCACTAATAGCTAACATTTACCATCTCGGACACTGTGGTCACTCCTGGTTGAGCTCACAATCATCAGATTCATCTGCTTGGGGAAGCGGTTTAGAGCACTGACATTACAAAATGGCCTCTTCATCAGTTTAATTCATCAGTTTAAGTCATCCTTTTATTTAGTTACACCTTTTAAAAGCAAATGTTTTAAAAATAAGTATGTTATTTTATATCACATCGGTGTGTTCGGTTAATGGTCACTCAAAAAGATGTTTTTTGAATGGTTAACTCCTGTGGATGACTCTTTAATTTCACAAAAATACACTGACCAAATGCATCATTGTTGCCTTGATGTGTAGAAAATGTGAATATACAAAGAAAATATCACTAAATTTATGACAAGATTTTCCAGTGTTTATACATTTTAAAACAAGCTAATGTACGTATTGATTGATATTTGTGTTGACACTTTTCCTTTGAAAACACAGACATGCAGGGTAGTGAAGGAAGGGCCAGGGTTTGGAAACCAGGAGGCAAGGGGGCATTTGCAATTTGCATAATCATGCATATTCATAGATTCATAGATCATGCATTCTTAATAAGTGGAAAGGTTAAGGGATGCTCCTGTGGCATTTTCAGTACTTTATGTATGTTTATGTATTTATTTTATACAAATTACATATATATTTAACAATGTGTAATTCATCTTCTTATGGTTTAAATTATAAATTTATATACTTTAAGGATGACACACTTTGTGTTATTTTTAACACAAACAGCATGTTATCTTACTGAACACAGGCAGCGTGTTAAGGCTTTAAAGTCAAGCTGAAATCAAAATGGACCTTTTTTACATTGTTAGTTTATGTCCCTGGTCATATTATGCACGATTCATATCATATCATATCATTACATATCATATCATATCATTTTAAGGTCTAAATTCTTGTTTTCCTGTCATCCATCAAAATGCAATGACTTTTGTCCACCCATAAAATGTTTTCTGAGTTTTGATTACATCATTAATATTAACAAATAATATGGTGTTACACCACAGCCTCTCATCACCCCCACCTACCATCGAGAAAAAAAGAATAAGCTAGTTTAAAGACCCTCCCTGATACCTTCTTTCACTCAGAAATACATCATCACCATTGAACTTAAAACAAATGTGTTCTAATTACAGCTGTACTACAATATGTGCTAAAATAGTGATGATGGTAAAACATTATTTTGTAAAGTGCAAGTCTGCTGCTGTTTTTCTCCAGTAGGCCTTGACACATAAAACAATGAAACTATGTAATATAATATGCTTCCAGTAACTGGAAAATAACCTGGCACTGAATTAAAGGTCATATAACGTTGCTGGAATGGGGAGTGATCTTAAATTCTGTGTAGGCTGATTTGCTGCCTTATCATTCACCTCCATCTCATAAATCCCAGAGTCATATAACTGCTAAGGCAATAAACTTTACTAAACTCAAGTTTCTGAGACTATTCCAGGCTAACACGTCAAATGACTGCTAATTTAGCACTAGATCATTTCCCAGTTTCATACAGCCAGATGAATGTTGACTACATTTGTCTTTAGTGGTAGAGAATCATGTTAAAAAGCATAATCTGCCTTTAAGGTTTAGTGACAATAATCTTAATTCCATTATAAACATTTAGAGGTTGACAGCAGTCAGGAATATGGTATTTCACTGTTCTTGTCTTTTTTTTAGGCTCCCAACCTGGAGGCACGTGAGTTGTGGAAAGGATTCCTCTATTCTGTAGTAGATGTGAGTACAGCGTATTTTGATATGAGCTTAAAGGGGATGTCAGTTTACTTTGTTAATCAGTTTATGCTATAGGGCATGTGAATGTACTCTTGATGGAACAATATTATTAATTTAAATTGAGAGATTTTTGCCATTTGCGTTTTGTCTGTTGAAATTGGGGTGGACAGGACGCTGATGACAAGTAATCCATCTATTCAGTCAGAATAAGAGCACATTTTTCATCAGTGGCTCCTTGCTACAGCCCCGCCCCACACAAACCAGTCTCTTTAGTTGTGCCTCTTTATTATTGAACTATCTAGAGTTTTAAAAACACTGTTCAAATGCAATAAAATGACTCTAACACAGTTTTTACTTTACAAAAGATCAATTCTGCAATTTCATGCAAGTGGAGCTTGTTTACAGAGCTGCTCCTTTTTTCTCTGGGTGTGTTCAAAGCAGCCCTTTTTGTCACCTGTGAATGTATACAGCTTCTGACTAGAAAAAATAAAAAATATCTAATATAATGTGTCACTGTTTTTTTCTATATTTAATATAAACAGTTATAAGTTGACACTTTTGTAAGTTTCTCTTCCATTTTTTATGCAACATTGTTGAAAATAGGAACAAAATGGCAATAAGAACAAAAGGTTCAGAGATTAGAGGCCGGGGACCTCAGACCTACGTGTCTACGATTGGTCTGAGAAATCTGTTTGGGCCAATTATTTAGATGTTACTGCATAATTAATTTGCATAAAGTTGAGAAAATCATAGCTAGATTAAATTATCGCAGCTACAAATTGCCTGCCCTTCATATTAAATGACTGGATACTTGCTGCTGATAAACACAGATGATTCTGCTGAGCAGAGTATCAATTATTTCAAGTTTATTTGAGTATAGTTTGTTAGCACGCTACTATAGCTGACAAATACTAACATTGCTTAACTGATTTGCCTCTCATAGCCACCCAGCCACAATACGTTACTTTAGCCATTGCTAAACGATGTTTAGTTCCTACTTGTGTTAGTCATTAACAGTTTTTACTTTATATTATGAAGCACTTTGAGCTGCATTTTTATGTATGAAATGTGCAATATAAATAAACATTTATTATTATTATTATTTATTATTATATTATTATTATTAATAAACATTAGTATTAACACTTACCGTCACAGTGACAGTGGGCCCTCCTGGTTGACTGTAACTTTTTCCTCCGTATCTAATACAAATTCAAAGTCTGACTATTACTAGAAAATAAAACTTAAAAAATTATGTGGGATTGTTTACACTGCCTTTATTAGACCACTGTCAATCACAATGGAGCCTGAAATGCTCATACAGTCCTGATCAGGTAGAGAAGTTTGGTTTTTCTAGCTTTTCTCTTCATTTGAAATATTATTTTGGATTTTTTTCTTCAACTCTGTCTTCAGTTAATGATTATCAAGTTACAAATCTTTAGAATTGTTAAGATTGTTTTTATTTGCAGTCCAGTCACCAGACAGCTTTTAAGTCGGTACTTAACTTATTTCACTTCTGAGCTCAGTTTGTTTTTGATCTTCATCTTCGGTTATTCTTTTTTTTTCTGCTTCGAATCATTCAAAGCATCATCAGCCATAGACCAGTACATACCCTTCAAACATATATACATGCAAACATACATGCGTATACCGCCCAGATTGTACACTTTAGTTTAGAAGCATGGCCCTTGTGTTTTTTCCTGCACAGAAAAAAACCCTTGGGTAGTGCAATTTTATCTTGTAGCTTTGCATTTTTAAAATAGCACTTTATCAGGTTTTGTTCCAGTGTGTGAATATGCAAATCTGGACCATTCTGTATCTCTATGTAAGTGATTTTTTTTATCATTATCTACTGAACTAAGTAATTCTACTAGCTCAGAAAGAGAGAAAACAGTGCAGGCAAACTTGCAGTGCGGTAAAACAGTATAAATTAAAGGAAGTATATTACTCTTCAGGCTTTGAGAAAACAAGGTCAGCTCATGTATTTTTCTGAGCTCTTTTAGCTTAGCAAAACAATGGACACCATAAATCACATTAATCATGAGCTCTTAATCCTCCATTAATGCATTGTTCTGTATGTTAATGCTTTTGGAATGTGCTGCGTGTTTGTCCTTCTGCAAACGTGCACCCACAACCTCAGTCCACAGCCTTTGTTGACTTTAGGTTTTTTTAGGTGATAAAGAGTTGACTGTGGAAGGGTTTATACTTTAAAACGTCTAAACGGACTTTATTGACTTTGGTTATTCCCTGCTACTCAAAATACTTAAAAATCCTACAACCATTTTGAGGAAACATCTTGATACTGGTGTTGTGCTCATTTTAATGATTTAATAGTCGTTGAAATGTAGTTTTTATGTACAGTGTAGTTTGTAGGTAACCCAATTTTTGTTGTTTTGGCTCTGTTCTTCAAAACATTGTGTTGGAAATGAGGTTTGTTATGAGGTCAAATTGCAGAATGTCAGCTTTAATTTGAGGGCATATCTTCAGTGATAATGCTGGGCCAGCTGTCACATTATAGCTGACGCTTAAGGTTCACAGTCATTCTTTTGTTTACAGTAACCAAAATAACAAAAACTGTGTCAAATTCTTTTGGACGGCCCTGTATTTCATACTTGGTTTTATGAGATTCATATTTATATATAGCAACATACTTTATATAATGCAGTGTAAAATTAATACACATATGAAAGAATGATTATGTTCATAGTCAAAAGTCTGCTTATTTTTACCATTTCTCAAGTTTAGAGTAATAGTCAAGATGTCCAAACTATGAAATGTCTAGGCATGTAGCAATACACGTTTTCAGGTTTGATACGATTTTCAATTCAAAATTAGATTCGCTTTTTGATGTTCTAGGCGTTAAAAACCGTCTAAGCGTTGGCCCTATCATCAGGAGATCGCGAGTTCGATCCCTGGTGATGCTACAGTCATCCGTAGCCGGGAGTCCAAGAGAGCACAATTGGGCTCGCTCTCTCTGGGTGGGTAGGATGGCCCCTCCTTCTCCCCCCATCACTCAGCGCGATGCTAGTCAGCGCAGGCGTCTGTTAGCTGACGTAACAGATCTGGCGGTTGGCGCTTTCCTCCGAGCGCGTTCGGCTGTCCAGTGACGTTGCGTGAGCGGCAGCTCGAAAAGAAGCGGTGGTTGGTTTCACAGGTCTCGGAGGAAGCCTGTGTTAGCCTTCACCCTCCTAGCGTTGATAGCATCGTGTGATTGGGGGAGTCCTAACTAGCGGGTGGAATTGGAGACGACTAAATTGGGGAGAAAAATCGGGTAAAAATTAAAATAAATAAATAAATAAATAAATAAATAAATAAATATATCCACATGTCCTACACAACAATCTCTCTATACAGTACATAAATCAGTTTGGCTCAGAAAAATATAGTGTTGTTTCAGGTAGCATGTCCTTGTGCATTTTATCATTTTTTGATACTGTATTGAAATTGTTACACTGTATTGAAATTGTTACACTGTTAGAAATAGCATATGCAGCTTTGAATAACCCTGGCCGGATGACGTTTTGTTGTTTTTCTAAGTGAAAATAAATGAAAGAACAGCTTCTACAGGGTACAGTATGGCCGTTTTCTGCAAATTTTATGGCACAATTTCTATTTATTTGCTGAGCTTCACATATTGGAAAAAATAAAACATAAAACGTGGCGTAACTTTTGTAGGGGCCACATTTTGTGTTTTCTTTTTTTTCCTAATATGTTAAATTCAGCAATAAACAGTAAAAATGCATTAAAGTGTGCAAAAGTGTGTTCTGTGTAGATGATATGTTCATTTATTTTCTCTTAGAAAATCAACAGGATGTCATTTGACCAGTGGCACCCAAACTTTTGCATTTGGCTGTATGAAACGGCCACAACTAGAAATATTGACCTTCTGTATATATAGAGTTATGAAATAACTAATGTTGGGGAGGAGGACCACGTCTGAAGCTAAACCTAGTGTAAATATCCAGTATTATCTTATTCTGTTAGTAGATGATTTTGCTTGTTACAAGCCTTATAGCTTAAAACAAGCTAAATTGTCTGCCAATAGTATAAGACAATATTACCGGATAAAAATGTTTAAAAAAATTTTGAAATAACCTGAATAATTTTAAAATATTCTTACAACAATCTCAAGATGAGGAACATTAGATATATAGACTTAGATTTAGTTTTTTAACTTGTCAAGATATCATTTTGTGCAGTGCTCTGTTTTCCATTGCAAAATTTTAGCACCTCACCACCTTCCCCTGTTCCTCAGTCCTACTTCTGTCCACGAAAGGGTAGTTCAACCTTCTAGCCTAAAGCAGAAGCTGCCCAGAACTACGGTCAAGTTCTCAGCCTTTGGGTTATGTGTTTAAGAAACAGAAAATGGAAGCAAGTGTATCCAAACTTTTGACTGGTGCTGTATAAGAGTAATCAATAAGTGATCCTCTTTGTCTGGTCTGTAGTTGGCAGTGCCCACAACTCTGACCCTGCTACCAGGGCAGCTGCACATGCTGAAGGAAGTGGTGGAGAAAGAGAGGCAGAGACGAAAACGCTCGCTCTCCAGAGCGCCCTCCTCTCCCCTCTCTCTGCCTCTAGTGGGGGAGATCCCTGCGTGAGTATTCCATCTTTGCATGTGTGCCCATATATGTGGCCCCTGCATATTTGCGAAGACTGAGATCAGTAGGAAAAAACTTTTGAGTTCCTGTAATCCTGGAAACCCATTAGTTATGTTTAAAATATGTGTAATCAAGTAATGTCTTTGATATATCTCTCATAAAGAGTTTAAAATTAGTGAACAGATTCACTTTTTATCTGACATGTATTGAGTGTGTTCATCTACTTAGGAAGATTATTTAAGGTCAGTGCTCACTGAAAGCATTTTCTGAAGCGTGGTGGAACAGATTCTATAAACCCATCCATACTGGCTCCTCTAGGTGCATGTCTTAAAACCCTTAAAATGCCAGCCTTTCTGTCCTGATGCATTTTTTTACGCATCATTTTTTCAAAGTGAAGTGTAAACTACAGAGAGATCCATTCAGATCACACACTACTACTTCCTAGAGCTCTGTTACCTTTGTTTAACATGATAATTACTAAAATGTCACTATCTAGTGGGCCTAATGCAACTACTACTAATATTGTGTACTGTCATGATTAGACTTTTAACAGTTAACTGAGTTACTGCAGTAACAGCTTCCAGTGACAGTAAAAACGTATTTACTGCCAGTTTCAAAAAAAAAAAACTTCTTCAAATTAAAGAAGACTTTTACCACAACATTTACTGAACTGCGCTTTTATTATGGTCTTGTATTTGGCAAAGATTAAGCCTTAACTCACTTGCTATCTGTACTGGCACCTGCATCTGCTTCACAGTTAGGAAAGCATCTCATAATTACTATAAGAAAGAGAGTTGCTATTATTATTATTATTATTATTATTATTATTATTGCATGTGTAAAAATAACATTTGTGGTAATAAAAAATTAAAACATCACTAATGTTCTGTTCACTAAAAACATTTATGTATTTTATGTAACACACATATTATTCATTCTTACATTACCATTTTCTAATCTCTCTTTACCCCTTAGAATTAAAGAGGCTGTTTTAGTTACTGTGTAAATAAACAGCTATGTACAGTCTATGCTAAAACACTCCTTATAACTTCAGTGTGAGTGGGTGGAGCTAAACATCATGAAACCTATATAAATGGTTCTAACTATATATACAAATTAGAGTGACAGAGGAACTGATGGAGAAGTAGCACTCCTGTATATATATTTGAGTGAAACAGAGGAGCCTTATTAATGTGTATATGGATGTGTGTTTCTCTGTGTGTGAGCAGGTGTTTCAGGCCCGTCTCTCGTACAGAAGCAGAAGTGCTGTTAGAGAGGCACCCGGACTGTGGGAACATGCTGCTGAGGCCAGGCAGAGACGGGACGTCGCTTGCTGTCACCACACGCCAAGACCTCAATGGGTACGACACGAGAGGAAACTGTCTACTAGGGGTCCTCAGAGATTTTGTCTTTGTCATTGTTATGTCAAAACCTTTTTATTTTCTGACACTATTTTACCTTGTGGGAACATTTCATAGTTTTCGGACCAATAGAAATGTTCCACAGTTGCTCACAATAAAATGACATTACACTAAAGGGCCAATATGTGATATGTGTAAACGATCTGGCTGCCCTGTTTTGTATCTTGGGTGTATACAGTAGTATGCAAAAATTTGGGCGTCCGTGGGCAAATGGCATGTTTTATTGATTTTCTAAGTGAAAATAAGTTAACACATCCTCTACAGAGAACACACTTCTGCACATTTTAATACAGTACAATAAATAATTACTGTTTATTTGCTGAAGTTAACATAGTGAAAAAAAATTATGGAACATCTTATATTTCTTTTTTTCCTCCAACATGTTAGCCTCAGCAAATTATTATAAATTGTTCAGTAAAATTTCCAGGAAAATGTCATATTAGAGCTCGTTCCCTGTTGGGGCTGTATTTTCACTTATTTTGATTAGAAAATCAACAAAACGTCACTTTTTTCCAGGAGTTTTGCATATGACTGTATACATGTGTTGATTTTTATGACATCACAAAAACAGCTCATTTAAAACAGGCCATTTTACAGGTTAATGTGTGTGTGTATGGACCATATGGACTGGGGCATGAATGTTATGTTGTGAAACTTTGCCATGGTCATGTGCTACATCAAACTCTTTTATTTTCAAAAAAAGCAAGTTTTCCATGATATGGGCCCCTTTAACCTCTTATGCTTGTGGGTATATTTCAGTTTTTCCATCTGAATTTACATGCTCAAATCTTAAGGCAATTATTCAGTAACTCCATGAAATAAATGTAAATTTTTGCTTTTTTTGTAAAAGCTCCCCTCTAATTAACAGAAAATGTGTTTTGTGATCATACACATATTGCTATATGCTTACAATTTACTGCTGAAAGCCAAAAATCTTAGATGCTCTTTGTATTATTTTACAAAAAAATTTTTTACAGAGTATATCACTGAAGAGGCACCACCTGAGATCCAGTTTATAGCTCAGATTTGTGGAAAAATGGGTCGACTTTCAGTAGGAAAAAATTGTTCAGCTTCTTTTATTATAAGGGTTTATTTATTTGACTGGAAAGAAGACAGTTACAGCTCTCATATGACACCCACCTTTTGAATGTAGCTTATGAAATATAAAGTTATGAAGTAAAGAATATGACACAGTGCATTTTGGAACCACAGGTGGTTCCACAGAGTTAAAAAGGTTAATATATATCAGGTACATTTTTGCCATTATTAAGTTACTATTTTGGTTTTACCACAGTGCTGATTTCTATTTGTTTAACTAATAAATGTTTTATATTTGGGTATAAACTACAAGACCGTGTTGCTTAAGCTGGAAGTGGGCATGATGTGCTTAGAATAGTGTGGAAAATATTCAGATAATTAGATCAGATTATGTCTGAATAATTATTTAAATTTGGATACAGTCCTTCTGTCTTTATTTTTACAGCTCTCTCTTTTATAAGTGTCCTCTATTTTTATCTGTCTTTTCTTTACCCACTCGATGCCTCAGTCTTCTGCCTCTGAGGGTGTTCCTTTCTGCCTGATTTTCTGTCCTTCATTCACTCTCCTTGCCTCACTCAGTTTCTCGCTCACTCAATTACTCACTCGCTGACTGTCTGACTCACTCACTCACATTTTGCTGTTGGGTTTAGAATATTGTGTTTTGTTCTGCTGTTTGAGTTTTTTACCGAATGTCTCCTCTTCTAGCTCAGTCTTCAGACACTACCGGGTGACCCAGAAGCAGCAGGGCGGTTACATCATTGATGTAGAAAACCCGGTATGTGAGGATTCATCTTTTCTACACTGCTAAATATGAACAGACAGCGAGAGATGTGGAAGACCGGAGGGAATGCTGAATCTCTCTGTCTGTCACTCCACAGATACCATGTCCAACCCTGCATGATGTCATCAACGCTCTGGTAGAGAAGACAGCAGGAACTCTTCAGCCTTTTCTACTGGAGGAGCCTTACGAAGAAAATATCAGTATGCTTGACACATGCATAAATACATACACATACAATTAATATACATATGATATACCTTTCACACATACATACAGTTATACACACTGCTAGGGCTGCACGATATGGATGCAAAATGCATTGTTCAATGGCGCTGTCGGAAATCACAATGATTTTTGAGAAGTGATACATTCATATTATTAAATTAATGTGCCTCTAACATCTCCTTTGAGCAGACAAAAATACAAAATTACAAAAGCCATTTACTGATGTGCAAATTAAAAATAATTTAAGCACTTTTTTGTGCACTGTAAAGATGAACAAGGACACACAGTGTCACTGATGTGAAGCACAGCTCTTATAAAGCATCAAAGACTGCTAATGGTGCCCCCTTGTGGAGAGTTTGCAGTTTGTGAAATCTAAGTTGGTTCCATTTGGTGCTACAGTTTTAAAACAGTCAGTGTTTTCTTTTTCTGTTAGCACAAATAAATATGTAATTTTCAATTCAAGCTTACAAAAACAAATAAATATATATTTAATTCCTTAAAAAGCTCCTTATGATGATGCATGTTTGTTGTAACAGTTGGCATTAGTGAACTGTTATTGTTAATTGTTATGAGAATTGTTATCACATTTGAATCACGTTTGGCTAGTAATTCAAGACAGTGTAGTTTTTGAGCTGTGAACTTGCATGTTTTGTAACTGGCCGTTTAGCTGGATGGTGAAGTTACTCACACTCTTTGTTAGTCTTTAATATTTTATGATCTTGTAAACTCACTAAGAAGCTAGCAGACTTTACAGGCTTATGAGAAGAATATTAATATGTCAAATGAACACACATTTACAACATGAACCTTACAAATATTATACGAAGAAAATTTCAGTAAAGGTTGCCTTCACACATTTACAGATCCACTACACATACAGCCACAGCAGGTGCATTTAATATTGGCAGCTCGTTGTTGTGTTTTCACTGGCTGAATTCTGTCCTGTAATTCCATCAGCGTATATTTCCTCTAATGATGAGAACGGAGAGCGAACTCTACACTGCGCACCTACAAGCACTTTCTCCAGAGGACCCGCACTGCCCCCAAAAGGTAAAGACCACTTTACCACTCCCATACATGCAAAAACACACAGGACCAGTTGTACGCAAGAGCACAGGCTCAGCTCAGAATGTGAACAGTGCTTCTGAATGCGTTGATTTACTAAGACTGCAGCTTATCACGCAAACTGTGCATAGCTCCACCCACTAATGCTCAGTCGTGAGGGGCAGAGTTTAAAAGAGCCAGTGAAATGATGGAGCAGTCAACAAGCATGAGCCATACAGAAAATGAAACTTCGGTTATGAGGAAATTTAAGTTCTTTTCCACTAGAACCAAACATACAGTTTCACAAACTCGAGTTTGTGAAACAATAACACAGACTTCAGGCACATACTGTGGCTATATCACGGCACATTTTGCGTTGCATTTTCGCACATACATCTGGTCCTGAGATTTTAAACAGTGTTTTTCTGATGGTAAACCTTTCTTCTGCATGTGTTCAAGGCTTGTGCTTCCGTCTAACTGCTACTGTCTGCTGCTGTTGTTAAAGAATGTCTTTTTTTTACTTTTGAGAGCATAATTGAAATATATGTCATTTTAAAAGGTGGAGGAAAATTGATGCAAAACTGGACACTGCAAGTTGCTCAAACTTAAGTAGATGGAGTGAAATGTATTTGGCTGCAACCATCAATTTTCTGCATGATCCTCACACATGCTCATGCCATGCTCACATCCCATAAACTGCGTGCTTTGGCTCATGTGCCATTTTCGTATATAACACACAATGGGTCCAATTCACTATTAGAACCGGCGCCAAAAGGCTTTGGCTGCATTCAGATGGTGGGGCGCATTCTGCAAAAATTCTATGTCTGAACCACAAGGAAGTTTTGCAGAGCGGATATTAATGAACCGTGTTATGGGCAGGAAGTTCAACACCACATCACACCAAATGGACAGACTAAAGAAATTAGCATTTAACTAGCGTTTCTTTTTTAAGGCAAAAAGGTCCAGCAGATTTAATTCTTCTTAATCAGCCCAGGTGAACATTAGCAAAGTTAGCAACCTTGAACACCAAAATCAGCAAGCAAAGAAATGCCACTCACCAAGCTACACCGGTGAGGGATACTTGTCTATTTCTTACTAACCTCAGTGATAACAATGTAGAAGATGGTACATATGACAGTGAATTAATATTTATCATGAAGCACAAAGATGTGTAAAACTGTCCAATTTTACAACCGTTTTTGCTCTCCAGTTCAATTTTATCCACCTTTGTTTTTGATTGGTTACCTCATGAAATGTGACACGACATGCAGAGCTTTTCTACTTAAGCTGAACATTTTTCAATTTGATGAATGAGGATCAGCAGTGGAAAAATCTGCAATTTCCGGTGGGAAAAAATATAGAGCCTGTGGAATCTGCTTCCTGCTGTAGAATATAATGCCATTTTGGATGAAATATGCTCCGCCATCTGAACACAGCCATAGTACATCGGTTCCTTAGTATCATATTCCAAGATCCAGTTTTTCATGTTTTATGGCCTACTACTCTATTTAAGTACAGATAGTACATAGGTCATGAACTGACTTGAGTACTTGTGTGTTTTGTTCTGGGTTTTTTTTTTATTATTAGATTTGAATTGAGAGTTGAAACCTTTGTCATTTACAGCTGATTAATAAATTGTGTGTATGTGTATGTGTTGAGCAGGGCCAGAGAGATGGACACTGAGGTCACAGACTAAATCTCCTAGCCCCTCCCACAGATCATTAAGTCCTCCGGGTTCCCCATCCAGCCCAATGAGACGTCTTGTGCTCTCTCCATCGCCACTGACACAGAGTGAGTGTTTAACACACACACACACACACACACACACGCACAGCCCTGAAGACTCACAGTCCAGCTACGTGAGGCTGGTGATCTCCGTCATATTTTACATACATACACAAAATTTCAATATCAGCCTCAATTCCTACTAGCGTTGTACAAACTATCAAAAGTTCAGTACTTTTTAGTACGTTATTTAAAGGGCCCTTATCATGGCAAAACAAATTTTCGTCTCTTTTTTAAAGCAAAAGTGCTGGTTGTAGTATCTAGTATCTATCTATCTACATAATTGAAGCTTCAGAATGTAACATTCTTTCTCAATCCATATGTGGAAATTCACCTGCAAAAGCAGCCCATTTTGAACAAATTGTATTTGTGATGTCACAAAACCAACATGTTTACATACATGTTTACATACAGCCTACAGCAGTTTACCCTGAAGTTATAAGAAGTGTTTCATTCCATACTGCTTTTCGAATGAGCCCCACTACAGGTCAGCCAATCAGAACAGAGCTCATTTATGTATATCAGTATTAAAGGCTTAGTAGAAAACAGCCTACACAAACAGATCACCTTACTGACAAAATATAAGAAAAGGGTAGCCCTATATGGGCCCTATAAATATGTTCTACTATAACAGCCCTGCTTCTTCCTACTGGAGGCATATGCACGCATGCATACAGACAAACCTTGGTCAAACAGAAAATTAGAGCACACTGCCTCCTGACCAGAATCTACTCATATAACACTGGCTTTAGGCGCTTCAGACCAAGTAAGGCCAAATACAGTTACAGGTAAATAAGAAAGTGAAGTAACCTAACAAACAAGTAAAAGAGAAATACAACAGAACTTCTCTAACTTCCTAATTTATACAAGAGAAACTTAAACAAATTGGCACTCACCTCCTACATGCTTATGAAATACTAATTTGATCCTGTACAGGGAATATGATACACAAAGTCTAAGCTGTACTGTGTGTCCAAAAGTATCCAGACACTTTAATTGATGAATTCTGCTACTTTAAGGTTCACCCATTACTGACACAAGCATTGAATTGTGCACACACAGCCTGTATAATCTTCAAAGAAAAGCATTCACTAATAGAATGGGATACTCTGGAGCAGCTGCACATGAGCCTAAGGTCACCATGTCCAAAGCCAGGCATTGGCTAAAGGGGTATATAGCCGCCTAGCATTGGGCTGTCAAGCAGTGGAGTGATGGATTAAGCCCAGTCCTGGACTACATTTTCCCTTCAATGGATAATCTCCATTCAGAATGCTGTATAGTCCTGACCCATAGTGTATATCATCGCTGTACAAAGAAAAAAATAGTAACTTTACAGGAGAAGGCAAAAACACTCTTACCTTTCAATGTAAGTTAATGTTAAGAGATTTTATTTCAAGTGATTTTAGAGCATTTTTATTGGTCCCTTCATCATGAAATTTTCACACATGGTTTTCTTTGGACAGCGATGATATTTAATTATTCTTATATATGCAATTGTTATTTAAATTCTGAGTACAACATCTGGCTTGATTCCAGCGTAACTGTCCGGCAGCAGGGTATAGGTGGAGACAGGATGTGTCAGCAAGCCTCCAAAAAAACATCAGTGTTAATTACATTTTCCTTTACAAGATAGCAGTGTCAGACAAAGAGATGTCGCACAGTTTTAGGAAGCACATAAGCTTGTTTTATTTGAGATTACTTGAAAACTTGATGCTGTTTGAGACACTTGTGTGGTGGTTTAGGCCTGACATTTGCATAGTGCCAATTGCTAAAGTAAATATTTTATTACTTATTTGCTGCATTAGCCTTTTAGCTCCAGGGCAAAACTAAAGAAGCAAACTTCAGAGACAAAACATGTCTTGGTTGATTGACTACATTTGGCTTAAGGAGAAAATGGTGTTAAATGGTGTAGATTTCCTTTAATCTCTATTACTATATACACAAAAACGCACTCGACCCTCTTACCAGTATCCCTCTCTTTCTGTCCCATCAGCAGCTTTCACGGAAGAGCTCAAACAGAAGCTAGAGAAAAGGCGTACCAGTCAAGACTGACTTCTTCCTTCTCCTCAGCAAATCAGCAGCCAGCTGTCTGATTCTGCCAGTGCCTTGTGATGAAGAGGTCAGACCGGTTGCCCAGAGACAGAGTCATCGCTCTTCGGCATTCTGCTCCAACCCCCTTGTGTTTGAATCAAGCTTGTTCATTGAAGTCGCAGCTATGGAAGCAGAGTCTAATTTCCACAGTGCATCATTACCAAGTTGAGGATCGACTACGGGAACTTACTGTGGACCAATTTGAGCCAATAATCGGTGCGTCTCCTTCACAAAGATGCCTTTCTCCTCAGGTTTTTCACCTGACTGCTCACACCTCAGAGAGGCAGTCGATCAACATCTTCACCTGCCAAGACACAAGCACATCAAACCAGCCTTACGCTGAGAGACTATACTGAATCATTGCTGATTACAAAGAAGCACTGACTGTACAGTAATGTATGTTCTGCTGTTCTGATTTAACCGCTATACGTGTTCAGTAGGCTTCCATAGAGTTAGAATGACGTCACTTCTGTGGTTCCATGAGTGTCCTGAAGATGTCAGCATTTTACAGAAACTGTTATGTTGGATGCATTCTGTAACCAGCAGGTAAAAGACCAAAATCTGAAATGTTATGCTCAGAATAGAACAAAACAGCAATGAAGAGGAACTTCCAGACTGGGAAGTTGATTATGTTTCTGTAGAGAGTGAAGTGTCTTGTATTTGTGCTCCAGGTTGACTAACTAAACTGTGGTTGTCATTACTGGTTTGTCTAATGAACGTGCATGGTGCTACTGTTTGTAGATATTTGAATTCATGTGAGTATCGATGTTGATTTTTTTGTTGTATTTATTGGAATTAAATGGATCATTTTTCACTAAGGCCAGCAGTCTTTTTCCACCAAAAAGCAACAGAGTTTGTCAGCTGTCAGTGCAGGATACTCAAATATAAAAATACTGGAGTGGATCTAAAGGGTGAAGGGTATGTCTTTAGTACATTTAGTTAGGAAACATAATTTATCATGTTCCTGTACAGGCTTTTTATTTTATTTTTCTAGTTTGAAATGCTACATTATGAATAAGTACAAACAACCCTTTCCCCTGGCAAAGTGAATGCAACAACTGGAATTTTGGAGGTAATTTTACAGGGTAATATATATATATATATTATATATATATATATATATATATAAATGTTAATGTCAATTACAAGTCTCAAGCCTCAATGTTTTATCTAGAAAGTCCAAAAAATGTTGATGTTATATTGCTCTGGCTTAGTGCTGACAAACTACTAGAATTGCATAATGATGCTACCAGAAATGATCGTTGTTCTAGAGGTGTTTTTCCTTGTATTTGACTGAGTTGAGATTTATGGACCGAACAGAAGGCCTAGTCACGGCTTGCCACTGTTTAGAAGTATCTCACCAAAAATCAAAACAAAATCATGAAAAAGCATCACTATAAGGAAGACCAGAGAATACAGCAATGATGTGAGGCATAAGGTTGTTGAACTGCACAAATCATGAAATGGCTACAAGAAAATTGCTAAACCGTTGAAAATGCCCATCCACAATACCGTGGGGTTGTTTTTCTTCCAAAGACCCTGGACAATTTATTCAGATGCATGTTATCACAGACTCCATCAAGTAGCGGCAGAAATAAAATTAAAACTTGAGTGCCTCAGCCAGGAAACTTAAACTAGGCCGTGTTTGGATCTTACAGCAAGACAGTGAGCAAAAGCATGCCACAAAATCAACACAAAAAATGGTTCACTGGCCACACAATTGAGGGTCTGCCATGGCCATCCTAGTCCCCTGACCTAAACCCAATAGAAAACCTGGAGAGGTTCTATATGGAGGAATGATTGCTCATGTTTACTGGGGTGCCAATATTTGTGAAAGGCACTGTATGTAGAGGAGATTATTTAGTTTATGATTTGAATTTGGTGGCTGGTGTATACAGCCTTGTTTTGCGGACTTTAACATGTCAATATAGAACATAAATGTAATTCAGTATGTTAATAATTACACAATTCTATAACAAAACCACAGCAACAATTTTCACATTTCTCGGGGCTGGTTTACAACATGGGCTATATAAGAGTCTACAGTTTACAATTACAAAGATCACCTATTGTGCTCAGCTATAACCACCAGGTGGCGACAGTGTCTGCTAATGGGAATTAGAGAGCCCAATCAGCAACTTCGCTCAGTTTTGTTTAGGAAGGGTATTTTTGTAGCAAATACGTCTCACATCGCTCCCTGTTGCACTTCCCTTCTTTTAGACATGGAGGACATTTCACAAAAGGGCTTTATTTTTCTCAGTCAGCCTGATTAACTTGAGCTAAAAGTCGAGACTAACCGTTAGGAGAAAAGGTAAGGAACACCCCTACAGGGCAATCCTCACTGTGGGCTGTTCGATTCCAGGAATTGTGGAGTCGACTCTGATTCTGATTCCAAGTGACGGGAATCGATTCCACACAATAGTGTCGATTCCAAAAAACAAGACACCCTGAAGGGCATCTGGCAAAAAGAGTACAATATTAATTATATTTGCCCCTAGCAAGGCAATTTGGAGAGCTGACGCTAGCTAAATTAGCTTAGCTGATTAGCTGCGGCTAATGTTAAACTGTACCTGATACTCCACTGTCGGCTCCTTCAGGTGGGTAACCTAGGTTAGATGTTTTGGGGCCGGCTTTTTCACCATTCTGTGCCAAACCTGTTCTGATGAAGTGTGCTGCCTTGTCGAAATGTCCTACTGTACCGCATATTTTTAGAATGCGCTCTAAATAGGGTGGGTAGGATGTTTTGATGGCCTAAATTACCCTGTCAGAAAATGCTACCAGCACTGAAATCTATAGGTAGGAAATTTTGATAGCCTAAATTTCCGTATCAGAAAACCAGCATTGAAATATTAAGGATATTCTAAATCATCTCATCAGGGAATAAGTAATAATATTAAGCTGAGTCTGTACTGAATTAACATTAAAACACAATAACACGTTTTAAACATTGAGGTACCACGCTATAGTAATGATATGCACATGCGCAGTAGGACCACTCTATGGTAGGACAAGTTGTTACAGCTAAGCTAGTGAACTGCCTCAGAGGTCCTCGATTGGCTGGATCTGAAGGATTAGTTTTAGGAAAGGGGGACAGCAGGATGGGAGTGTGTTATCGTGTTATCGCGAATAACATCACGGCTGTGATTTGTTCGGCTCGTGCCGTGATGTTATTCGCGATAACACACGACCTCGAGTGTTCTATTGCTTTTATACAACAGTTAAATAAAGTGAGAAATTAATAAATTGGGCCGTGAATGTGGCATTTAATATGTTTTAATGTCAGCAATTCCTTCCGCCAAATTATAGTTCCTTAACAAGCAGCTCGTTGCTACGTCAGAGTAACGAGCTCCGCTCACTCGCTGCACAGCCGGCAGTTCGTTCAGCTCCTTACACTAAACTCCCAAACGGTCATCGCCGCTGAGCAGCTTTTCTGTTTTTTATTGCGGCACTTTTATGTGATTTGGTCAGACTGAAGTTCAGACTACACGTTTGGCGAATGGTATTCGGTTCATGTCTGGCTAATTCCAGGTTGTTTAGCTGTTCCAGGTTGTTTAGCTTAAAAGTGTCCATTTTCTGTTTGTGCGCAAAGTAAGAAGTAAAAACTTTCAAATGGCTTGAGCGTCTCCTACAGCTGTCAAAGTCGTTGCTTAGCAACGGCGTCTCAGCGGAGTGATACAGTGTTTGTGAAAAACCCGTGATGTTATCAGAGAACTTGTAGAGATGAGAATTACCACTCTGCAATGTCTTCCGGTTGTCTCAAACGCTAGAGGGCGCTCCCGAGCGAGTCCAAAATGAATGGGATGATATGGAGCATTGAGCAAAATCACATTCTGCTGCCCAAAACCCGTTTGCTGTAGAAAAAACGGAAATATATAGGTAAGATTTCTTTGTTTTTTAGGGAAATTCATCCTTATACTTTCTAAAATCAAAGAAACGTTCTGGGCGAGTGATTAGAAACATTTTTAACTTTTCGTTTTTAGCCGTTGAGCGCCATTTACTCCTATTCAGTGAGGACTCCCTCGCGGGCGCCCTCTGCTGTTTGGAGGTCCTGTTTTTGATATAACGGGGGGAATAGGAAGCGGCCAGACTCCTCATAAACCGGCTCTGATATTATGGCGAAATATCCGCGCGGTTAGAACGCTTCACAACCAATCAGCTTGCGTGGCCGGAACTAACTGTTGTATAACAACAACTAGAAGAGTGCATTTCCTGAAGAAAATGTACTGATTGCGTGGTTGTTAAGGTACAAAGATTGGTTGCTAAGGTATATAAACGGGGTGTTTACTGAGGGGTTATCAGGGGGTTACCAAGTGGTTGCTAGTTATTGTTAAACATGAATAGGAGCCTATGGGAGGAGCGAGGGATGAAAAGATGGACACACAGAGGAGTGTGGGTCAGTATGGCTGTGGGTTAGAGCTTGGGGTCCTGTCCTGAGTGAGTACATGTAGTTTTGGTGGCTGTGAGGCAAAGAAACTAATAGTGCTTGTGTGAATGGGATGTAAAGGAACGAGACACATAGAGGTGTGCAGGTCAGTATTGCTGTGAATGTGAGCTAGATGACAGGCAAGAGAAAGATCAGGGCTTGGGTGATGGTGAAAATAAACGGGACTCTATGGGAGGAACAAGTGTTTCCGGAAGAATTGAAATGCTTCATTCAGTAATTCTGGACACTTCCTCTTCAATCTGGGTGACAGGGACAAAGATGAAGGACACACCTTTCTGTGGTGAACTAAAGTGATAAACCATTATTTTGGAGGTTAATAATCTTCCATAAAGCAATAACAGAATTTGCTTTAAGCAGCGTTCACATATTTCCGTTTCTTGTGAAAAGGGCCAGTTGGCATTGTAGTTCGACTGTAATCATTAGTTTTTTCGTTACCATCCTTACATTCTGCTTGTTTTTCAGTTTATTTAGAGTAAAATCAGCAAAATGCAGCTGGACTCTCAGCTTTGGAGTCGACTCGATTCTCGATTGCCTGGAATCAAGGAATCGATTCTTTTTTGGGAACGAATCCCAGACCTAGCTTAAAGTATCTGTAACTTTATTGGGAAAACCTGCCGTGTAAAATTCCCTTACATCTTTTTTTTGTTGTTGTGATTTTTGTAATTTACTGTTTCTCATTCATATTATCCTTATTCTGGCATTGTAGTGGAGAAGAACCAAAGAATGACATTGTTTGTGCTCTTTTAATAGAAAAGGCAACTGAAAAATGCAGCCAGAATACAACTTCTCCCTATGGTGGACACAAAACCCACTCTAACTAAAACCCCAGCCCAGCACAAGAAAACACAAACACATCTTAAAGTAACAAAGTACAACATAAACAAGGGGTGGCTACAACAGAGCAAGTGGTAGCTGCCACATGATGTTAGAGCTTAAAACAAGTGCTCTATATGATAGACACTATCACTCTGAGAAATCTTTGTTGTGCCCTAGTTACTGTGTGAATAATTTCACAGGCAGATAAAGCACTGAAGCAGACCAAAGAAGGCCATGGGTGACAGAACAGTAATGGGGCAACCACGGTCCATTTATACTTCCTTTTTTGCATGCCTGTTAAGTAAATGTATGATAATATCAGACATGCTTTTCAGCATTGCTGAAAATCTTTTTCTTTCGTACTTCTATATTAGATGTACAAGAAGATTAGGCTTAAAGGAGAACTCGACTGATTTTCAAAAACTACGTAATTAGGTGGTTCTAGACAAACGTTCGTCAGAATTGCTCACAGTGGTGGTGACAGAAACCAGACGTCTGAAGAGTTTAACGCCTCTGCAACGTTCCTCACAGGAAATGGTTAGACACGTGCTACCTAATGTCTGACAAATTATCTTATGACGGTTCTGTGATAAAGTTTTGGCTTAAAATGTGTTTTAATCCATTTATTTTAATTCATTTATGGTAGAGAAGTACCTAAAGGGTGTTGTAAGGCAATTAAGTCCCCAAAGAAACCATCATCAACATTGCATATAAAATTCAGAGGGCATGTATGGTTTCACCGGTTTTTGAATGGTAAATAAAATGATTATATTTGTGTTGTAGACATGGTGACCCCTGGTTCCTATCATCACCACTGTAATCAGAGTTGGTAAGTTTCTATACATCTATTTCATATCAAACCACTCTTTGACTGAATTATTCAGAAATTTTGAAAAAATTGGTGGAGTTCCCCTTTAAGGCAAAGTGAACTGAAGTCAAGCACGAACTGAAGTCAAGCACTGAAGTCAAGCATGAGTGGAGTTTTTTCGTTACTGTCTTATGTTATATGGAGACAGCTGTTTTGAAAAAATGGAGGAGCACAGAAATACTTCAAGCGGACATTAAATCTGCCTGTTCGTGTCAAAACTTGCCACATGCTTTTGTGAACGTCCTGCTCCCTTATTTGGCAATGAATACAACGTAAAAACTAGACGGTCGAGCGATTCATATGCAGGAAATCAGGGACTGCAGTTGGGTAACACTGGCACATTGACTTATTATGTGATTAAACTAATACTCCAGTGTTTGTCAACCTAATCTTTATCTAATCACCTGTAGATTGTGCTCCGTAACCACTGACAATAATTTAATCTGTTTCCTTATACTCAGAAAAGAACAAAAAAAATGGCTTATTTATAATAGAAGCCAGTGGGCAGTTGCTGAATTATGTCAATAGCCATTTTAGCATGTATTTCATAGAATACTTTGATTCTTCCATTAAAATTAGGCTGCAGATATGTCATTTTTGAGGATGGGGCTGTTGGAACAAAGCTTTGTGTCTCTGTTTTTGCTCTTTTTAGCTTAGTTTGAAAATGGCAGCTATTTAGTGATGAACAGACTGATAGTAATGGTCCTAAATGACTTAGAATATAGTCTTGTTACTTACACTAAATAACTTTTTTCCTCTCCTGTAAGTTACTTATAATTCATTTTGCATTATAATTAATCACATAATTTTGAGATATGAGATTTTATTCTGACAGAATGGATATATTTTGTGCATAAAGGTTCATTCACTCAGTTCAGCAGCTTCCCATTGGCTTCTGTTATAAGTATATGTGGTCATGCTTTATTTGGATGGTCCCCTATAGATGATCTACTAGTACAAATATTATTTACAAACATTCTGGTGATGCTCAGTTGATTATCAACAACATTAAGTTTAGGGTTAGGTCTAGGAGTAGGTGTAGGCTTTGCCTTGAGGTTAGGGATTAGGGTTAGGTTTAGGGTTAGGGACAGATTTAATAGAATAATTCACATGCAACTTTAAGTTCAGTTGCATGTAATAGATATTTAATTGAGTGTTAGTTAAAGATAAACTGAGCATCTACAAAGTGGGCCATCCAAATAAGGTGTTACCGCATATTTTGAGTAAACAGATTTTCTAAGTACTGAGAAATATATTAACATCATTGTCTGTATACAATACAGGTGCAGCAAGTAGAGATTAGGTGGATAAATGCTGGAGTACTCCTTTGGCGCTCATTGTCCTTAATAAATAAATAAATAAATAAATAAATAAAGGCCTTTTTGAACAGCAGCTCCTCCACTTATCTCAAACTCATTGTGTAATGTAGTTTCTATTGGAGTACGGCATGTGAAGTGCCTCTGCTCCTCCTCCTCTCACTCTGTTTCTCTACCTCCTTCCTTACCTCCCGCAGTGACGTGTGTATGTGTATGCGTGTGTATACTCTTTCTCTCCGGTCTCGCAGGCTGAGGAATCTAACTGACGCTCTTTCACTCTTTCTTCACCGCAGGGCCTAAGCAGTTTGACTTTTTCACACCAACAATGCCGGCAACTCCATGAGCTCCATTCACTCAGGGCTGGAGGAGAGACAGCAGCTTATCCTTCACACATATAAAGATCTGCTTGTTTGGCATAGAGTGGACGAGAGGGCGTGCATCAAGCCAAGCGGTAAAGTGCTTCACCCATGCAAACACAGTGACGACTGACAGACTGAGGCCAGTTTACAAGGTAAGTTTCTTATCTGGATTGTTGCCATTGTTGTTGAACTGAAATTAGACTTAGTACTCACATGCTTAACTGACTCGGGAAGGATTTCTGTGAAAAGAGTGGCATTTAACATTCAGTGCTGTGTTTACGAGACCAAATGTTTTTCAAGCTTAAATCTATTCATTCAAAGTTCATCATTAAAATAAAATGTGAAATGTTTTATTAAATCAGTAAATGCTGTGCGGAATAAACAGACTGCCTACTTACTACTACTACTACTCATTTATTTAATTTCCAGTGAAAACGGCCATAAAGTTATTCATTTTTAGTGTCATGAAAAAAAAACAAAAAAACATATTTTTAACAGGGAATTACTGCTTTTCTTTTTTTCAGTATTTAGTGTGTCCACCCTTTACATCTTTATTACAGCTTCTATACTTTTCAGGAGACTCACTCAGTTTTTCAAAGAAATCTGCAGGAATATTTTTTAACACCCCCAAAGTTCAGTCTTAGAGGTTGGTTACGTTTTCTGTTTTTATGATCCAAGTAATCCCAAACACATTCAGTGATGTGGAGGTCTAGACTGGGGTGGTCAGTCTGTTGTTCTGAGAACACCAGCAGCTTCTTTGCTTGATTTGCAGATTTTCCTCCTTTTAATCTGTCTCCTTTCCTCAGTAATGTCTTCTTGACAGCTACACCTTCTTTCAGACTCATAGTGTTGAGTTGTCTTCTCACAGTGGAAGGATGGATAGAAAAAGCTTTTTTTCAGATCTGAATCAAGAGTGGAGCTTGATTTTCTTGTCTCTCTCAAAGATGAATGCTTTAAGTGCTGTTTATCTGATGGGGCAGTTTATCTGATGGGGCAGTTTATCTGATGGGGCAGTTGGTCAACCAGGTCTTTCACGGTTATCAAGCGCTCCATTTTCTCTGCATCTTTTAATAATTCTTTGAACTTCAATTTTGGAAAATCCTGTTTTTTCCACTTATTTTCCTTATACTTCCCCCTTCCTCAGGCAAGTATTATCTTATATTTAATCTCCTCATAAATATCTTTTGAAAAATAAACAACTTGTACTTAATGGCCATTTTGACTGGAAGATAAAAATAAATGAAGGCTGGTCTCTGACTGTCAATTTTGATGGATTTGTACTTTTAAGTATTTTCAAATGCTGCTTTTAGTTTTACTCAAGGATGTTTGTAAGGAAAGCAATGTACTTTTTACTAAGTTACAGTTTGCTTTATTAGCTTTATTAATTGATCAATTTCTTTTTTGTGTTACGTTATCCAGTGCATCTGTACTGCTCAGTGATTGGTCACACCTCTGACTTCTGAGGTTTATCATTTTATTTTGACTCAAAGGATCTAAAAAGAGAAGAATAGAGTCTAGCGAACTTCAGTTTCTATGCTGACAGATGCTAGATGTACTATAAAGTTCCACTGCAGATCTTTAACTTAACCTGGACACTTTTGTGCTTCTATTCAAGCTGTTTTGTGGAAATGTACTTTTAATTCATTATTTCACCAAAGTTAGAAAACTTTTACTTGACTATTTAGGACGCTTGTCTGTTTTATACATAATTTTTTAATAGTACAGGCATTTTTACATGTCAGTATAGACAATATTTTTTATTATTATTAATTTTTTTGCATTATTCACAAAATAATTGTCATATACTGTTGATAATGGGGAATGTGGTGGATAGTTGATCCTGAAATATTCCCCTCCATCACAACTCCAGAGTAATGAGATTGTATTTATCAGTGTAATTTGACACAAAAATATTAATGTTAATAATGGTTGCTAAAATGGTAAGAGCAATATGTAATTTAAACCCAAAAAACTGTGATTCCGCATGAACAAATTTTGAAAATAGTTTGGTCATTGGGCACTAGACTCTTTCATTCAAGTCATTTACTTCTGTACAGGTTAGAATTTGAAAAAAAGGGAAAGAAAGGATTTTTGGCTTTCGCTGTGGATCTCGGTGACGACTCAAACCTGACACACATCCTGTCTCAGTTTCATGTCCTACAATAGACTCCGTCGTCCACTTCCTCTTTTTTATTTTAACCTATATGTCACTTGTGGGATAACTGTAGTGGACGCATTTTAAAGGACCAATATCCTACATTTTGTAGTGTTATATCTTTTCCAGTTAAGACATTTGTGTGGGTTTATGTACTGAAAACTTTGTATTTCATATTACCAAAAAATCATATTTCTTTTTTACATGACCATTTCCAACCTCTAATTGTCCCTTATAATTAAACAGTTTCACTTACTGTGCCTTTAAAGGTCCCATACCCATATTTTTCTAGTTTTTATTTTTTTCCTGAGGTTCACTTATGACATTTGTACCGATTTATGTACCACAAACAGTCATAAGTCTTTTTACATGCCTATTTCCAACCTCTCTTTAGTCCTTAAGATTAAACAGGCTGATTTTGTTACTGTGCCTTTAAGACTGATATGTAAATAATATGTAAACGATGCCTTTAAGACTGATATGTAAATGTTCTAATTGCCCTGTATTGTGTCTCATAGGCCAAAACACTTCTTGTAACTTCAACAAGAATGAGTGGAACTAAACAGCTGTAGGCTGAATTCATGGATACTTTATTTTTATTATACGTTTATTTAACCAGGGTAGTGACATTGAGATTAAAATCTCTTTTGAGTGAGCCCTGGCCAAGAAGGCTGTACACAGCTACAACACCACCACCAACAACAAAATCAAGTCAAGATTAAATTAGATTAAAAACAAGAACAAACATTATGATACAGTTCTTAATAGTTAGTTAAGGAGATAAATTGCTTCAGTTTCAAATTTTTTTAGCAGATCATTTTACACAGATATATTTAAATGTATTATTTGTTGTGACATCACAAAAACGCTGAATTCAAAACGAGCTTAGCTTCCATTTATGGACCATTTATCAGCTTCCATTAAGGAGTGAACTGTACATTTTGAAACTTTAACAGTCTTTACACACTACATTAAACTATTTTGTTCCCAAAAATCTACAAAAATTCACTTTTCCATGATATGGACTCTTAAAGACTGAAATATTGTATGTAAATGGTCTCTGTTCTGAATGGCTGTGCTGTATTGCGGCTCATTTGAAAAGCAGGTCAGCCTGAAACTGTTCTTGTAACTTTAACTTGAATGAGTAACTAAGCTGTTGTAAGCTGAATAGGCAGATATGTAATATCTAAGTGCACTGATTTTTTGTGACATCATAAAATCCGTGCTTTCCATGTATGAAGTAAGTAGGGAATGAATGGTATATTTTACATCAATAATGTTTATATTTACTTCAAATATGTATTTCTCAAAAGAGATCTCCCATGATATGGACCTCTTAAAGCCTTAAAGGAATGTCCCTTTAATTCAGTGTAAAGTTTAAGGTCTTAAAGGGCTCATATCTTGGAAAACTGAATTTTCTTCCTTTATTTCAAATAAGAATTTGAGGTAGTTCACTTCCTACACATATAGTCCATAAATGGGAACTAAGTGGAGAAAACAGCCATTTGAATTTAGTGCTTTTGTGAGGTCACAAAAACAATTATCTGCCTATTCAGCCTACAGCAGTTTAGCTCCACCCATTCACACTAGTAAGGATTCTTTCAGTACGGTCTGCTTTTTGAATGAGGCACTGTACAGAGCAGCCAATCAGAACAGAAATCATTTACATTTATTAGTCTTAAAGGTACAGTAACAAAAACAGCCTGTTTAATTCTAAAAAATAAAAAAGTGGAAAATGAATGGATTTTTTTTTACATAAAACCACACAAATATCATAAAGTAATAGTAAAATATCAGAAAATATAGGACATGGGCCCTTTGAAGGTATTTACGTAACAATAGCTCTTCTGTCTTGTCTATCTTTGAGGCTTCCTGGTGGAAAGAGAAACGTTTTGAAACCGCCTCTGTACCTGTGCATGCATGTCTGTGTGTTTTCTGTGTGTTTGTGTGTGTATGTGCATATGTTAGGCTGAGTACAGTATGTGAAGCATCTTATCTTGAATGTGTCTTCCTGACTAGCTTCGGTTCATCTTGTCAGTGCCGGGTTCTGTATCTTACTGGCTTTGTTGCTTTAGTGATAGCAACTCCGCTGCTATAAAGACACACCCTTCACGATAAGAGCTCTTAAACAAAGCAAAGTTAAGCTGGTTCATAAGGCATTGTTCACCAACTGAAGTGACCCTTCCTTATAGAGTTTCTTAACACAAAAACACAGCATGGCGCACCACAGTTTGCTCTGTTTCCTGTCAGGGAGTTCCTCTTGCGTGTAAAGAGCGGTTTGAGGCCTAGCTTGTTAAGCCAGTCCGGAGGCCCTCTTGCTGGTCGGCATTTTTTGCTCTGCTTCTACTTCCTGCTCACCTGTATCAGGTAATCAACGTCTGCGGTACACTGATTAGCGGACTCACATGTTTCAGGAGACAGGCCAGGGTTAAAAGGTCAGCTCGCTTGTGGTAGGGATGAGCATTTTTTTTTACCACTGTTTCTCTGTGAATATCTGTATTTGTACACAAATTATATTTGAATATCTGAACAAGAACATATTAAGTATAGAGAACACTGGTGTGGATAGTTTAGCCTTCATTTGGTGCATACAGCTAAGAGGTTAAAAATTTGTCATCTTTTTTTGTTTGACTTTGTTTTGGTTGACAGTTCTAGGGCTGGGACTAGGGGTGGGTGATATGGCCTTCAAATAATATCATGATATTTTGAAATATTTTTGCAATAATGATATTAATTAACAATATAAAAAAACTATAAAAAATATAAAAAAACAGCTGAAAGGGAACAAGTTAGGTTCATAAGAATGGCAGAGGAAGTTGCACAGGTACCTATTACAACACAAAAAAAAAGACAGAGGTAGAAACGGCATCGAACAAACAGAGTTTGGATAAAGCAAGAGGTCAAACCAGAGTGAACATTGGTTTGGCTTTCTAACGGTGGCGAAACCTGAGGGAGTTGAAAGGCCTGGACAGCGACACCAAGGTTGCTATTTTTCTGTTGGACAGGTAACAATCCGGGAATTTGTTATTTTCCTGAATTATGTAGCCAACATAGCTGGCTACTTATGTAGCTACATTATGTATTAGTCCAGCATTAATGTTAGCTAAGCTGTAGGTGTAAGCTAGATAGCTATGTTAATCTTGTATGTAATCTGTGTGTGTATATGTTCGTTGGCAGTGCATGTTCATGTGTTTTGGGTAGTGGCTTTGGAAGGAGGGCTGAAAGTTGGGTGGAATTATTGAAAACTTTTCCTGCTGGACTTACGGCTCATTTATTGTCAAAAGGGTCAGTTTGACCCAGAACAGTAAGATGTTTTGCCCCAATGACAGACAATGTCAAAAATGTTGGAAAATTCTAAATAGGAATAATTAAAACAAATGTGTTGGTTTTCTAGTTTTGGCCAGGAACTAAATCATTGATATACATTTTTTTTTCACTACTTAAAACCACTATTATTTTGCAGTTACATACTCAGTATGTCTAGGACAGTTTCCATTTGTGCCAGACTTGGAATGCAGTACAAAATGAAAAATATATATATACATTCTACTTATCGGTATTTCATTGCTGTCATTTATAATTATTGATACATTTTAGCACCTCCCAAACATTTATTGCCCTAGGCTTTTTATGCACAAGCGTTTCAAGAGTACAGAAAAACTAAAAACTATCAGCAGCTGGCGATCAAAAGAGAACAGCAAATTTAGCGTTGACGTGCAGAACATCATCTCCGCATTCACAAGAACCAAACATCCTGTTGAGGTCTGATGTTATTGGCAAATAACAATGAAGCCTATTTCCAATATTCAAAACTGCACCATTGAGGTGTAGAAAAAGTTTTCTGGTCAGACAAGTTTAGGTTTCTTTTGCTTTTATGCTGATGGAAAGTTCAGAACTTGGCATAAGCAGCACAAGTCCGTAGATCATCCTGTTTGGTGTGGGTACTACAGGTCAGTGCTGGCAGTGTAATGGTAACAGTGAATGTCTTCCTGGCACACGTCTCTGATACCTACTGCACATTTCCACCATGTTAATAAGGCACCATTTAACAATGCATGGCAGTGGTGTAGGCAGAAGAAATTTTTGGGTAGACCTTGGGTGGAACCTGGTAGATACAATTTTCAAATGTGCTAATGTCCCGCAATGTCTTAACATCAGGCTATAGCCTATTCCTGACACTAGTGCAGTCATCACCCTACCTTCCAACGCTACCACCCTATGGTGGCACTAAACTATAGCGAGACTGTGTACACATCAACCAGATTGCTGGATTCACATAAATACAACCAACATATACATTTTCCATATTGGAGATGCTTGTTTTAATTTGGACAGTGATGAAATGTTTTCCCCCATTTGATTGGGTAGGTCTGTGATTAATTTGGATAGGCCCAGGCACACCCATAGCCTACCCGTGGCTATGCCCCTACTGTGTAGTCTTTGGATCTCAGTCTTTTTGACTATCTTTTGGAAGAGGTGCAAAGAGCTGTTCACAGCAGGACTTTGCAAAACTGCGCAATGCAGTAATTTCTGCGTGGTACAACATGCCTGCATGATGTGTCCAGCGTCATGTAGAATCCATGCCCAGGCAAATTCATGTGTTTCTGAAAGCAAAAGGGGGCACAACATGCTAGATAGGTACCTAATAAACTGGAAAAAGTGTAGATTATACTCACACAAGTGTACATATAAGCAGTAATCATGTCTGGCTAAAACATGCTGAAAACATCTGTGGTAGATTCCGAAGACCCCACACAGGAAAGCTGTGGCTGTTATAAGGAAGGAAGCAAGGTCAACTTGGCTCAGAACTCTCTTAAAGAAGAAGTTCACAGATTTTTCAAAATTTTTGCACAATTCAAAATCAGCCATGTTGATTATGGTAGTGTTAGTTTTCTTTGGAGATTGTTTTTACTAACAATATTCACCATGAATGTGCTAAAAGATACATTTTAGCCCAAAACCATATGTCAGATCTATCATAAAACAGAGTCTCAGGCATTAGCCAGTGTTTTCATAACCATTTCATGTAATAACCTTCTGTGAGGGAGCTTTTAGAGGCATTAACCCTTTTGCAACCCTGAGCATTTCACATCAAGGTGCTCTGAATTCTCTGACTTCTGAAAGTCAGCTTTCAGCTTCAGTCTTACAGAACATTAAGAACATTTTTGCCCACTCCTGTACATTTACCATTTTGGAGTTGCTTTAATTTGGACAGTGATGAAATATTTTTCCCCCATTTGATTGGGTAGGTCTGTGATCAATCTGGATAGGCCCAGGCCCACCCAAGCCTACCTAAGGCTACACGCCTACTACATAGTCTTAGGATCTCAACCCTATTGACTATCTTTGGTAAGAGGTGGAAAGAGCTGTTCACAACAGGACTTTTCAGAAACTGCGCAATGCAATCATTTCTGCGTGGTACAACATGCCTGCATGATGTGGAATCACATCAATCACATTTCACATCAGGCCACTTTGAATTCTCTGACTTCTAAAAGTCAGCTTTCAGCTTCAGTCTTACAGCTTCAGTTCTTCTTTTGGACTTTTGTGATTAGTTCATTAAATTGTGTTTCTCAAATATAGTCTTGAAGGTTTTCATTTCTCTAACACGTCAAATCAGTGCAGGTATCACCATGACTGGATTCCAGGAATACAGACCCTCATTTGGCACCTACTGTAGTGTAGTGATTTGTTGTTGGAACCTTACTCTGCTCCATTGGGTTGTGAAGCTGTTTGCTCTTGGTTATTTGAGTGAGGGATTATTCTCAGCACAGCAGTGACACTGACATGGTAGCGGTATGGTAGTATGTGTTGGCACCGGGCATAGTGGTGAGTTTTTTGTTTTTTGTTTTTCCTTTTTTTTTCTCTCTCTGTCTGAACAAGCGCCTGAACTGAATCTAAAGTTGGTGGTGCGTTGAAAAATCATCCTTGTCGTTCTGGTGTCAGTGGCAACTTATTGAAAATATTGTGAAACATATTGTGTGTCATGAAAGTGTCAAGTATCGTGATATTATATTTTTGCCATATCGCCCGCACCTCTGATATGAGCTTACAAACCTGTGCCATAAAGGTTTGGAAAAAGGATGAAGAGTAGCTGCAACCTTGGAATCAGCCTTTTGGTCAGCGGCGCTGGCTTTTGTTTCATCCCATAACACAAGACAGCAGAACTCGGTGTCTCCCTGCTGTGGAAAGAGCTTTCTGAAGACGCATTTACATCACTATAGCGGTGGCAGAATTACTGCCGCCAGTACTGCTGCCTCTTATGCCTCTTCTTAACTCACTCACTCACTGCCCACCCCACACTGCTCTCTCTCTCTCTCTTGCCTCTTTCTCTCCCAGATGGCCTCACACAGTTCCTGGTTCTTTGAAGAAGCAGCCTGCATGGACAAAGCCAAGTCATATATCTCTGTATGGAGGCACCGCTGACTGGAGGAGAGGCCTGTCGAGGTGGCTGTCTTTGGGCAGCTGAGATCTTTTACAGTCTGAGTCTCTGCAAGGCTGAGAGTGGGTGAGAGTTTGTTCCGTAGCCCTGACCCGGAGAGCGATAGAGCTGAAGACATGTTGCCGCTTCTGGTTTTGTGTCTTTGGAGTCCAGCTCTACTGACCGCCAAACAGGTCTTGGATAGCACGGCCCGGAAGACCATCAGCCTCCATGGTAAGTGAGCTGTTTTTCAAAAGGTTTGTAATTAAGTTGTTCTGTACAACACTGTTTGGAATAGTACAGAACACTAAAGCTTGTCTAAGTCACTTTTATCATTAAAAATTATCTTATGTACAATAATAAATTTTAATTTGTACGCTAGACATCCAAAGCTATTTTAGGTGGTATTCAATATTTTGAACATTTTAAAATCAATTCTTAAATTATTCTGCAGCAAAATTGTTTTTATTTGAAAACACTGAAATAATCATACACACTTAAATGTGATAAATTACCCTCCAAAATGTACGGATAGATGATTTATTCAAGTATTTTCAGAGCAACAATAAGTTAAATAATGAAAATACTATATTTACAATGTTTTTTTTATCATTTATCTACCTACCACACTTGCAATAATAAGCATTAGGGATAAGGACATTAATTTTATCACACTTTGTAGCTTTTATTACAGCTACTAAATATGTGAAACCTCCAAAGTCATAGAGACTAGCATTTTAGAATTATCTTACACATTTATCTACAACCAAACTGGTTTTATATTACTGAAAATGTCGGTTTAGCCCCTCCTAAGAAAAAACACGTATTAATCTTTCCACCTTTTTTTTGGATAATCCAAATATTTTATGTTTTATTTTGTATGTTTCACATTTAAAAGCCAGACTATTTTTCGTTGCAAGAGCTCAATTAATGATAAATGTCCTGTGAAAAATATCCTTCCGGTGATTGTCTGTGTGGCAGTATGGTCTCGTAAAGCCTTTGAGCGTAGTGTACATCTGAATTACCGACCTAGATTTCTAAATACGGTACAGGTGCAGTTTTCTTTGTTCAGTAAGGACTATTACACACAGTAGTCCAGCCCAATAGCTTGTGTTCTGGACATTAAAGAGCGTTGTGTGTCTGTTGCTAGGTAACAGTGGCCATTTGTTTCGGGAGAAGGGGGTGTGGAACTACTCCACCATGCTCCTGAGGGAAGACCTGAGCCTGCTCATCCTCGGCGCTCGAGAGGCCATCTTTGCCCTGGATCTGTCCAACATCACCCACAAGAAGGCGATGGTCAGGAGAACAGTATTTATATTGTTTACATTGTATTATGAGTAACTCTGGATTTTTAAAGGGGTTTCCATGTTCAACTAATAATTCCATGTAATAGGTCTGGTGTAGTAAATGTTGTTTTGTGTGTGTGTTGTGCATTTAGCATAAAACAAATATATAGATTAGATTTAATAAAAAAGGGAAGTCAGTATGGAATATGTACTATTTGTTTATTTATTTATGTATTTATTTATTAATTTATTTTTAGGTTAAGTGGCAAGTTACCCAAGACATGCAAGAAAAATGTTCACATAAAGGAAAAGATTTAGAGGTGATATCTCACTTTTCTTTACTAGCATAATCTGACTTTGACACACTGCTTTTCCTTGTTGTCCTAAGAAAAAGAAGTATCTCCAAAATGGTAACTTTACAGGAGAGGACAAAAACTCTCTTAACTTTTAGTGTGAGTTAATTTAAAGAGGTTTTGTTCCAAATTAATATGGAGCATTTCTATTGGTTGATTCATCATGAAATTATCACGCAATGTACAGCCCAACTGCCATGTTCAGATGTTTCAGAAAAATGAAATTTGACAAAAATGGAGATACATGTTTTTCTTTGAAAAGCAATGTTTTTCACCACATAGTAAAGTACTTTCTGGGAAATAGTGAGTCATGAATAACTACTAAAATATATTATCAAGACAAAACCTCGTAACTCTTTTCTTTTTCTTTTTTTTTTTTTTACATAATTTGAAAACACAAGCTGCCCTTTAATCGTGGCAAAATTTTATGATAAATGGCCCAATATTACAAATGTTATAAATGCTCCAAAAATACCTGGAATAAAAGTCTTTATTCCAGGTTTTTTTTTTTGTTTTTCCCTTCTCTTGTAAGGTAAACTTTTTGGAAATAAAAGGTTTCGTTCATTTAATCTGGCACGTTAGGCTTTCAGTTCAGCTCCTTAAGGCCTAACCAGTGGGAGAGCTTGCTTGGCTGTATCTACCTAGATACTTTGTATAAAGACAAACCTAACTGGATAGGTTTCTCTTAACTGTTTCAAGAACTTTAACCTTTCAACTTAACAATAAAATGAGTATTGCTACAATATTTGCAATTTGAATATATTAAGCATGATGGTACTATTAAATAAAAATAAAGTCAAAATTACAGACTAATTTTTGCTTCCCAGAAATCATTAGAAGGCCTGAGGGTTCTACACTGGAATAAGTATGTAGTATTAAGATCAACCACACTAGCCAGCCAAACCAAATGTCTGGAATGCCATTTCTCATCAGAAATATTCCACACCGGGCTGCAGGCTGGACTGGAAGTCATTTGTCTTAGTTCATTTTTCATAGACTCTGTTATTACTCTTTAAGATCGAGTGTCAGAACTACCTGCGGGTTCTTCATAAAATGGATGATGGCAGGATGTACGTGTGTGGGACCAATGCTTTCAGTCCATCCTGCGACTACATGGTGAGTCATCTCTGACTGTAAATGACCACAGCAACCAGGCTGCTGTTATTTTTATTTATCTATTTTCAGCTGCAACAACAACTTCCTCTGTTGCACCACATCTGCAAACTGGTGGTGAAGTGTGGCTGGTGCACCTCATGCGTTGCATTAAGTTTGTTTTCTCTTACAGTCATATACAGACGGCAAGCTGACTCTGGAAAATAACCGGGAGGATGGGAAGGGAAAGTGTCCGTTTGATCCTTTCCAGAGATACACCTCTGCACTAGTTGGTATGTTCTCCAGCTATTTCTCGCAAGTCTCTTCCAAAGGAAAATAGATACATCACAGTAAGGAACACAGTGTTCTGTCGACGGCATTCACATATTTATAATAATAAATCATGTACAGTGCTACACTTTTCTGGAATTCTTTTCCAGTTTTGCATCAACCTTAAACCCTTTACATCCAATGATACGGTTAACCCTTACAAATTACAGTTAAAAACATCTTAATGTAAGTGCCTCCTAGATCTTCAGAGAAGGCCTAATGATCTCATGTCTGTAATTTTTAGTTCATTTTTATTTAATATTATGATGACACTTGTTGTATTTAAACTCTTAAAGCATTGTAGTACTACTCTTATTTCATTTTCAGTTTTAGTTGGAAATTGTCCAACCAGGAATGATTTATCCGTAGTATCTAGGCAGATACAGCCAAGCGAGCTCTCCCACCGGTTAGGCCTTCAGGAGCTGAACTGAAGCTGTTATATGTCAGATAATTAGGAAGTGGCAGAGGAAACATCCAATCTTGTTCAGATTTCTAATGGGTTGGACCAATTTTGTGAGGAAAAACGTTGTTCTGGAAGTCCTGGATATGTCACTGACTGTGAATATGAGCAGTAATCCAACCAGATTTCAGTCAGTTGTTAGAAATGAAAAACAGCAGCTGTAGCTCTATGCCTGGGCTCTGTTCAGAAGAGTTACTGTAAATCTGAAACATACAAGGTAAAATATATGTTCATGTCTGTCAAATAAAACATATAGAATGTCTTTCACAAGCCTCAAATGTCTGTGTTTAATCTAGAATGGATTACATATGTTCATGTACACCAGCATTAGCTCATTGCTGACTTACTGCTAGAAATCTCGTAGGGGTGCTAGCAGGAATGAACATTATCTTAGAGGTGGTGTTCTTCTTGTTTATTCCCAACTTGACTGAGCTCTAATAGTCATGATTCACCATTTTTTGTCCAAAGTGCTGATTCCAAACTTTCACTCAGTTCACATTTGTAAGTATCAAGGTATGCAAACGTGTGAACACCCTTGGTGAAATAACATTTTTTGTTGGTTTTTTAAGTGAAAATAAGTTAACACATACTCCACAGAGAACACACTTCCGCACATTTTAATGCACAGTTCCTGCTGGTTTGCTGAATTTAACATATTGGAAAAAAAACAACACCCAATATGATAAAACTCAGCAAATAAATGCACTAAAATTTGCAGAAAAAAGGATGTGTTAACTTATTTTCACTTAGAAAATCAACAGAACATTTGATTTGGGGTACTCAAACCTTTGCATACAACTGCATGAGAGGAGATGTTATGATTTGAATTTGATGAAAAGTAATTGTTGTGTGTTGGTTTGTGGAAAGAAAAACATTCTGTACATTTTTGCCACGTTTGTCATTTCTTAACATCAAAACAAATAAAGAATGTCAACACACAATGCAAACGGAGTGTAAAGGTAATTTTGTCTTAGCACTTTATAAGAGTAGCAGAGTGTGTGACCAGAACTTGTACATTTTTGCCACTTGTTTTTTGTCTTTCAGACGGTGTGCTGTACTCTGCCACCTCCATCAATTTTCTGGGCTCGGAGCCGGTGGTGATGCGTAGCTCCCCTGAACCCATCCGCACTGACTTCAAATCCTCCTGGCTTAATGGTCAGACAGAGCACAGACACGCACCCTTACAACTACACAAGCAATAGAAATACCATACTACAGATACCATACTACACTGTTTTGTGATTAGTTCATTTGTGTCAAGCTTAAGAAATGATTTTGTTGTACTTGTTTTTGTAACACGTATTTTTTTTTAGAGATGCACTGATGTGGAAATTGTGGTCTGATGCCATTATCTACTACTGTTCATGTACATATCTATCAATCCCAATGCTGATATATAAGGATTTACAGAATGTAGAAATTAAGACTAAATATAGTTGTATTAGCATTACAGAGAAATATCGAGGTATGTAAACTTCTAAGGTTATAGATACAGGAAAAATGAATAAAATCTGCTCTTCTAGAATATGAAAAATATCATCGTCATCAAATATAGATTTTAAATATCGTCCAAGTCTAAACATCTGATTCCAATTTTTTTTTGGTGAATATCTGCCCATACTGGTATGATTCCGATGTCCTCATGCATCCCTTTTACTTTTCAGCAATCTTTCTGTGGTATACTGTAAAGAATTACATTTTCACATTAAGAATGGTAGGAATTAATCTTTGGAGATTTTGTATTGATAATGAAATAGTTCTGCTATTTTTTTTTATTTAGTATATCTCTCACATTACACAGATCAAAGGATGGCTATGTCCAGAATTATGCCCAACAGAGCCGAACTTTTTTTTTTTCATATTGAAATTGCAGTTTGAAAGAGGGCAATTTTCAAATTGCAACTGCAGTTTGATGTAAGTTTTAATTGGGCAAATTTAATCTAGTCTAATAGTGCAGGGTGTGTGAACTGGTAGACTAATAGACTACATTCAGGGTTCAGGCCTTAAGCCAGAAAAAATGGACATTCTAGTCTTCCTCACCAAAAGAAAAAACATGGCTAGAGCTTAATTCAAAGAAAACAAGCACAATTGAGTTGCAGTTGCAGTACTGGTTAGAAAAATCCAGTGCACTGTTACAGATGTTCCACAATGCGCTGCAATAGGTAGTGTACCCTAGCAGACACAAAATACCCAGAATGCACTGTGCTGTATTCAACAACATCTGTTTTGGAAACTTAAAGCAGTATGGATTGTCCATACACTTGAAACTGTCAGTGACTGGAAGCTAAACTGTTGGTTTTAGAGCCCAATTTTACTGGCATGGAGCACATAGCTGAGGGAGAGCAGAGCCCAGAAGGGGACGATGACAAGATCTACCTCTTCTTCAGTGAAACGGCAGTGGAGTACGACTCCTACAGCAAGATGGAGGTGTCGCGGGTGGCTCGCGTCTGTAAGGTAAGCTACTTCTCAACAAGCAGGCGCCTCCACAGTTGCCAGTATTTTAATACCATGAGTGATCTGTAGTGACTTGTTATGCTTGCTTCCTGGCTTTTTCAAAATATTCACATCCCCTCTCCTCTCCAGAACGATATGGGCGGTCAGAGGACGTTACAGAGGAAGTGGACGTCGTTTGTAAAGGCTCGTCTGGACTGTCCTGTTCCTGACACCAGCCTTCCTTTCCTCATACAGGATGTGTTCCGCTTTTGCTCCGGCGACTGGACGAGCTGCGTCTTCTATGCAGTCTTCACCCCTCAAGCGTGAGTGTGATTTACTACGAACCTGAGATGACTTAACTGTCTTATGATGAATAAATGCCAATACATGAGCACAGTTTCAGTTTAATTAGAGCATTGCAGCAGTGCTACCAACAGAATAGTTTGGCCGAAAATGAAATTTACACAATTTTTGTCTTACCATAAAAGCAGTCAGTCACCCAAGACATGTTTGTTGTCTGAAGTTTGCTTCTTTAGTTTAGATCTGGAGCTATGGAAGCTTATATAACACCACTTAGCATTATGCAAACTTATATTAAGAAAACTATATATATATATATATATATATATATATATATATATATATATATATATATATATATATATATAAAGAAAAAAAACATACTTTACTTTTAATGTAATTCACTGTAACCAGACTTTTTTCCAAGTAATTTTGTGGCATTTCTTTACATAGTAAAGGGCAACAGACATAAAACTGAAAAACAGCAAAAATGGAGATGCAAGGTTATACATAGCCTAGATAGGATAGATTAGCATTGTTAGCTACATTAGCCTCGTAGTGTTAGTCTAGAACTAAAGAAGTCTTGGCTTATTAACTACACTTGGAGTAGGGGAAAAATTGCGTGAAACTGATTTCTTGCCAAACTAATCCTGTAATTTACAGTATAAGACCTGTGGTTCCATTCTAGGCCAACAGTATAGCAATCAAATTCTATAAGGGAGGTTTAAAAGCAGTATTTCCCAACTCCTGGCCTGTAGTCCATCTGCACTGCACAGTTTCTAGTTTTCTTTACACTGACACCTGATTCAGCTGTAAAAGGACTTAGAATTAGCTAATGATCTGACTCAGGAGGGGAATTCCGCCATTTTTTTAAATGTCTGAATAATTCAGTTATTAAGGTCTAAACAAAGTCATTCAGAATGGTATGGCGTAAAATGGTTCATTATAGAGAAACTCAGATTTCTGCATAAACAAAAAATAAAACAATGTCTCATGATGGTTAAGTACTCTTCAGACGTTCCTATCACCACCACTGTTAACAATTCTGGCTTGGTAAGTGTCTCTAAAATGGAGCATTTCACATAATCCTATAAATCTATCGATTTAATTTATGCATAAGTTTTGAAAAAACAGTGGAATGCCCCTGTAAACGTTACCACTCCCGTTAGGCAAATTGGAGGAAGAAAACTGAGCTGAATGGAATTCAGGTCATGCAATCCACCTTAAAGCAATAGTTTCCCTGAATGTAGCATTATAAATCATCACACACTTGCCTCAAAAGATGTCAACACTATTCCAGACAGTGCCGGAAACCACATATGTATTTGTCAGAGATTGTTTAACAGCTCAACATGTTTTGGGATGATTGCATGCAAATTTACACAATTCTAAATGGCATAAATAAGCTTCTGCTCTGTTTATGTACAGTACTGTAGAAAAATCAGAGACCATCTTTTCATTTACTTAATAGTCTTTAAGGAAAAGCTGTTCATTTTTCAGTATCAAAAAAGAAGGAAACATATTTAACTGAAAATTACATAAAAGCCTCAAACACCAAATGTAATATCATATCTATCAGTATTTAATTTGTCCCCTCTTCTTTTGTGCAGTCTTCTGCCGCTTAACTCTTCCATCTTTCCAACCTTAAAACCAACCAGTTACAGCTGTGTCCTTCCAACAAAAGCTGTTGCCAAAGATATTACTGTTCCCTTTCAAATAGATACTAACATTCACACAACTAGCTACCCAAAAACATGTTAGCTGTCTCACAGGTTTCTTGTTCATTAGCATCTAAAATGGCTAAAGGAAATATTTCTGAGGAGATGAGATATAAGATAATCCACTTGCAAAGGAAAATAAGTTTCCAAAACTGGAGATACCGAGAAAGTAGGACTCCTAACAAACGTCAGGTAAACAGCACTTAAGCTTTAATCTTTGAGAGGAGAAAATCAAACTCCACTCTTGTTTCAGATCTGATAAACAGGTGTTTCTGTCCATCCTACTGTGCAACTCACCGCTATGAGTCTGAAAGGATGTTTAGCTGTCAAGAAGCCTCACTGAGAAAAGGAGACAGACAAAAAAGAAGAAAATTTGCAAATCAAGCAAAGAAGCTCCTTGTGTTCTCAGAAAAAAAAAAACTTGCACTGGAACCAAAACTGGACATCTGAGATGTGGAGTAAAGTTTTAAGGACTTTTGAGTCTAAATTTGTAATTGGGATTACTTGGATCGTGAAAAGCAGAAAATGCAAACAATTTCTAAGACTGAACTTTGGAGGTGTGGAAAAATATCCCCACATATTTATTCGAAAAGCTGAAAGCGAGTCTCCTGGAATGGAAGTTGTAATAAAGGCAAAGTGGGACCCACAAAATACTGAAAATTGTGTTTTCTGCTTTTTTCCTGATGTTGAACAAAGAATACAAAAAAAGTTGCACTTAATGGTTGTTTTGACTGGAAATTAAGTAAATGAAAGGGTGGTCTCTGACTTACGCACAGTACTATACATCATAGCTGTGTCAGTTTGATTTAGAGCTAAACTCAACTGGACCTTGGTGTTTGATTCACAGGCACACGTCTCAGTACTCCGCAGTGTGTGCTTACAGAATAGCAGACATTAGGAAGGTTTTCTCTGAAGGCAAGTTCAAGACTCCAGTCCCTGTCGAGACGTCGTTTGTAAAGTGGGTGATGTACAGCGGCGAAGTGCCCTTCCCTCGGCCGGGAGCCGTGAGTTCACTTTTCATTACTCAGTAACAAGTTCAGTTTTCCAGCAAGTTAATTATTGCAGCCAGTTAGCTATTCATGTATTCCGAGTTATCGATCTGCGCTGTTGTTTTCGTTCTCTCTAGTGTATTAATAACGAAGCGAGGGAGAAGGGGTTTTCCCGGACTCTGGATCTGCCTGATAGAACCCTGCAGTTTATCAGAGACAAGCCGCTTATGGACCAGGCCGTGCAGCCGATCTCTGATGTCCCTCTGCTGGTTAGAAGAGGACCTGAGTTTACTCGCATTGTAGTGGCCAGTGCTACTGCACTGGATGGAAGCAGCTATCAAGTCATGTTCATTGGCACTGGTAAGAACCCAGCTAACAGTGTCACTATCGATTATATTAGTAATTGAATAATTTACCAGTAATTTTGATGACTGAGTAATTGGTGCTTTTTAAGGCCATGCAGTAAAAATAGTACTGCCTTTCAAAGATTCCATAATACTTTATTGAAAGGATAAAATGTAAGGTTTTGAAAATACACATGCATATACATGTATACAGTCATATGCAAATTTTTGGTGCCCCTGGTTAGATGACATGTTTTGTGGATTTTCTAAGAAGGTGTGTTTTAATCAGGGGTGCCCAAACTTTTTCATACAACTGTATATATGTGGCAAGAATGAATGTAAGTCATGCTTTGGTTTTTAATGTAAAAGATGACAGTAGAGGAATTTAAAATATGTATTATTAAGGTATCTGCAGTTATCAGCAAAGTCAACTTAATGCTTTTTAAGTAATTTTTAAAGAAATTTTGTGTATTTCATAGTATTTCGTAGTCTTTAATGCATAAATCTTCATTCGATTATCCAGCATGCCACCATTAAGATAATGCTAATTTCCGCTTGTGTTAAGAGACATTCAAGTGGTAGACTCTTTACTGTATGTTTTTACAGTAAATCAGTAAAGCCTGACGGAATATTGTTGGAGGAGTCTGTTAACTTGTTAACTGTCTGCATATTCAGCCTAGACCTCATCAAACAAAACCTTCATAAACAGTTTTAATTCATATGCATGCCATTTCAAACAGCAAACATTAGATTTTTCCTCATATACATGAAATTTCTAACTACAAACATAACATGCATATATGAGATCCTGCTGGTGTGGGTTTCCTCTTTTTCAGCGATGCACACAAAAGTGAAAAATAAAAAAAATCTTATTTTGATTTCTGTTTTGACACTTAATGATAATATACTGTTTGCAGCAATATTTTTTGTCAAATTAACTGCTTTAAGATTTTGTTAAATACAAGGCATACTAGATATTAATTTTACTATAACTACTTATAATGCTATGCAGTTTTCTGCCATTTTAGATTCATCTATAGTTCTGTTCATCATTTTTTCTTTTGCTTTTCTTGAGCTTCCTACTTATTATTTATATTTTATATTTTTTATTATATTTATTATTTCTAACCTGTAAAATTAAAGAGGACTAGCATATGAGTCAATTTATACACTTATCTGCAACCAGACTGATTTTATGTTATGAAAAACATTGATTAAAAACATTTGTACAGTAGTGTTGACCGAGGACAGCAAACTCAACCTGTCATCTCACATCATGTCAACATATACAAGCTTTCACAAAGCACAAAGCAAATGCTGTTGCATTTAAAGAAGGTTTGAGTAGCTTGATATGTTCTGTTGCATGTGTGTATATTTAGTTCATTGTGAGGATCAAACATCCCCAGGATGTTGGAAGAAATGAACATTGTGATGTGAGGTTTTATTTATTTATTTTACAAAATATTTAGCTTTTATTTGAAAACACAAAAGATACTAGAGCTTTCTTTGGGTCACTGATTGAGATTAAGATTAGGGTTGGATTAGGTGGTGGAAATTCCCTACAATGATAGGAAATCTGTCTTTTTGTAAAACAGCCAGCGGTTCAGTGCTGAAGGTGGTGAACTATGATGGAGATACGGTGATAATAGAGGAGGTGCAGCTGTTTGAACCGTCAGAGCCGGTAAAGATACTGCGCCTCTCCAGCGCCACGGTGAGCACTGCACTCAACACAGCTCCTTCGGTTTCTTTCTTCTAGTCAATTCCAGTTCGTTTTGCATTCACTTCAACTGGATTCAACTCTTGGCTTATTATTCCATTATTAATTTGAAGACTCATTATATAGGAATCACTGACTTGTAGTTACAAGAGTGAGGAAATAGTGAGAGAATTGTTTTTTTCTAGATATAGAAACCTGCCAATGGGCCCTTAATTTAATTTCATTTCATTTCTGTTTAATTCGGGTTCATTACCATATTCAAATCCAGTTGATTCAAATTCATCTCATTTTGACTCAGTATCTAACTATATCTAGTGTCTATGTAATATCTAACTAGTATCTATCTAACATGCCTGTTCTCTCAGAGTCAGCTGTATGCAGGCTCGGAGGTGGCAGCAGCACAGATGCCTCTGAGTTCATGTGGCCACTACAGCTCATGTCTGGACTGTGTGCTGGCCAGAGACCCCTACTGTGGCTGGGACCTCACCGCTAATCATTGCACTGCTGTAAGCAGTATTCATCCAGATACACACAGGTACTGAGAATCTAGCATCATTTAAGGTGGCATACTATGAAAGTGCTTAGTACAAATTCCTCAAGATTGTAATAAAGTAAATAGAACTGAATAAATGGAACATGTCACTGTACATTCTTCTCTCCTACATCCTACAGTGATGTGATTCAGAGTCTGAGAGATGGAGATGCCACACGCTGTCCATCAGTCGGTATGCTAAAACATGGATTTTCATATCATCGCCTAATAGTAGCACAGAGGGGTTATTTACACTAAAACACAGGCTTTTCTACTCCTTCATCCTATAATATTACACCACAGCGTATATTAATTATTCTTTGAGAACATATATTCTACATTTTTCTTGTATTTTATTTTCCCCTTCCATTAATAAGTTCTTTTCTAAAGTATCTGGAAGTTCATTTAAATGATTCATTCTTGAGAAAATTAGTCAGAATTGTTTACAGTGGTGGTGATGGGAACCAGATGTCTGAAGTGTTTTAATGGATCTAAAAGCTACATAACAGAAAGCTGTTACATGAAATGATTACAAATGCGATTTCATGCCTGAATATTATTTTATGATAGTTTTGTGAGAATGAATCATGCAGAAATGTTGTAAATTCAGCGGAATTTTTCAGTTCAGGCTGAAATCCTCAGGGACATTAAAAAAATATAAACTTCAGCCAGTTCTTTCTGATATCTGGACCCCATTGGAAGGCTACAATGATACAATCACTTCCTGACAGCCAGGAACAGACCAACATTTAATATTTCCCTTCCATCTTCCACTCCAATAACTGCTACAGACTGTTTACAGTAATAACACTCCTTTTCACTTCAGCATAAATGGGCAGTCATGTAAATGTGTTCACTGTTGTGATGTCACAACTACGAGGAATTCAAAACAGGATGTTTTTGCAGATTAGTTTACTCGTATGGCCTGGGGAGTATGTTTTGAAGCTTTAAGATTTTTGTTTACATGCTACATCAAATGTTTTTTTTTTTTTATAAAAACAAGAAAAATGTAGTTTTGCATTATATGGGCCCTTTTTAAGAATTCAGAAGCCCTTAAGACATTACAATGAATATTTACGCCTACGTTTTACTATTTTTATGTAAATGTGTTTTACAGAAAGTGTTAAGGCCGTGAACATCACCTTCCATCCGGGCAACACCATCAAGCTTTTGTGCCAGCCGGGATCTAACCTGGCCCGGACGCAGTGGCACATAGACCAGCGACCAGTTGTCAGCTCTGACACCTACCAGATTCTCCGAGACGGCCTGCTGATCCTCAATGCCTCAGCTGAAGCCAGTGGCCTCTACAACTGCAGTTCTGTGGAATCCTCCAACAGCAGGGACTATGTTACCCAGAATGCTGTGTATGAGCTGAGGCTGGGGGCCAGCCAGTCAGGAGAGACATCCCTGTTACTGCCACAAGTGCAGAAGCAGCAGCACACTATGATGGTTCTCCAGGTCATGGTCGTCCTCCTGTCGCTGATGCTAGTAGCGCTAGTGATGTGGAACATCTACAAAGGGCATTTTGGCTTCCTTCCACAATGCTTCAGCCGAGGTCAAGACGCTGAGGGTGGACAGACTTCTGTTCGCAATGTCCAGGAGCCGCTGCAAGTTTCAAATGAACATATATCGAGAGATGGCAACACCAGTAATAATAACCACAACAGAGGAGCTGAATTCCATAGTGCGCAGGGAAAAAACAGTAAGACGCAGCAGAATACAGACCAAATACTCTAGTCCAGTTTGAGTAACTTGACTGATTTAGACAAAGCTCTACCCACTGGAGTGGACTTAATATGGACTCCTTGGGACAAAAGCAGTGGACAGATGGATGTAATGCAGATGCTTACAGAAATTAACCACACGCTCTGGACTGTTTGAGAGCTGGGTGGATTGTTTGGAGTTACAAATGTCTTTCTTTCCTCAAGTTTCTCCGTACAGACTTACTGAGACCTTTGTGTGCCTTCAGTATCCTCACCTATAAGATTTCACAAACACTGAACTCCTAATGCACTTAAAAGCACAGTATGTTTAATCGCAGATTCATAAAAAGGATTTACAAAATACTGTCTCTGGGGTCAGTTTCAAGGATTAAGCCCAAGTCATGGACTATACCTGCCTTCCAGTGGAAAATCTCCATTCAAAATCCTGTGTAGTCCAGGATCAAGCTTAATCCCAACCAGTCCATAAAGTCTGAGCTTAGATCAGGGATTGCAGCAGTTTGGTGATGTTTCTGCTTTTACCGCTAAAGGTAGTTAGTAAGCCATGTAAACTAAAACTAAGACATAAAGCCTGGATTCATGTGACCTTGGCTAAAGGAATCTAAAGATATTGCATAATATGCAGCAGTAGACAATAACAGGGATGACATCAGCAATAACTTGCATGATTCTGCTTTAACAGAACAGTAGAAGTATTACATAGTTCAGCTGTTTTGTTCATTTCTAAAATGTGAGCTTCCTAGAACTCATACTCGACATTAGCCCGTGCACGTCCTTTCAGGTATGAGGCACAAATGACTTGTCTCTGAACATCAGCACCAGGAAATACAAACATATAGTGCATCTAGGCCTTTTACTCACTGCTTGTGAAATATGTGCCCTGTCAAAACCTGCTGCTGGTGGAGCCTCCAGGCTTGATTGCCTTGCCTGGGGTCTACATTCACAGTACTAAAAGCACAAGAGCAAACTCGCTGAGGCTCCAGAGCCTTTCTGACTGCAGTTTATGTGTAACTCAAGAGCCCTCATAACTCAAGCAGCTTGTGTTCTAAGAATGTGTGGTTTTATAGCTCTGTGACTGATTTGTTTTGAGATTAAAGAAAACTGTGAATTTTCATGTCTTTTGTACACAGAATCTTAATGCTCAGTGTACTTGCCCTGTGTAAGGGGAATTCCACTGATTTTTCAAAATTTCTGCATAATTTAATTGTTCGGACAAAGTAATTCTGAGTGTTTTGATGCCAAGTGGTTTGATGCCAAGAGAATCTTACCCCTTGAGATGTTCTTTAAAGTGGTGGTGATAAGAACCAGGGGTTGCAATGTCTACAACCCAGATATAGCCAGTTTATGTACTGTCCAAAACTACGTGTGGGTGAGTTTTTATGTGATGTTGATAATGGTGAAATAGTGGCAAATCTGAAAAAGTTTTATATTAGGGCTATTTTACCAACACCCCTCATGTACCACTTCACAATGAATTAATAAAAAAAGTGTTTTGGGTCAAAGCCTTATCTCAGGCATCAGGCAGCATATTCATAACCATTTCATTCAATAACTTTGTGTTATCATAAAATTCTGACTTGGCAATGCAGCGTTTCACAATCGAACCGCTCTGAATAACTTAGTTCACATCTTTAGGATCGAGTGACACGAGAAAAAAAAGAAAAGAAAAAAAAATCAGAATTCCCCCTTAAAACTTGATCCGCATGCAAGATGCAAGCACAGCAAACAAAGGTTTAAGAAATTACACTTTAATTCAAACTAATAAAAAGATCAGCACTGGAGTAGAGTAAGGAGGAGAATAAAACAATCTAACAGCTAACAGGAATATACAAAGCACAGAGGTGGCTGCAAGTCTGCTGATCAACAAAGATATACAGAAATTTATTTTTTTCTGTTCATCCCATGCAAATCACTTTCACCTCTTCATGGAGGTTTGCATGGGGACCCTCTGGACTGTACACTCAATAACTGATCTCTTACTCTGGCAGTGTTAATGATTTACAGACATTTTTCATCCATAGAGCAGTGGTTTCCAACCCTGGTCCTGCAGTAGCCCTGCCCTGCGTATATTAGGCCCTGTTCAAACCTGATAACATCCATCTTGAGTGATCTGATCGTGAGTGAACAGCAAGTATGCATGTAGCCATTTACTCGTCTTGAAGTGTCTCCAGTGGTCACTTATGATCAGATATCATGGCTGGAGGAAGGTCTCGCACACAATACTACATCAGTCTCTTGGTACTTGGTAAAGAAAAAGAAAAAAAAAAGAAAAAAAACGGAGTCCGTATTCGTGTAAACGTGTAAATCTTTAGATTGCATGCACTGTTTATGCAACTGAACAAACAGCAGACGAGCAAAAATCAAGCTATATGCAGCTGCTTTTGTTTGCAGTTCGTTGGGGCACTTTATCCTTCATATAACAAATGTCACGTGGTCATATGCATCCCTGACCACTTCCGAAGGTGGTCTAAATGATGTATTAGAGCCCATTCATACCTGTTTTAAGTGGTGTCCACTTATGATCAGATCACAGAATGCATGTTAATGCCAAGTATAAATGGGGCCTTAGATCTTTCTTCTGCTCAGAGACATTCATTTCAACTCAGAAAGGGCTTCTTAATTAGCTTCTTAGTTGGATCAAACAACAAAACGTTTAGGACAGAGAAAACACTGCCAGAAAGTCACCTCTGAAACTCTGCAAATTCAAAAATACTGCCCTGTCAGACAACACACAGATCAGTTTGCCCGGATGAACCAAATTTGTCCACTTAGCTCTTAAAAATACGGGTGCCCAAATGAGTTCTTTGAGTCAATGCCATAGAAGAAACACTTTTGGTTCCCAAACCAGTCTTTAGGCCCCCCCCCATTTTTCATAAGAACATGATTGAAAGGTTCTTTAGGGAAGCAAAAGTGATTCTTCTACAGCTCCAGGGAAGCCATTTGGCACCTTTATTTTTAGAAGTACAGATGATAATGTTTAGCCACAGTTCCAGCATTTATCTCCTGTATCGATACCGCTTAAAGTGGAACCACAGCTGGAAGATTCCGTTAGCAAACTGGCAGCGGAAACCGTGACGATGTGAATACTCCCACTCACGATTCACGATTTTAAAGGCGATATCCTCGTAGGGCGGCCCGGCATGGAAGCGCAGAATGCCGAAGTCCTTGTTGTCAGGGCTGGGCTCCAGGAAGTACTGCGGTGTGGAGCGCTTGTCGATCAGGTCCGGGTAGAAGATGTTAAACTTGTAGCCCTGCACAATCTTGGGCGGCGGGTTGTCGAAGTCATAATGTGTCTGGTTGTATTTGTTCCACTCGAAGCCTGTGTGCACACGGTTGAAGAAGCGAGGCTTGCGTGGGCGATATTTATCAGCCCACAAGTACATCTTCCCCGTTAGAGGGAGCTCCACGCTGAACTGAGCCTCATCACCTCCCATGCCCTCTTTGGCGCGCCGCACAAAGGCGTCCTCTGCACTTTCGCTAGCATCACCTGAAAAGAGTGACAGAGAGAAATCAGACATTCAAGTTACTTCAACATCTCTAGAACTAATAAAGCAAGAGTTATAGACGAACAGAACAAAGCCAGAAGTGTCATCTTGAGCCCATTGATACAGAACATTAATCAAAAGTAAACGTAATTCATTATGTAACTGATTATATATTAATCATACACTTTACCTATTTACCTACTTTACTATTAACATAATTGTCATGTTCAATATATAACAAAACAACTAACAAGTTGAGAGCTCTAAAGGTTTAAGTCACAGCATTACCCCCAGAGTAAATACTACATTTATGACAGTGACAAGTGTGGTAATGCACTTTTGACCATATTCTCTCACAAGTCTGAATTCAGGACTCAAACGTAAGAAGTGTAAGATCACAGATGTGATCACAGATGTGATCAAAATACATATTAGATAGCTATTAAAAATGTTGCTTGTATAAAGTGTGGAATGTAGTACCATTAGGTCGGGGCAGGCATATGTGTGTATGTGAAGTAAACGGCCTGGAACCGTATTAAACTACAAAAGAAGTTTTTTGTTTTTTTTTTTTAAGTGAGAGACTGAGCTATAATATGTTCATGACTATAAGAGCAAAAAGTAAAAAGTTAACAAAACTGACTGGTATGTTTACCAAGTACATATACACTATATGGACAAAAGTATTGGGACACCCCTCCTAATGACTGAGATCAGGAATTTCAGCCAGACCCAGTGCTAACAGGTGGATAAAATTCAAGCACGCAGCCTTGTAGTCTCTATAGACGAGCGATAGCAGTAGAATGGTTGTGCTGTATTTTATCTGTGTGTATACTTTAATATGACACAGTAAAGGCTGACTATGTTTATGCATGCAGCTTTTTCACACACCCGTGACCTGCAGCTGTCTGCGGGCGAGGTGGAGGCGCTGCAGATCCTCCTCAGCATCGATGGTGTGAGTGTCCAGCGGGAGATCTGAGGGCTGCAGCAGGACGGGGCTGTAGCGACCAGAGTCGTACTCAGCCTGACTCTGTTGGATTAGATCCTCCTCTGTCAGCACCGCCTCCACTGTTCCGCTCTTCTCTCCCTCCTCCTCTTCCTCATCCTCCCCTTCTCCTCCCTTTTTCTTAGACACTCCACGAGGAGAAGAGGCACTCGGCTCTGCATCTTCATCTCCTTCTTTCTCCTCCTCCTCTTCACTTTCTACGTTTTTCTTTTCTGTGGCTGCTCCCGAGGAAGAGCTGGTAGAGGGCCCTGCCTCCTGTTCTGCAGGCTCCGCCTCTTGTGTACTACAGGATGAAAACAATAAGAAAGGGTAAATGTCATTAAGTGCATTTTTACTTTGATACCAATACACCAAGAGATCCTTAATAAGGAAAGGATGCCATGGCAAAAAAATCATCCCAAAAGCACCCCATGTTTATTGGATGCAAAACAAGATTCAAACTGTAACAGCTTAACACTTAACACAGTATTAGCCTCTTCTAAAGGGCCCATTTTTAAATGATCATTTTCCTACTTCTCTTTACCCCTCAGGTTTAAACAAGCTGTTTGTTACTGTGCCTTTAAGAGTGACAGAGGATAAATTCACTCTGTTCTGACTGGCTGCCCTGTATTGTGCTTCATTCAAAAAGCAGTCAAAAAGGCTGAAACGTTCTTTATGACTTCACCTCAAATGGGTTGAGCTAAACTGCTTTAGGCTAAATAGAGGCTGCAGGGGCTGCAAATGGAAATCAGCATATTAACTAACTCTAATGTAAAATATCTCTTCTGTTTGAGATAAATGTATTGTGTGCATGGTCCCTGACAAAATAAACATAATAAACTAAATAGGTAAATATGGATAAATGTGTTGTTTTTTCGCTTCACAAAAACAATGAATTCAGAACTATTTTTGCATCTTGGTTTTCATATATGAACTGTGGAGGGAAACAAAAAAAAACACCCCCCCCCCATTTAATGGGCCCTTTAAATAAATGACAAAGTATTGAAAGTTAGCACGTTAAACTGTTTACCATGTTTTAGTGTGCATGCAGAAATGGACAATACAGCAAACTATAGTGCAAAACAATATAAATGAATACAACAGACAGCCTCCAAGGGTATAAAAATACATAAATATGCACACTACGTTGACTACATGTACAGGGTATTTACATCAACATAGCCTGTTACTGCTGCATATTCAGAAGTATTTCACTTTCAATGAGTAAACAAGCAGGGCAGTACATCATACCTTTGGTTGATAAATACCACTAAACTGGCCTTTGCAATACTTGTATGATAAAAGGCTACAATATGGAAAAATCACTAAATGCTTTATGTGCTATGAACTTTCTGACCGATCACAGATGTTTTACAGTTTCTGTGGGTGTTCGAATGAATTCAGGTTCTCTCATGTTCAACAAATGCAAACTGTTTTGGTGAAAAATAATCTTCAACAATGTCATGTCAAGGATCATGTATGATTTACATAAAATTACATATATTTTTAACATGTTGCGTGTTATATTACAACTGCCATATTTTTTTTTCCTTATCACATAGCTCAAAAACACTTTACTATTACTATTAACATTTCTTTAGTTGTAATAGAGAAGGAAAAGGGTCTGTAACTCACACTGGCTGCTCGTTCTCGGGCTCCTCTTTAATAATTGGGAAAAGAGGTTCACTCTCCACTCCCTGCTCCTGCTTCAGCTTATACAGCTTCTGCCTCAACACATCCTGATGCCTCTCCCTCAGCCTGCACAGCACAGAAATACACAAGTACAGTCACCACAGTGTACTTCAATAAGGCTTCAGAAAGCATGCATTCAGTGTCATATGCCTCAACTTAGTCGATATATATATATTTTTTACATTATTACATAATTGGCAAATAATTACATAATTACATGTGCAATTACATAGTTATATCATATCAATTACATAGTTATGTAATTACATATTTACGTCTGACAGCATATCATAAAATGACAAAAACAAATGTTTAGAAGGCAAATACTGCCATTCAATTCTGACTGAGTTTTTCCAGAATGGCACGTCACATTAAACCACTCCAAAAGACTCTGTTTGCATGTTAACAATTTAATTATACAGAAATAAAAAAAAAACTGGTCAAGTTCCTGTTTAATATTAAATTACAACTGTTTTCTACAAACGTAGAATAAAAAATTGCACCAAATGTGCTACATTATAATTCCTTTGGTAGAAATAAGTGGGTGGAGCCAGTGTGGCCTCTGGACATACCTGGCCCGGGCCATGTAGACCCGCACCTGCTGCAGCAGGCTCTCCCAGTAGCCAATGTCCAGGTTTGAACCGCCGGCCTGGATCTTACTTTCAATGTTCATGTGCAGTGCCTGCAGCTGGCTGTACGTCTTCCCTTTAAACACTGACTGCACGTCCGTACTCACCGACGTGTTGATGCCCTCACGACGATCACCTGTGAGCAGAGACGGTTATCTCACACTGTAGCTGGTTTCTAGTTCTAGGCAACATCTTCTATATACATACAGGATACACTCTTTGTTCAAACCTAAAACAGTAAAAAGCACACATTTACAGTTTTTTGCTTAGATTCTTGTCAATAAAACATAATCTAGGAGTAATAGGCACGTTCTTCACTTTCAATCGTGGAGTGCCTGGAGTCCAACACAATATTGATAATAATAACAACAATAATAATAATTAACCCACTAGTACCAACATGTCCTTCTCTGCCAAAAACTGCACACAAAGCTCACATTGATTAGATTGTTCTCCAAGTTCTTCTACAACGCCAAAGCAGTCACTGCATATGATAATGCACACTTGTCAATTTTGGGAAATCATAGTCCTATTTATATACATAAGAATGTATTTATTTTTTGTCAAACATTACCTCAGCTGAACAATATGGGTTGCAGTAACTGTAAAAAAAGTGTGTTCAACTTGGCTAAAATCTAAAATACACAAGCATTAACTCACTATGTTCTGTAGTTTTGTTACATTCAGTCTAGGATATGATAAGTATATTAAAATGCAATGTTCAATATAGTGGTAGGATATTACAATGATGACAAAAGAAGCGATAATTTATTTTTGAAATAATTTACCACTGTCTGGATGTGCTGCGAATACAGACTTTTCTTTTTGCACTGTATAAACAGAGATCGAACTAACCTAACACTAATAACTACTTACATCAGAACTGCAAGCACATTTTTGTACACCGTAAGACTGAACTAGGACGCACAAGCTGTGTTCCAAAGACTATTTGACAGTGAAGGATCCTTTGTATACAGCTCAGAAATGCAGCCTATGTTTGGAGTGATTTCAAGGATGCATCAGACGTGTCCTTCCAGGCCTTCAGTTACCCACAGTTCTCTGCGCACAAATGATGCAAAGGAGAAACAGCACCACAAAATAGCGAAAAACAAAGCTGTTAGGGCAGAGTCTGTCGTACTACATAAGAACATCTCCATTTCTGTGAAGAAATGAAAAAGCAACAAACACAGTGCAACGGACTCCATTTTCTCTCACCAGGTCCCTCACGAGTTTCGCGCCGCTGTGGTGACGTCACCACGCAGCCTCATTAGGGCTGTTCCATTTGTGTGACCAATAGGCTACTAAGGAGGAGTCTTCATAGGACGGTCCTACCAAGGACCCACACTACATCGGCTGCAGCCTAGGCTTTGAAACACAGCTACAGTGTCACTAATGTGAAGCACTGGTCTTATGATGCATCAAAAGCTATTTAGCTGCTAATGGTGCCCCCTTGTGGAAATGAAATGGACAGTCTGATAAAGGTGCGTGTTGCTGTACCTGGCCCTTTCCCCGATGCTTCCAGCTTGCGAAGTTTGTTTATCTCGTCCTCCGTGATGGTGGTCATGTCCCTCCAGAAATCCACATTCTTCCCCTGTTCCAACTCCATATACACCTACAGCAGAGCACAGATCAAACAGTCATTTACACCATCTCATCTCCCTCTTAATCCAGTTCGTTCTACACCCGCAACATACAACACACCATTCAGCCATTTAAATTTATACAGTTTTCCACAGAGTTGTTAACCTCAAACTTGCTTATGTAGTTTCTGACACTGAATGACATACTGTTATCTAACATGTACAGAAGTACACTGCACATCTAAAACAGCAGTAGCTGTCATATTGAGGCCCAAATTTTCTCCACACTTTTGTACATTTTTATGTCATAAGTTAATACCTAAAGGTCTTTTATGAAAAAAGTTGTAATGCTTCAAGAGGTTGGTTGCAAGCTACAGAAAAAGAAACTGTCATTAATATTTTATGATTCTATTCTATTTTTCATTAAGCTAAGGTAGACACCTGAATTGTTGCAAAATCCTACACTGGAAACACATTCACCCAAAAATTCAATGTCAGATTTTCCTCATGTGCCTCTTACAACAAACACAGTGTGGTGGAGACGTAGAACTGGACTGTGGAAATGGACTTTTCATTACCTACAGAGAGATGCACAGTAAAAACTATAGCCTTTCTAAATGGAAAGTGCTCAAACAGTTCTAGAGAAATGTGTTCTCTCATGTACGTACCTGCTCCGATTGAGGGAAAAAAAAAGAATAATAATACAATAATAAAATACACAATATTTCCTCGTCAGTAGGTTATGGGGAAGTCAGGATACAAAAGGTGTGACACACATGACATGAAAACATGTCTAACAATTTCTTTTTAATATAAATTAATCCAAACTTACGCAAGAACAGTTTTTGGAGGAAACTATATCATTAGTTAAAGCATTTGTAGAGCTAAAACTGAAAATGCTCGTTGGAAACCGCAAAAATCTTTTTTACACAATTTTTTTCATTCTGTGGCTTGCAGCTTGCACAGAGGTCGGTGGAAACAACATACAAACCCAGTTCCAAAAAGGTTAGGACAGTAAGCAATAAGGCCAATAAAAACAAAAAGCAGTTCTGTTTGTCCTGTATTAAACTGAAAGCAGTACAAAAACTGATATTCTGTGTTTTACTTTATGAACTTAACATTGTTTTTATAAACACTCATATTCCAAATATAATGCCTGCAACATGTTCCAAAAAATCCACTTTTTATTTATTTATTTATTTATTTTTTACATGTTTCAGTTCTATATGGGACCTTTGTTGTCATATTTTGCCTTTCATAATGTGCCACATGTTTTCAATAAGAGACAGGTAGACCAGGGTAGCATCAGCACTATTTGATTATGCAGACCACAATGCATATTTTCAGTCCATCAGTCCATTTCAGATGAGCTCAAGCCCAGAGAAGTCTGTAGCAATTCTAGACGTTGTTGACATGATTTCCAGTGTGTGTAGTACAGCCTCAACTTGCATTTGTGGATGCAACAACAGACAGTGTTTACTGACAACAGTTTGTCAGTGTTCACAAGCCCAAGCGGTGATATCTATCACTGAAACATGCCGGCTTTTAATGTACTGCTATCTGAGGTGATCATAGACATTCTGTGGTGGTTTTTTGGCCTTGCAGAGATTGTTTTCCAGATTCCCTGCAAATTTTAATATTATGCAGCGTAGAGGACAAAGTACCTAAACTCCTTGCAAAAGCTCAGTTAAAAGGTTCAAACAATTGGACTTTGGCAAAGTGGGGAGCCTCAACCCATCCTTGCTCATAAAGGACTTGGCCTTTCCTAGATGCTCCTTTTATACCCAAGCAAGATTACATCACTTTATTTTAAACCTTGTTTAAGTACTTAACAACATTTCTAGTTTTAAATTGCCCCCGTCTCAACTTTTTTGGAATGTGTTACAGGCATAAATTTTAGTGTGCGTTTACAAAAAAAAACAATGAGGCTGATAAGATAAAACATTAACCATAATGTCTTTGTACTGCTTTCTTTTAAACACAGGTCAAAGCAGATTTACAAATCATTACTTTGTGTTTTACTTTACATTTCACATACTGTCCAACCTTTTTTCAATTGAGTTTGAAGAATCGCTAGTGAAAATATACACCTACAAAACACAAGTCAACAGCTAATTCAGAGAAAAGACCTTGAATCACCTACACAACATTTACAACACATTCTTCTCTCATGCCAATCTGCAATTTGACAAGTCAAGGTTATTTGCATTACACAGAAAAAGATGTCAACAGCAACAGTGGAAAGAAAGCCACTGATTACGCAAGGAGGAAAAGGAAGGAAGACATGATGATTTGGAAACAGCAGCAATTCTAACACCTCCGAACCACAGTCCCACAAACACACTCACACACCTTGATGTCCTCCAGCAGGTCGTCCATGTCTGTGACGGTGAGTCCATTGAGGAAGGTGTACGGCTCATGCATTTCCACAGCCAAGTCATCGTCTTCAGCACTGATGTACTTGGCCAACAGGTCGATGGGCTTGGCCCGGCCGTCTCGGATTCGGATTTTAGACCTGCAGGTGGACAGTAACATTTGTGTTGACTGTGGGCAGTAACTTGTAAACAGTGTAAGTTATGGAGGAAGGGTGTGATATGGGCACGGTTTGGCATCCATGTGAGAACTCTAACTGCAGAATTTTGAATATACTGTAGTCTGACAATGGTTGTGGATGGCAGGCCAGTGAAAGGATATTACAATAGTTAAGAGGAGAGATTACAAAAGGCATAAACTAGAGTTTCTGCATCCTTCTTTCTGGGCTGTGGAGCAGTGGAACTGTGTTCTCTGGAGTGATGGAGCTCCATCCAACACCTTTGGGATGAACTGAAGTTACATTTGTGATCTGAGACTAATCATCCAACATTACTAAATGGCCTCACTAATGCTCTTGTGACTGAATGCAACCAAATCCTCACAGCAATGTTCCAACATCTAGTGGAAGCCTTCCAGGAGAATAGAGGCTGTTACTGCATCAAAGGGGGATAAATTCCCTATTAATACTCTTTCAGAACATATGCTGGATGTGCAGGTGTCTACAAACTCTTGGACACGGTGTGTATACAGGCTGTGAGAAAGTGTGCAGTGTGTCTGAAGAGCACTTACCTGAGCTTGGCCTGGTGTAGATGAAAGTTGTCCTCTTGCTCTGCCCAGGTTTTAAAATGCTCTGCTTCCTTCTCTCTTTGCAGCATCTCCAACTCCTGCTCACGCATGGCCTTCTCCCTCTCTCGCTCCAGACGTAACTGCTTCACCTATACAAACAGTGTGAACATTTCTCATTTCCCAAAAACATTAAATACAAAACTGTCACACAGCAGAACATCCAGTCTAAGCAATACAGCAAACACATATTTACCTTCTGCAATTCCCTGCGGTTCTCCTCTTGGATGCACTTGTTTCTCTCCTTCAACTCCTTCTCTCCCAAATGCGCTATTCCCTTCTTCTCAAGAGCCTACAGAACGCACATACACGATTACACATTTTTTCATAAAAAAAAATATATATATCAGAGCTAGAGATGAAACGGCTACCGGTTTCACGGTAAACCGCGGTAAAATTAATGACGGTTAGTAGTACCGTTTGAACTTTAAAGTATCGTTAAAACCGCGGTCGATTAATGCGGTGTGAAAACTCGGAGATTCGGAGATATTTCAGCCTTCTAAGAAGACCAAATCTGAAGTTTGGTCGTATTTTGGGTTTTATAAGGATGCAGAAGGAAAGTTAATTGAAGATGACCACCCTGTCTGCAGAACATGCCGAAAGAAAATAGCGGCGAAAGGGGGCAACACATCTAACTTCACGAGTCATTTCGCGACCACCACCCGCTACTTTTTAGAGAATGCAAGGTTAACTTTAACGTAGAAGTCCGTGGGGACTTCGAAATAGAAGAAATGTCACAGTTTGTGTGGTTTAACCTATGCTTATGGTTTGTTAATCATATAAAATGAAGCTTTTAGCGTCAAAAAAAAGAAAAACCATCGGTGAATCAAATGTGAATCGAAACTAAAGCCTTTAACACATTTCTGTGGAGCAGAGTCTCCAAAATGAGCTCAGAGTTAACAGTCACACGAGCTCTGGAACGAGACGCTGCAGAGGTTCAGTCTGCACAGCTCCCCTTTCTCGTCTCGCTTGCAGTGTTTACTGTCTGAGAAGAGAATAACACCGTCTCAAATCAGTCAGTGTCCCCTACGTAGAGCGCTACTGTTCAAACAAACACGATCATCATTAACAAGCAGTTGAGTTTTAAATAGGGGATTTGTAACCTGTTGTTAATGTTGATTATAGATGACTTAGTCGAACGTTTCTTGCACTCTTTGGGTGAAGGATTTGCTATTTCATGATCCACGAAGTGCACTACATAGGGAAGATAGTGTGCTTTGAGACGGGAGTAAACGCTGTGTGCTGCTTTTAGGAAAAGCAGAGTTTCAGAGATTAAACTTCAGGAGTGTTTCTGCCGCAGCTCAGATGCATGTTAATTTTAAGTTATGTTTTAGTTTTAAAATGCTTTTAGAGAAGCAGCTCCACAGGTGAAGACACGCTGTGTGAGGTGTACACTGTCTGCAGCTCACAGCACGGTCACGCAATTCCTCGTGATTTTGGCTGTTTTTCCTGGTGCGCTGTATTGATTAGGAGTTCAGCGCCACAACGGCACAATAATGTTGCAGCTGCAGTTAGGAAAGAAATACCCCGAGTGCACCACCTCAGAGTTGGTCGAGATTTAATTCTCTATGCAGGGAAATCCCTAGTTATTGTAATTAATAATAATAATAATAATAAGAAGAAGAAGAAGAAGAAGAAGAAGAAGAACAGTAATAATAATAATAATAATAACAACTGTAATAATAATACATTTGCTATTCTTTTGTTTACAGAGTATTACAAGTATTGTAAGTAATACAAAAGTAATACTAAAAATGTATTGACCTTATTTTTTAATGTTTATGCGAACAAAAAGTGCATATTGCTGCCAATTCTATTTGTGTTAATATAAAAGTTGGTGAAACGAGTTTCAGTTTGTGTATCAGTATTTATTTTTTTATTTATTTTACTTTTCAAAACATTTGAACAATATCGCGATAACACCGATAATCGTGATAATTTTGCTCGTGATAATCTTGATATGAAATTTTAATATCGTTTCATCTCTAATCAGAGCGTAGCATGTGCTTACATCTTCACTTCTCTGAATAGTTTTCTAAAATGTTTTTAATAAAACAAGTTACGTTTCCTTTGTCGGTTTGTGGTTAAAGACAAATCCCTCTCTATTTACATATAAGAGAACAGTTTTGCTGCAGTATATATATATATATATTGCAATATTTAAAGATTTGTAATGTGCCTAGTATTGTGATACGACGTGCTGCCATATTTTGCGACTTTGTCTAAAGAAATTTACACTTTATTCTCTCACTTTACTCTTTTTACTGAAGCTTTATCATCCAGATATCATCTTTTATCCAGAAGAACAGTTTAATTAAGCACATATTTGTAATCTAGTCTATGAGTCTTACACCAGGCTTAATACACAAAAACATTAATAATTAAATATTAAGATATCAATATGTGGGCCTCTGTGTACCGAAACTATTTTAAAACCGTGAATATCACACTATTATAAGGTATTAATTTTTTCTCTTTCCCCTACAATCAGGTGTGTCCAAATTTTTGACTAGTATGGTACGTAGGTCGTCACTATCACAACAAAACCAAACAAACAAACACTGAACTTTAACATATATAAATGTAAAGAGATTTTCTGGACCATTTCTACTGGTCATCACTCACACAACGTAAAGGGCAGCTGGAAATTTCAAAACACAAAAGACACAAATGAAATGAGTTTTTTTTTTTTATATATGACCAAAACTGCAAGGTATCCAACGTTTCTCACCTTCTGCCATTTGAAGGTGCCCAACAGGTTATTATCTCCAAACGGGTTGTCAGCATTAGTGTAGCCCATATATTCCTCACTCCACCCCATCTTCTCTCTCTTCTTCCTCTCCTTCGCCTCTTTCTTGGCCAGCCGGCGGGCTCTCTTCTCCTCCGGCGTCTCCAGGGCCTTCATCAGCTCTTTCTGCTTATTTTTCTCTTCTTTAAGGGACATGGAGGACTGTCCTCCTGTTCTGTCCTCCTGCTCGGAGGCCGAGGAGCCAGATGAAACTGAGGACCCCGACTGTGACCTCATCCTCCTCCTCTCCCTGCTCCTGTCCCTATCACCCCTCCCTCTGCTTCTATCTCTCTTTCTGTCCCTCTCCTCGCTCCTTCTCCCTCTCCCCCTGCTTCTGCTTCTGCTTCTCCTCCTCTCTCTGTCTTGCTCCCTCCGTCTCTCTCTGCTGGGGCTCCTACTCTCACGCTCTGTGCTTCTCCATCTTTTTCTCCTCTCCCTATCGCTGCTGTGGCCATCCCTCACTCTCCGCCTCTCCATGCTGGAGCGAGTGCTGGAACGTGAGGAGCTTCTGCTTCGCTTTTGTTCTTGCTTTTCATTCTTGCGACGACTCTTCTTGGGTTTCTTCCTACCATGTTCATCAGACGAAGAGCTAAATGGACAGAGAGGCAAAATGGAAAAGGTTACCTGAGTCACAATAAGTTTGCTGATGTAAGCAGTCAAGTTCATACCCAAACACACTTCCTGCTAAGATGTTGGGCTCTAATTACAATTTTAGGCTTCCGCTGAATGACGTCAGATTGAGTCAGGCACGTATCTAAACGTGAGGTATGTGTTGAACATACTATCACTGATCAACATACTTAAAGATAAATTCAACTGATTTTTCACAAATTCTCCACAGTTAAATGGTTAAGATGTAAACAAAGTCATTCAGAGTGGTTAGACATGTGAAGAGTTTAACGCCCTCTAAAATCTCCCTCACAGAAATGTACTACATAAAATGGTTATTAATACACTGCCTGACGTCTGACATATTGTTTTACGGTCGCGTTGAAATTCTGAGATTGAAGTTGAAATGCTTCTTGTCTAAAATATGTGTTTTTTTTAAAACACTCTCATGGTGGAGACGTAGATGCAGGGTGTTCTAAGGTAAAATAGGTCCCCAAAGGTCCCCAAAGAAAACCTTTTTTTTTCAGATTTATCACTATTTTACCATGCTCAATATTACACAAAAACTCAGAAGACACATGTAGGTTCTGGATAGTAAATGAAATACATTGGCGTTGAAGACATTGAGACCCCTCGTTCCCGTCACCACCACTGTAAATAAACCTCAATTGGCAAGTTTCTCTAAAATGAACGTTTTACATCAAACCACTCAGAATGGTTTACATCCCAACCTAAGATTTATGCAAAAAAAAAATTTGAAAAATCGGTAGAATCATCACACAACAGCAATCTCCATCTGTGACCAACACCTCAGGGAAGTCAGAGAAGCTAACTAGCTAGCTAGATTAGCACACACTTGTTTTCTTTTTCCTCTGTCACGAGGCTGAAGTCAGCTTCATATTCACCAGCTGCTCGTTCGAATTTTCCCGTTCCACCTTAAATGGATATGCAGTAGTTACATTTAAGGTGGAACGGGAAAATTCGAACGAGCAGCTGGAGAATAAGAAGCTGACTTCAGCTTGGTCTGTGTCTGTGTCTGTGTGTGTCTCTCTCTCTCTCTCTCTCTCTCTCTCTCTCATACACGCACACACACACTAACTTCTCTCTCGTCCGTTAACGACTCTGTCTGTCTCTGTATCAGGTGTTCGCCCTCACCTGTCTCTGTCTTTAGCGGCTTGTCTGTGTTTCCTCTCCGAGGCGCTGCTGTGCGCCCCGCTGTCCGAGCTCTCTGATCGGACTCTCCTTCCAGAGCTTTTCACAGGAGATCGGTTTCGGTCGTGTCTGTCCTCCGGAGACCGTGAACGGACTCCTCTGTTCCTGTTTCTCCCCCTGTCCCTGTCTCGGTCTCGGTCTCTGGACCGGGACCGTGTTCTGCTGCTCCGGTCCTTCTTCTTCGAACCCATGTTTGAACGGGCTTACGTTGGGGTCTTGACTGTGTAGAGGCGCGTAAATAGGGAGTCGGCAACTTCGTGAAAGACATCACGTTCTACTACAGGTTTGTGCTTTTACAAACACGTTCATATAATCCTCTCGTCCTCGTCCAAACTACGATAAAATGCTTTTTTGGTGTTTAAGTATCACTGTTTTTATTTTCAGTTGAATAGAAATACTTTTGAGCTGGCGGAAGCCTGGGGCACCTCATTCTGGGGTCTTGCTTGCGCAGTGAGCAGGCACGCCTTGCTTACGTTCACAAATGAATAAAAAACAGACAGACATACACACATACATACACAGACAAACAGATACACAAACAGACAGATAGACACCCAACAAACAAACAAACAAACAGACAGACAGATAGATAGATACACACACAGTCAGATAGATAATAGAGCTGTAAATTTACAAAAAACGATTTTTTTTCTTCAGAAATGCAAATGAAAGGCGTTATCGTAAAACAGCGAAAAGGATTCTCTAATGGACCACTGTAGTCATGCGTCATTCTGTAGTCTTCGTTATGCCCATATTAGGAACTCCGGGTCTAAGCTCCATTTCTCTATGGCCGGAATGGAGTTGTCGAAAAATCGCCTCTATCACCCCCTGTGTTAAATAAAAATGTTTAGAACCCGATACGTTTTGTCCTGTGAACATTTTTCTCCTGAATACCACTGGATCCTCCGAATTACCAGGTTGTTAAAGAGCTATAATACTAATATTGCTACAAGCGAGCTAAAGCTACTGCGCATCAATTTGATGTCACTAAGCTACACGATACTAAGGCGGGCTGTGGGGGTGCTCTGACGAGCTGTGGTATCTTATCAAAATGCTCTACTGTAGCGCATAATTACCGGTATACCCGTAAATAAAACCTCTGGGTGGGATATTTTGATAGGCTAAAACTCCTTATCAAAAATACTACCCGTGTTCTTTCTTCGCAGCTTCTTGTTTGAATGTTCCCGTTCCACCTTAAATGGTGCAGCAGCTGTGACTAGCCATCACAAACATTAGCAAACGAGACAAAATACTGACCTGTTATGTGAAACAGCAGACATAAGTTTAATGTTACTCAGCTGTTAAGCGGAAATAGAGAAACCTCCTCATATCATGTCTTTCAACCCTCCATGAAGCTGAAGGCTGCTTTTTCGCCGGCTGCTTGTTCGAATTTTCCCGTTTCACCTTAAATGGCGCAGCGGTTCAGAACGTGACTGCTGCACCATTTAAGGTGGAACGGGAAAAGTCGAAAAAAACCTAGGTAATGTCCTGAGAAAATATCTTCAGAAAAATGTTACCAGCATTAAAATAATAATTAGGATATTCCGATCAGTTTATCAGGGGTGAGCAGTGATATTAAGCTGAGTCTGTAGTGGATTAGCCTGAGTACATGTACCTTTGTAGATCTTTTCAAATCAAGCTAAAAGGAAATATCTATCCTGTTTCAGTGAGAATCAGATGAAGAACAGAGAACTGCAGGGAAACCTGATGATTTTGTTCTGACTTCTTTTTATCTGCCCTCAGTCTGTAAATGGAAATGTACACTGCCAAAACCTGCTAAAGGAGGCTGCCAGTCTAATGACGTGAATTCAGTGCGCAGTAGCTTTAGCTTACATGTAGCAATATTCATATTTCAACTCTTTATTTTATTTGTATTAGCAGACTTTACTCATTTTTAATTAGTACTGGTTCTACATATTTACCCAATGAGCTACAAAGAACACGTAACTATAAAGAACTGAATAAACAGTGAAAAACTTTACAGTAAAAACGTATTACAGTAAAAACGTTTTATTGCAATCTGAATACACGTACAGCTGCATTTTGAAACCACTGCTAATGAAGTGTTTCACCGCCTTCACAGACAGTTCGTTAAGTGGATGCGTCTCAGTATAAAAACGATGTCCATCCTTTTTTATACATTCGCACGCTGGAAAAAAGTCTCAACATTCACAAACTGCAATTTTTTGCTTTATAAAGTAAAGAAAACGAACGGTTTCTCGTGAGGGCGCGCGCATCCACACCGGCTCTGCTCAGATCTCCATAGTAACGGACCTGGCAACACATTACGAGTGCAAAAACCCAGCAGAGCCATTTCAGTTTGGGTTTGTTTATTTATTATAGCTGCGTGTTAAAGTGTCATATATTATATTTTTAAACTAGAAGTTACATACAATATCTAATTTAACCTTATCTAACTTAACTTATAACTAACTGAAATATTTCTCAAAGCCTACGTGGAAACACGTTTGGGGGGAACTGTTAGCTAACTAACTAGCTTAGCCTTCCACTTTACACAGACAGAAATAAAACAGAGGGAGGAAAAAGACCGAAGATGGCTAACAGACATGACAGGCGGAGGCAGGCAAGTTGTAATAAGGATAGTTATCGTTTTCACTGTTAGTCGTTTTCATTCGGGATTCTGAATAATGCGCATTTCTTTCAAACGTGCAGGAGTTTGACCTTCAGAATGAAGACAGGTTTCAGGTCAGAGAACTGAAGTGGACAGCTGATGATTTGGAGGAAGAAAAGCAGGCGAGACCAGACAGCAAGACCAAAGTTTACGAAACTGTTAGTTCAGCTCACTCAGAATGAAATGAAAATTTGTAGAGAGTGTGTTTGGACTGGCAGTTCTTTCTTATTTTTTTAAAGCACATAACTGCAGATGAACCAGACCCCCCAAAGAGAGAGCAGAAGCCAGCAGGGTTCCTATCAGCACTGCAGTTCCTCAAGGTAACCAGTCAGATGTTACTTTAAATATTCAGCTATTTGTGTACAGGGCTGAGTACCATTAACAATTTTCAATACTGACCCTAAAAATAATACCGTGACTTTGATACTGATTCCTGAGCAATACTTTTTTCTACACATTCTATTCAGTTCATAAAACTTTAAATGTCAGTATCCATGATTAAAAAAATCAGTTTTACAAAAAGAAAATAACAATCTTTTTGCATACTTGTGTACTCTATTTGTTCTTTAAGGAATGGTTCACTAAAAGTTTTTCCCCTACCCCAAACACCAAACATAGTCAGTTGATCAAGACAGGTTTGGTGTCTAACATTTGCTCCTTTAGTTGTGCAGTGCTTGTAAAATTCCAAGGCTAAAGTAGCCTAATACAAAACTAAAGAAGCAAACCTTACATTGCAGTCGATAGACTATGGTTGGGGGTAAATGAGAGAACTGTGTAAGTCTGATTCTTCAGTGAACCATTCCTTAAAAGACAATGTGAATCAGAAATCATAACACATTTTCTACTGAGTGAAAGACTAATTCAGGGAGGGTCTCTGAGCTAGCTGGCCATTTTCTCTCAATGACAGATGGTGGGGGAAGAGAAACATGAGATTATTGTTAAAAAATAGTTTTTGCCACCCACTTATACACATCAAATCAGTAAATCAGATAGTGTTTCAGAGGCAGGCAGAAAATCATGATATTTTGATGGAAGATTATAGTAAGTAAGTGAGAAATAAATTAATGAATGATAGGAGCATGAACTAACAGGATAAAAAAAGATATGTTTTGATTGCAGATTGACTTTAATTTTAAATATTTTTGCGTCAGAAGACTTACACCCATAGTTTGGAATAGATTTTGGAATAAAACAGTGCATTCAAAGTGTATCTCACTCAGAAAAAAATTCCTGCCTGTATATTTCTTTTCCGTATGGACAGTTTGATGAAGAATTTGTTGTCGGCCTGATCAGAGGCACTGCTGTTTGTGTTTGTTAGTAACATGCTTATCGGCCGATCACCAGTTTTTTTATATAGAATTTTTCAATACTGGGTGTACTGAGTAATTCGGCCAAATAGAAGTGTTGAATTTTGATGCTGGAGGTAACTGTTTAAAATGTTTCATATTTATGCTTATTTATTTTTCATTTAGATCAGCAATTGCTTTCTTCAACTGAAGTGATATGAGGCTTCATAAAACAATAAATAGGTCATTTATTTTTCTTAAAGAGAATATTTGTGTTCTGCATCCAGAACGGTAGGCAGGATAAGATGGTATTTGCCAAGCTGGAGAGCAGTGAGGATGAGGATGGTGAGGATATTCAGCCCATAAGTGTCCCCCAAAGAAAAGAAGGCCAGGTTTCACACCATGGGTTCAAACAACTGGAGAAAAGCTTCTACAAGAAATTAAAGACTGTGGAGGAGCAGGTGAAGAGCTTGAATGTGAGTATTGTTTGCAGCATTGTTTGTAGTATTTATTTATTATATTTGACAATAGTAATGCAATAGTAATGCATGACTCATAATAAATTGATTTGTTACATTCGTAATACATTACACATTACAGACAAATACTAAATTAAATTTATCAAATTAGTCATATTCAGTATGTATCATCTGAACCATGTTGTCTATATGCTGAAGCAGTTTAACAGGTGGGTTTCTAAAAGGAGCCGTTCTGCTTGCAAACAGCCGTTCCCTCTTGAATGTGATGAGGCAGCATCCTTCAGTCCAAGTGACGTTACAGAGGACATCCAGAAACCCAGCACTCCACTCATCCTGCTTGGCCAAGCATGTGATGTCACTGAGTTTGTACCATTAGAGTCATCCTCATCCCCTACCAAGGAAGTTGGAGATGTGCGAGAGATGCACCAAAGCATCATGTTCCCTGAAGGACTTCCCTCTCTTACCAGGGCCATGAGTGAGATATTGGTTAGTTATTCACTCATCATTAGCACAGATGTTCTCCGTTTTTAACTCCAACTAACATGCTTTCCAACAGTGAACACCAAATAACTCTTCCTTTTTGTCTTTAACTGTTCAGCCACCCAAGAGCAACACAAGAGACCACACAGAGGAATCAGCAGTGAGACAGCACATTTATCCCTGTTAAGAAGAATGAGGGTAATACTGAGACCTGTGTGATATTATTAAAATATTTTTCCTCCAGCTTTAATATGAAGCAAAAACTTGTGTTAATTTTTGTCAGTAAACAGCATTATTAAAACATGAAGTGCATTGTTTTTAGTTATTGTGGTTCTATTAGTAGTCCAGCATATCAGCATGTAACCCAGGGGTGCCCAAACTTTTTTGTCTGTAGGGGCCAAAATACAGTGTTTGTGTTGGGCTGAAAGCCAGGTAGGTAGTTTTTACGACTATATTTTGTAACCTTACACAGTATTTTGTAACTACAATGTTTTAAAAATACAATTGTAAAAGGAAAATAAGAATGTAATAAGTTAATACGTTCTCTCATTGGGTTAGGGGGTGGGATTAGAATAACTTTCTAGTGGGGAAAATTAAACATCCCAATGAGCAGATGATGTTAGGAAAACCGTGTGGCCCACACATGATCAGTACCACAATTTACTGTGTTATTATACTTTTATTCTTGATTTAGCTCCTAATGTCTTGGTATTATATTCTGATATGACCTTACAATTGTGATACCACAGTTATACTGATTACTTTCACTCAGTCATCATCTAATCCGCTTATCCTCCTGGGTCGCAGGGGGTGCTGAAGCCTATCCCAGTGCTCACTGGGCTGGAGGCAGGAAACACCCTAGACAGGTCGCCAGTCCATCACAGGGTGTGATTGCTTATAGATCCAAACATGTTGCTTTATTATTTTTTTCTCATACATTTTTCAGTTGATCGTTTGTTTATTGAGTGGTGGGTATTAAAGAAGAATTCCACTGGTTCATCAGAAACTCTGCATAATTCAATCATTGAAATGTAAAAGTGGTTTGACGTGAAATGGTGCATTGTAGAGAAACGTAGACTTTTTTTTTTCTTTTTACAGTGGTGGTGATAAGAAAAAGGGGCACAAATATATCCAGATGTGTTGTGAGTTTCAAATATAATGTTGATATTGATAAAGGTAAAATAGTAGAAAAACTGATAAAATATTTTCTTTGGGTGCTACTTTGCTTTTCAACACTTTGTACCTCTCTGCAATGTCCCAGGCATCAGGCAACGCAGAACAAAATGCAAAAGTTTTCTGTGACATACAGTCCTGAGCAAATAATAATAATAATAATAATAAAACACACATTTTTCTAAACCAATTATCCTTCTGGCTCGCAGGAATAATAAAACAATAATAATTTTAAAAAATACAAATATAATGTTTTTTACTGATGGTTTTGGCTGGTCAGAGTCCAGATTTAAACCTTATAGAAAATATTTCTCACATTAAACGCAAACTTTCTTGGCAATGATTTTCAACAGTATGAAGCTATCAGTGCTGAGTGGAGCAATACTAACTTTTTCTGCAAGTTTACCCACAAGACTTCAACATTTAAAGAAATTAAAAGGAAACGCTGTGCCATATTAAGTTACGTGACCTTGTTTTGTAATGATTTGTTAAGACCATTAAAACCTAATGTCTTACCGTATTGAGCTTGGCCCTTTTTTCACGGGAGTGTATTTTGTGAATTTCAGACGTTAACGATAGAGCATTTAACATCAAAACTATGAATTACTTTGTATGCATCTTTAATTGTGCAGAAATGACAACCATTTAATTTCACAATTTTTGAAAAGTCGGTGGAATTCCCCTTTAGGAAGCAAAACGCGTTTTGTTTTTTGGGTGTCTGGCGTGCCGTACGTGTTAACTGTCAAATATGTTGTTGAAGTTGGATTAGAAGGTGCGGCGCCGAAAAAGAAACCCCGTCTTTTTGTGTATCTGGTGAGACTGATTCGCATTTAAATCATGTTCGGAATGTATTCGTTAAAACCCGACTGGCTGATGACGTGTGAAGTGAATTATAACCGGCCCGTCGGCTGACACGAGCTAAGGTTTAGGCAGCAGGTTAGCTAACCCTGGTTAGCGGTTAGCCAGCTAGCCTACAGGCTAAAGTAAGCTAACGTAACGGAATGGTTAGTGTAGATAGTTTAAGCAAACAAGGCAGGTATTTCATTTTTATACCGTGACATATTGACTCATTTGTTTTGTATAGATAGACTAATTCGCTACAGGGAGAACCCTTCATTGGAAGTTTACCGTTAGCTCGGTTAGTCCAGTCTGTGTGAAGGTGTCGCAGTGTCGGACTTCTTGTTAGCAGCCGGCTGTCTAGATTGTAGTTATTCCTCACCGCTTATAGGTCAGAGACGACGGGCGGAGTGTTGGTATGCATTTATAGTGAATGTATGTTAGTTCGCTCGCATTTGGACGTACAGCGAAGTTAGTCAGCGAGGTCCTTGTTTGTGAACACCGCTCCGTTATTCTAGCGCAACAGTTCGGACTTTTCACAAGAGCCACACATTTAGGTCATTTAGGATGCTGTGTGTTTGTATGCCTCCCTATGCTATAATATATATATTTTACTGTGGGTGAGAGATACGGTCAGTTTCATGCTTAAGTGGTTCTTTGCATGGTGAAATGGTTCTTCGGATTGATAGAGAATGTGATGTTATATGGTTTTGAGAATGGTTCTATATAGCTCCAAAAACAGTCCCTCTGTTGTTACGATGTAAAGTCCATAACAATAGAAGAACCCTTTTTGGTGCCACATAGAACCATTTTCAAAAAGGTTTTACATAGAACCATATACAACATGTTCCCCATCAATCTGAAGAACCATTTCACCATGCAAAAACCATTTAAGCATGTCGTGGTTCTGTATAGAAGTCATGGTTTTAAATAGAACCATTCCCTTTACTAAACAAACCCCGAAGCATCTATTTTAAGATCGTAGGGTTGCCACCCATCTAGAATTTCCCAGAATTTGCGTGTCCAGGAAAAACATTAATTCTGTTCTTAAACACAAAATATCCAGGAATCTAAGCATTTTCATATGTTAGTATTTATTAGGCAGTTAACTTGATTCTTTTAAAGGATTGAGCTTGATGAGTTCAGATTACCCTCAAAGCAGGCACAGTTGTTTGCAGAAAGGAGCGCTGCTGGTGACATGTTTAGGCACTGGGCAGCACTTAAGCACAATAAGTGAGACGATTAGGTCCTATAGCTGAACTGATATCTGTCTACCTTGTATTGCGTCATGTGCACAGGTACCTGTCTGCTGAACTTAGTAAAAAATCGAGCTGATCAAGTGTGGCAACCATAGGTCAGCTAGACATTTTAGTCTCATAGTACAGAGGTGGTGGCTTTCTAAATTAGCACTGGTCAGTCAGCGATACCATATAGTATTTGTTATGTCTATTATTCTCACTATTATTCGTGATTATTTAATGAAAGGGAGTAAAGGATCCATCCCCACCAACATAGACATGCAAACTGTTGTGAGTTCTGCCTCTCTGGATAAATGTAGGAGTTAAACCCATGTTGTGTAGTGAAAGGCATCCAATCATCTCACTGTGATGGGACCAAGCTAAGAGGATAAGGGCTCAATATAGTGAAATGATCAGATTGCAAAATTTTAAAAAAGATTTATTTAATAAACAGTGAATGCTTTTGAAACTTAAGATGTTAAGTCTGTTAGTCAGTAGTAGTAGTATTTCACATATAGTTTCAAAGGCACTAAATCTATTATTCAGTGTCTATCTGAACGGGGGGTGGAGGGGTAATAAACCTCTATATGTGGATAATAGATCTCATGACATTAGACTACTGAGCCTTCTCTCCCTAATGGCCAGTGCATAGACAACTGGAGCAGTTTACTGATTTTGTGTGTCCTGCCTCTGAATTTTTCATTGCTCTTCGTATCAGAAGGCAGCTTTCTGTGTTTGAACTGGTGAACCATGGGCAACACCAGTGACAGAGTCTCCGGTGACCGCCATGGGGCCAAGAGCCATCGCACAGACAGCGGTGGAAGCCACAAAGACCATGAACCAAGCAAGATGGTAGACAGCACAGATGACCCTAATATCTTTAACACGCATGGACCTGATGCAAAGGTATGGAAACCCATGGCACAGACTTTAGTGTATGCTGTAGGAGTTCAATGGTTAACTGGATTTGTCCTTGAAGGTGGGCCTAGAACAGCTGAAATTAGTGGTCCAAGATTGGAACAGCAAGCCCTGAGCCTAGTTATTCAAACATAAAGATTTGTTCAAGTCTAAAACATATTTTAAATCCCTGGTAACTGGAAAATGTCTGGAAAACTGCCCCCTAGCATCTAACTAAAGTTCATAGATAACCAGTGTTGAGATGAGTCATTTCTGTATGGATTAATCTGTCAAGTATTATTTGGTTAATCCACAAATCGAACCATTATGCCTTCTTCGGTTTATTCTCACTTCCCCCCATCATTCATGTTCTGTCTTTGTGACTTTTCTTCTTTACAGAGCAACAAAACACTAGAAACCATATAGCTTCCTCTGCTTTCTGTAATGAATCACAATCTGTCTGAATGACCATGTTTGTCATGTGAACTATGTGTATTATTAGAAAGAGCTTTTGGTTTTGGTTTTAATTAAACGTTTTCATTGTTGTTGACGACCTTGTCAGCTAACGGTTGCAGTCCCAGAGTAAAGCCTGTGTGTTTCACCAGACTGCAGGGGAGAAGGACTTTCCTCCGGATTTAGATGACTTGGTAAAAACAGGTCCACAGGCACGGCCTACAGTTATACGGTGGGGAGGAGGGGGAAAAGAGGTATACATCGCGGGCTCCTTCAACAACTGGAACACCAAGATCCCACTCAATAAAAGGTGACGGTTCTAAACATCCACAGAGACATAAAGTCAATTATTGAATTGTATTGAATAGTCAATTACAGTTAATTACTGTTTAAAAACTGTGCAGGCAAATAGAACAGTATGGTGTCCTTTTGAAACAATAACAGAACTTCATATGATCAGGTTAGTAAAACACTCATGTATTGTTTCTTTTTCTTCTGTTTTTTCCTCACAAAAAAGCCATAATGACTTTGTTGCCATCCTGGATTTGCCTGAGGGAGAGCACCAATATAAGTTCTTTGTTGATGGGCAGTGGGTTCATGACCCTTCTGAGGTAAATGATACTCTGATTGGAATGTAAAGTCATATTATTGGATAAGCTTATTATTAATACCTTTACATATATCCGTGTAATATTGCAATGCTTATTTAGAGCTCTATCAGGAATAGAGAAATCTGTGTCCTTATTTAAAAATGATGTAGATTTTCATAAACATTGGAAGTGTGTACAGTTTGTTCAGTTCATTTGTGGAGTAAAAACTGCATGGCACAAATGGAAACCAGTTTAATTAGGTCATGTTCTGCTCACCAGCCGGTGGTGACAAGTCAGATGGGCACCATCAATAACCTGATCCAGGTGAAGAAATCTGACTTTGAGGTGTTTGATGCGCTGCAGGTGGACTCACTTGAGTGCTCTGATACTTCTGGTAAGAGTGGTTAATTCTACTAAGTATTACGCCTACCCTGCAGTAAGTTTTTTTAGAACAGATGCACATGAGCAAGCTTAAACTATCAGAAGCTGTAATTTCTTCACAAACAGAATTGCCTGTACATATTGCAAGTTATTTTCTCTGAGCAAATCATGTAACCATAAAAGCATAGAAGCAGAGTTTGCTGCTGTTAGCGGTGTCCTTTATTGGCAACCATACAAAATACACCATTTAGGTTCACCAGAGTAGAGTTATATTCTTGTCCAGCAACCACAAGCTAAGATCTAACATGTAATTTCCTGTTTAGATCTGTCCAGCTCCCCGCCTGGTCCTTATGGACAGGAAGTATACATGTTTCGACCAGAGGAACGTTTCAAATCCCCGCCCATCCTCCCCCCTCACCTCCTCCAAGTCATCCTCAACAAAGACACCAACGTATCAGTGAGTCATTGTAATGGTTGAGTCAGTGTAAGAGCCATTTTAGGAAGCTCATTCCTGGACACGGTATACAGTGCTATAACCAGTTTTTTTTTCCTTTTGGTTTAGTTAAATTTTGTTAAATGAATTGGACCAAAATTAAATGAACTTTTCCACACTGTTAACTAAATTAATAAGGTGAGGGTTTATGTTCTTGATAGTATCTATTACATGAAAATGATTAGCCAGAAAATAAACGATCATTCCACAAGTGCTATCTTTAAAGAAAATGGTGAATTAAATTGATTTTCAGAATTTCTGCATATCAAGATATGAACAGTCATTCACAGTGGTCAGAAGTGGGTTGTTATCTGTGGTTGTTTTTTTTTGTTTGTTTGTTATTGCAAACATTACTTGATGTATTAAAAAATTGTAAATAAAATAACAAATCGTTCATTGTAGGAACCAGATGTCCACCTCTGAAAGTTCCTTCACAGAAAGTTATTACATTAATACGTTGTTTTGCAGTAGCTTTGGGAAGATTTTGACCTGAAACGTTTTTTGTCAATCCATTCATGGTGGAGAGGTACATAAAGGGCATTATAAGGTAAAACGTATTTTAAAAATAGTTTCAAATTAAATGATTAAAAATTAAAAATAGGGAAAACTCTCTTTTTCATTTACCACTATTTCACCTTTGGTAACATTACATATAAGAACTCAGAAGGCATAAGTAGGTTCACTTGTGGTTTTGGATAGTAAATAAAGTGGCTGTGTTTGTTTTGTAGACATGTTTTGTAGACATGGTTTCCTGTCACCACCACTATAAAGAAATCTGAGTTTCTTTACAGTAAACCATTTCACACCAAACCACTCTGAATGACTTAACACTTCAATGAGTGAATTATGCAGAAAATATGAAAAGTCGATGGAATTTCCCTTGTAATTTTATTTCATTTACAATAAATGACAATTCCTGTTAGAACTGTGCACGAGGGCGCTATGCTCAGTTAAAAACGGTGACCAAATGGACTATACTGTAAGCCAGCATCCCCAAGCAAAAGAACAGACAACTTATTTCGACACTGTTCTCAGAGATATAGTGTGATGCAAAGCAATGTGAGGAAATCATGCATGGTTTTGAAATATTATAAAGAAGGATGTGGTGGACTGTGACCACTGAGGTACATTTAGCTATAGCTAGCCACAGTCACGTTTCTTTTAACTTGGGCTGGTAGTCAGTGATAATTATAGCTTTAACAGTTTCAGTAGCCCATCATTACATATTTGTCATTTCCTCAACTTTTTACTGTTTGGGCATGTGATCATTAACATATAGTTGTCAGGCCCTCGATTTAGATAAAGACAGGTTCTTATGTAGGGTGTGATCAATACAGTTTTGGGCTGTTTACTTAAAAAAAAAAAAAAGAAACACCTTTTGCCTGGCCCTACCTATCAGTACTACACTGAGTGGTTTATACAAGGAACATTTTTAATATTGCGCATTCAGTTGATGTGTATGCTCATAAGTATGCCTATATCAAGTACTTTACAGTGATTTCAAATATGGCCCAGCCAATCAGATTTCAGAACCGAAACTATCCATTTTATTATCGAGATTCTGATGGGTTTGTTTTAGGCTTGCCAGTTGACAATTAATCGCCCGCCAGAGCCAGCTGGTCAAAAGAATTTGGATTCGTAGTATGTATATTATATGTATTCCCCACTTTGTGGCTAGTAAGTGGGACGTCCCATTTGCGGTTCTTGTCTGTTTGTTGCATCATGTAGATGCAAGATGGGCTGGCCATGGAGTAACACCGTTTTCTGACTGAAAATGAAAAGGTTTTGTTTTGTCTGACCTGTGAATCACTAAACGTTTAGAACAAAGATATGATTATTTGCAGAGTTCTTTTGCTTTTTTTTGCCTAATTTTGAGTCCAGTTACTCTTGGCTTTCTCTTCAAATTTCATGATGAACAGACTAATAGAAAGTTTTCCAAAATTACATTAACTGGCCCAAAAAAAGTTAAGAATGCTTTTTCCATCTCCTGTAAAATTAGACGATTTTGTTCTGACAGTGATGATATGCTGCTCAATTTAGTAGTGCATTAAAATGGAAAATGCCAAAGCAGTGCTGCTACAGTGAAGTAATTCATAAACAGTTCATAAGGTTGTATTAGGCTATAAAGCCATTTCATTCATCATGTGTGCGAAACAGGAATGTACCAATAGTAACATTTGCCATTTTTATGTTTTCCAACATTCATTCATGCTGATGTTGAAACAAACCGCTGTCTTTAATCTGCCTACAGTGTGATCCAGCTCTGCTGCCTGAACCCAACCATGTGATGCTCAACCATCTATATGCACTCTCAATAAAGGTATAGGACTTCTCAAACTGTCTATCTGTATGAAATCTGTACAGAAGAATATTAGGGAACAGCTGGGTAAGAAATGACAATATCGCCCTCTCCCACTGCATTTTTCTCTCTTTCTGTTGTTTTTTCCTAGGATGGTGTGATGGTCCTCAGTGCGACTCACAGATATAAGAAGAAGTACGTCACCTCTCTGCTGTACAAGCCTATATAAATCTGGATGCCTGGCTGGGGGCCGGGCAACATGCCTGTACTGTCTCTCTCTGTACTGCTCCATCTAGCTGAGATGGCACTGCACACCCACTTTACAGTGGTTCTGAGAACTGCTGGCGCTCAATCACACACTCGAGGAGTGAGTCAGTGTCTGTGTGTGGGTTTGTGTGTGTGTGTGTGTGTTGTCTCTGTCGGCACCTGCGTAAGGACTACTGAATCGTATTTAACCACTCAAGTGCACCATTAAGTGATTGCAGTCATACATTTTTGAGTTTATTTGAGATTATATTGCCCAAAGTTTTACAGAAGATTATGTAATTTTAAAGAAGACTAAAGCAAACAGACATACTGGCATGTTTTAGTTCAGATCTCCAGCAACAGCATCATGTTAACCATGTTTATGACTTGAGACTGAGACGTTTTTATGTGCATTGAATGCCATTTTATTAGCTTTTAAGTGTTTGCGTTTTTGTGTCTTATTTATTTAAACAAGAGATTATTGCATGATGGAGTGTCTGTTTGCAGGTTAACAATAAAGGGTTTTCTGTATGTATTTATTAAGTAGTAGGTCAAGACAAAATAGTAAGAGTGTCTCTGAGTTAAGGACTGAGCTGTGACTTTTTTTCATTGGAGTGGGTCTGAGGGATGCTGTCAAGAGCAAGAAACTGCAAGTTGGCAGTCAACAAAACAATATTAAAGGAACAGTTTGCCAAAAAAAGTCTAACTTCCACAATTTTCTCCTTATCCCAAATGTACGAGATTCCCAGTAATAGCATGTTTAGTAATATTTGGTGTAGGGCTGCACGAAATGGACAATAGCTAGTACTGCTTTATTCATTTTACCCTACAGACTGCATTTTAACACAGCTCTGGCACTAAGTATAAAACTTAAGCTAAGGGTAGTAATTTTGTGATTTGTTGGTTTGTAATTGACTGTTTAGCTGAATGGTTAAGTGACTTGTTTTCCATGTGGAAGAGCAGGATTTAAGCCCAGACCACTTGGGCACTGTGAAAGTGAGAGGATTTGATCTGTTCTATCATCACAGCCCATAATGGTGTGTATCTTGGAAAAAAATACAATTTATCGTGCAGCCCCAGTTCAGAGTCCAAGGTTTACTTCTGTAGTTTTTGCACTGGAGCTATGATGCTAATGTAGCTAACAAGAAATGGAAGCACATACTCAGCTTTGCCTGTGCAAATTGCTGTTATCTCAGATAGACTTGCGTGGTTTCTGACACTGTATGGACATACTGTTACCTATTAAAGTGGACAGAAGTACATTGCATGGAAAAAGCAGTAATAGCAACCATGTTGAAGCCTGAATTTAGGGTAAGGGGAAAATTGTGTACATTTGACCTTTTTGTGAACTGTTCCTTTACATATTAGATTAAGACTGAACAGGTAGAACTGTGAATTGGGGGAAAAAAAGAATGTTCTGAGATGTTTTTTTCTGTTTGGTATGATGCGGTCAAAGCAAGAAACTGGTCACTGAAATGATATTGCGAGGGCTGGCTGCATTGGTAGTCTTGTCTGTGGGGAGCACCTGCATGCCATTGCCTTTCACTGCGATCGCGTAAGCACTTTAACCATGTTTTCACTGTGAGGTTCAGACAGAGAGCTTTCAGTTTATTGAACTGAATGGAATTGAATATTCTTTATTGTCCCTGATGGGAATTTTTTTCAACTATGCAGTGGACAAATCTAGTACTGTAGTCTCCAATTGGACAACTTCACTTTCTTTAATGCGATAGCCTAGTTATAATGTTTCCATGTATTTATTTGTGCTGTTTTTGCGAAACAGGAATGTATTAATAATAACATTTGCTGTTTTTATGTTTTCCAAAATGCTGGTTTACTCAGTTTAGTGTGATGATGACCAAGATGCTGGTTTTTAATGAAGGCTACAAGACCTTCAGTATGAAAAGGTGTGTTTGGTCTTGGTTAAAGGGCAGCAAGTGATCATAGGTCAAATATCTTGGTACTCGAAACTTGTGTGGAGGTTTCTATCACATTTAACGTGTTGAGATTCATGTTGTTTTACATTGATATTTGATGGCACTGTTTTAAGCTTGTGATGGTGTACGCCTCGCTTGTTTGAATCGTTGTGTGCATTGTTTCCCTCCAAAGATGTAGCAGAATTGTGGATTCTGGACAGTGTATCCCAGATTGAAAGGTTGTTATGGCAACACGAGTAGCTTTTGAGTTGTAGTCCCTTCTGAAAAAATCCAAACACTTGAATTCACTTGAAAGCTTTGTTGTATCTCTTATTTAAAGCAAAGCAGCATCTTTTGTTAAGCCATGTATTTTATGATACTGTACTTTTGTTTGCAAATAAAAGGGATACAGTCTGATGCTGAGATTTTGTCTCGTGTGCTCTGTATGCATTGTGTTTTTATGCATTTGGTAGCTACCCTAGGACAGGTCAGCAACCCAAATGTTAAGATGAGTCATTTTGTCCATTCAACAAAAATCAAACCACCTTGGGAGCAACAACCAAATGTCCATTTTTCCATCTTGGCTGTAAATATGTCTCAGTATGTGCTAATGTCCTAGTATAGGCTAATAAATATAATATAAACAAAAACGCAGACTTGCTTTACTCCGTTTTAAGCTGTAGTTTAGCTATTCTCGCAGCCGCTTTTCTCACTTCTCTGGCAGGAAACTTTTAGAATATTTTCTTGTAAATTGTCTCTCAACATTAATTTTTTTACAAGGCTAAAGTCAGCTTCTCACTCCCCAGCTTCTTGTTTGGATTTTCCCATTACACCTCAAATGGTGCCTGAGGTGCCAGAATGTAACTGCTGCACCATTTAAGGTGGAACAGGAGAACTCAAATAAGATGCTGGCGACCGAGAAACTGACTTCAGTGTTTCAGTTCTCGTTGCAAATTAAACGTATCAGGAAACCAGCTGAAGTGCTTATAAATGCATAGACGAGTAAGTCCATTCGTCTCCAAATTATAAATGTTGGTCTTAAATCTTTCTTTCTTTTTGCCTTGTTAGCTATTAGCTAGGCAAGATTGTCTGCATTGCTATGGTGACCAGCAGTCTGTGCACCATCCTTCAGGGTTAAAGTGTTAATTTGCAGTTATACATTACCCACAGCGTTTAAAACCATTTATTAAAACCATGGTAAAATGATTAACAGAGTTTTATTTTACTGCAAAGGACGATTATTATTATTTTTTTTAACCTAAAAACAGGGCAGTAAAAGAGCCACATGTTGCTTTCTTGATTTTTTTTCTGAAAGTATCCCACATTTCAACATAATTCTGGGTTCAGTCCAGAGAATTACTATTTTCTAAAGCTTAGTGATTGGAAAACATTTTTAAAAGACAAATCTGCTGCTGGGTTACTGCATTATTCCCATTATTTTTTTTTCTTAAATGTACAGTCTGTAGCTTCCAAACTTCAAGTTTTACATGAACATATCTGTGCTTATTCAGATCCAAGGCCATCTACACAATGAACTCAGACGAGGACTCCGAAAGCATCTGTGACTTTTTATTGCATCACACAAACACCAGTATCCATTGCAACAAATCAGCCTTCAGTCATTATATACACATCCTACAGTTTTTGGAACCATCAGTTCTTTACATTTCTTTGTGGCTGGTTACAGCATTTGTCCATCTGATCGCTTCAAGCATGGGCATTGCTCACACTCACTAAGCTGTCTTGTCTTTTCCTCTTTTAAAAATGGCTTGACTTTGGTATTCTTCAAAATCCTTCCTTTAACAAGTCCTTGGATGATTCACAAAATTTCAATTAGTGAAATAAGCCAGAAAATGGGAAAACCCCACAATATTCTACTTTTGAAATGCTTTACCCATTTTTTTTTTGTTCTCAGTAAAATTACTCATGGCCCAAATAGTGCAGAGTGCAAACAAGGCCAGACCAATGGCTAGTGCCATTTACTATGACAAGCAACAAGCAGCAGGCTAGCATAAAGATTGTTTTGCTGCAAAGTACTACTTATACTGGTTTTCTGGCTTAAAGGCAAGCAAAGGCTAGAACTTTATAAGGGGCTGTGAAAAACACTACATTACAAGCCTTTTTAAGGATCTTGGGGCAAGGCATCTCTATCCTGGTTTTGTGTAAACCAGCATACTAGCACTGTAACTAGCCAAGTGTCATACACTTTAGCATTTACTGGCTAACAGACAGACTCAGATAGCCGAACACTGCAGCAGAAAATTGTTCCAAATGAAGGATTACCTTTTTTTTTGCTATTGCACAGCTACCCAGATACTGAACCTTTGCATATATAGCAAGTGTTTAACATAGTGAACCACACAATAATGATACTGCGATAAAAAGCGAGTTATATACAGCGCTAAAAATCAAGCAAACAGCAGAAACGTACAAGCAGCTAAGGAACACGAACTGTGCCTGACTACTTGATTGTGGCATCAGCAGGCTAATATTGGTCCCACCAGGTCCTTGCCAAAGTTTGTTACCACTATTCCAGCATATATGGAGAATGATGAGGAGAATGCTATATGATCAACTGCTCAATGCCCATTTCCAACATTTCCGCTCAACATCTGGAGCCATCTGGCCTAACAAATGCGTCAAAAACCACAAAATAGTTTGGTCCTGTCACCTAATTCATATACAATCAATTTAAATGCTTACACATTTAAAAAGAAAAGAAATATGATCCAGTATTATCACTTGACATCTTTAGCTCATCTCTGAGACTTTCCTAAAATGTCATGGCTGCTTAAGAGTTCCAACCAAGATGTTTAAATGGCACTATTTGAGGATTCATGCTGACCATTTTAGACAAAAATCAGATCTCCTCAATCAATGGCACGGATAAGGTAAAACCGAAAAGGGAAACTAGGAGTTCAAACTTTGGCAAGTATTGGTGAACCTCACCTTACAACACAACACAAAAGGTGCTATTTTTCCTTTTCTTTACCTCCACCATGCAAAATACTGTCCGAGAATATCATCAGTAGTATTAAAGAATGATAATAGTAATTAATACTAGTCGTAATATTGCACTGACGGTCTTCTAGCTTTATAGAACACATACTCAGTTCCAGTGTGGGTGAAAGCTGGCGCAACTGCATTCAGTGACCAATGTCTTTATTGCACATGCTCGTGTGAAGCTCTCCAAAAGACGCTCCGGTCAACAACTGCTCCCGCTGGCACTCAGACAATACTAAGTCAATACTAAATTCAATAAACTGTAACACCTTTTCTCGTCCACCATGCTCTTTGTTAGTAAACTCGGAGCTAGCCGTGGCATGCTTTCGTCTATTGGCGTATCCGTGCTCCGCCCACAAATGCATTGTTTTGTAGCAACTTTTGCTAGACTGGACAGGAAAATCCCATTCAGCATAATGAAAACAGTTCAGTTTTGTCAAAATATGGACATTTCGAGAGCGTCAATGATGTTAATCAAGATCAGAGTATTTTTTGTTGTATAGTTTGACTAACTATACCATGGTGGCAAATTCATTGTTGTTTCCAACCTGCCTGGATGCTTAGCTATGACAGCACAGTCCACCTTGGTAGCACAACAAACACAACAGTATATAGCAAATCAAACTAAACTAAACTCTTTCAGCCGAGTGGCATTTCTGGTAATGTTCTGTAAAGCTTTTAAAGAACACATTTGTGGGCGGAGCACGGACACGTCAATTGATGATTGAGCTTTTAACGTAGGCATCGATTAGTTCAGTGCTTAAGGAGCCAGAAGGCTCTCAAATAAGGTGTGGCTTTGTAGTGTTTCTTTGCCTAAAATCCCTGAGTTTCTCAAGGGGATTCGCCGGCAGTATGTTCAGCTGCATAAATGAAATCTTCAACAGTAACAGCCACCTCCAATTTCTCTCCTCTGGCAGCAGTTGTTTTTTTTTTTTTTAAAGAAGACATCGGTTCTGTATGTGTCGTGTGTATTAGTAACATGTCTCACAAACGCTGAACTAACATGCAACTACACTTCTGAACCGCCCGCAGGCTGCCATGGCGAGGAACACATTCTATGGCAACCAGGACGCACACTGCAACATCCGTTCAGAGGCTTCTTCTGTTCCACAAGGCAAAAGTACAGTTTGATACGAGTCTTTTTTTTAATCAAAGGAAAGGAAAGCAGACGGAAGAGGAGGTAGGAGAAGAGAAGAGAAGAGAAGAGAAGAGAACAGAAGAGAAGAGAAGAGAGAGAACGGAAGAGGAAAAGTAAAGAGAGAAGATGAGAGGAAATGACAGGAGAAGAGAAGAAAGGAAAGGAAGAGAACAGTAGAGAGCAGAAAAGAATAAAGAGGATATTAGGATAAGGCAGGGTGTTGGAGAGGTGTTGTTTGTCTTGGCTGGTTCAGACCGCTTGCAGAAGGCACTCCCTGCCCCGCTTTTTAGGGAGCCGCGGACTGGCTGTTTCCATGGCGATCTCAGGGGTCACACCACCCCAATCAGAAGACCCTGGGTAGGCACCTTTGAGGACTTTACCTGGACAGGAAGCAACCAGAGAGAGAAAAGAAATGCTCAAACGACAGTGTTGAAGAAAGGCTAAAGTTCTAAGGTTAGCCCGGTAAAGACTGTCACCTGTTAAAAGAAACTGCATCATCTTTTGTTACGTTTTAAGTTTGTTAATACACATTAGATTTGATCTTCACACAGTCATAACATGGTGTGCGTTTGAGCTGATGAGCTACTATTTAGCTTTCATTTCTATGAAGAAATTAGTGTAGAATGTAATCACCCATCTGTTAGTCTGTTAACAGAAATGATCAGCTTTGTGTTTATGAATGCACCTGGCGTTAGAAATGAATGCAGTAGAAAGCAGCAATGAATGGGAGATGGACTATTTAAAATGGTTTTAGAAAACAATGCATTTCGAACGCATGTCAGATTTTTAGGGGTGAACGGTCTTGTATTGTTTGCAATGAGCAAGTGATATCTACAGTAATATGCAAAGGTTTGGGTGCCCCTGGTCAAATTACGAATTTTGTTGATTTGAAAATACGTACACATCCTCTGCAGAGAACACATTTCTGCACATTTTAATACACGATTACTGTTTATTTGCTCAATTTAACAGTAATGTTTTTAAAAAATACATGAAACATAAAATGTGGCATGTGCAAAGATTATGGCATATTTTTTTTTATTTTTACCCAATTTTCTCAGTTTAGTTGTTTCCAATTCCACCCGCTAGTTAGGACTCCCCCAGTTACATGATACTACCAACGCTACGCTAGGATACTACTAACACAGGCTTCCCCCGAGACCTGTGAAGCCAGCCACCGCTACTTTTCGAACTGCCGCTGACGCAACGTCACTGGACAGCTGAACGCACCAACCGCCAGATCTGTTATGTCAGCTAACAGACGCCTGTGCTGACAAGCATCGCGTTGTGTGATGGGGAGAAGGGGGGCCATCCTACCCACCCCGAGATCTCTCTTGCTCTCTTGGACTCCCAGCCACGGATGGCTGTAGCATCACCAGGGATCGAACTCACGATGTCCTGATGATAGGGTCAGCACTTAGACGGTTGCGTAAGATTTTTTTCGTTAAAATTACAAGAGGTAGCATTACTGAGCCCTTTAAAGCCTGAAATAATAATTTAAGAGTCCAAGGCATCAAGAAAGATTTTACTTTGGGTTTTTTGGACCACGACATACGCTGCATTAACATCACACACCCAGACTAAGAAAAAGAAGGCCAAGCTTGATGTTTCAGTTTCATGTGCAAAATTAACATCATACTGGTGAAGATACAATGACAATAGCAGATAATTCAGATAATTCACCAAGTTTTGCCTGAGTTCTCTTTTAATATTCTTTCAATGTGCTCATAAACACCAGATTCATCCACTTGAGGAAAGGGTCAGAAGCACAACCAACATTACAAAATATTCTTAGGCATGTTGCAAGCAATTACGAATTTCCACCACAGAGGAGGAAATCTCCAAATGTTACATAGTGCAGCTTTATGTTTGTTCTCTGTAGAAGATGTGTACACTTACTTTCTCTAAGAAAATCAACAAAACATGTAATTTGACCAGCTGTTTGCGTATGACTGCAAGTGCTACATTTTCCAGCATTCTAGGTTCATATTTCTTAGTGACGCCTGTATAGCACTACTTAGCACTAGAGGCCACATTATGCGCATCTTTAGGACCCTGCTCCTTCAGAGTGTTATGACACACATATGAATATTCATTTTTGTGGAGGCGACACAGCACAAGCAGTGAATCGAGTACAATAGCTTTTATGCTATAATTATATTTATGATATCACATAATGACATAAACTGAAGTGGTTTCCAAGCAAATACATCAATAAATAAATGTTTAAAAGCAAAATAAATTAAAGTTCTCCTTTCTGTATCAAAAAGGTACCATGATGCCAAACCCAAAATATGTAATATATCATGAAAACTGCGTATCATTACACTTCTGCTACTCCGGCTCTGTCCCAGGTTCATTTACATCATGAACTGTCCTCCCCTTTTCCTCAGTCATGTAATAAATGTTCATGTCATAACCTGACCAGGTTCTTTTTGACCATGGATCAGGCCAAACAGCCAGCTGACTTCAGTTACTTAATAGTATGAGACAGAGTTGACAGGAAGAGTAAGTGATGTCATGGGGAAGCAGTGAGGTCAAACAGAGCACGAGCACAGGCAGAAGGATGCACACGGCACAGCACGGCGCAGACCAGACCGTTACCATGGCAAAGGGAGGAAGAGGAGGAGCTTAAAGAGGAAATCCTGAGCTCGTTCTTCTGGTTTCATTCAGTGGAGAGAGAGGGAGAGAAAGAGAGAGAGCGCAACAAAGAAAGGAGGAGCAAGAGACACACAAAGTGAGGACAGGGACAAAGGACAGCAGGGCCTCTTTCATGCATACAGGGATCTAAACACGTAACACTGATACAGAACAGAAGTGAATCTATGGGCTGAATTAAATAGGTTACATCCTCACCTCCAGATTGGCTCTGGCTTTTTTCAGCACGTCTCGAGTTCTGGACACTGATGTGGGAAAAAAGGCATGATTAGTCACTGCACTGTGCACTCTAAGCAATATGTTTGTGTGCCAAAATAGTTTCAGTGGCGATTTTGCTCAGTAGGGGTGTAAAAGTCTATTTATTCAACTACGGATGCACAATAATTTGCCAGAATCATATCGGAATTGGCAAATAACTGCTTTAAAAAATATTGATATAAGACAGATGTTGAGATTTGACCAATATTTCAAACCAATATTTGACCACACTCTCAGAAATAAAGGTGGTAAACTGTCACTGGGGTAGTACCCCTCTTGTCACAGGGGTGGGACCCTCAAGGGTACATCTCAGTACCTTTGGTCAGGGAACATAATTGAACCATAATCCATTGAAATCATATTTCTAAGTTGTATTGACTCCACACAGCCTGTCTCGTCTCCAGGCTTTTTATTTTATTGTTCTGTTTTAAAACATTAGGTTATGAAAAGATACAAATATGTATTTTTCACCTGGGAAAACATATTTAAGGTACATAATTGGACCTTAAAACCACTGTTGTACCTTTGAGGGAACATTTACATTGTTTGTACCTTGATAAGCGAAAAATGTGCCTGAACAGAACCTTTATTTCTAACAGTGAACATATTCATTGTTCTCTAGGACTTGGTCGCACTTTTTTTGCATAAGTTTGTACTTATATTCGTGCATAAAGTCTTTATTAAGTCCACAGTCAACACTAGTTAGTCTTGGTTGCACCACAAATCCTTAACTCATGTCTTAACTAGCAACTAATATGTGTGTAATTTTTACATGACGATAAATCGCTCAGAAACAATTTATAAACCCACTGCAATGGAAAGTAACTTTTATGACTTTTTGCATTTTAAAAATCAGTATTAAAGAGAATGACTAACAAGTTTACAGGTTTGTTTTTACAACTGAACGGAATAGAGGTGAATAGGTATCGATTTTTTTAAACAAAGGTTTCTGACCAATTGACAGCACAACAGTAGCATCAGTTTATAAGTTTCCACAGCTGCTCAGTCTCACTGAACTGGAGCCATTGATAGTTTCATGTTAAAACCTGGGGAATGATTAGAGCTGTAAGATCCCAGCACAGAGCCTTAAGAGCTTTTAGACTCTTAAGAAATATCACGTCATGTTTATGATCTTCTTTGTGCTGTCTGTAGTTTCTGCTGCTTTCCGCAACACACCTACTTAGGGGGAGGTGTAAATATTTAGCAGATACTAAGCTCAACTGGTTTGTGTGATGCAACCCATTTAGATTTAGTAATGAGTAAACCTGAATTTAGTAAACGTGTAGTATAACTGAATTCAAACAAATTGTGATGGAATCTGAAATTTCATTATACATTTAATCTCCTAAAGAACAGTAACTGAATCAAATCGCTTTAAAGAGATTTACACCCCTGCTGCTGAGTGCGGTGCAGTGGTGACTGACGCTGGTTGACGATGAAAGTCTCCATGCTCTCTTTAGTGCGGCTGGTGCTCCTCAGCCTCTGAATGGTGTTCTGCAGAACCTCCTCCTGTTCCGCTATCCTCAATCGCAGAGACTGGATCTCCTCCTTCATAGTTTGCTCCTGCTCACACAAACGTGCACTGTCAGTCATAGGGGTTAAAAGTCTGCTTGTGTCTTTTATGTCTTAAGCCAGGGGTCAGCAACCCAAATGTTAAGAAGAGCCATTTTGTCCTTGAAACAAAAATAAAAAAACCTGGGAGCCACAACATTTTATGTCCATTTTACCATCTTGGCTGTAAATATGTCTAAGTATGTGCTAATGTACTAGTACAGGCTAAAAATGTACTATAAATGAAAGCGCAGACTTACTTTGCTCTGCTTTAAGCTTTAGCTCAGCTATAGCTGCTTTTCTTGCTTCTCCAGCAGGAAACTTTTCAGAAAACGTGGAACAGTTTCTTGTAAAATGCCTCTTAACATTTGATTTTTAACGAGGCTGAAGTCAGCTTCTCATTCGTCAGCTTCATGTTCAAATTTTCCTGTTCCACCTTAAATGGTGCCTGAGGCGCCAGGATGTAACTGCTGAAGCTGGCGAATGAGAAGCTGACTTCAGCTTCACAACTTTTTAGTGTTTGACAGTTTCTCATTGCAGATTAAACCAGCTGGAGTAATTATAAACACAAGTAAGTCTGTTTGCTTCCAAATTATCGATGTTCATCTTAAATCTTTCTCTTTGCCCTTTCGTTAGCTACTAGCTAGACTGTTGTCTGTGTTGCAGACCAGCAGTCTGCGCACCAATCTTCAGTGTTAAAGGGTGAACTAGCAGTTATACATTAACTCCAGCATTTAAGACCATTTATTGTTTAAACTGTGTTGAACGATCAGGAGAGCTTTATTTTACTGCAAAGGAGGATTATTTTATGTTCACGTAAAAATCTAATTCTGCTGCGGAGCCGCAACAGGGCAGTAAAAGAGTCACATGCGGCTTCAAAGCCACATGTTACTGACCCCTGTCTTAAGGAATACAACCATATAACCAATTCAGTTATCATATTCAGTAGACCAGGTTCTTCATCCACGTGCTGGAAGGCAGGAAAGAAGCACTGACCTTCTGGAGGAGGTGGGCAGGGCCATCAGTGCTGGGCAACGCTGCCCTCCAGAACATTTTCAGCAGAGAGGCTGCCTCCTCTAGAATCTGCCTCAGAGTCTTTGTGTTAGCTAACAGAGTCCTAACGCTGGCATAATCTAGGGCCTAGGAGCAGAGAGAGAGATGAAGGAGGAGAGAAGAAGTCTGTGATGAGTGAGCAGTGCAGTTAGACAAAATACTGCATAGTGCATAGTGTCTAGTGGTGCAACAATTAATTCATTTTCTTGCTGTATCAATTATAAAAGAGATCTCTTTGGCACACACACATCTTGTTTATATCGTAAGTATAGTCTGTGTCCAGGCTATTTAGCCTATTTAGAGCATGTTGATCAATGATCGATTGATCATTGTTACAATAAACATTCCGAGTAATTTGACTGATTTTGACAGTTTTTGTCTGAGAAATACTAGAAAATCATTCAGGGACTTTTAATGCATCATAATATTTCTTAAAGCAGCTTGAGAACCAAATCAGATTCAAATTTTGAGTCGATTCAAAAATAAATGAATCATGAATCAAACTGATTCGCTGTCAGCTCACAGATTCACACTTGAGCAACAAGTGTCCAACAAAAAGTGGAAGCTTAAACAACACCAGTTAGCAAACTACACGCTTAAATCATCACATTTGCCTTGAAAGACATTTGACAAAGTAAAACAGTTTGTAAATAAACAGTATAAAAGTATACATAATAAACTGCGTCCATGTAAAACTTAAATAAATGTACAAATCAAACTACAACTACCCTACAATTGCTTCTTTAACCTGTAGCTGTAGCAAACCCTAAAAGTCACATCTCCTACCTCAGTCTGTTAACGTGGAGCGATACTAAACATGCTAAGAGGAAAAAAACCTTGATTGACTGACTACGGCTCGTTAAGGCATAAGAGGAAAACTGTGTATATCTGAACTCCTGCCTTCTTAAGTGAAATATTGTAAGAAGCTTCCACAACATCTGATTTGAACTTGTGTTGAGTTTTAGAAAATGGTAACAATGACTAGTGGTCCCTGAGGACAGGATAGGCAATCCCTGCCAAGTTGACCTTTCCAGCGTTGACCTCCAGTAGTGCACTGTTGAGGCAGGTTTGCAGTGTGGCCTCCATCCTCTGCACCAGACCCCTGCCCTCCAAAACCTGCTGCTGCAGAGCACTGAAGTCATCCACATGACCGATCGCATGACGACCGTTACGGTTAGCAAACGAGCCGTCCGGAGCCTCACCCTCCAGCTCTGCATGAGGCTCCAGAGAGTCTGAACGAGAGAGCGTGAGAGAGAGAGAGAGAGAGAGAGAGAGAGAGAGAGAGAGAATCATTATTTACAATGAAAAAACTAATTACATAATGTCCACATGACTAGAATCTATTACACCAACACATTTTACTCACTTGTGGCAATAACTGTAGATGTCATATATTTTATTATTGTACTACTGTAAGTAAGAAGTAAATTCAAAGCATTTAATGCAATACTTTTTTAACGGAGAGAGATGCAGCCTATTATACTATATCATATGCAAATGCTGAGGACATTTCTAAAGAGTATACAGTATACAGTAATGTGCAAAAGTTTGGACATCCTGGTCAAATGTTTTGTTGATTTTCTGAGTGAGAATAAGTTACACATTCTCTACAGAGAGCACACTTCTGCACATTTAAATACATAATTACTGATTATGTGCAAATTTTCATAAAGTGCATAATGGTTGGCAGGTCTGAAACATAAAATGTGGCCTTTGAAGAAGTTGGAATATTTAATATTTTATGTTTTATTTTTTTCCAAGGTGCAAATATTTTTCCAAAAGGCAAAAAATATTTTCCAATTTATTCCAATTGTGCACTACAATGTGCCATATTTAAGCTTGTTTTCTGCAGAGGACGCACTAGCTTATTTTCACATGTAACTTGACTAGGGTGTTCAAACTTTTGCATATAACCTTATTTTGTAGGAAATTTAAGTATGTTTTATAAATGAGACCTCAGTAGTACACAAACAGTTCTTACAAAACATCATTGTGCTTAGCTCGTGCATTCAGAGTCACTTCTGATCACTAAGAGAAGCTGAATGCTGTTAGCAGTTAGCATGCACACACACCGTTGGCTGTGAGAGAGCTCTCCTCAAGCTCGGAGTAAGGAGAGTACGGGGGGCCGGCGGGGAACGGACCAACATCCCTCACTGGAGGAGAGGGAGAAGGGTCTGCAGAGCACACACACCGCACGCAGGTTAACACACCATGCAAACTGACACACACTGACTGCAGCCCCGCTATCACACACGTGTACTGTGTGTAGACACTCACAGTGTCACGCTGTAAGAGATGCTGTAGGAGAGAGAAGCTGCTGTGTGCAGCATACAGTCAGCACAATATTCATATTAACCCCTTAAAATCTCAGGCTTATTACATACTAAGGCTTATTATTCAGCAACTACAGGGACTTCAATGCAAACTAAGTGAGCTTTTCTTAGGTTACAGAAGTGTGTAACAGAACTTTCTTGGTAAGGGGTTAAACTGCACTCACTCAAACATCCACTACACACAACACAAATCACACATGCTGTTATTGTACAGTTCATTTCAAACCATCACAATCTATGAAGATTAACTGTAAACACTGTACACTGTACTTGCCAGTGATAGCAAAAGCATGGTGTAACTGCATAATACATAATACATAAGAGAAATTCTCTTGAAAGTGAAAATTCTAGACTTTCAATCGATCATACATTTGTGTTTGAAAGTAGAAGAAAGGAGGTTTTATCATGATCGGAATGAAGCATGATGAAAACGTTTTGTTTCGTAGACGGAAAAAACATATTTCATTTCTTGGCACTGAATCAAAAGGAAAAAAGCCAGAAGTACCGACCTAAAGCTGGAGATACAAAATGTAATTTGAGTACAAATGTAAGTTTTTATGTAACTAGCTTTGTAATAGGGCTGGGTACTTTTTCGATACTGATCATATATCAACACTGATACTGACTTAAAAAAAAAAAAAGTGTATATATATATATATATATATATATATGAAATAAGTAACACATCATCTACAGAGAAATACAATTACAATGTTTATGTACAATGAAATGTACAATTACTGTTTATTTGCTGAATTTAACATACTGGGGAAAAGTAAAACAACATGTGCCTGTGCAAAAGTTATGGCTCATTTCACATTTTGTGTTTTTTCCCCCATTATGTTAAACTCAGCAATAAATAGAACTTGCGCACTCAAATTTGCAGAAAATGGCATATTTAAGTGTGTTCTCTGTAGAGGCTGTGGTAACTCAATTAGAAAAGAGAAAGAGAAAATTATACGACACATACAGTAACTTGAGAGGGAAAGCCTCTCACGTTACAAATTATTTTTAATACATCTTTTATACACTAACAAATTATTAATAATGATCAAATGATCAGGTTAGTTGATTGGTTACTGAGCAACGTGTAATGTTTTGATATTACGTTATATACTGTAGTGCAGCAAAATGACAGTAATAACCCGGCTCTTCAATGGATTAAATTAGTTATCCTGAACGTCTGAGAGTGTCTCACCATGCAGTAGCTGCCGTCTGTAGAAAGCATCCCGTAGTGGGCTGGCCGGGATGAGGGATGAAGGCCTGGTCTCCAGAGTGGCTGAGGACAGCTGCTGCTCCAGCTGTTTCTGCAGCTGTGCTCTCAGTGCACTGTTCTCCTGCACACTGCGCTCCATCTGCCCCCTTAGAGCCCGCACCTCCACCAACAACTCTGCCAACTCCCCCCCAGCAGGAGCAGAGGGGTACGACATCTCAGAGAGATAACCTGCTGAGAGAAATGGGACCAAAGAGAGGCCGAGAAAAAAAGAGAGGCAGAGATAAAAGAGAAGCAAGGTGAGATTGCAGAGGGCAGATTATTCTTTAAGAACATAAATGTAAATATACAGCAAAATGCAGAAACTACTACCACTATTTATCAAAATCTAATACAAATTTTTACTCAATTTATACTTATTTATATTATTTAGAAATGCATTCATTAAAACTGAAACAAACGTTTTTCATCCTTTTCAGACTAAAAAAAGTCTAATTACTATGACGTTTCAACAGACTTTCAGGGTAGTAAAAAATATCTGGAACAATGTGGACTTTTCTAGTTCTAGAATCAAGTATAAGCTGTTTAACCCCTTAAACAGGCTTATTACATCCGAACAAACGTTCTACCATAACTACATGGAAAACGTGCAAACAAGTTACATTACTCTTAAGTTATAGTAGTTTTTAATAGAAGTTTGAAACCCCTGGCAGGTACTGACTATTTATTTTACTGTTGTAATCTGGTTTGAGTTTGACAAAAGTATGAGTTTTTCATAACTGATGAAATAAAACAGCTGTCGGTGGCAGACTCATACATTCAGACAATTGTGAATCAATCGAAAGTAGGGAGGCACCAAAATTTTGGCCACAGAAATATTTCACGCATGTTAAATATTTTCAAAAATGGTCAAAAGCTTTTTTGTTTTTAGCCAAATATAGCGAAACAAAGAGTGAAAATTTTTTGCTGAAGACAACAAAGATTCAACAGGACAACAATGAAGTGTCAAAATAAATAAAGAATACAAGCTACAGTGATTCAAAACACTGTTTTTTCCTTCTCTCTCCTACATGCGGCAGCACAGACGCATTCAAACAGTTTGAGTGGCTACAGATCAACAGTGGGTTGCAAAATACAGCAAAAAAGAAGCAAAAAGGCAAGTTTTTGACAGCACAACGTATCTGTACCTGTAGGTTTTTAAACAACATTCACAAAAGCAATATTTTGCAAAAGTGCAAAATATGACTAAAAATTAATGGAACAACAGAATACATTGCTTTGGATGACCAGCTGTTCTATGTTGTTGAGGATGCTTGATTTCATGGCACATTCAACACTGTAATCATTTTAGTAAGCTAATTTTATGCAAACTGTTTTATTTATCATCAGATCAGTATTGTTATCCTGAAATGTTTATGTTAAGAATGTTTAATCAAGAACATAAATAAACTAGCAAGTTAAAAAAAAACAGTTTTGGTTTATAACCAGGAATTTTTATTTCAGTGCATCACTAAGCAAGAGTGATAATTTCTGCATCTATACTTGTTCACATTTGTAAAATGTGCCTCACCTGCTGGGCTGCTCTTGTTCCCAGCACACACTCGATCATACAGCTGGAGCTCACACTGCAGTGAGTGCAACAGCTGCCTGCTCTCTGACAGCTGCTGCTGGAGAAGACTCACCTCATGTTGCAACCTGCGCAGAGACACACACTAATTACACACATATAAACATACATGCATGCACACACAAAAGTCAAAATTGACCTTTTTTTACCTTTTTAGTTCAGATCCCTGATCATATTAAATAAAATTCATCACAACATACCATTCAAGAGACAAAATTCTTGATTCAATTCTTTGATTGAACTGTAATGACTTGCCAGCCTTCTGAGTCTCGATTATGTCACTGTGCTCCAGTAGGAGGAGAAAAAGCAGCATGTTTCACTTCCCCCTCCCACCACCCCTGCTGACCATCATGCGAATCACTTAGCTAGCTTGGTTCATTAATGTATAAGCTAATAACAGCAGTGTTACCTGTTGCTGTGCTCTTGGTTGGTTTGTCTCTCCTGCCGAAGTTGTTGAATCTGCTGACTCTGCTCACAGCCGTGTGCCTGCAGCCTCCTCAGCTCCTCCTTCCACTGTTCCGCCTCTAATTCCGCCTGCTTCAGTCGGGCACGCCCAGACAGCACCGCCTCCCGCAACTGCTCCACCTCCTCGCTGCTGTCTGCAGGTCAAGCAGAGTGCATTACATTAATAATGCAAGAGCAATATTATTATATATTACAGTAACATTAACCCTTAGAAATTGCAGTTATCTCAGGCGATATCAAAGCATGAATTCATTTAAATGAATTATTTCTCACTTCAACCTTACTGAAATGAGCGAACAAACTCTGTTGAAATTATGGAATCGAAACATTTCAATTGATACCCCATTTGTGTTTGTAAGCAGAAGACAATTAAGATTATAAGATTATATTAATTAAGTTATAATTATTGAATTTACAGTTTCTTGCTAGCTATCTAAAACTATCAAGGGGCCAGTAGACAGAAGCATCATAAGTGGCCTAATTTGTGACCAGCAAATTGATTAAAAAAGGCCCCATGTATGGGGAGAGACTCAGCCAGTGGACTCACCTCTGCTGGCCTGCAGTCTGGACTGCAGACTCATATTTTCCTCCTTTAACACTCGAATCTCATTGGACAGCTGTGTGACTGTGTCCAGGCCTTGGATGTAGATGTTAGTGGGTGCTACTGTGGGACACAAAATCATATTCATGTAATATCTTCAGTAAACCCACATTTTAACAGAGCTGCTACATTTGTGGAGCAACATCATATGTGGTAGAATCAAAGCATAGTGGCTCCAAGCATAGAGGTTCCCATAGTAGATGACTAAGCAACATCATTTACTCGATTCAAACACAGTTTGATATGGTTAATAATTTATATAGGTGTTGATTTTGATCTCCAGTTTCATGACAGACTTGTTTTCTTGGTGAATGTACAGTGTAAATAATGTTTGTAATAATAATGTTTGCAGACACCTGCTTGTCCAACACTTCTTCTGAAATCAATGGTATTAATGCACAGTTTGTCCTCTTTTGCTGCAGTAAAAGCCTCTACTCTTCGGTGAAGACTTACATTAGATGTTGGAACATTGCTATGAGGATTTGACCGCATTTAGCCAAATCAGGGCGTTACTGAGGTCAGGTACTGATGTTGGGTGATTAGTTCTCCACTGAATCTCCAGATTTACCCTACAGCACTAGGCATGGTGACCTTCGGTTCATGTGCAGCTGCTCTAGAGCATCCCATTCTACTGACAATGCTTTTCTATGGAGATTATACAAGCTGAATGTGCACAATTGACCACCTGTCAATTATGGGTGCACCTTAAAGTAGCTGAATTCTGTGGGTTGAGACTATCTGTCTTTCTGACATACAATAAAAGGAATAAAAAAAAAATCCTGTCCTGCTATCAGGTTGACATTTCTTGCTGGAAGGCCCAGATGTTTCATAGTGTCCTTTGCTTCTGCAGCCACTGCACTGCGTGAGTGGTGTGTGATCTCACCTGTATCTCTGGCGGTTGTGGCCAGACGGCCCTCCAGCTGCTGTCTCAGCCTTTCGTTGGTCCTGATTGAGTCCTCTAGACGCTGACGCAGAGTGCGGATCTCGCACAGGTGCTCCTCTATCAGGTCCACACCTGACAACACAAACAAAGCTTCAATTCATGCAGACAAATCTAAAGATTATACTGGTTTTACTGGATTAATATCTCAAACTGTAGGCTTGTTATTCAGATATTAAAAGTAAGTACGTATTATTCTAACCATTCCGACTTATACAGTAACTAATAAGAAACTAAATTACATAGTTATGAAAGTGACAAATTGAAGTGTGGATTAACATACAGGTCCCTGAAAGTTTAATAATACTTTTCATCAGTTAAACTTGTGTGGGGTCATGTATTGATCAAGTTAGTGTGCACGTTAGGCAATTCTAAAAGAAACTTACGTACCTGATTGACTGCTTCCTGAAGGGTAGCCAGGGACTCCAGGGAAGCCTCTGATTGGCTGAACCATGTTTTCCGTGCCCCACAGTGCACTGCTTCCCACTAGGCTGCTGTCGGTTTTCTGAGGCTGGTGAAGGGAATGATGAGATAGCTGGGTGTAGCTGGAGGAATCAAGTGCTGTGGGGCCCATCAGCGGGTAGCTGCTCAGTGAATGAGGTAAACTAAAACCTGTTCAAACCACAGAGAGAGAAAAAAAACAGGTTTCAGAATATACAAATATTGACATTTACTGATTTGCCTTGCAATACAGTATTAGGTCTTTTAGGTCTGTTAGCTCCTTAGCTTATCCGAAAAGGCAGCTTTCATTACTCATCCAATGTGCTAACTTTGGTTGGTTATCTTTTAATAAAAAAAAAATTCTGCATGCTGCTATATTTTTTGTGCAAAAAAACAGTGCTGTTACCATTTTTTGGGGGTGTTGTGTTTCCTTAACTGCAGTTAACTATACATCTGTTAATAAACTCTTATGGATACTTAAATATTAAAATTTGTTGGAATGCACATCCCCAAACAGTACCGGGCCGATATCATTAGAAAATGCTGGATTCGATATCAGAGGGAAAATAAAGAATCAATCTGATGTATTCCTGTAACAAATCTGTCCTGAAATAGCACTCACCCACACTGTGAGATGTTATCAGCTGTGTATTTCTTCTTGTGGGGTTAGCAGAGTGTTTAAGTAGTTTCAGCATGACTATTATATTAAACACAGTACAAAACACACACACATGCACAAGCTGTGTGCTCACTTCGGACTGGGGGCCTGTGCAGGCCCTGCTGATGCCGTGCCTGGGACATCAGCCTGGGGTCAGAGCCAGGGAAGGGCAGTGGGTCAAAAGCTAAGTTATTTGAGGAGTTGGACCAGTGGTGGGTCTGAGTCAGGGGCAACGAGCTGGACAAAGGTCCAGAATAAACACCTAGGGATGAGTGGAGGAGAGTGAGATGTGTAGTTCTTAAACAGGATGCTATTGCTGAATGCATACAGGCATGACACTGAATGCTAAGTGACCCTACCTGTCTTACTCTCCTCATGCCTGTAGGAGGCAAAAGGGGACTGAATACAACGAGGGGAAGTGATGAATGAAGGGCAGGCTGCAAGAAAATGCAAGGAATTTATACATGGACCTAATGCGGGTTGTGGTGGATCTCAGCGTGCATGTGCATGTACACAGTCATACATAAATCCATAATCATGTGAATACAGTAACATCTTATACAGTGTAGATGTAAATGATAAACTAGACACCAAAAAGTATTTTTAGATAATGTATTAAAACAAAGAATTACAGAAAGTTATTAAATGATAAATTATGTTCTGTAATTATCTATGCACAATAACTTCTGAATAACTTATGAAATATAGGGCATTCTGGGTGTTAATTTTATTATAACTTCATTCTTGATGATATTCAGCTTTCTTTGTCATTTTATAGTCATCTACAGCTCCATTCATCATTCTGGATTCATTTAAAATGTGTTTTTTTGTTTTTAAAGCTTCCTACTAATTATTTGATGTCTGTGAAGTTGTACGGGACTATTTTTATGATGTACAGTATTGTGCAAAAGTCAGAGACAACCCTTTATTTATTTAATTTTTAATTCAAAGAGGCCTTTAAGTACAAGTTATTCATTCAAAGTACGAAACACATATTAAACAGAAATTGGTACAGAAGCAACTAAATCTACACTTTTTTTTCAGTATTCAGTGTGTCCACCCTGTGCCTTTATCACAGCTTTCATTCTTTTCAGGAGATTTACTTTCAGTTTTTCAAAGAAATCAGAAGAAACATTTTTCCACACCTCTAATATTACATAATAATATTCCCAAACTGAGATGTTGAGGTCTGGCAAGTCCATTGTTCTAAGAACATCAGTTTTGGTGGTCTACAGGGTCTTGCTTGGTTGCCAGGATTCACATTTTCTCTGTATCTTTTAATCTCTTTCTCTTTGTCATTTATTTTTCTTTGACCCTCCCCTTCCTTATACTTTTTATGTCTAATCTCCTCTGAAATATCTGCTGAAAAATGAACAACTTGTACTTGGCCATTGGTTTCATTTTATTGAAAACACTGGTTCCAAACTGTTGTATAGTGCTGTATATGCATGTTCATGTGTGAAGGTTCATGTGTATTCTATATGTTTATTGCACTGTACATGCCTGCATCGTTAGATGTGGGAGCTGTTTCCTGGGCATATTCGCTGACAGCATCCACATCAGAACATAGCTCCAGATCCTCATTGGTCGAGCCCCTCTCATCTGACACAAAGGACGTGCGGTCCGATTGGTCTGTTGTCTCTGAGGGGGCATGGCTGCTGGAGGGTGTTTCAGGGCGCTGCTGCAGTTTTGTGTGGAGAGACTCGATGATCTTGTCTTTCTGCTGGAGCTCCTTACTTAACCTATTCACACATAACCACAAACAAAAATGATGCAACTATTTGCCATGTTCACTGATGTTTTAAATTAAATCCGCATTTAATCCCATAGGTAATGACCTCCAAAGGATTTCACGAGTTATAAACTGTAGCTTCTTCCCACAGTGATAATCTCAGAATTTGAAACAAGTCAAAGCATGTTTTTTTGATTTTCAAAGTGAAACACCCTCTACAGAAAACACACTTCTGTACAATTTAATGCACAATTACTGTTTATTTGCTGAACATAATGGGGGAAAAACATATTAATCATTACTTATTAAAAAGTTATCATACATTCTTTATTTTTTCTGTTTTATTTTTTCCCAGTATGTTAAACTCTGCAAATAAATAGATATTTTGCACTTGGAGAAATTTGCAGAAATATGCCATGTTTAAGTCTGTTCCTTGTAGAGGATGTGTTAACTTATTTTCACTTAGTCAACAAAGTGTAATTTTGAGGCGTGTTCAAACTTTTGCATATGTCTGTGTGTCTCTTAACAAAATGAAGCATTCTGATAATCTGGCCTTGCGTCAATTAAATTAGCCACAAAGGAGATCTGAAACAACAGTTTAACCCTCCAACAATCAATGTTCACAATCTGCTGCTGTACCACTTGCTCTAATTTATGCTTACATTATAGCATTACATTCTAGTTTCTGTACCCATCAGAAGCTGTTTTGAGCAGACTGAGTCTCTAACACACTCGCAAGTTGTCAAGTATTTGTTGTTTAAATCGAACCACAAATTCTTATAAAATAAGAAAATAATCCTTAACCACCACAAACACCACTACTAAAAAAATACAAAAAAATATTATTTTGAATAAGTCACATATTTTCCAAGTTCATTTTTTATTTGTTGTGCTTTTGTGTTTTTTTTCAATCAGGTGGGCCAATTTAGCAATTTAGTTTTGGGAAATCCACATATGAGAGAAAGTTTGATACTTCAGAGCCTCCACAACACAACATTTGTAAGCTCACACTAAGCGGCATGTCTGAAGTGGAGCTTTCTTTTTTTTTTTTAAATAACTTTTGTGGGATTTCTTAGACCTTTCCCTGCCCCATCGACCTGGTGGATCCATCACTATGCAGTGTTCCGGGACCTCATCATGTACAAATTAAGCCCTGAGTAGATCACATGGATATTAAATCACAGAAACTCTTGTCAAAGCCATACTAAAGCCTGGTGCTTTAGTACAATGCATAACCATGTTATGTTTAAAGTGTTTAAAGTTTTAGATTGAGACATCAGAACACAACTGAAAAATGGACTTCGCAGAAACATAACAACTGGAAAAAGAAAATCACCTTAAAGCTAACAGCTCATGGCCCATTTTGTCATCCTGCAGCTCTGACCGATCTCCTGCAAATTAAAACAAAGGTAGAGACACTGGTCAAGTAATGAAACATGTTAGTACTGAAATCTGGCGTCCAGTAATACCTAGAAACATTAGATGTAATGAAAGAATAAGAAAATTTAAGGGCAATCACTGAAAATATATATATATATATATATATATATATATATATATATATATATATATATATATATATATACACACTGTCTTTGCATTTGAAAACAAAAAGAAAATGATCTAATAAAGTCAAGAACTACCATTTTGATCAATGCCTAGGAATATACAGTATATACACATGCTTTACTTTAACGAACATAAGGCCCTTTGTGTTATAATCATTGGCTGTGGTGGTTTAATAATACAGAGAGTTTCTGTCAAATTGTAGACACCGGCGTCTACATCTCTATGGGGCATCCATAAATGGGGTACAGTAATATTTTACCTGTGTTGTCTTGTACCAAATTCAAATTGAGAGTAAAGAAGATTGGTTGGGACTAAGCTCAACCTTTAACTTTGCATCCATCCTATAACAAGCATTTATAGTTAAGATGTGCATATTTGTATGTGTGTGTGTGTGTGTGTGTGTGTGTGTGTGTGTGTATGTGTGTGTGTGTGTGTACTCACGGCCGCTGATCTTAATGCTGATCCTCTGTGCGAGAGAGGAGTTCTGAGAGAGCTGTTCTCTGAAACTCTGTCCCATGTAATAATCAATGTCATTGGCACGAAGCAGCTCCTCGAAGGCTTTGGTGGTGTCACCCAGGTGCTGCGTGAGGATGTGGCAGATGCCCCGACCCTCACGCATCCTCTGCCGCAGATGAGACAGCTCCCGAGCCTGAGCCTGGATCAGTGTGTTGTACTTCCTGGGTAGACAAGAAAAAGAGGAGTCAATTGTAGAGCTTAAGTGATTCACATGAAAAGTGCTCAAAGAAAACAGACAATACAAAAACAATGCATTGACTGGGCAGACTGATATAAATTGACAGATATTCCATTTTTATTTCATGTCCAGATGTTTTTCATATTACTTTTCAACCAGATTTATGTGTATAACTGTTAGAACAATCATTTATTGGAGCACAGAACCTGTAAATCTTCTTAAGCACCACGTTACTCTCCAAACACCACGACTCCTGCTCTAAACATTTCTGTTCCTCTGTTCTCAGTTGAGCTGGCTGCTGATCATGCTGCCATAATTACACTTAAAAGAACTCGGCGTATGTCTGTCTAACACTCAGCACTACTAAAGTCTTGTTTAGAGTCCAATCACAGTCAGGGGGAGGTCTCAGAACAAATCACACAGTGATTAGGACCATTCACAGTTAAGGGAAGGTCTCAGTGCAGTAAATAGGGGGAGGTCTCAGAAAAAACTGATAATGTGATCAGTATTCCTGTTTAGTAGCTGGTGTTCATCTTGAAGTGCTTCTATTAAAAACAAATTAATTTGGAGAGTAGTAGTTTTTAAAGAAAAAATACTGGATTGCTATCAGACTTTCTTAATACTGGTATCGGTATTAAAAAAAATCTTGTTATTCATCTGAAGATCAGTTTGACACTAAATGTGCAGTTAAATGAAGCTGAGCCTGTTTCTAAACCAATATTGTTTTATTTATAAGTGCAAAGTTGAAACGTGAGTGGAAAAGTTTGGACCCCATGCATTTAGACCAGTTAAAGATCAGACAGGTATCAGACATGAAAATCTGAGCATCCAATTTGACTGCATCATTCTCCAAAATAAACAATTTTCTTTCATCACCCAGGCCACGTGGCATTCTTTCCATCCTCTGCTCCTCCTTTCCCCTCCAGACTGCTGCTGCGGATTTGGTTCTCTAGCGAGGCCACGCGTGACACCAACTCCTGTAGCTCCTTTCTTGACCGCAAAGGGCCCATCACCGGCCCATCCGACTGCCAGCCTTCATCCTCCTCCACCGCACTGTGAGCTGGGGATGCCTGGAACGCCCAGTTCACCTAACAAAAAATAAATAGAAATCCCTTGTATTTGCCTTTACAGGATTACCAGTGATGTTACGATATGAGTATGCCTATGTTTGGATTACTGGTGTTTTTAAAGGAAATGCTGGTCACAGCCCTAGTGTGATGGGTCAGTACCTTGCGTGGCGTGCGTTCGAGGCTGGAAGCGTAGTCAGAAGTTGCAGAGAGCGAGCGGACGCGCAGCTGCAGTCCACGGATCACTTTGTGGCAGCGAGACAGCTGCGCACGCAAGTCCTGCACCAGACAGTGCAGAGAAGATGGGTCATCCAACTGGGGACCACTGCTGTCACCATGCCAACCCCATGACTTCCCGCCACTGCCGTAGGGCTGCCGGGAGAGGGAGGTGCACATCTCCAGATCATCAAACTCTGAAGGGGAGACACACAAGACACAAATGGCTTGATATGACATGTAAAACAGGTAACAGTTGTCAAGTCATATGATTTGGTAACTGAGATATTTTCTTCAATAAATAAAGTTTATAATTTTATTGTACATAATTCTAAATAAAATGATAAAGCCTTGAGGTGCACAACAAATTATGCAGATAAGCATTTCAGATACATTATCTGGAAGCATGGCTGAAAAGATGTAGTTTGGAAAGTGTAGTTTGGTACTGGAAAAAATTGGACCTCATTTGAATAGTGTAGTTTGGAAAGTGTAGTTAGAAAAGTGAAAATATTTGGACTCTGTTTGGAAGGTGTAGTTTATAAAGTGTAGTTTGGAAATGGAAATGTAAGAGTTTGGACCTCATGCATTTAGACGTACCAGGGCTGCTAGTGTCCTCTCTCTCAGCTTCGTTTTCACTGCGTCCACTGGTCTCATAGCCCAGATCCTGCAGATCCACCTGCACCTGCTTACTGTCCTGCTGCACAGCACTCTCAGCTGAGGCCAAGGCATAAAGAAAAGACATATGAATATACTGTATTAATCCCTACTGGGTAATTTAAGTGTTACAAAAGCACCATACATACAATACAAGATGACATAAGCACAGAATACAAAAAAATATATAAAAAAAAAAAACAGTAGCATTGAGACAACTTTGTAAAGAGAGCTGAGTTTGAGGTACATTTCACACAAGTGAAAAATTCCTTGATAAATTCACAACCCAAATGAATCATTTCTCACTTACCACACAAGATGAATTCTTTGAAATTGTAAAGCACTTGTGTAAAAATAATGTCTGCTTTGTTACAATATGATTACGATATGATCTGATTTTTGCACCAAAGAGTAAATATAATATATGATACATATAATGATAAAGATAATGACAATAATAGCTTTTATTTTAAGAATAAATTGATAGTCCTAAAGAGATTTGGGCATGTGTATTCATTTATTTATGTCTGAAAAATGTTTCTAAAAGTAAAAATTTGATCGGGACAGTATAAATTCTGTTTGGGACAGTAAACCTTCAGTCCACTTTGGGGAATTAGTAAATGCTGCATGTGTAATGGCCTGAGGATTCTGCACCCTAAGTCATGTTTTTCAGTTTTTATATTTTTACACTATTTGACAATAAGCTTGTCAGAGGCCACAAGCTTGTGTTTGATGGTGAATATACCAATAAAAATGATCCAAAATTACAACCAAAAAAAACATTCTCCAATTCTTCTATAAAGTTTCCACTTCAGAGATACAATGTTATGTTACAACACTTGCAATATCTTGTTGTAAACATATATACCAATATTGAAACAGGTGAGGATGACAAATAACTGTTATTGGTACTGTTTTGCTATTATTAGCCGTGTATATTTATTCCATAACTGTTTATGCATTCTGTAACTGTTACCATGCTGTACTTGCTATGTGAGTAATCTGAGAAAATCTAAACTGCAATTGAACTGATTGTGTGTGCAAAACGCCCAAGAGAAGTTCATGCATATATACAGCAGACTTATACACGCTATGACTCTTCAGTCGGTTCTTTGTTGATGTGCACTCACTCAGTAGTTCCCTGTAGTCCTTCAGTTGTTCAGCCTGTGCGTGTACAGTAGCCTCAGACACCATCAGTCTCTCCCGTAGCTCTCTGCTCTCCTGTCGGCTGAGCGCCAGGTCGCTACGGAGACGCTCTGCCTGCTCACGAAGTCCCGCTTCCACATGCTGCCAGAACCCTGCAGAACCTCCACCGCCTGCGGAACTGGAACCTCCACTCTCCCCCTCTACCTCCCGCTCCATGGCTGGGTCCTGGGACACCAAACAAGCATGCACAAATACGTGATTATTGTACAGCTCTACTCTAATGTTTTCACAGTAAAACACAGAAACAAATTAAAATCTAAAGTTGCTTTGCCCCTTGTTCTTCGGATACATATGACAACATAATTTATTTTGAATGTCAGTCCGGCAAAACATTGTATTAATATTGGACAAACTGCATAGCTATATCGTCCTGTGACAGTTCCTTATTAAAATGGACAAAGATGGACAAATTTCAGGCTTCAAGATGGCTGCATTACTGTTTTTAGCAATAGACCTCTAAAGTCGCGCATCATTCTCTAGTCAGTATCATGTCCATATTAGGAACTCTGAGTCTGAGCTGTTTTCTTCTATGGGAAAAACAAATGGAATTCTGCAAAATCTGCACTATTGCGCCCTGTAAAAAACAAAAATGTTCAAAAGCGGATACATTTTGTGCTGTGTACAGTTTTTCCCTGAGTGTCACTGGTTCCTCTGAACTATGAGGTCATTAAGTAGTTGGAATATGAACCCTAGCTGCAAGCTAGTACTCCTGAGGACTGAAATGACATTTCATAAAACTAAGTATCCTATTAAACTTCAACTGTGTTGTACAACAACATCAACTACTCAGACTGCGCTCTACTATTGCCAAAGCAACTTAGCTATCACATATTCTAAAGCTTGCTGGTTTGCGTGGGGAATTCTGGTGAGGTTGCCAGTCTTATGGTGTTCAGTTCAAAGCGCAATAGTGTTAGCTTGCATGTAGCAACATTTGTATTTTGACTTATTAATGGCTTCGTAATTCAGAGGTTCAATCGAAATTTGGAGGAAACGTTTCAGGTTTGGAACATTTTTGTTTACCACAGAGTACGATATAGGAGATTTTAAAATCAAATTTGTTTTTCTCATAGACAAAACCAGCTTAGACCAGGAGTTCCTTATATGTTCAGGATGGCAACTACAGAATGAGGACATGTCAGAGGTCCACATGGCATGCTCTTGTCCAGTTTTAAAATAACAGTATGTCGTATAGTGTTAGAAACCACAGGAGCAAGACTATTTGTGATGACTTAACAGCTTAACACAGTTTGAGATGTGTGCTGATTTAGGTATGCAGTTTGTATAATGTTAACAGATGGCATAAAGCCTCCATTACTTGTTACATTGGTCTTGTAGCTCCAATGCAAATCTAAAGAAGCAAATTTTGATCACCAAACATGTTTTGAATCATTGACAAAGTTTACACTGAGGAAAAAAGTGTTTAAATGTGTTTTTTTGTCAAACTAGTGCTTTAACATTGGGGATTTTTAATTTAAATCCCAAATTCAGTCTATTCAGATGTCTCATGCTGGACCTATTTTGTTTGATAGACACAGGCTATTCAATACAGAGATGGTCCCTGACCTGTGTAATGGCCTGCAGAGAAGTAGTCACCTGTGGTCTATTGTGGGCTAGCAGTGCTCCGAGGTCCAGAGAGTGCGGTCTCGTACACTTCCTTTTCCTCAGTCCTTCTCTCAGGGTCACAGCCGGGGGTCCACGCTTTCTCTGAGGGGCCCGCACATCCTCTTCGTTTCCCTCATCATCCTCATCCTCGTACTCATACTCATCCTCCTCTTCCTCTCCAAGTGTGTGGGCCTGGCCGTGAAGTTTCAGTCTGTCTGTGTCACTTTGCTCCCACCTTCTGCACCTCCTGCATTCCTCTCTCTCAGTTCTCAGACCGGATCCGGATTCCAGTCCGGATCCTGATCCAATCCCACTCTGCTGTAGCTCACCGATTGTCTCCTGCAGGCTAGACAGAGCACTCGTGTATATATTTCATGATAAAATCATAAACAGAAACAGTAAAACAACATCAACAGCCGGCTGTTAAACTGCAGTGCCAATGGTAATTTGTCATTAAAAACGCATTTTAGTCCAGACTTATTCCTAATCTGGGTCTAGGAAACCGGCTTTAAACGTTTTAGTTTTGATGATAATTATTGATCATTATTATACTCCTGATAACTATTAGTTAACTCATCTTTCAAGTGTATATATGGTAAAAAAAGTGTCAGTAAGAGTAGCTTGTGATGTTAAGTGATGAGTGGTGGTGTTTTTTTTTACTACTATTTTGCTACTTTCTATGTCTGCTTTTGCTTGTTTTTATACTGCCCATCAAAACTATGGGTTCAAAACTTAGTGTCCTTCTAAAATTCTAAAGGTAATATTTGATTTCCAACTATATTTTAATTTAGATAAGAAAACCTGTAGATCATTAGTTAACATAATACAGATATTTGTTAATACTTCAGGTATTTTAGCTTTGAGTCTATTAAAGTGTCTTCCTCTGTATGAAGAGTTGGTTTAGTCTAAATAATGATTTGAATGCTTTCTTTTCCAATTTATTGTTAAACACTGAACTGAATATCCTTTTGGGCCCAAAGGTGGTTTAAACAGGTGAAATGTTTGAGTGCTGATGAGTGCTGACATCACAACAATGAGTTAAATGTGTTGGGTTTATTCCCCAAGTTGCACTTCTGGCAGTTGCTCCATTTTGCAAAGAAAAATGTAAATTGCTTTCTATTTAAAGCTTTACTTTGTAAGCTGTTTCTGTTAAAATTGACAGAAGTAGCATTACTCCAGAGTCCAGAGGGAAAAACAGGCTAAAATACGGTGTCTGTGCACTGCTGTGAGTCACCCTGTAAAGCTTAAAATAATCATTTTAAAGTCAGAGGCGCCAAGTCAGTTATACTGGGCTATATTATATTCATTTGTCTTGAGGTGTTTAAGTCTCAAATATGAAAAATCAACAACACACCTTGGCAACGTTAAGGCACTCATGTTTCTGAGGTTTATTTTAATTTATATATACTTCCTTGCAAATATGAGCAAACTCTACGCATTTTACAGTCTTGCTAAAAAATAAAACTGCAGTTTCAGAGAACTGCTGGCCTGTATAGTATTCGAATACTGGCACCTTGAAGGTTAAACAAGCACTTGAGTACTCATGCACATCCCTAGCTTCTATGTGTGCATGTATGTGTGGTACCTGTTCTGACAGAGTGTGGTGGAGCCAGCCTGGCTGAGCTGGCTTTTCCCCTTTCCCATCTCTCTGTCTCCTTTCTTCTTTGGTTCCATCTCATTCTCCCATCCTCCGACCATGGCCCCCTGGGACAGACCCCTGCTCACTGGACTTCCAGACATCGCAGCATTCTAAAAGGACGAGGTGGAGACATTATATGTCCAAAGACACCCTTTCTCATTAGTGAACTCAGCTACTTTAAAGTATTAAACTGCGCATACACAGCTTGTATGAAGCACTGCCAATAGAATGGGGCGCACTGGAGCAGGTGCACATGGGCCTAAAGTCACCATGCGCCAATGCCATGTGTCAGTTAAAGGGGTATAAAGCCCCCCAGCATTGCACTGTGGAGCAGTGGAACTATGTTCACTGGAGTGGTGGAGCTCCATCAGAAACATCTGAGATGAGCTGGGATGGAGTTTGTGATCCAGAACTGATCATTCAACATCAGTAACTGATGTCACTAATGCTCTTGTGGCTGAATGCAATCAAATTCTCATAATAATGTTCCAACATCAAGTGTAAAGAGTTGAGGCTGTTACTGCAGCAAAGAGGGACAAGCTCCCTTTTAATGCTCTTGATTTCAGAACAAACATTGGATGAGCAGGTGTCCACAAACTTTTGGACATATAGTTTAGCTTTCAAATATTTACAAGTATATAAAATCAATCTAGTTGCACATACATGTTAAAGATCATTCCAAAATGCTAGTCCTGTGCTTCTTAACAGGTTCTATTCATTTGTAGCTTGTCAAAAGTGGTCTTAAAGTAGGTAATTTGACAAAAATATATGGTATACAGATAATTACAGTATATTTATCATATCATTTAACTTTAATATCTTGTTTTCTGACTACTTTAAATGTTAAATAAAACATTTAAAAATAACCTTTGGTGTCTACTTTATATTATTTGAATCTAAACTGCATTATTATTGTACACATTGTAAAAGCACTGACATCACAAGTAAGCGCAGTCTTCTCGATGATCATTTATGCGTAATCCACTACAGAGAGTATATTCTCTGAATCTTTTGTGAAGTTGTTGGAGCAGCAGGGGTCAGTTTACCTGTGTTTTAGCCAGACTCTGAGCAGTCAGTTTCACATCGTCGTCCTCTATGCTGTCTGTGAATTCCTCACTGCTACTGCCAGCGTCTTCATCATCGTCATCGTCGTCCTCAGTCTCATCCGTGGTGTAGTCTAGAAGGAAAAACACAGTGTGGAGTTGAAGAAACTCATTTTCTGTCTTCTTTCCACATCTCCTTGTCTTTCTCTTTTTTACTGGCCCTCAGCGTTCCTGCTTTTATGTAATTCCTTCACCATCTTGTTGATTTTAATGTGTTTTCCATTCTTTCTCGACTTCTCCTGACAGCGGGCACATATCCAGGCTCAGTCATGGGATTAAAGTGGAAAAGTTTGTCAGAAGCCTCTGAGCCAGCTCTGCTAAAGTGAAGCCCTGCCCATGCTTTCCTCTCTCTCTCTCTCTCTCTCTCTCTCTCTCTTCCTCCCTCCCTTTTCCTCTCTCTCACACAAAAACACATACATACAAGGCAAACAAAAGCTCGCAGACTCTTTAGCTCTTATTAAGTACAACTCTCCCTAATTTATTTCCAATGACTGTAACAAGAACATGTTTTCATAAAAACCTATAAAACAATTTGGGAAAAATATGTATGTATTATTAAAATTCTATATATAGAAACAAAACTATAGCTTTATATAGAGAAATTTCCAAATACGAGTCACAGAAGTCGCTGTTGAGTGTCTCATTCCACAAGCGCACATGGTGAGTATAAAACTCCTGGACAGTGAAGTGCTCTAAAAAGGTTACATAAGCTGAGATACCATAACAGGCCTGAAGATTTGGCAGAGAGAGAGCGAGAGCGAGAGAGAGCACGAAAGAGAGAGAGAGAGAAGGCTGAGAGAGATAAAGTGGAGGGGGGGAAAAGACAGAGAGAGAGAGAGAGAGAGAGAGAGAGAGAGAGAGAGAGAGAGGCTGAGAAGGAAAGGAAAAACATAAGAGAAAGAGGGAGAAAAAGAAACAACGCGGAAGGAAGAATAAGAAAAAGACATGGTGGAAAAATGAGACATAAAGACAGAAGCAACATAAAGAGAGTGGAAAGAGAGATAGAGAGGAAGAGTAAGAAAAGAGTGAGAGAAAGAATGAAAGAGAAAAAAAAATATATATATATATATATATATAGAGAGAGAGAGAGAGAGAGACAGAGAAAGTGAAAGAAAGAAAGAAAAAAAATAAGGAGAAAGAGTATGAGAGAAAATAAGAGAGTGAGCAGAGAAGGAAGAAAGAGAGAAAATGAGAGTGAGAAAAAGAAAGGAAAGAATGAGGGAGAAAGAGAAAAAGCGAGAACATGAAAGAGAGAGCAGGCTGAGAGAGATACAGCGGGAGGGAAAGAAACAGAGAGGGGGGTTGAGAAGGAAAGAGACAGCAAGAAGAAAGAGACAGGAGAGAAAGAATAAGAAAAGCACAGAGAGAGAAAATGAGAGAGAGAAGCAACAGAGAGTGGAAGAGAGATAGAGGGGGAGAAAAAGAAAAGAGAGAAAGAATGAAAGGAGAGTGAGAGAGAGAGAGAGACAGAGAGTGAGAGCGATCAGGCCTAATGTGGCTCAGCCTCACAGATCATCAGTATTGTGCTTCACTTCAAAACAAGCCCCAAACCAGCCCTGTGTCCATTCTCTGAGCTCTGAGCTGTGGGCTCATGTAGTAGCTAACAGACAGGTGATATCTAATGGGCTAATGGATCTGGTGGAAGTGGCTTATTCTCACACATCTCGGTGCTTCTACTTGTTTAGTGCAGTAGTACACTGAAGAAATGATGCGCTGAATTTACCTTATTTAAGAAGCATCTGCCCCCTTTTTCACATTAATAAAATCTATTACATCAAAGCAGTTGTCTTTCAGTTTACTCACTTGTGTAAATGATGTTTGCATTTGAACCACGTATGTTCAGCGCATTATTTTTTTCACTGTAAGAACATTAGGAGGATTAGTGAGTACAAACTGATGTAAGAATGGGGCATTATGCTCATTCTTGACAGTAACAGCTGTCTGGCACAATGTGGTCCTTTGGACAGAGCACTAAATGCTCAAACATGATGATTAGACTGGAGTTCTGCAGTTTCTGCAGTTTATGCTAACTAGTTTTAGGGTCAATGATGTTACACAGTCATTTTATACATTCGCATATACGAGAGTATCAAGCTGTAAAAAGCTGTATCACTTAAATAAAATGTGTAAATAAACTGTGGTCCCAGTTAGTTGATCATTACTAGGCCTTCATATTATACTAGGCCTTAGATATTGCAGACAAAGAGGTTAATTATTAGAGGCAAGTGTCTAATGTTTAAATAGTGGAAACAGATTTGTTATGATTTACCTCATTTGAGTAAACAGACCAAAAAAGGATAAACGACCGATATTCTAGCGCGATACAAGACACCACACAGTTCATTAAGTGAAAATCAGACTTAATATAAATGGCCCATACCATGGAAAAGCAGAATTTTCGTCACATATTGTGAAATGAAGGGGTTAAAAGTAATGTATGTAAACACTGTTCATGCTATGTACCTATCACTCCTCAGTCCATACAGTCTACATACATATATATAATTCAAAACAGGCTAGTTTTGCATCTTAGTTCTACATATAGCTTAGTTATATATATATATATATATATCCATTTTTGTCATTTTTCAGTTTCGACATAATTTAAAAATACCTTCATTTCATGGTGAACGGACCAGAAGAAGCGACCAAAAATGACTTGGGAAAAAAGTCTGGTTGAACTGACTTACATTAAAAGTAAAGTATGTTTTTTCCTTCTCCTATGAAGTTATCATTTTGGAGAGGTGCTCTGACAACAGCGACATATATATATATATACACACACACACAGACACAGATATATATATGTGTGTGTGTGTGTGTGTATATATTTAGTCTACAGCAATTTACTGCTGCCCATTCTCCCATACTTAAGTTATAGGGAGTGTTTTGGCTCTGAGTGCTTTTTGAATGAGGCTCAATACCACATAATCAGAAGAGAGGTCATTCATCTTAAATGAGTCTTAAAGGCACAAACAAAAACAGCCTGTTTAATTCTAAGCAATAAAGAGAGAGTAGGAAACTGTCATGTACAAACCAACTATGACTGGTTTTGGTACATAAAACCACATAAATGTTCTGAGTGGACCTCAAGGGAATAAAATGGGTCCATTAAAACCCATTGAGATCATTGAGATATGTTGGGAAATGTGTGGAAAAGAAACCACTGCAACAGATCTGTGGACAGCAGTGAAGGATTTGTGGGAAATCCTTTAATTTAGAAAAGTATGATAAAGTAGTGTGAGGTTGTCTTCAAGACCAAATGAGCTACACATGCTGATACACACTTTGAACTGTTAGCGTTTATTTCCTATTTTGCTTCTATTTTTTGGTGTGTCATCACAATTATCATTACAAAAAAGACTTTACCTGAACTCTGCTACATAACACTGACATAAATACGCCCGTAAACATGTGATAGCAGATGCCATATGCTGTCATGAGTTGTTATGGCAGATTTTGTTACACACAATGTCATAATGGATGATTCAGACCAAAGTCTGCTGAGCATACTCTAGCTGACTGTCATATCATCAAACATAATGACATTTATTATGACAATTACCGATAATGGTAACATGACACCATAATATTACCGGACATAATCTGTTACGACAGCACATGACAGCATATGACATCTTCCATGACATGTTTATGGCATGGTTATGTCACTATTATGTAGCGGAGTTCAAGAAAAGTGTTACTAAACAACCTTTGAGCTCCTCTAGTCTTGAAGGTAACATCACATTTCTTGATCATATTTCTTTTTTAATAATAAAGGAACCGCTCCCCTCCAGTTATTCACTACTCATCAACAGTGGTTAAATTTATCTTTTCCACACATTTCCCGACATTGAGATCTCAATACCTTGACATTGAGATCTCGATACGTTTTCGTGCATTAAACCGTGTGGCATCTTGTATTGTCTTGTTGGAATGTTTGACATTTGTTGTGTTTTTGTGAATAAGCAGGATTTGCTAAACCTGAATGTGTGAAATATGTGCTTGTGAGCAATTCGTTTCACTGACAGTACATACTGCTACAGGTCAATGATATGTGTGTGAGACTTAGGGTGGTATCTCAGTGGAACATTTGCCATGATACAACATTGACCATGACGGTCGTAAATGTTTAAACACCCCCGGTTAAATTACACGCTTTATAGATTTCCTAATTAAAAATAAGTTGACACATTCTCTACACAGAACAAACCTAAATATGGCATTTCTATGCAAACTTTAGTGCACAATTCATATTTATTTGAAGAGTTTTACATATTAAAACAAAAATAAAACACAAAATATAAAATGCAATGTTTTATTTTTTCCCCCAACATGATAAATTCAGCAAATAAATAGTAATTGTGCGCTAAAACGAGCAGAAGTGTGTTCTAAACAGAGGATGTGTTAACTTAGTTTTACTTAAAAAATGTAAAAAACATGTACTTTGGCATACATACTTTGGCCAAACTTTTGCATATGACTGTATATATACTGAGCATAGAAGCATAAAAAGCATGCAATGCCCTCTAGGAAATGCATGCAATGTGCTAAATGTGTTTTGCCTATTTATTTGTCAGCGGTATAGCGGATTATGTTTATGTCACTTAGTCCACTGCGGGAAAAACTCATCAAAAGGAGCGAATGGAATCTTTTAGTATTACAGTGAATGAACATCCATGGAAGCTTTAGAACAAATGTCATGGTTTTCCAGAACTATGAATATCTGTATCACCCCACCATGATGTAGAAGGCATGCAAACACAGAGTGCATGCACAGCTAGCATGCATGTGTCCACTGAACAGGATTTACAGCTCAGCTCAGCATATATTAAATACACTACCAAATCAAACTCATGTTTATGGACCTTTTCAATGACTGAGGGCAAATGAATTACCTTAAATAATAAATACTGATAATGGAACACATATGAGGAAATGTGTTTCATGTAGTACGATACGTTTTTTATTTACTTACCTTGTGCGCGTTTGATATTAAATCAGTGTTTTATGCTCCAAAAGAGAAATGTGTGTTCCTGATCACGTCTGGTATATTAAGGTGACCATACATCCTTTATTTTAGGATGATTATAATAGGACATGTCCTATTTTAGGGACTTAAAAAATGTGTCAAGCTGGAATTTCTAAATTGCCTAAAATGTCCAAGATTTGGCTTTTGCTTTCATATTGACATTTGCATTCTACAGTCCCCAGTGTCCTCTTTTTTGAAAACCAAAATACAGCCACCCTACGGAAATAAAAGAGCTTATATCATAGACAAGTTTAATCATGTGGCTGTCAAAATTACAATTTTGACCGGTGTACTACATAAAAAAAAGAAGAAAATGCAAAAAAACAGTTCTGACCATGAAAGCTGGTGTAAATTTATTTCGGTTCGTTTTGAAGTACATAAAAATGACCAGCGTTTTTCTTCTGTGAAATATCGGTGGAGAAACCTGACTTTTGCAAAAACTGCTTTACAAAAGTCCAAAAGCTCATTTGGCACTGTGTTTCTGACCATCCAGTACAGAGATTTGAAAGAGTAGGGATGACAAAGGCTTCTTAACTTTGCAGATAAAGGAAAATATAGCTATTGTACCATGCACAGCATGCAGAATGTCATAACTAACAGCTAATCTAAGCCACTAACTAAACACCAGCTACTGCATCTGACATTTGCATATATTATTTAGAAATACTGCAGGGAGAAAGTTGGAAAAAGCACACTATTACTAAAGCTTTAAACTAGCTCTGACCCGTTTTCGGATAATAAGCAAGAGTGATTTAGCAAATAAAGCCTAAGGCGATGCTTCCATATAAGTGAAATATAATGTTAGGCATATTTGGGCTTTTATGTGTGTAAACGACAATGGTTCAACTGAAAGAAAATGAATGAGTCAGACCATACAAATACCAGCACTTTACAGAGAAATGCTGTAACGAGCAACACAAGAAACACAATACACTGAAATGGCAAAACAGACAAGAACACTTGCACCTCCCAAAAAAGCATAAACACACAGAATAAATACACAAAATAAATTAAAACGTCATATTTGTTTGCTTTGCCACTTCATGAGTCTACAATAAAATCACTCACACCTTCAAGTTGTTAGTACACTTGTTTGTTCTGTTAGTTGAAGTGCTTTGCTGAAGGACTCGTATCACACACTCATTTATGCAGCATTAGGAATAGCACCCCCTGCTTGCATGGCGGCCTTTTTTTATAACGTGCAGCCCAAACTCTGCTGTGGCCCACCTCCATACTCGGCTTGGGCCTTAGCTGCCCTGTCCAGTGCCAGAGCTGTGTCTCGGGTCCTGCTCAGGACCTCTTCCAGCTGACCTCGAAGAGCTTGTACCGTGTCCAGTTCCGTGTGTAAGGCCCGTGTCTTGTCTGCGCTGCTGGAGCAACGACACAATACCACTTACATGGTAAGATCACTCTTCAATAACTACACTACTATTCAAAAGTTTGGAATCATATGTCATATGAATAATTTTTGCTGTTCTATATAAAATAACTTGTACAGTGCAGATTAAAAAATATACTTGATATCTAAAGTTATTATTAGATGTTCTATTCAAATTAAATTTGCAATATAAATTTGGTCACGTTATCTGCCTTCGGATATGATCACCATGTCTGAAATATGAGGCTTTCTATTAATTTAATTAAAACTTTATTCTTTTGTTTTTACAGATTCCTACTAATTTGAAACCTGTGAATTTGCACAAGATTGAAAACATGGATTCCAGACTTTTGAATGTTCATGTACATCAGCTTAGTGTTTCTCAAATTGGACACCAATGCTCTAGGGGCTGTTTTTTGCATCTAAGTCACACTGAGTCTAGTCTATTTGTAGAGGTCTGAGTTTAGAAATTAGGACAGTGAAAGCCCAAGATAGCTGCTGGTGCTTGTTGCTCAAGATGTGGTTATTTTTTTTACCATTGTTTACACATTTTCATGCTATCTGGCTGAACTGAGATGAATTACTTCTTAAGAAGATTCAGAGAAGCACTAGAAGGCAAGTATATATGATCAAATAAGTCTACTGTAGTATAGTGTTTGCTAGATGAACATTCATCTTCTCTGAATAAGAATGTTTATCAACAGGTTATGAACAGGCATAATCTGTTCCAAGATATGTTATAACTATAGGTCCTGCTTGGTTTCTGACCTGTCTCCTCTAGACTGGATTTGGCTCAGGTTCTGGTACACTTTCTTCTCAGCTCTCAGAGCCTGGTTCAGCTGCTGGTACTCCAAAACCAGCTGCTCCAGAGCATTCTGTAGGGAAAGAGCCACGTTACTGACACAGAGCTGACTTACACTTGATTTGGATTGAAGATCATTGCTTTACAAGTTTTAGAGGATACCTCATGGTCCAAGCTAGTGCGGTCTTCATGATGTTTGGCCAGAGCAGACCTCAACTCTGAAAGCTCCCGCTGTCATTGAAGAGATGAAGTGAGAGAACAGAGTAAAATATAAACAAAAATTAAGGAAAACTGGTCATGTTTGAGAGGAATTGTGTGTAGGAGAATGTGTGTGTTTGTACCTCTGCATCTCTCTGCTTCCTCAGAGCAATCTGAAGCTCCTCTGTAAGAGCTTGTATCTCCAACTCTGAGCTGCTATCACCCACTCCTGCTCACAATACATACACACATATGATCACTGATCTTTAAGCAGGGTCCAATGCATCTTGGAAATACATGGTGATACAATAACTTAACCTCTTTCTGCAGGCCCCCCAGTGGCTGTTCCCTCAGCAGAATTAAAAAACTGACTCTAGTATTTTTATTAGCTATAGTCAAATTATATAACTTAACATCAGTTAATATCAGATTAACTAGGACACTGCAGGCTCTCTGCATGTGAAATACTAAGACGATGTGTGGAGCTGCTAGCAAGCTATGAGGGGTGAAAGGCGGAAGGGTAAGAACCCCCTGCTTTGAGGTTTCTTGAAGATCAGTATCCGAGATATCTGGTCAGTGCATTCACATGTATTCTGAGGGTTGAACATACCCTGCACAGCCCCCGCTGGTCCAGAGGTCGCCATAGCCTCTTCCTGACCTTGCATCAGATCCTAGAATACAAGTGCATCATATTAATCTTGATATTCATATGAACTGTGGAACATTTCTTCTTGGTATATATGCGTGCATGTACCTGTATAAGACTCTCTTTCTCTCTCAGTAAACTCTGCAGTCTCTCCATCTCTGTGGCCAGTGGTGCTCCCCTCTCTCTCTCCCTCTCCCTCTCTCGTGATAGCTCACTCAGTTCTCGTTCTTGCGAGGACAGCTGCCTGCGCAACTCCTGCAGCTGACAGGTCCGCTCAGCTATCACCTGCCTCAACCTCTCACCACTCTCCTAAGAAAGAGAGAGCAGAAGAGAGAGAGAGAGAGAGCGAGAGAGAGGGAGAGAGAGAGAGAGAGAGAGAGAGAGAGATAAAGCTTGAATTCACTTTAATCATACATTATTTATTATTCATTCATTATAAATGTCACACAGAGAAAAATCTGCAAAATAAATTGCACAATTTGTGCCTTGAAGTTAATCAGTCAAGACTCATGTTTTTTTTTGTTTTTTTTTGTGCAAATGTGCAATGGAGCTACGAGGCTAATGCAGCTAAAAAGAAATGGAAACTTACACCACTCCAAAAATGGATTTACAAAAATGGACAAAGCTATTTAAAAAATGGACAAATCTATAAAGATAGACCAAACTACAGATAAAATTCAGGCTCCAAGATGGCTGCTTCTATTATTTTTAGCTGTGCCACATACTTTTGTCCATCAAATGTGTCTCAGTTATCAACTACATTTTGAAGAAGGTGGAGAAATGCATAAAATTGACCTCTTACTGTCATTTTAAATCACATACAGTCACAACATAGAGGAAAACACAGGGCTACAGAGAGAAAAAACAGAATGTGAGAGGGAGGGAGAAAGGTGAGATAAATTCAAAAGGGACAATTACAATGTTTGAGACATTGAGGAGAAGACTCACGTGGAAAGTGAAAGTGGTTAGACTCGGTAGTGGGTAGAGTGATAGAAAAGGACAGGATGTATAGAGAAACAATGAGAGACAGAAACAGGAAAGACAAGTAAAACTGCAACTGTAACGTCGTATTCGGTGCAGAGCCGCCTTGTGGCCACTGTGTTGAAGTGCAAGTGTGGGTCAGTGTTTAATTTTACCTTGATGTACTGGTCTCTGGAGCTGATGGTGTTTAGCAGGCCCTGCACCTGTGTGTGGTGCTCCTGTGTCTGCCTGCTACGGTCAGACAGCAGCTCCTGGAACAGCCGTTCCTTCAAAGCCAGACGTGACCTCAGCTCCTCCACCACTTCATTAGGACCCGGGAAGACTTTAGCCATCAATGCTGCAGTCAGGTCCTTTAATTAAACAACAAGCCAATATTCAACATGAGATATATAATAAGTAATGTACATTTTATATCCTCTCCCTGCAACCTATTTACATAGGTCTGAAATCAAGGGTATTAACAAGGAGTTTACTTCCTTTGTTGCAGTAACAGCCTCTACTCTTCTGGAGAGGCTTTATACTAGATGTTGCTGTGGGGATTTGATTGCATACAGCCACAAGAGCATTAGATAGATCAGGTACTGATGTTGGATGACTCATCTCAAAGGTACTGGATGGTGCTCCATCACTCCAGAGCACTACTCTATGGAGCTGTACTGTATATGTGCAATTGAATACCTTAAAGCAGAGTTTACTCATCAGAAGAGGTTTCTGGACATTTTTGGACATGTAGTGTATCTTAATCCCTGCTTGAGCTGGATTAGTTTTACTTGAGGAGATCCAGTAATGTAACTGATGTCAATGTCAGGGTTATGACGTTTCAATCTGGGTTAGCTGGGGTAATTTGGGAAGATTACACAGATACTTCATCCTGTATGAACTGGAAAGTCAAACCCCTTACAAATTACATTATTCAACCTCCTCTGGTAAAACTAATCCAGCTCGAATAAGTTTCTGGTTAGGCAGAACGACAGCAGTAACTCAGGTTTTTCAGGTCTAACTGGAAAATAGACCACTTTCAGAATGACATGATGAAAAAGCCAGGTGTGTGTGGGTGTTTACCTCTGTCTCTTTGCTGCGCGTGTGAAGCGTACTGTGTAGCTGTGTGATGATGTTGTCTCTCTCACGGAGAGCGGCTGTGTGTTTTTCGTCACACTGCTGTTTGAGCCACTGCAGCTTCCGACACGCCTCCTGAGTCTGCTCCAGCTCCAGCTCCTTACCACGTACCAAGGCATCCAGACTCTACTCACAACACAACACAAATACATGCAAACTACTTACTAAAAACACCAACGTCTCAAACAAAAAAGTGCTTATTGTTCTGTAGATTGTGATTTAATTCTGAACAACAAACTTCATACCGACACACACACAAATCCATACCGTTAGAGTCTCTTCGTTGTTCGACAGAATGCAGCGCAGTCTCTCCAGGTCCCTCTCTTTCTCCCGAAGTGCTAACTGCAGTCTGCGCACCTCACTCTCTTTTTCTTCCAGACAGTGGAACTTCTCATCTATAGCACGCTGATAAAATGCAAAATACACATTTACACACAACACTTATGATATTAGTACTACAGTGTACTGAGAAGTGGGAACTGGGTTTTACATTTCCGTTGCATTATGTGTAGTCTGTGTGGCAGAGACAGGTTTATAATGTTGTGTGATTTAAGTCAATTTTATAGTTTTGTACTTTTGCCATACAGCGTGTGAGTATTTGCAGTACTCTGAATTTTTTAATATTTGAATAGCCATTAAACATTAAAAAACATCAATTAACCGTAGACAGACTACTGCAGCTGGCTATGGTATCAAGTTCATTTTACACTTTACACTTTATAGATTAAATGTTTAGCATTTGTCTATTTATCTTAAAGGACTTTAGAATGATGCCTTTTTGGGAGCAATTTATTCAAATATTTATTCAAATATTTGCTTTATAAAGCCTTATAAATTCAAATATCAAATTTGACTGAAATGCCGAGTAGTGTAGTGGGCAGTACCTCCAAAGCTTTGTCCCGGTCGCGTATGCGGCGCTTTAGTTTGTCCAGCAGGACATCCTGGGGTCGGCTAGTATCAGCTGGCTGATCCAGCAGCTCAGAATACTCCTGACACACATACATGCATACAAGAGATGAATCAGGCAGAGCGACTATCAAGATTAAACATTAAACCTTCAAATTTCTAGGACATGGGTTAATCTAGCCTTGGTCTATACTACAATGCCAGCTGTCTTTCAGTATTAAAACTTTAATTTAGTCTAGGCTTAGGATTGATCTGGGTCTGTGAAACCAGCTGCAAGAGTCGATTAGTTGATTACCTGAACTGAACGTGTATGTGAGTGTGCATGTGTTTGTGTCTTACCTGCAGTAGTTTCTCCTTCTCTCTCAGTGAAAGCTGGAGTTGTGAGATGGTTTTATCGCGAGCTGCAACCTCAGAGTGCTTATCGCACTCACTTTCCTTCAGTTGAGCCTCCTTCACCTGCAGCTCTGAACGCAACTGCTGCACTGTGCTACGCAGATCCTGTATCGCAAGAACACAGTGCTTCTTTCACAAACTTTGGATAAGTGTCATCAGCCAGGGGTCTACATTTTTAGAGACGAATGTGATGCAAGTGACGTAAAAGATGATATGCTGCTTATATGCTGGTTGATGTATAGCTCAACTGGAACTCAAACCCAGTCCTAGTGTTAATACTTACCTCACACTCTCTTTCCCTTTTCCCAAATCTAGTCGATCAGCTAAGAGACCTGATAGCACTGTACAAACTGCATGCTACATCATCACACTGTGTCAAGGTGTCCAGCAATCTCAACTTGCTTATATGCCTTCTGGCACTGTATGAGAGTACTGTGATCCACAAAAATAGACAGAAGAACATATAATTTGTCTGTTGTACCTGGTTGTGTTTTTCAGTGGTCTCTCTGTGCTGCAGCGCTGCCTCCAGGTCACTGCACAGGCGGTGGCGGGCGTGTTCCAAGTCCTCTGCCACTCTCTGGCTCTGCCTATGAGCACGTTGGCTGGCCTCTAGCTGCAGCTGAGAGCAGAACAGAGAACTCTGCAGCCCCACTATATCCCCTTGCAGCTGGGCTACAGAGCCTGCTTCAGCCCCATCTATGGTCTACAGAAACGGAGAAAGAAGAACACAAACACAAGTGTACTAAACTTTAAGGATGCAGCAAAATTTCACTGAAAATTTCTGTCCAAAAAAGGTCAAAAATAGTATACCCAGCTTTTGTTCGAAAGACAAAAATGGCTGAAAATCCCCACAATTTTAAAAAAATAATTTTAATGATAACTAAAATGGAAACATTAAAACACTGTTTGAACTGTTTTTCTTTGGTCTCCTAGGTGGTATCCTAAGTGCAGATGTGTTCAAACATTTTGAGAAGCAGCAGATCAACAGTGAAAATATCAGCCATGTGGAACTATTTCATGGTTTCTATGAGGGATATTAAATTAAAAGATTTATAATCTCTGTTCATGTCAAACATCAAGAGGAGGTGTGAAACCCAAGAACATACAGCATGACAAAACATGACATGTAGAATACAGCAAAACAACAGAACCAGATACACTATTTTTGGTTTTCCATTTTGTTTCTTTTTTGTGGCCCAGTGTGTCTTGAATTTTGACCAAGGATTTTCATTTCGTTGCATCACTACTATACCTCAGTAATTTTAGCTGTGGCTTATGTGTAAAATACAAAGAAAAAAGAGAGAAAGAGACAGAGAGAGAGACAGACTCACCTGTGTGTGCTGGAGCTGATTGCGATGGGCCATCTCTCTGAGCTTACACATAGTGGTGTTCTGTCCTTCTATAACTTGATATAGCTCTTGCGCCTGCACACACACATACACATAGCATATATGATTTATAGACAATATTTTGCCTGTACATGCCTACTGATTCGAACCCTGAAGGCACTAATCACATCTGCTCTAACAAGCTTGGTTTGACCTTGATTAATGTAATATACTCTCAAATGGCTTTGCAGTATATTAAAGAAAATAAAATAAACTCAAAACATTCTTGTCTTGGTGTATATGTATGTATTTGTATGCATGTAGAAATCTGTCTCAGTGTATGTGTGTACCTCTGTCTCTTTAGTAGTGAGGCTTTCAGTGAGGCTCTGGATGGCCCTCTCCTGACTCTGAGCTGCTTGTCTGATGGAACGCAGCTCAGTCTCCATTTCACTCAGCCTCTCCTGCAGCTTCTGAAACACCCACACAAAGACACAGAAATCAATAACAGCTCTGCATGTGTATTTGTTTAAATAAACAAAGAAAACCTGTTTGGAAAATTAATCATTCATCACAGGACCCATTGTGTTTAGAGCCATTTGTTTATGGTATTTTTTCCACAGAATTGGCTAATTTTTTATTATTGCATATTCAGAGTGAGCTGTAATGTGAATGTGGCATATTGCTTTGTCCTGAATGACTGAGCTGCTTTTGAGCACTTGGCAGCGTCACAAAGCTCCTGGTTTGAAACATACTAGGAATCACACCAGAGGTAGTTTTAATTACTCAGGTTCTCCATTTAAATGTGCAATTTCCACTGAGGAATATTCAAATTTTACACTGAAGTAAAACAATGTAATCAGTAGTTCTGGTACCTTGTTGCTGGCTTCGCTCTCCTGGATCTTATTCTGGAGAGACTGCACCTGCAGCTGAGCCTTTTGCAGTTCACTCACACACTGTCCTGCAGCAGATTCATACTGATTCAGCTGGGACTGCTGCTCTTCTATCAGACTCTGCAATACAGCGGGAGAGACATATACACGTCAGAAATACAAGCACGCATATACGAATCCCCTGCAGCACATGCATACTGGTTTAACTAAGACTGCTGCTTCCCTCTAAGAGAGATGTAGACACATTACACTCACACCGAGCCCCGCCCTTCTATACAATAGTCTGGTTTAATCCCACTAATAACAGGTAACGCTACACTCCTCCATGCAAAATACTCTCTGGTAGTTCTCTTAATACTGGGTAGAGATGTGAGAGTTACTGTGCTACACCACACACTATACTTTGTGCTGTCACTTTAGGGGACATAATATGGCAGTAATATAACACTGTGATACCTGAAAGCATTTTCACAATACATGCTTTTCTGAGACTTGTGAACAAGCTGTAATGGACAAAATGCACTGGCAAAACAGCGGCACCACATCTAAAAGGCCATAAAAACATCACAAGAACCAAAGAATTTTAGGGCTGGTCTGAGCAGTAGTTACAGGATTCGAATATTCATTGATGTTTCCCAACAAGTACTAGAAGATGTATTCTCAAGACTACCCTTAAAACAGCAATATTTACAGGTCATAATTTACCGTATTTTAAATATATTTCTTTTTCAGTCAAAATATTGAAGTTTCCAGTTACATTCGTATATCCATTATGATGGACACCAAGAGACAGATGTGTCAGACAAGGAGACAGATGAGTCTGACTGGATTTTTGCTTATCTAGATAGCAGTGACGATATCTAGATACCCGAGACCTAAGATCAAGACAAAAAACTAAAAAATCTTGTGTTTTCATAGTCAGTTTAGCTGGTTACTGGATGGTTATTCCGCTGACAAGTTAGTGGTCCAAGTTCAATTCCACCTTAGGTAAAATAACTTCAATAAAACCTAAATCTCCTACCGAATTAAGCACTCCGCAAGTTATTTCAATGTTCTATGCTAAATTTGTATACATGTACACACACTCATAACCTTTAGGGATCAGCTGGCCTGCTATCTAGCTTCTTCACCTGAATGCCATTCAATAGTCAAAACCATATCCTACAAATGAATGTGTATTTGGCTGCTGCTCTTTGTTTAATGCCTTTCACTAACTTATCTTGCTTCAGGCTTTCACAAAGAAAAGGGGTGACACTGTGATATTGTTGGAGAGGAGTGTGTCTGTGTTCAGATTACTAAGTATGACTTCATTTGTTACAGACTAATATCATGTCCATCATCATTTAATTGCCATTTTCTCCTGGTTTTATGCTTCTAATTCTGCATCCAGGAAAATGCTCTGGAATTCTGTTGGGGTCTAAAGCATTAACAAAAGATGAAGTTTCCAAAAACTAGTTGCTGTTTACAGGCTCTTCATTTCAATTGGTCTAAATTTGTTTATTATATGATACATGCAGATGTTCCACGTTACTTGAAGTCTAGATAATGTCCACAAAAAGAGCAGTGTGATGAGATTTATCATCATGATGATAATATTTCATTGTATTGCCTAGCCCTACTATCACAACGGCCTGCGCTAAAATGCCTTTACTCCCTTAATACTCCCTTTATAATGCCCTTAAGTACAGCCCCGGTTCTGTCTGTTACTGTAACAAGCATGTGCGTTTGTTATGTGTGTGTGTGCGTCTGAGTAAGCGTGTGTGTGTTTCGCCTCCAGCAGTCTGTGAGACAACTAGGCCAGCAGTGGTGCCACTTTCTCCACATTAACCTACTTAAATGAGAGAGGCTGTATCCTCGGCTTTGGGTTGACATGGCAGGACAGGGACAAACTCAACAGAGTAAGAATGGGGGATGAGCGAGAGAGAGTTAGAGAGAGAACAGAGAGATAGGAAATAAGAGCAATTACTGGGGAAAGAGTGATAGAAAGATCCCAAAAGCCACAGACAGCACAGAAAGACCATTATGTATTATGTAAGTGTTTATAGTTTGGTGTGGACTACGCTAAAATCATTTGGGGGAAAAAATCTTTTTGCAATGTTTCTGGCTGTTATTACGACAAATGCTATTTCCATTAATTATGCTCCAAGCCTGTATTCTTTTGAAGAATAAGAATAAGAGTACATCCACTTTTTCTGGCTTGAGGCTTGACTGCTGAATGTACTGTGCCAAACTGCCAGTTCACAAGCTCAGTATTATTAGGTTAAATTTCCCCAAAAATAAGATGACACTGAATACAAATACGATATTATTAGCTCAAATTCAATTTCAACTTGTAACTAGTAATTTAAAAAGTAATCTCTATTGCTGTCTACAGTACACACACACACACACACACACACATCATCTAAACTGTTTATCCTTCTGGGCTGCGGGTGGTGCTGGAGCCTATCCCAGCTGTCATTGGGCAGAAGGCTGATGACATATTTTGATTGTCTAAGTGAAAATAAGTTAATACACCCTCCACAGAGATCACACCTCTGCAGTTTAATGCACATTTACTGTGCTAAATTTAACATACTGGAAAAAATGAAATGTAAAATCAGGTCTGTACAAAAGTTATGGCACATTTTAGAGGTTTTATTTTTTCCAATATGTTAAACTCAGCAAATAAACAGAAATTGTGCCCTAAAAATTGCAGAAAATGCCATATTTACATTTGTTTCCCGTAGGGGATATGTTAACATATTTTCACTCTTAGAAAAAATATACTTTTCTTAGGAAAGGCTACTGTATAAAATGTCCAATTAATAAGTCTGTAAGCCTGGAAATTCTGACCAGTTTACATAATTCAAACAGTTTGCTAATGTCAACCCTCAGACGTCTAGAGTTACTGATGTTTCACTATGCTGAGAATAAAATTACACAATGATTAACATAGTTATGTTTTTTTGCATTTTTCTGAGTCTATACTGACTTCTTCCACTGTTTCAATGTCAAACAATGACCCAAATATGGAATAAATGTAAAGGATGTTCTTTCTTGCTGCAAAAACTCAAACCATTACAATACCTCCTACTTATTAACAAAAACGTTGTATCCATTGAAATAATCTGCATTTGTGACAGTTTTTCTTTTTGTTTAAATTAACTCAGAATGAGAAATTACATGTAAAATTACATGCTTTCATCACTTACAGTATCTATTTCTAAAGATTAAACACTGGGATATTAGACTGTACACACAGAGTAAATCTATTAAACTACCAAAGCTGACCATAAAACTGATCAGCGCCTAGAACTGTAACTTCAATGCCCTGCACAATTTTCTCATTTCCTTGCTCTTAATACACTGAACTCATCATCAGCTTTCGAAGAAGGCAAATGGGTCCCTAAAACTGCAGTCATTAGCCACTATCTTAAAATGATAGTCCATAAAAAGGCCCTTCTTTCTCTCTGCAGTCCCTCCTTCCTTTGTACAATGAGCAGCAGCTCTAATGGGCAGGTAGCTCTACACTCATGGCAGTCTGATTGATGGAAGTATTGACGCACGCATCCCTCAGGGGAGCAAAAGGCTGCTCTTAATGACAGGCAAATGGATCTAAACACTGCTCACGCAACACACACACTCTTTAACTTCCCTGTACCGGACGCATCCTACTGTCCTTAGGCCCAACAAACAGGCAGCCAGTGTTAAAAAGGAAATTAATGACAGCTTGATAGCTGTCTCTTGGCTTGAGAATAGAGATGCTCTTTAGATCTTTTTTGTAAGTAAAGGATACTGTAAAATGGGTTAGAGAAGATATTTTGAGAAAATACTCTTCACTAAAGGTCTTCACAATTCATTAAATAAGGTTTCAACTACATGAAGGAAAGCTAAACATACTGTAATGTGTATTTACTTTTTCCACATTAATCAAACACATTACATCAACACAATTTTGTCTTTCAACTTACTTATTTCTGGCAATAATTGTGTTAATGTAATACACAACAAAAGGTTGAACATCCCTAGTCAAATGACGTTTTATTGATTTTCTAAAATCAGTTCATACATCATCTACAGTGAACCAACATAAATATGGCATTTTAATGCACAATTTTAATGCACAATTTCTAACACTCTGTAAAAAAAATAAAACATAAAATACAAAATGTGTCATAACTTTAGCACAGGCAACATTTTAAGTTTTATTTTTGTTACATTCAGCAAATAAACAGTAACTGTGCATTAAAATGTGCAGAAGCATGTTCTCTGCAGAGAATGTGTAACTTACTCAACAAAACATACTTTGACCAGGGGCGCCAAAACTTTTGCATACGAATGTATATTATTAACATGGAAATGCAGTACACAGTTGAATCAAGTGTATTCAGTGCATTATCTTTCTCAGTACACAGTCAGGACCAAATTATTCTACACACAATATGACTTTGGCTGCCAAATCAACACCAAACGCAATAAACCTTTAAAGGATGAAGACCAGTAGATCTGTATATAGCAAACTGAAGCCATATATGGCCTAAAACATCATCTACCCTAAATTATTACATGATCTCCCTCTAAATTACACTTATTATTTCAGACCATTGGTCAAGTTCTCTGTGGCTGGCTCCAGCTCAAGTTGTTATAGCTGAACACCCAGACAGAGGACCATCTCATGTTTTGAGCTGCCACTTCACCTCCTTTGGAACCTTCTGGAGGCGGAAGGGCATGTACTCCACATACGCGTCGTCCCACAACTCCTCCAGCTCGGCCAGCTCCAGCCCCGGGTCCAGCTGGATCCTTGGGAGCTCTGGTGCTTCTAGCTCACAGTATGCTCCATCAAAGGTGTTCCTCAGGGCCTGCTCTGGGCTGGCCAGCTTAGCTCCTGCATCCAGAGACCCAGGCCTGACCAGAACAGGAAGTTTACTGCCATGAGGAATTTGTACTGGTTTGTAAGTGAAGTTCTGAACCAAGCAGAGCGCTAGAGCTAGTTTACCAGCAGGGCCTGTGGTGCCAGGGTGAGGGCCAGAGCGTTCCTCTGAAAGAGTGTCCGAATTCTGCTCTTCTTTGCCATCTTTCTCCATTTCTCCAGCTGCATCCAGGGTCATGGTTAGAGACTCAACTGAATTGCTGGAGCTTGCCTTCCCTCCTACCGTCCTGTCGCTGTCCGAAGAAGCCCTGGGCTGACTGTCCGGCACTAGGGTGGCTGATGTGGTGGTCGTTGTGGCAACGGTAGTAGTTGTGGTTTGCTCCTCTCCACACACACTGCCACCTACACTAGCCGAATAGCGAGTGGATGGGCCACAGGAAATGCTCCTTGCCAACTTTCTAGGCACCTTGCACACAGCCTCGTAGTCTGAATCGGCCACTCGCAGCGCACTGCAGCCCCTGCACCTTCTCCTGGCCTCTAAACCCTGGCACTGGGGGCTGTGGCCGCACTCTAGTGTCTGCTCTTCATCCTCTGCCCATGACTCGTACATCGAATACATCAGGTCTTCCTGGAGTAGGGCACAGTATTTGGCATAATGAAGGCCTGACATGTCCACTGTACAGTCTTTCTCCAGTCCCGCAGAAGCCGCCTCTTCATTGTGCTTCCGGTACATTCCGCCAATGCACTGCCGCAGCCGCTCTTTCTCCAGCAGCAGCCTCTGCAGGCGCTCCACGGACAGGGCCTCCACACGGGCGATGACTGTGTCGAAGCGGTACATGCGCTCCAGCATGAAGGCGCACTTGCCGCAGGCGAACTCGCCGCGCCCGTCCCGCTGCAGCTCCCGCCCCAATGCATGGGACAGCAGCACCTGCAGCTTGGTGGCCGGGTGGAAGAGCCAGCGGCGCTGGTTGCCGCACAGCTCGCGGCTGCAGATCCGACACAGGTCCTTCATCCTGGGATTGTTCCGAAGTTAATGATGACTTAAACTCAGACCAGGCCTACGGACATACTGTGTCTCTGTTAAAAGCTCCTTATGAGGAAAAACAAAACTTTGCTTATGTGCTCATTTTCACCACCAAAGCCCACCTGTTGGTCGTAAAATGTAACAAAATAAGAACTATTACCAAAGCAGAATGATGAATGGCAAATTCAAACCAGGCCTATGACCACATCCAGTATTGCTCAGTCTCTGTTAAAGCCTTCTCCTAAGTAAAAAAATACTTTGCTTCCTTGTTCATTTTCTCCATCAAAGATTCATTGCTGCTCATCAAATAACTGTGATAAAAAAGTCAGTATCCTTGGACCAGGCTTTAGAAGCTCCAAAGCTGAATGAAGAATGGTGTATTCAGACCAGGCCTAAGCAGCAGCCTGTGGCCATTTATCCATTGGTTCTCAGTTTCTGTCAAAATGCTATTAAAAATACTTAGCTTCTGGGTTCATTTTCACCATCAGCACTTAATCGTCTCTCATCAGATGGAATAAGCTTAGAATTAAACATTTATGATAGAAAAATAATTCAGTATACATAAATAGAATATATATGCTAAATATAGCTATGTATTGCTTTCTCTTCATGGACGGTGACATCTCCACAGAGAACGACTTTGGGGGGCGAGCTGAGGGTAGCAGCAGGCGGAGGGGGGAGTTTTCTATGAGAAATAAATCCCCCTTGTATTAGCCAGACAGACACAGGCACCACGAAGAGTCTTCAGCCTTTACCATGCAGAAAATGAAGAAAAGAAAGGCTGCCTCAGTCAGACGGCACAGTTTCGTAAGGCAGCAAGCGAGAGGCTTCGTGGCGGAAAAGCGTGAAGAGGCTGTTTCGGTTTCCTAATGAAAATCCTGATGCGAGCTGAATGAAAATGAAGTCGTTTTGGTCGCTCCGGTTCCCGTTTTCGTGCTAAAAACCCCCGTCTTTTCCGCCTCCTCACCTCCATGCAAGGTTGCTTCATCCTCCGACATGCGATAGACGGACTGCCCTGTCAGGTTCATGGCAGGTACTAACGTTAGTCCTTCGGCTGAACGGAGGAGAAAAGGACACGGTTTACACTCCCAGAGCTCGGCTTTCTCTTCCGTTGACCCCTCCACACCATACAAAGCGATTTAAAAGCAGCCGCCAGGGTTTCGCGTCAGTTTTAAGCACTAACGCCAAATAAAGACCCACATTGCTGTATGATAGCAATGATGTTGCCCGTGGTCGTCGAAGCTGCCAACGAGGGGAAAGTACCACTTCAGAAAAGTGGGGGGCGCCGTCTAACAAAAAGCGCTCTTGTTGCACCGTTTGCATTCGAGACTTGAGTCCATTGAGAAATTACAACTACTCTACTTGTACTGTTTCTTAGAAAAGCTTCTTAGATATGTTAGATAATGCTTGGAAAGCGGAGGCAAACGTGTATGCAGACAGACCGAGCGGCTCCCCCCTGTGGTTTCGTTTGGAATCTTCCACACAGCCTGTTCTAAGCCTCGCTGTGTTCAGTTCAGCGAGCAGGTGAAATGTGGCTGCATTAGGAACAGCAGCATCGCATCGTTCTGCCGGTGGACTAAGACTGCAGTGTAAAACGACCATTAACTATCAGCACGGATGAGGATTTGAGGATGAAACGTACTCATACCATCTCAACTGACAGACCGCACAAGTGGCTTAATGCATTAATAAGCTTATATATCATGGGCTGGGTTCAGGTATTGTGGGGCATTAATAAGAGACTTTAAGAAACTCTTGTTTATTTATTAAACCATATGATACCATTTTAAACTATTATACCATATCCTAAAGTTTTGTTGCATTCAGTCATAATTCATTTGTACGTTACCATTTTCCAACCTGGCTTTGTCCTCCACAATTAAACAGGCTGTTTTTGCTACTGTGCCTTTAAGACTGAAGTATGTAAATGAGCTCTGTTCCTATTGGCCGCCCTGCACTTTGCCTCATGCAAAAAGCAGCCTGGGCTGAAGCACTGGTTATAACTTCAGCAAGAATGGTCGGTGCTACACGGCTAAGCAGATGTAAGCATATGTAAATGTGTTGGTTTTTGTGACATCACATTTACAATGAATTCAAAACAGGATCGTTTTTTTGCAGGATAGTTTCCACATACGGACTGTTTGGACTGAGGAGTGAACTGTTTGTTCTGAAACTTTAACAATGTTTATATACTACATTAAACTATTTACAAATGTAGTTTTCCATGGTATGGGCCCTTTAAGCTGAATCTTGCTATTATTCTTTCTAAATGAGATAAAGGAAATGATGTCAATATGCTCATTAAATAAAAAAAAAAGTAATTTTATCAGAAAATTAATGTCCCATAATGTCTGAATCCATATTCTTTAAACAACTATAAACGTTTTTGGAACAGGCATCTAATATAATTAAATGAAAAATCCAATGCACTATTACATATAATCATAATTACACATAATTATACTTAATTGTATGCAACAAATCAATGCAAACTGCAGTATAACCAACAAGTACAGGACCAGCATGCTGATTCCCTGTTGGTAGTGTCTTAGGTTTAAAAACTAAGGCAATAAAAAAATGGGCTGATGTCTAATCAACTTCTTGTAGCTATGCAGCTCATGCAGTTACTACTCTGGTGGTTTTTGTTTAGGCTTCCCTGTAACTGACCATACAAAATAATGACTGATGCTTCTCAGCCAATCACAACCTACCCTCTGAGCACTACTTCCTCCATTATGCAAAAGAATATCTCAGACAAAACTCTTCAGAACAAACCTGCAGTGAGAACGACGGTGGCAGTAAATCAGATTTATTAGGCTAAGAAATTGATAGAACATGTTACTCGGGAGTGTATGATTCAAACGCACCCTATCCTGATCATCTGGAGGGTGGTGCTGTTTTTAAAAATCACGCTCAAAATGTTTTGGATTAAACTATACAACACTCACAGCTCAATGTCGCTAGAACAAGCAGTTCACAGATAAGCTAAACTTCATCTAGGTTACTGTATTTGCATTACAGACCATGACTACGTGGCACGCCCCCTGCTGGTACATGAGCATGTTTACCTTTTTGCTAACTAGTTTATTGGTAGTGAGCTGTTTTAACATCTCCTTAATCTAGCTTTTTGGTTATACTTATTTTCACATATCCATTATTTTATCGCTCTGTAGACATTAGCTGGCATTATAAGACAGATACAAAGAAATTCTTCCAAAAATAATTTACATGCTTTATTCAGCTTGGACTCCTACATTGTTGTGTGTTTGGTGTTCTCAAACAATTATGGACACATCCTCAAATTTCACGTGTTAGGGATCTCCGTTTCTTGCAAATAGGGCCTATTAGTCTAAAGGCCTTTAGATGTGCTGTGTTGCGCAGCATATAAAAATTGAAAATCATTGTTTTTCATGAAGGTATGCACACCGGCGCTGACATACAGCATAGATGCGTTCAACTCATCATTTTGCTATTACTTTGTCAAGCTAAAGCCACATTGAGACCACAGAAAACCACAGCAGACAATATACAGCTTGAAATTTACACAGAGAAAGGCAGTCATTCTTTTAGATGAACAGAGAGATAATGATGTGAAGTTACCTCAGGTAACCTTACTAGCCTCATCTTTTTTTACCTTGAGTTTGTGAAGAGGCCAAGAGGCCAAGCATGATAAATGATGTTCAAAGTTTTATTTCATTAAATTTATATGAGTAGAGTCTAAAAATGAACTGGAGTTTGACATTTATCGGTGCTCTCACATTCTATGTAGCACGGCAGCGCTTTGTACAGTATCTACAATGTGATGCTACAGGTCTCACCAGTGTGCGGCGGCCTTAAATCTGTTGTTTTACTGACAAATGCAGTTATTCAGGGTACTAGATGTACTGATGATACTCATGATTTACTTAGAAAAGCACACTGTGATGCTATTTACCACAATGATGACATCATTGCACTGCCCACCCTTACCTCAGACTAAACAGTACAGGCTAGATAAATCCTTTTCACAGGACAAAGCAATGAAGTGCATTCTTGAGCAGTGCACGGTCAGACGGCTTCCAGTGGGTTCTGAAGGCCTGAGGGCTTGAACTAATTTCCGCTTGACAGGGCTGGATATGTGACCTTGCTCTTGCATTCTCTGCTGTTGCTGTTTATGCAAACAACGTCCGTGCTCAAAAATAGACTGTTTTGTTCTGTAGTCAACCGCATCATATGACAAATTCACAGGCATGCACATACACACCTCCTTCTAGCCTGCTTCTTTCCTCTGCTCAACTATGGATCTATTTCTTAGACAGCACTAAATATGAACTTTCACATATACAAGCATGAGAGTTGATGTCTCATGAAATCTGAATGTGGTTATGTAAAGGCGGTGATGGCACCCAGCAGTAAAAGCTCTCTCCACTGAGTTGTGTAATTAACACTGTATCAGCAGGTCTGATTCTTATCTCTCTCATGCTGGTGAACACAGGAGAGTCATCTGTCTCCTGAAAGGTCATGTGTATTGCTGAGGGAAATGACCAGTGTATGTAGATCACAAACAAACAATCAAGCTCCTGTATAAAACTCTGAACAAGCCTCAGGCCAAACATACATTTAGAACAGAAAAGACTGAAAAGAACAGTGGTGATAGGAACCAGAGGTCACAATGACAGCCATGCAAATGTAGCCATTGTATTTACTATTCAAAACAAGGAAACCTACACGCGTCTTGAGAACTTGTATTTGTAATGCTGATAATAGTAACTATTTTGCCTTATAACATCCACCTCTGTCATTAACAGATTTTTACAAATACATTTTAGGCCAAAATCGTATCTCAAAACTATCATAAAACAACATTTTAGGTGCAATTCAGTGCATTCATAACCATTTCATGTAATAACTTTCTGTGATGTAGCTTTAAACTCTTCAGGCATCTGATCACCACCACTGTGAACAACTCAGACTCTGCAGGTTTTCTAAGTTTCTCTAGAACCATTTATGCATTTTATATCAAAAACTCTGAATGACTTTTATTTACATCTTAATGTCTAAATTTAGCAAAAGAAATTTAAATCAGTGGAAGGACACAGAATGTAGTGTACAGTGTAAGAATTGCTATTATTATAAATTATAATACAAAATTACAAAAATGTAAATATTTAAAGTTCCAGCTTTAGGCATCATAAGTTATTAAAATCACCTTATCTGACATCTTAGTGGGACATGAAAACATATTTGTATCTTTATAAGGTCACTGATCTCTAATCAAAGTTTGCAGTCCAACTAAGGGCACTGTTTTCATATTAGCACAAATGCATTTATTCCCATTTGCTGTGTTGGTGGTCAGAAATGATGTAGGATAGTGGGGTAACAGCAGGTGTAACATTCAAAATCTTCAGAATCTGCCTGTGCAAAGCTGTTTTCAAACCCATTTTGGTCCCAAAAACACATTTGCACTACCACCTCCTCAGACTTACTCTTGCTGAATACACACATGCAAAACTGTATTTTCCCCAATCCAACTACAGATGTAAAGACATACCGGCACAATTATTTTGAAAGAATACCATTTATACAATCCACTTAAATACAAATGACTTTTATTCAGTATTTCACACACTGCACTGCACGAAATCCAGCTAAACAGACCTAAATATGCTCTCGTAAGTGTTTAGTGTTCTAGAAGTACTGACAATATCCATGAGCTTAATGTTTATCACGCATTCTATGTGGTGTAGCTGCACTTTGTACTATCTGCTATGTGATACTATGCAGCACGTCTGGTACGTGGTGGCCTTTAGAATATGTATCTCTTACACAGGAAGAACACTGGTGTTCATGTGATTAAGCTTTCACCAACAGAACTGAACATGATGGTGTGTTGATGTCAGAATGACTGTGTGCTTGTACACTTTGGCCCTTTGGCACTTCAGCTCACAAGACTAAAAAAAGAACACAGGAACAGACGCCGCCAGTGAGAATAAGATTTCTAGCCCATTCTACAAGACTGTGCAAATCTGATGAAGACACAGGCATGAATTAGGCTGGGGGCCTAAATCTCTTCTAAAAGAGAGAACAACTAAAAATCTGTCTAAAACAGAGAAGTGTTGGTCATTCCACACTGTTATAATGACGTGATAAAATTACCACCTACAACAGGGCTGTCATTAAAAACCTGATTCTCACTGATTATTTAAGCTTTCTACTTTTTACCCAACCTTCTCACAGCAGTTTTCAAAACAAA